TAGTACATTGAGTCTGATACAATATTAGTTTGTTTTAATAGATTATAATAGAATAGTAACCCCGCCAGCACTATCAATAAAAATACGCCAGATACAGATGAAAGCAGGTCAGTTAGACCATTTGGACAGATTTTACTACAATTAACCGCAGTAGTATCCAGCACTTTTCCCTCCAGTACGATATTTATAGGGATAAAGACATAAATATTATTTAAACACTAAGGGGTCAAAAATATCCTTTGCTCACTTAGTAATTTAGGACCTCAGTTTTCGACTGTATGAATATCAACTATAGAAGAGTTTGTCAGTTTATAATCAAAAACTTATATAACCTTTTCTAGATTCCTTCAATAACATCTATAGACAGGCTTGTATAGGTAAATTTAATATATTCAAAATTTTTTCTTGATGTAAAGGTGCCTGTTTTTTGCAAAGGAGTGTATTTAAGTACCTACTGCCTACGTCTTTGATCAAGAATGGAGATCCATTGGGGGAATGGTTACTGATCAAAGGTGCAGCTTTTTTTTATCTTTAGGAATTAACCTTTTATAAGAATATATTTTTCAATTTTCTTAAATACTTTATAGATAAAAGTTTTTAAAAGGCCACATTTATCTCATTATAGATGGATGACAAATATTACAATAAAAATATACTATACTATACTTCGCAACAAATACTAAGCACATAGGAAAATTATGATTTATCAATACAAGTAATTTTGATTTAAAAAATGCATATAACAACACACTATTTATTAAAATGTTTTAAGCTATTTCACACGCTTCGCTTCAAAGATCTGCACTACACACAATCGCTATTTACACCTGTGTACACATACCCGAAAAACATTACTCTCCTTTTATTGACATTCGGATAAATATACAAGGTGTAAACGTGGTTACCACCACTAATGGACTTGCCAATATAGTGGAGTGACATGAAGGACGATATTGTGTACACTGACAAACCCGGAACATCGAAATTACTGCAAATCAAAACACAATAACCGAATTGTATTGTAATTGTCTTAATATTCTTTACTAGGGTTCTCAAATTTTAGCTGTAGTTAATAAATGTCAAACCGTAATCGTTTGCACAAAGTAAATCTTCCGAACCCAAAGGTCGCTATTGACCCCACTAAGTATATGAGTGCCACTTACTGAATCCTGCGAACGTATTTTTTTACAATTCAGGAACATAGAAATTCGGCAGAATAATACTTGACTGCCGCTCTATGTTCTTTTATGTTTAGTATACATTAGTAATCCTAACACGCCTAAGTATTTTAAAAACATAAAATATTTGTATAATGTTAAAAATATATATGTATCCATATACTGAACGTAATGGTAGTAAAATAAATTTCAAATAAAGGCAAGGTAGATAAAATATGAAATAAAGATGCAATCCCATTTCCTTTCTGTGATAAGGTGGGAAGAATATATATATATATATACATATATAATTATTATCAATCTATAATTTTATATCTTAAATAAAATAGTTAATACCATAAGAAAAAGGATTATTCTTATAATAATAATCTGTCTTATAAATGTAATTATACTTTAACATTAAAAATCATATTAATATAATATAAAAATTATATCCTAATATCAATGTCAAGAACCACTATTTTTTCGTGTACATGTATGTTTCGTAATCAAAAACAATTTATCTTTCAGTAAACCAATTTTAAAGAATTTGGACTCCCACTTTATTAACTTTCTCCTAATTTATTTTCCAGTTTTCCGCTTTATTTTTCAAGAGAACAAATATTTTAATTAAGAAAAGTATTGACGAATCGACATTTGAAATTGGAATTAAAACGGGGAAAAAATATCAATCAATACAAGTACATAATTAGTATATACAGATTTTTTATTACGTGGAGAAGTAAAAATATCTATTTATCATTTTCATAATACAGACAATTTTAAAAAAGATTTGCTGTCTGTCCCAAGTCTTAGCAAATTATATGCACAAGGTTTCATGTCCAATAGAATAAATATTCATTCAGTTTAACTTGATAGATTCTATTAAATTTTGGTACCATAACTGGTTTTATAGCTTTATTTAAAAATGGAGTATCCAAGTAAGATATTTTACTTTTCTGGTATCTGTTTTTAAAAGGCGCGTGAAAACACTAGTTACATTTGGAACTTCACGTGATCAAAATTCTGTTAATTGACCAGGAAAAATAGTAGCCTAAGTCGTTTTTCATTATAAATACTACATGCATATAAAGTTTCATGACGACTGGTCGTATCGTGAGAAGCCAGTAAATAACAAATATATAATCAATTGAACAAATTCATTTTTACATTTATAATATTATCGCAGTATAACGGTATATTACTAAGAATATCAATCTGTACTTTTTTAATACACTTCTTTTATGACTAATGCTACTTAGAGTGGCAAACAGACGGCCCCTTAATAGAAAGTGGTAACCGTCGCCTATAGAATTAAACAATACCATGGACATAACAGACTATAATATGTCGCCCATAGTACCCTTCACGCGTTGCCATTCCTAAGGACTAAAGTGCCATGCCTCTCCCTCTCTATATATATTATTAGTACATATAGATAAATGATATCCTGCATTATTTCATTTATCAATAACTTGTATAACAACTATATTTGTAGAACAATTTCATAATAATGTTCGAAATATCAACTATTAATTATACGGGACTATACAATGAAGATCATTAATGGTACGATCATGATATACAAAGCAATATTGTCATTTTCATAGTGATCCGCTTGATTAATATCTTGTGGGACAAATCTCTGGACTTGACGTAACTGTAATAACTAACGACACCTAACAAATTACCTGTTACAATAATATCGTAGTAATGTACTCTTTTATCTGTTTTGATTTTGGTTTTTCTTATAAAATTATCTAATATATATATATATATATATATATGTGTGTGTGTGTGTGTATACTGTTTGCCTAACTGACGAAACCACTAAATGTAAAATCTTGCAGTTAGGTTCTATATGTAGCATAGGTAAATAATAAAAAAGAAATTATGAAAATTTAACTCCTACGGGAGTAAAATATAAAAGTATGTATGGAATTTTATCAGTTTAGAAATTAAACACATGAAATTTTAGGGTTAAACTATTGGTTTAAAAGAAATATAAAATATGATTATCGGTTTTTGAAGGAATCGCCCCTAAAGAGGTGAAATACAAGATGAAAGTTTGTATAAGAGGTCTGTTATAAATGAAGTAGAAGCCAGAAGTATGAAACTTTAGTTTTTGATTTTTGATTTGAAATATATAAAATATTTGAGGCCTAAAAGGAAAAGTGATTCTCGCGAAAAATCGAATATCACACGTGACAGAAGCGGCAAGCAAAAGCTAGTCTATAATGATTAAAGGCTGTTTTGGATAATGATACTATTTTTTTTTCAAGGTAAAGTACGTAATAAGTAGGTATACTATATACCTCTTATAACAATTACTGCATTTTTTGTTTCTCCCCAAATACCAAAACCTTTTTCTCCAGTGTGATACTATTTCCCACTTATTCACAGGTTTGGTCCATTTTTGCGACATTTTATCAAGGAACCATTGTGACGAGCGGTAAAAAAATACGCTACTCCTCAAACTGAAATTAATAGTATAATCTTTCTAACTACAATATTATATTTTTTCATCAAATAGCTAATCCACTCATCTACCCTCACTCAGCCAAACGGAAAACTGCCGCCGTAAAAATTAAATTTCCTTAAATAATTTTTTACCTTATTTCATAATTGGTACTTATTAAATATTATGGTGAAATTAAAATTTTGTCCTTGGGATAGCTCCTATTAGGTGCTTTTATAATTTACTCTAGAACGATACAACACAATTTTTAAGCGATATATAGAAGATTGATGTTTTCGATTTAACTGTATTTTACATAACCGTATAATACACGATGTCTTCACCAATACTGAACCTTTATTCTTCCTTCAAAACATTTAATCACGATAAAATATTGAAGCCCTGCCAAAATTCAGCGTATATTTTTAACAGGACGAAATCTTTAATGATATAGAAAAATTTCTTTGATATTAAAATAAATTTGAGAATATTTTTATCGCATAATCTTGCATTATAAAACATTTTTTTTAAATTAATTGGTTTAAAAATTTCTCTTCCAACAGGTGGATCCAATTCAAACCCACATCTCTATGCTACCCTTGCTAGAAATGATTAAATATTTATCAACTGATTGTTTTAGTGCCATAGTGTAACTGGGAACTCGCTCAGCGCGAATAACACAAAGATCCTAATCTCACCGGATCGAGCTATCATGTGGTAGATTTTTCAACATGTTAATTATTAAAATTAAAATAAATGTCCTTTTCTCCCCCTTTTGACGGTCTTGAGATAATAATATTCTGCCTCCGAACCAAAATCTGAATTTAATTAGACGAATACCAAATGCGATATCTTACCTTTTAAGAATGAGATGTAAAATTTAAGATCTAGACACAAATAATACAATGCTACTAGATCTTTGTCACGCAATAATTAATTTCTCAATCACGTTGACATTTTAGTGTTTAAAATAAGTATAATCAATCATAACGTTGACCTTTCTAGCCAAAAAAAATATAACAAAGTGTATCCGCCTACCTTATTAAATAAATTTTTATTCAGAATTAAAGTAGGTAGTACGTAGAACTTGATGACTATGATTAAATATTATTTTATTTATCATATTATTTTATTGCCTTTTATCAATAAATAAATATCGACTAAGTAGGTATTTTCTTTTTCTAAATTACTACTTAGATATTTTTCCGGTCTCCTCCCCTCCGCTTCCTTTTATGATCACTTAGGAAAGAACAGAAACATTTTACTGACGACTACATAAAAATACAAACAAAAAAAACTATGAAATTAAACAATAATAGTAAATCCCTTATTTAGTTACTGACGCGCCCTACACTCAACATACCTTTGCTAATGCCAGTTTGCAGTTACTGATGTAGCACTTTTAACATGTACAAACCACGTAGTCTGTAATATACATTTTACATTCGTATTATTAAATTGTAAGACTGTCAATATTCTGGCAAACGTAATACTTGACTTGCTCATATTTCACAGGATATATTCGAATACAAGGTGGCACTTAGAAACAAGACTACTACGCCGTCTCGCGGTTTGATTGGTTTCGTTAATTACAAATCAATAACAGAGAATATATTTTATTTTATTAACGAACCCAATTAGTATCTCTATTAGATGTAGGTATATATGTAAAGAGACAGTAGTCGTTTTATAAATTGGTTACTACTTTAAAATAAATAATAAGATCTTAAAATATCACCACAATATACAAGTAATAAGTAGGTGCATATACTACTTCATATGTACCATATAAGCATAAACTTTCAGTCTATGGAAGACACCCAGCTTCAATAGTAAATAATGAAGCTGAGGTAAAAACGATGTTGAAGAATGTTAGCATAGCCTAATCATTTTAGTAAAAAATATTGATATTCCGGTTTTACATTGTGATTTTAAATTAAGAAAGGTAAAAATTTTAATTCTTTCTATAGTGTTTTTTCAAACAGAGAAACATGTATTTAGAGGTATAATCCAAAACTATAATTTCGATAAAGTATGGTATACTACTGAAAACCTAAAAATATAAATGGGTCCTATAAATAATAAAAACATTTGGAAATAACAAAGCAATAAATTTATGTAACAATTAATAAATATAAAAACAATGAAAGAAAACTCCTAAGCAGAATACACATAACTGATACTCGATAAATTTTGGACTCTGATGAGCAATAACAATCTTTGATAACTATATCACTGTAAAATTTTCTCAAATCATTCACTATATCGTTCACTAATTTATCTTGATTCAAATTATCCATGTTCAAATTTATGGTATCTTTATTTATAGTGTCTATTTTAACAGCATTGTCATCATAATCTACATTATTTATAATATTTTTTGATACATCAATCTTAAATGGTTTCAGTGTCACAGCTTTATTATTAAAATAATCATAATTATAATATTTATTATTATCAATTACTTTCAGTGGTACCGTATCTTCGGTTTCTTCATAATACAAATCTGCGTCATTATATGGCTTTGTTTTGTGTTTTTCTTTTATTTTGAGTTCATAATCATCTCTTTCGTCATTATAATAATCAGAGTGTTTGTTAGGTGTATTTATTGGTAATCCTATAAAATAAGTTTGGTACGGCACATACATGGATGAAAATGTTGGTAATGATGATAAGGTTTGTGTACACTGGGGACGTTTTGTGGTTCCAGAAGTATGTGTACATTTTTCGGAGATTGCTGTATGCTTATGACTGCATATCGCAAAGGGATTAGTCTTCATAGAAGTGCATGATTTATTAGACGTAATCAAATGACTAACATGTGCAGGAATCGCAGTTATGTGATGCAAACTTCTGAGACCTAAAGCTTTTTTAGTCAGCTTTTCATCAACAACATTTTTATTTGCAGTCTTAGCGTTATCTTCTTCTTTTACAGCAGCATTTATTATTTGTTTTGTTATATTTTTGACATCTCTTATATAATTTGTTGTTGTATATTCATAGTCTACAGCTGTCCATTTTTGTTTTATTTCTAAAGTTGGTGTTTGAACACTTACATTTGTAATAATTTGAACCGGTATGTATGAGAGATCTTTTTCCTGGAATTGTCTTTTAATTGATAACATTTCATCAGATAACATCTTGTCAAAAATGTTATACTTAAGATTTGAGATTTTAGTATTTGTCATATTTTGAATAATTTGAAAAAAAGGCTTTGTACTTAGCATATTTCGTTCATTACTTTCACGAACATCTGGTAGAGACAAGAAATATTAGATAAATAATAAATAGAGTAATATTTGTAGTACAATACTTAGTAATATTAATTTCAAATTTATTTTTTATATTTATTTAAGAGGGTGGTGAAATTTAATAAATTTAATAAATTCGTCGTCCTTATAACACCAACGTAATAAGTTCATAAAATTAAATTAGAATAAACAGTTCATAAAACCAATTATAAAGTACAATACTGCTAGATTTATTAAAGGTTACCTTGAAAGTTTTCCTGAGATTTTCCACTATTAACGTTTCTATTGAACTTATTTTCCCTAAGCGCAAAACTATGTATTTCCTGTAAATTTATAATTAAAATTACTAAAATGTAAAACAGAAAAAACATAACCAACAAATACCGTGTAGTCCATTTTAGCTGACATCAAAATAATATGCAGTTGGTGATCTACAGGGCTGTGATATTAACACTACAATTATCTGTCATTTGAATTATTACAACATTAGTTATTTTATTATGATAAAAGTGAAATTAATTGTATTCTACATATCTTTCAGTATCGTTTTATGTTGTGCTAAATATTGCGAAATATGTCCCCAACACATACTTTGCAAATATAAAGTATGTTCTACAAAATTTCTGTTCATTATAATTTGTATGTATCTCACGTATGTATAATGATAATAATTTTAATGCTGCTTTTTCCTATGGCTACATTTCAGATGCCTGGACCAAGCGCCTCTTGTGAACGATATGATAACACAGCCGTTCTCACTGAAAACGATATTAATGAGATTGTCAATAGAATCAATGACCGAAGAAATTTTATTGCTCTCGGACTCTCAAAACTTCTCCCCCAAGCAGCCAACATGAAAAAAATTGTTAGTAAGAACAATAAAAATAAATACAGAATAAAGGATTGGTACTTATCTGTATTTATTATACAGTAGTCTATGTAGTACTTTATAATAGAAACTGTACTCGAAAAGACATTGCTATAAAACAAAAATAAGTTTGATAGATACGAGATCATCTATTGAACCATCTAAGAGTATACGTATCATTAAATTAAATCAATTCTGTGTTGTGGTAATAATAGGGCGTAGTATAAAAAAAAAATTCTGTTATTTTTTTTATGATTACTGATGTTTTTAATTTAAGGATACAATTAGATACTAGCATTCTAAACGCATTCTTTTTACAATATATCACTTATGCGATTTTTGGTAAAAAATCTGTCTCTGTTAAATTTGTAATTTTACAACATTTTAATTATTAAAATATTTAATGAAACTGTAGTAAAATTTTATCGTGATTAGAAACATAATAGAAGGTCGATGAAAATTGGTGATAAATTTATTTACGTAAATAATGCATTCATTTTAACCATTACGTAGATAATGCATAATAATAAAAATATTTAAGTTTATAAACATGCTAGATTGTTTAATCACACATTAATATCTGAATGAATATGAACGAAATGGCACGCAATATATCGAAGAACCCTGTAATACGTATAGGACATTTTTTATAGCTGCGATGTCACTCAAAATTGATGTCCACGTAAACTATATTATCGTCAATAGCTGGATAAAACTATTTAAGTCTAAGCTATTTTTCACAATTTCTTCATTTTAGTATAATAATAATATTTTAGCGTTTGTACTACTATTATTATTAGGGGTTAGTGTTTAAAATTGATATAACCTACTCAACGCTATGTAATAACTGCCAACTTTATTCTTCTAGAATTTCTATTTGCAAGACTTATCATCTTAGTCTGAGAAAACGATTTCCGCATTGAGAGATTTCGCTCCCAAGGTTTTCTTACTGCAAAAGGTATTAACAGACCTTTATAGGAACCCGTTCCCCATCTCAACTCACATTTTACAGTAATTATCTTAAACAAAGAATATAATGGGTATTGATTTCCTTATTTACCATCGTTTTATTAAGGCTGGTTCTTAATTAAATTCGGATACCGTTGCTCTTTGATAAGTATCAACCTTTTCGCTTTCCTTTCCCGGTTTTCAAACTTCCTTGTTCATTATCTCGCTTTCTGTCAGATTATTTATGTGATAGGTAAGGAGAATCGTGTGCACAAGGACAGCGTTGGATAAATAGTTTTATCTATTGTGAACCTATGGGGTTATAATGCCTATCTATAGGTTGTTTAAATGGATGATAAGAAAATGGTAAGTCAACTTACGCTATCGTCCCGCTTCACTGGTGTTCCACTATTATAGTATAAAGTGAACCACCACCAGTGAACGATAATATTTGAGGATGTATATAGGTCGTTTAACCTACCATGACCAATTCAATTCAAGAATTGACCACTTTGGTTTCCAGAGAAGACCGAGTGGAGGCCAACCTGACGGATTACTCACTAGAAATGGAGGCAATATTCCCCTTTACTAACAATTCCTTTGAATAGTTTTACACTATGGTGGGCACAATTAAAAGTATGAAGCTGAACTTTTCGTTGTGATAACTGTTCACCAACACTAAGATTATTTTCATTGTAACTATATTGATACGAACATAGATCATTCTAAATCCTGTACATTCAGTTTAGAATGTAGAGTTTATGCTTCCATGGACTTACGTAATCTCGTACCTCATCCGTAAACTACCTATTCAAAGATTAAACGGATTAAATTAAGTGATTTATGAAACTTATATTGTTTATCCGCCCTTTGCTCAACACAGTCTTACTATTCTGTTAATAAAAGTCAAAATAATATTTTTTTTTAATATTGTCTGTCTGTAGATATTTACGTTTGTTCCAAGATCATGCGAAAATTACTGAATTAAATTGGATATGGTTTTCATAAACACAAACAGCGGAGGAAAACTAGTATTTAACATGAAAACGTAAAGTCATCATCGTCATAATACTTTCACAGGTTTTTGACTTACATATGTTAAGTTTACAACAAAAAAGTTATGAATGTATAAAATGACAATCACAAACTTCGTATTTATAATAAAAAACGAAAATAGAAAGCTATTAAGCTACAATCAATCACAGTATTCTTGAACAGACCAGTCCCTACTAGAAGCACCCGTTAACTAGTATGACGGAACACAACGATGGACCAGCCATCGTTGTATTCAACTATATTATAGGGAGCCCAATGACCCGGCCCACCACGCCGCCACTAATCTGGACGTGAGCCTGACTTGTTTCGCAGATACGCAGTTACGCCAATAATATATATACCAAAATGAATGTGACAATCAGTACACCCAATCATAAAATTAAAATGTTATATATATAATTATTTCAATAATTTTATGTAGTTTTTTAAATACTAAATAAATCAGTAAAATAACTTATAACAGCAACTCGGCACTTATTGAGTAGATAGATAGATACTCTTTATTGTTTCCTCCGAAAGATTGCAATAGTAAACTTATTATAGATATAAACAATTACAAGAAATAATCACAATAAGAAAACAATGGGCGATCTTATCGCTAAAAGCGATCTCTTCCAGGCAACCTTTAGATGGAGAAGAGTAACTATAAACAGTTTGATCAGAGGCACGAGGAAATTTCTATTATTTCTAAATATGGAGATGTAATACATGTAATAATGTGAATATATATCCCTACTCATTATTATATACATACATATACACATATACATACATACATACATGCATATAAACACACAACATACACAAATACAAAAAATATATAAATACTGCTCGCATGTATACGTTAAATATGAAGTTATTAAATTTTTAGATATCTGAAAAACTAAGTATGCTAACCAGACAAATAAATTAAGAAGATGACAACTTGCTCACATAAAAATCCTTAAGATGTGTTTTAAAACGAGTATTACTATACCATATACAAACATAAACACGGTGAATTCATTAATTGCCCGTGACCTTTGTATATAAACATCGTAATAAACATTCAGTATTTTTTTTTCTCACTCATGCAGTCACGCCTAAACAAGATTTAAATTTTGTTCATGGATAGACGTTATCCTACATTAAGAAATAGGATTATTTTTGTTCTAATTTAAGCCAGCAAAGACTATGAGTTAATGTTTGAGGTATTAAACATTTTGAAATGAAAAAAATACTGTTATTTTTATTTCATTTATTAATAAATACAAAATAATACAATTGTTTCGCTGAGAATGGTTGGAAAGTCCTTACAATCTCTATTGTAAGGGTTTATCCAGAAAATATCTCCCTTTGTATCATCAACCACACATTTCAACTGCTAACCCTTGGCTTTCTAGGAAAAGACATTTAAATATTAATTGGATACGTTATTCTTAGTAACAATTTATAAAGAAAACGAAGCTAAATTAGAATAAGTAATTATTGTCTTATTTCAGTTATGGTCAGAAGAGTTAGCGACATTTGCCCAACGTTGGGTAGATCAGTGCGATCAATCTTTGCGTCCCGATAAAGAGGATCAGTGTCGAGACTTAGGTAAGCCATTAATACCTCGTTCATTAGAATAATACCACAACACTTAACACAAATTTAGTAAAGTCTATTATTTTAGTAGCAAAATAGCTCGAGTAATCTCTAATATCGAAAGAACATGAAGTTATTTAGAATTAAATTTTATTTCGCATAATAGTTAATTTTATATTAAAATATGTATTAGGTATTAAGTACTTGTAATTGGCGGAAAATACTTTAAGTGGCAATAATTTTCCGATATTTATTTCGACTGCATATTTAAGTAATTATACATTTATTTACACTAATATTAAAGCCAATCGTCAAATTATAGCAATGGAAATTCAATTATAAAAAAAAATATTTTTTTATAATACTTTTAAGTATCTCAACATATAATAAATTTTATAATTTATTTACTTTACACTCTTAAGTATGATAGATTATGTAATTGTTCAATATTCCAGTGGAGGAAAATGTCGGTCAGAATATAGCCAGCATATTAGATCCATCACCAAATTTCAATGTAAAAAGTTTTGTAGACATTTGGTCTATGCCAACATTAGACTACTTTGGAAGCGTTTCATATTATAATCAGTGAGTACGTAGTTATTTTAGTTTTTACTTTCACTAATATGACGAAATTATTAAAAATATGTTATCATTCAATCACAATATTAGGTTTCATAAGATATATAAGTCATTTTCAATCAAATTAAATTGATTCTGGAATCTGTACTTTTGATATCGTTTGTCAACATCGAAAGAGGTTGTTTATAAAGCAAAATCTACCGATTGAGTATATAAATCTTCCCATCACTGTTCCAACGATATGAACAGATTTCAGTCGGATATTTCGCGGGTTGAAAGTTCAATGAAATGCCGCAGTAAATCCTGACTTTACAAGAAACACTGGCTTGTTTCCAATTTGATTCGCTGTTTGTGTAGTTAAATTGTATTTGTCACTTGAATACATATTATTTTTAGCGTTATTCCGTCCCCATTGTTATAGAATCATATTCTCTAGTCAATATCAATATTGGCCCATTTTAATTAACTTTCTTTTTTCTTAAAGATAGAAAAATGAAAGTTAAAATGCTCTATTTATTATATTTTTAAAACTAAACTACCACTGGCAGTAGTAGGGTATGTTCTTCAATAAAATACCCATGTCTAGTCTTGGGGCATTAAAAAAATTACTACAGTAAATTAAAATTATCAAAATATCATGAAAGTAAACACTATCCACTGAACTTTCTGTGAATATTCATATAAATATTTAATATAAAGTTTCTTGGGTAACTTTGTCTCATACATATTTCAGTCGCTAAACAGCTATACTTACTGGATTATACTTTAATTTGAAGAGTGAGGTGGGGCAGTAAAATTAGGCGATTCACAGAGGCTTCAAATTTGAGAAAACATGATTTTGAAATTTATTAAAATAATGCTGTATTGTATATTGTATTTAAAATTGAAATACAAAATTGATAAAACATGACATACTTAGTTTAAGAAAGTCTAAAATGGATTGTCTACGATTACAGATCACGAAATCACAAAACATATTATTTTACACAACTGATCTGGGCTGATAGCGACATGGTAGGATGTGGCAGAGCCAGATTTTTCGTATGTATTTCTATTCATTAGATATAATTATCTACTACTAATCTAATTCCGCAATTTCATTCGCATAGTCGGGATATACCTATTACTAGTAAATAAAAGTAGCCTACATTCTTATTACCTATTCATTGCTACTTGAAATAGATTTAACCTGGTTAAAACTAATTTAAATCAAACCACTCAGTCCTAATCAACTAACTAGGGGGAAAGGGATTGTCAGCAATGGGGATCAAATAGCCCCACTCTGGGGGAAAGGGATTGTCAGCAATTTAGATTGACAGCCCCATTGATAGCAACATGCCTTATTAGGTCGACCTCCACGTGGTTCCCCCTGGAAACCATCGTGAACAATTCTTGCTGAATTCGTTACGATGGGCTAACTGACCTGTTTCATCCTCACCTATCATCCTTCACTGGTGCCCCGCCGGTGTATACCGATAGCGCGGGTGGGGTTACTATTCCATTATCACCCATTAAAAAAATAGCCCCATTACTAGCAATATACCCTGTCAGGTCGACCTCCAATCAATTCCTCCTGGAAACCATCATGGTTTATTCTTGTGGAATTCGTCACGACGGACCAACTGGCCTGCGTTTTCATTCTCATCTACCCCACCTCGTATATCACTAGCTTAAGCGAAGTAATCATTCCATTATTTTATATAAAAAAATTAACTAACCAAACCAGGAGGAAAGGGATTGTTAATAATGAGTTCTAATAACTCCATTGCTAACAATATGCTCTACCAGGTCAACGTGATAGGGTATATTCAGATAGTTCCCCCTGAAACAATCGTGATTAATTCTTATGGTATTCATTACGATGGCCTAACAAACCTTCCCACCTAGTCAAATGGCAAACCATTTTTATGTTTTCATTCCGTCAGTTGTAAACCGAATTGGTTTTTTTTTTGTCGGCAATGGACTTATCAGTAAGTCCCATAGAAATTTTATAAAAATCAGTTTAGTAATTTAGTTTAAAACTGAAATAACTGGTTATGCCACAACTGAAGTCGGTTTTTTGTGGAACATAATCTTAATTATATTTATGTATAGTTGTTATAATACTCGGTTTGTCCATATATCGCATATTTTAATGTAATAGAGTAATGAAATCCTTACTAATATTCAAATTGTGAAAACGAGTTAATTTGTTACCTTTTTATTTGAAATTTTGTATATAAGTATATAGCATTTAAGATGACGAATGACATTACAACATACTTTCATAATAGTTAAATAATATATCCTGATCACGGTGATAATAATGTAGTATGTACATCTATTTACTTATACAGTCGTTTTTAATCATTTATCAAGGTACAACCAAAATTACTAAGTCTAGAAAGCTAAAATTTGAATCATTAGCTTATTTTATAACGTAAGCATCCGAAAACAAAGGATTTTTAATAATTTCAACATAAAAGAGAGAAAGGATGCTAGTTATTGTTATGCTAACAACGCCTCGGGCAAAAACTGTTCTAATATAGAATAATAACAACATCTACTAAAATTATACTTTTACCTTTCAGCACCACAAACAAAATACAATGATTGAAAGATTAGTATGTAATTTCACACCAAAAGGAAATATTCACGGCAAACCAATTTATAACATAGGATACCCAGCTACACAATGCCCAATTTATACTAGACCTGACAGGAATTATAAAGGTCTATGCAAACGTTATTTACAAGAAAACGGTTGGTTTTATGTACCTATAATAATTTTATTCCAATATCTATTATACTAAAATATTGAAATCAAATAATTTAACTAAACGATTTGCTTACAGTGACAAAATTAACACCCTCATCACCCCACCCAAGGGTGAACAGTTTACTCAGGATAATTAATTTATCAAATAACTCAGTTAAACAAGAAATAAATCCTATCCGCAATGATTGGAAACATCTAAAATCAAACGTTAACAAAAGCATTGAACAAAGACATCAAAAGACTAGACATGTCTTAAATAATACGCATGGTATGGAAACCTTTTTTAATAGGATATTACATATCCATATTTTTTATGAAACTTAGAATGGCAAAAAAGCTGACGACCCACCTGATAGAATGTGCTAACCGTCGCCTATGAACAGTACCATGGACATAACAGAGTATCCATATTATTTGTTACACTTTATATCGCACTTGTAAAATATAGTTATGAGCTTCTTTACATTTACTTTGATCATTGAGTGTACGATATTTTATGTATGTAAAAATGGCAAACATGATATCTTATCTGATGGATAATGGTGATGATCTTAATGACATTCCTCATGCGTTGTTATTCCTGAGGCTTAACCTGTAAACCTATGTAGGTTTACAGCTTAGGCCTCAGGAATGTACCCTGTAATTTTACTGTAACATCCTTCCCTTCATATTGAATCACAGCTATACAAAAAAATAAAAGCATAAATGAGATAGAGGTATTAAAAAAGATGACTTTTGTACAGTGTCTTCTTCTGGTATTTTGTCTTACTTCAAAAGTTTTTTTGTGTTTTCAGAATCAATGAAACATGTTTCTTATAATAATCGGAAAAATAATATTAATCATTCTAGAAGTTCTTATATAAACACTTACTCCCAAGCGAGGGGGCATTCGCGTCTTTATCATGGCTACGATATGCATAACAATGTATACACCCTCTCTCATCAAGAAAATTTCAAAAAATTTAGTTATTCGACAGAAGTTTTTAATCCATATCTAAATCAAAATTATAAAAAACACAATCAAAATCCTTGCACACGTAAAAACATGTACCCTGAAAATTATTCTTCAACTTGCGAGACAGTATCTGATAAATGCACAAGACAATATGAAAATAATGATTATTTACAATCTACAAAATCATATGGACCATCCACAGATATTTATTATGCTATTAAAAGTATTTTTCGTCATGATTTATGTCCATTTACTTCATCAACAACAACTTACCAAATTGTAACCCCAACGTGTTTATGTAATAATAACCGCAACACTTTGAATACAAATTGTCCAAGTACAACTGTTTATCCAAATTTTCGAAGACATGAACCTGTAATTGAAGATTATACAAAGAAAACTGGTGAATTTCATTATTATGATCTTTTACCAAAAATGGGAATTCACAGTGGCGATATTATTAGTGACCATATATCTTCAAAAACTTTACATTATTTAAATACCAATAACGATAAAATATTTGAAACGAAACCTAATAGTCAACAACAAATTAGAAATACTTATCATCAAAATTCAAACAATGATCGTGATTTTCCGTCATATAACCCTTTTCATTTATATGAAAGACATAAACGTGATGATGAAAAATTTAAACCATTCTGGCAAGTGGGAGAATTTAGTCAAAAGATGTCTCCTCAATTAAAATCAATTAAATATACAACGTTAATAAATAGAAATAAAAAATTAGTAAAAAAAACAACAATAACTATAAAAAACCCTACAACTACAGAACCCATAACTATTAAAATTAAAGATAATATCAACATCCGTATTAACAGTCAAAATTCTTTAACAGAAAAATATTTATCATTTGACGAACTAATGCATTTAAGGAAACTAGGTATTACAGATGTAGAAAACAATGCACGGCGTAAAGCAAACGATGCATTGAGAAATACCAATATATCCACAACTGAAGTTACTGCTAATACGCCATTCTTAAGAAAAAAACATTGCACTCGCAAATTAACATGCACCTGGACGGCATCGAGCCCGACTGGAGCTGATGGTTCTGTTATTCCTGGAGGTAACATTATAGACCGAGGTTCACGTACACCACCTGGGTATGTTGATGGATGTACTCGTACTTCAACATGTACCAGAGACTTCATGGACAGAAATAAAATGGCAACCGTAGGTGAAGAAAGCTCAGGAGAGCCAGATCCAGAAAATGAAGACTATTGTGAAAGAAAATCTCTTAATATCCATAAAAGAAAGTCTGGTTTGAAACGCTACGCACCTATTTCTTCAAAGCATACTGAATCTAGTAATAAAGAAACTCGTTCTTCATTTCATTTACAACAATTAACAACTGCATCTCAATCTAACTGTGTTTGTTATGAAAAAATCTCCAGGATAAAGAGAGACGAGAGTAATAATCAATTTAACTCCCTTGCTCGTAACAATGCAATAACACGCAAATGTACATCAGAGTCATTGTCATATGGAAATTTATTTTATTTAGTTTTACATAAAATCATAAGTATTTGGAAGAATAATAGATACTCTATTAATCAATGTTTATGCAATTTTACTGATACTTTGAGAAACAATGCCTTATTATTATTTTTATTATTTATATGTAATTTATATTATCTATTTATTTGAAGAATTACACATTTTATGAAAAATATATGTATTAAAATATATTTATTTGAAAACATTTTTTATTAACACCATACTAGGAAAAATTATAAATATTACAAAAGATTTTTTCAAGGAAATATTTCCAGAACAATGAAACATTTTATTAAGTTTTAATACTTTCAAATCTTGTGCAATTTTTTTTAACAAATCATTATATTTAATAACAAAATAATTGTCGCTGCTTAAATAATCTATCTCATGTAAATTCTTTACTTTTTTCAAAGGCATTTTCTTTTTATTATTATATATTATTTTGATATTTCCATTTACATACTGAACTTGTCGCCTATTTCTTGTCACAAATTCTGAAAAAAAAAACTGAAGTGAATAAGTCAAAGATACAATAATAACTAGTTTTTATTATACTAATATAAAATTAAAAATACATATTGTAAACCAATCATGGTATTATTAACGTAAATCTATCAAATCCGTCGTCAGCAAATTAGATCGTGCCCTACTTTCAGACGCAGGTTCGAATTCAAGTATATCTTCTAAAAAATCTTTAGTGGATTTTTGTCGTTTCAAATCTTCAATTTCCAATACTATGTCAGTAATAGGAGGTTCTGAAATATCATCATATATTTGAGTTGTTTCTGAACTGGTTTCTTCTGTATCATCTTCGGGGAAAAAATAATGGCCAGTAAAATCATTATTCTGTTTTATTTCAGCAAGCTCAGCTCGTATCTTAACTGGACTCACGTTACCTACTGGTTGTGTAATTTGTAATCCATTTTCTGTTGTTGATATTTTATCTATACAAAAAAATAAGAAAGTAGCTTTAGATTTTATATTATTTATAATTAATTTACTGTTTTACCAAAATTCCATCATAAAAAATAGCGTTCGTTAAATAGAATTTACGTGGATGATACCTATATAAATGAACTATATAAATGATTAGTTGTTTATAAAATTAAGTGCATAATAAATTACAATTAAATCGTTTAAACTGTTTATAAGGTATCTCAGTCAGTCTTAGTAATTAGTCTCAAAATATATACAAATATTCAATAAAATTAGATTTACCTCCCTTCCTAAATATAACAGCTTCAACTAAATCCGCGAGTAAAGTAGAATTAATATGCTCACTTTCCGTTGATTTTATAGTAGTGATGTCTTCTTTTTTACTATAAATTCGACTTACTAATGCCGCTACACTTGCATCAGTGTAAGTATTAGTTTTGTCAGATATTTGCGTTGAAGCACTTAGCAGAAGTTCTTTAAACATTGGATCCTTACTAAGCTTTATCTTTAATAGTTCTACAAAATCGTCAACAGCTACGAAATCTTTACAAGAACTGTTGTTATCAACATTAGAAGCAGTTGTTGGTCTGGGTACATCTAAAAATCTTGAGAAATAATTATATGGAGTAAAATAATCATCATCTTCTATAAAATCTCCAAGTGTTGTGGTTGTAGAGTTTTTAACATTTACTGTACCAGGTCTATCGATTTTCTGTACAACATCAGATATATTCACGTCAATATTAACTTTAGCTTTTTGGCTTGAAGCAGCTGAAAAAAAAATGCGTTATTAACCTATTATTCTATAAAATATCTTCATAACCTCTAATATACCAAGGTCTTAATGAACTATAAATCCTTTATTTTTAATAATACAGTTTGTATTCATTGACTGAAGAGAGTTGATAGACTCGACTAAGTAAATACCACCATTTTCTATACTCTTTCCATCAAACATTGTTTTTGTTCGAGAAGTCAGCACGAAAAATTTTTAAATGAGGCAAAACAATTTTAGTACTCAAAAATGGCAATGCATGAATACTTAATTCAATAAATGACAGATATTCTATGATATTCACAATACAAATAATATTTATAGACTACTATTAATTGACAATAAACAACATTTCACAGTTTTGTAAAATAAATTAGACACAAATCTGTCACTTTATAATCTATTTTACATTTAGGTAATATTTTATAATTTTCAAACACATTATTGCCACAAAATTTCAAATTAGTGTAGAATAAAGATAATATTAGTAAAATATAAATTAATTGTTATTACGAGTAGCTTGCACCAGTCCTTTTTTTTACAATGTTAGGTCTTTTTTTACTTAGACAAGGTCAAAACAAATCATCGCATCGATAAAATCGCTTCTGTCAGCGCTAACACAATAATAAACAAGACAGCGCTTGACGCCATCTCATTCTATCTTATGTACTCGTCAGCGACAACGATTTTATCAATAGATTAGATTGTAATTTGCCTAGGGGGACTGTTAACGTGAACTAAAATATGACTATACTTTCCGTCATATTGAAATAGAAAATTTAGCTGAAGTAGAGAATAAACTTGACACTCTCAGTAGCAATCAACGAAAAGAAACTACTGTTTTCCGGGATCACACGTGACTCGATTTTTAAATATGTAGGAATTTCTGATATTTACCTTCAAATTCTTATATAAACAAAAAACTATACTTATTAAATAATCGCAAGTCAATTTTTTCATTCGTTTTGGAAAGACATAAAAACAAATCTAGTGAAGTTAATTGTTTTGTGTAGATATGTAATTTTTAGTTACATATCGTCAACGAATATGTCGTTTAGAAAACCCTAACAGAATGATATATCCTAAAAATTATAAGTGCGAAAATTATCCTAAAAACTAACCACATAAAGCTTCATATTCAGTATCACAAACTAAATCATTCAGACATCTTGAACATGGTGTTCCTTTGTTATACACCGCATTATGTATAATGTTCCCACTAGGCGAAAAATTGCATACTAATCTATTTATTGTTTTATTTACTACTTTATTTCCGTCTTCTGTTATTTGCTATAATGAAAAAGAAGTATTAATATTTAGTATAATTTATCTGCCAAGGTGTATGACCATATTCTACTCATGTATATTAAATATATACAGTGCAGTTTCGGAGGGATTTCTTTCCGCAGATGCTCAGTTTACGAAATTTAAGTCACTCCAATATTCAGATTTTCTCAAGAGACTACAACATGGAGTTTTTAAAAATTCATAATTCTGTGAAAGAATTCTTTTAAAATGCGCCATTTATTCCAAGTGTCCACAGTTTTTAATAACTATTTACCATCAGGGGTGACATATACTTTTTGCCATGTTATCATAAAAATATTTACATATGCTGTATAACAATATTTTCTGTACAATAATATCATTAGAATTTCAAAGATCTTGCCTACAAGCTTATTAAATTAAATTAAAATATTTGAATTTGAGATAAAAATTTTGACTCATTATATTATGTATAATTTTTCGACTCGAGTTAATAATTTTATCCTGTTATTATGTTAACAATTAATCGTATGACCTTTATATTAAACAGTTTTAATTTATTTCATTTATTCAATTAAACGACCAACATGACTTCGACTTTGATTATAATTTTTATCTTATGCATATACCAAGTTCAGATATACAGTGTTGGCTTAATTACTGCCACGGCATGACTAATTATTTTAGAAATAATGATTTCGCTGTTTGAACTAAACAATAACTAAGGTGTGCTTAAATACGAAGATATGTATGTATTTATGTATGTTTTTTGAAATGTTTATAAATTTACCAGAGGGAGACTTTATACAAAAGTCGTTTGCTTGGGCACTTCTGTCCCATTCGTGTTTCTACCGTGAAGCAGTCGTGTTTGCATGGTTGTGTTTCAGTTTGAAGGGAGGGGTATGGCAGTGAATTTACAGGGTACAAAGAATTAACCCCTGAGTCCGCAGGAATGGCAATGCATGGGGGTATCATGGGCGAAACAGAATACTCTGTTATGTCCATGGCACTGCTCATGTCTATAGGCGACGGTTACCACTTTCCATTAAGTGGGCTGTCAACTTATTTGCCATTCTAAATTAAATTAAAAAAATGTTCCAGAACGACATACTTAAAATGTACAAAATTTTACGAATATATCAATCAATATATAAATAGCTTTTTGCTGTAACTTTATAATTATTTTGGATTCTGTTAATTGTAGTGAAATGTCCCAGATTAGTTTTAAATAGTTTTCTTGACAATAGAATATATTTTTTACTACGAAGCAATTTCTGCGGTACGTTTATAATAACTCGTTCTAAAAGTTTAGGGCATTTCAGGGCACCTTTTATGAGTTTATAGAAGAGTGTATGGTTATAGAGAGCTCGAAACTACAGCATGGGGTTCTTAAAAAAAGGTATATTAAGATATTTCGGAGTCAGCGACGCACGTGGATACCCTTGGTATTGCATACATCCACAATTTAAAGTAACTGTTTAGCATCATAGCAGCTGTATTGCTTGTTTGCCACCTTTGTAGTATAAAAAAAATAATTTCAACATTCGTTTAAAGAAGACTGTTTCTTGACCCTTTTAAAACAACCTACTATATCAAAGTATACTATTAAATTTTCCATATTTTATAAAAATAATAATAATAAATGTGAATGTAAGTTTATTTAATAAGAACCCATTAGCTTAACGACTCAAGCAATTGTTATAAAATTTTATGAAAACTAAGATGGAGAAAGACATGGGACTTTTAACCTGGTAATGTATAAGATGCGAACTCAACAAATTAAAAATAATTATTGAGTGTTATTAATTTTTAATAATGCTTAGAACTTACTTTATATTTAACGCTGCCGCAACCAACATGACTGGACTCCGCCCAAACTAGTTGAGTGAAATAGTCGTAATGCGACATTCCCATTTGCGTGGAACTGAAATTAGTAAATATTCAGATATTCAATACTTGTTAATGATGTACTTGTTTAGAAGTTTCAGCAAATAACTATTATTTAAGTAAATAATCAAATTGTTTTCTTGTTAACAAGTTACTACGACTTGTATAATAACAAAACAATTTAAGTGCAAACATAAGTAAACCTTCAATAAATTTCCACAACTCATGGTAAGTATTCTTAGAATAGACCATAACACTATTTGATAAATCAATAGATATCCATCCGTCCATAACAATCTATAAACATCCCACTACGAGGCTCTAAATTCTCGTCGTAATAAAAAGTTACTACCAATATTCAACGTGTTTATTTTGCTGTTGAGACATTCCTTAAATGATGCGTATCTGTATAAATTATCGTTATTAATATTTGGTAACAAAACAGTACCCCGCTGCTCAGGTGCAAACTGTCAATCAGCGCTGAACGCACGATACGTTTTCTATTATGCAACTTAGAATGACAAACAAGCTAAGGGCCCACCTGATACAAAGTATAAATATATATATATATATATATATATATATATATATATATATATATATATATATATATATATAATTAAAAAACTTATTAATAAAAAAATTGGAAATAAAAATATAACATAATTAGTTTTTTTTAATTATTTTTTTTTCATATCAAGGGACTTATGGGCCTCCTTGTATTATGGTTAATAATTATATTAATTTAATAAATTTAATAAATAGTATGCACAAACACACAGGCATAACCATATGTATGTCTATACTCGTATATACATATATATGTAAATACGTAAATACGATGGATATTATAAATAGATGATTATAAAGATCTAAAAGCGACTATAGGCTAAATATCTTAAATATTAAAATCGCTTTTTCTTATAAAAGAAAATATTTCATTTTTGTTATTCAATGAAACAATGTTCAAAGACCTTTTGTCTAGTGTGATTTATATTTTATAACATGAATTGATAGGGATCAGAAATGTGAATAATCTTTATAATATTATGTAATATTAATAATTCTTTTTATAGACTAAAGAATTCCTATGATTTTTTTATATTAAATCACTATAGCAGGAATTCAGATTAAAGTAATTAGCCATTAAAATTTAAACCAAGTGTTTAACTTAATTTAAAGATCAACTAAAGTAAATCGGTAGTTTTATCCTGTAAGTTTAAATAACTAGTCTGGCCATAAATGCTGTTACATAAAAACTTTTCTTTTTTCAACTTTTAAATTATTTTAAATTTGGAACACATTATTATTTTAAAAACTTCTTTCGATTTCGGCCCATTTCACATATTTTTTCGTATTCATTATCAAATTACAATATGGAATGGGGTGTTAAAGAAAATAGGATTGCAGTGATCGCCTTGCACAAAGTGGGTATGGAACCGTCGGTCATATTCCAGACACTTCAAAAACTTGGTATTAGCCTTATGTTCGTATATCATAATATCAACAGATACAACAATACTTCCTCTGTCTTAGACCAGAAAAGATCAGGGCGGCCGCGTGCTGTTAAAACTACAAGGGCTATTAATGCTGTTAAAGCCAGAATTCGTCAAACCCACATTAGGAAGCAAAAAATCTTGTCGCAAGATAAGAAGATTCCCGCTAAGACTGTCGCGTATTATAAAACAAGACCTGAAGTTCGGTGCTTATCGTCGATATGCCCTAAATCAATCTTTAAAATTAAAGAGATGGAGTAAAATACATTAACTCACATGCATATATTTCTAGATAGGTTTAGCATAACAGTTTAGAATAAGCACCCTGAAGTGCCAATATGTCGAGAATTTCCTTGAAAAACTGTTAACTAATGGAGAAGGAAAATGAGTGGCGATCTTGTAAAATTCCTAATATTTACGAGATTCCTCTCAAACAAAGAGTAGGACGACCGCAATTAAATGGAACAATAACTATAAATTTATTCTATGCAGAATTATTAGACACAAGTAGCTCAGGACCGTCCCTTATCATAAGGAAATAAAGAAGAGGTCTGTGCTCAACAGTAATAATGAATTATAGAAATATCTGTGCTATTTTTCATAACTAATCACTACATGGTTGTTGGTGTCGTAAGAGACGACTAAGGGAGGGTGAGAGATGGTCAGCAGTGTCCCTCCTAAAACATCCCCAAGCCCAACTGCGGTTGTCAATCCGCCTGCCAAGCGCGCTTACTACTAGCAAAACCCCCCATGGGAGAGACTTATGTTCAGTAGTGGATGGTTAAAAGCTGACATGATAATGAAGAAGAATCACTACATATTTATTAGCAAGATAAGCGACGATTAATAAGTACACTTGATAAGTTACATATAAGTAAACGTCGTCGTTCAATGAGATACTAGCTTAACTTATAAATAGCAAGTCTTAGAATCTGCCCGTCAACAAAAACTTTGTACATGAATTTAAAATTAAAACGGTATTCTATTATAATTCTTCGGTAATGATAAACGCTGTTAACAAATCAAATTAATCCGAGTGAAGGCGGCAGGCTTGCACGCTGCCTCTTTGGATTGTAACGTGCTTAGCTAAATGTAGGTTTGTTGAGTGTTACATTCACCGTAAAGGCAACATTCAATAAATGCCGATGACTACCCCATTAAAAATTTACAGTAGAAGGCATATTTTTTTATTTTATTTTTCAAATAAACCATTCGCTAGTTTAAATTCTTCTCGCGTATTATTAGATTCTTTAACAAGTGAACGTGACTAACTTCTAATAGATTATTTTACACCAGCGAAGCCAGCAGTACAACTTTAGAAAGAAAAAAGTGTTTATTGGCCAGAAAACAATTATACTTAGCATTACAAATTGGAAATAGTTATTATTCCGTCGTGAACTCGTAAAGTACCGCCTCGTTGAACAATACGCAATTTTTGGCGCCAACTTTTTATGTTATGGTATTATGAATGGTTTTATACTTACGGGACATAACTTGATATAATTGAAGCATTTGCGTGTAATAACTCCATATACCATATATCAACCAACGCCGTAAGCGATAGCCCTGGTGCATCGCCGTGCACCGTCGCTATGTTCTGGCCCACAAATACGTTTTCTAAAAAATTTAAGCAATTAGATTTATTTTCAAAAAGAGTTACGTCATCGTAAAATTAATGTTTCAGTTCTATATAGATATCTTTTTACAAACACCTTACTCAAAACAACCCAACTTTTTTTATCCTTTTTGCGAAGGAATATATATATCGTAATAGATCACATGTAGCCTAAACTTTTACGATATATCTGTATTTACTTAAATATCCATACCGAACTATTACAGCTTCTACCTACTTACAACACTGACAAAGTTTCCCTGTAACTTATACTGGTTGTTCAGCGCGTCTTTATCCGTAATATCTGCCGTTTCCATGGAACCGTTTCATGGGTTTCAGGAAATCAAATGAAAATATTCTAATTTCGAAACCCCAGAGGTTCAAGGACTAACCAAAGCAGTCAAATGCACAAAAAATCATGTAGGTATGTGTTTCCATTTCATAGTACGTTTGTTTATACCACCATAAGTTCCTAAACAAATTTGGATGTATGAGGTAACAAAGGTTATATGTAATTTTTTTAATAAATCGTTTTTGCTAGAGCAATAGTGTTTTCTAGTTTGTGTAACAAAATGTACATGTCATGTCATGATAAATTAGAAGAATTATACCTACTAGAAAATTTCATTACATTACAGAGCTAGAAAAGACATGTTCAGTCTTCAGAGTGATGTCTCTATATTGCGTATCCTAATTTTATGTCAATTTAAATTACACCATTAACACATACTACGCGGAATACGGGCAATTCAAATATTACATTTACAAACTAAATTATTATACTGTCTGCCATTACATTAACTACTGTAATAATCAAGCTTATCAACGCAAGTTGCATATATTATAATATATATAAAATTGTTATCATATAATGGCTTTATCATCATCATTTTCAATGCACAAAATAAAGAAAAAAATAAAGACATCAAAGATTTCTTTTCCTCTATCTACGCTATCTAAAATTACAATCTTGAGCTTAGAATAGAGATAGAATCTATTTGATTTATTTAAATAGTATTATTTAATGTTTTTCACTTTTCTTTCGTGAATTTTAAAATGTTTATTGTTTTGCAGAAAGGAGCTTTTAAGAAACTCAACATAGGTACTTTTTCTTGTGTAAAGTGATTGCTTTGAAGGAAATTTCAATTAATTTCGTGAATAGATTTTTAATAAGATATGGAAGTGTTTACCATCGTTTACCATCAGACGCATCGTATGCTTTTTTACCACCATAGTAGCATAAAAATATATACAATAAATATAAACTACTATATAAGATAGAACAGATCTACCTAAATCTCGACAATTATCCAAAATATCTGGCGACTTTTGTATGACGCATTGATCGGCCCATCTCTGTGCTGATATTTCCAGGGCTTGACTCCACTCCTATTTTAAAGATGAAGAAAAATTATGAATTATTTTTTATAAATTTATATCATAAAAATAATGCTTATATAATGAATGTCTATAACAGAGAGAGAATGAAGAACAAGATAATGCACACCACTAAATTATAATGTTATATGGTGTTGTGAATTGATTGATTGTGTGCACTGATCAAACGCAATAGAATTTACCTACAATATATAAATATTTATAATAATATCATCGTGTGGTTCTAGAATAGGCCACTCCTTCCTTTCAGGTGAGTGTCGTAAAATGCGATTAAGGGAACTTAATGGTCGAGGGATGGGCAGCAGCGTCCCTCATAAAATATCACCAAATCCTAACTACAGTTGCCAACCCGCCTACCAAGCATGGAAATTACTGGCAAACCCCCTTTATAGGCAAAGCATATATTCAGCAGTGGAGCTGATATGATAACGAAAATATTACATTATCAAGAACAAATACAAAAACATCGTACGGGAAATATTGCAACCTCAAATGGTCTAAAAAAAAATTTATTACTTCCCCGGAGTTCTCTAAGTCTATTACCTAATTTAAACTAGCTAACTTCGATTATAAATTACCTAACCCTCGTAACATCACCTCAATAAAATTAGATTTTATATCTATATTTATATTTATTTATTGAAATGAATACTTCAAATAGACTGGCAATTAATTTGAACTAGTTATTTATCTAATATTTTATCTAATTAGCTTCAAAAGATTTTAAGGGACATTATTAAAAACGTTATTATATATACCTTCATATTATATATATATATATATATATATATATATATATATATATATATATATATATATATATATAGATTTCACTAAATAAACTGTATAAATCCACTTCTGTACACCAAATTTTATATAAAAATGTTCAATGCATGATTAACATAACATACAAACATCTTACCTGTGTATCCGTTCCTATATTAGTAGTTATATTCTTTTCCATACATTTTTAAATATTTTTTCATATTTATTCTTTGTTACTTTTACTACAAAGTAATATTCGTTTAGGTTTTATTCTCATTTCATAACTTAAACAAACTACCCGATTCGAAGAATAATATCCACTAACTCTCTCAGTATTAACAATTCTGAGAAACTTTAGAAAAACTGAAATGTAAATTCTGTCCCAACATTTTTAGGTGCTTTTTATTAGATTCTTTTTATTTCAATTTGATTTTTTTTTGTTTCCCGCCTTTTTCTGTCGTTGGATTACAGTTATTGACTTTTATAAATATCTGCTTATAGATAATAAGAACCGAATAATTTTTAATTTATAAACTTTTAAAAACCTTATTAAGTTTTAATACACCTTTTAGAAATTTTATAGAACTGTTTATAAACTTCATCACTTTATAATATATGATGTAGGGCTAGCATAAACTTATGTACCAAAAAACAAGTAATCACTACGTTACATTTTTAGGTTATATTAAGTAGTACTCAGAAACTTTTTAGCTATAAACTTTTTATGCACTAACAAGAAATGTACTGTAATCTGAATTGTCTGAATTAATGAAATAATAAACTTCAATACAAGTTTTTTATTTTTATGAAACACTGCATAACATTATACTACGTTAAAGATACAACATACCTAGAAATATAATTAAATTTAATAAATATTGTTCATAAAAGGAATAATAAGACAAATGTGTTTTATTTAGACCAAAACAGCATAAAATCAAAGAGGAAGTAATCACCACAGAGCAAGCAATCAGTACGTTGTAATCTTGTTCATAGATTGTAATCATTAGGTACAAAGATAACGTAGTGATTACAAAGTAAAATGAACGGGTCAAAATTAATCTTACTAAATATCTATAGAAAACAAAAAACCAGAAAATGACACAGAAAGCACAGAGCAAGTAATCACTGCGTAATAATAGAAAGAAAATATGCATTAAATTTGAATATTTATAATTATGTTTATTCTTGTAGAGTAAGATGAAGGAAGTTAAATGTGGATTGCGGAGTGATTCTTCTTTGTTTTAAAATTATTGATAGAACAAAATTAATTGAAAATTGATGACAAAACAGATAGCAATATTGAAGAAATAAGAGAGCTATATTCTATATTTCACTAAGAATACATTATAATCGTCGAATATCGAATGCGCCGAACTAAAAATTGACAAGGCATTTATGTTATACTATTATATGAAAACTCATTCTTATGTTTTTTAAACCAAAGAGCTAAAAAATAGGCCAGTCTTCGCATATAATTTTCATCTACAGTACAAGCCTCTTATACATGACGCTGGCAGAAATGGTCGTAAAAATAACGACCGATTGCCATTGAGGACAAAAAGAAGAAGAATCTACGGAACAATGCTTTTTTATTTTACATTCTGATTTTTGGTCACTCGCCTCAATTTTAAAAAGTATCTAATGTACAGATAATCCACAATTTTTAAATCTTTAATAAGCTAATTAACTACTTAATATATTAACTTTTAAACTTTAGTGCTGCATATTTCTTGCTTTATGAGATATTTTTTTTAAATGAATCAAGATAATTCTAGTAAATTATTATAGTTTACCTAAATTATCATGTTATTTCCCGTCCCGTATAAAACATAATTTGTACATAATTCTGTAATAAAGTAGGTAAATTAATTTACCGGTTCGTTTTGACCACGGTTTACAAGAAACGATAATGTAGAAACACAATTATCTCGCTAACCCAACTGTCGGCGACGAAATCAACAGATCGTGTGTGACGTACAAACAGAGACTCCAATACAAACATAATTGTGGAATAGTACAAGTGTTTTTACGATAGATACGCCTACTCCAATTTCAATAACAACCTAGCCTTGAAGCTTTTAAACACAAGTGGTGATGCATTTCACCAGAAGAGCGCATGTCTAGAATATCTATGTCTAAATTCTGAAATGTTTGCTTATACACGTGATGAAACTTTTGACAATTGACGAGAAATTTTCTAAATATTATAATAACAAGGAAGATTTGATTATAGCTCGAAGGCTGACAGCAAATAGATAAATATCGACGGTCAACAATTAGTCCCCATAGACAAGTGTCAGTTGAAGCTAAATAGATATGTTTTCACTGTTACTAACGATAACTTTTGTCTACACATAATGTGGCTGTTCTTATGCAGATTTGGATTAATATTGTTTGATTATAATGAATATTTATTTTATTATTTATTTATTTTATTTTATTTGATTTTATGTATATATTTATTTATTTAATACCAAATTTTATCCCCGACTTCGTCTGCGCGACCAGGATATATTTATTGGCTGGGATAAGACGTAGAGTATATCATTCACCATCCTCCATAGTATCTAAGTGTATAACAAGTTTCATAACATTTTGATAGCGATGAAATAGACGTTAAGGCGCCAAGATGTTACAAACAAACAAACTCACTTTCACACTTCTAATATAAGTAAGGATTGTTAGATACAGACTATTTTTTTTATTTAAGTGCCTGTTAGAATGAAAAATACCTACCAGTTTCATCATATTTTCAGAAGATGGAAACGAGCGTATATCTCCAGATGCCACTTTATTCCGTCGTGTATTTAATTTGTTTAAAATTGCTATTTTATCTTTCACCGTTTTTGTGGTCGTCTCATATTCAATACAATGGTCCGCTAGAATTTGCGTCTGAAAATAATACAATTAATCATTGGTCCAGTCAAATCGCTCTAAATCACCCTTTTTCATAAGACAAATGACAGCTTTTAACAAGCTTGCAACCTTTTATCTTTTATATATATCTTTCACTAAACTAGATTTAACCTGCGTCTTTGGTTTCATGAATTAGAATATAAAATATCCTAAATATTAATCCAAGATACACTTCATGTATTTGTAAAATTTAATTGAAACCAATTCAACTGTTAGTTTAATTGAGTTCCATTCACACATCTTCACAAATTTAACTTTTATAATATTGATAGGATATAAAAGGAAAGGAAGATCGTACAAAAGTCAACTGCTCCTACTTCTGACTCAATCTTGTTTCAACCAGCTATGCTTATTATATTATTATATCTGTCCACTGTGTGTATCCTTTTACTATACCTAGATAATTTAATTAATTACTTAATTACTGACAATATTTTTGTCCGTACTATGTATCTAATACCCAGAAATATAGGATATAATTATAATGATTAGTTTTAAACAAGAATTATCGAAGCTTACTGTGATATCTCTAGTTTAATGTCGATTATAGGGTTGATTTTAATGTTTCTGAAAAAATTTTTGATAACATGAACAGTTTTTTACTATACACTCTTAGTGTCTATTTACTCCGAGGAGTACCTAAATGATGACGCTGAGAAAGAAGGGAGCCTCCCTTTGCAATTAATATATCCCGTCTCCCTAGAAACTACAGTATTTAATTCTTAATTAATTCATCACGATGAGCCAACTGATGATTTCATTTTCGCCTATCAACTCACTACCCCTTTAGTCAGTACCCCGCCAGCTTAGGCCTACCGATAAAAAAACCGTGATTAGCAATTCATTAAAAAAAATATAGTGATAATCGACGTGCAAATGATCAATCCAATAATATTAAGTCCTTAAAATATTTGCATTAAAATATGTTTTCAAATAACAAAATTTTAGGGCATATTAGAACTCTATCGAATATGATAAATTAGATTCGAAATGAATTATAGGAACTTTGCGTAATGTATTTAGTGAATGTTCTAATGAAATTTAACATAGATTTAATATAAATTACTGTTCTTAATTTAGTATAAAGTACTACGTATTTAAACATACCTGAATCTTACATAAGTTTTGTTGTTTATTATTGTTAATAAGGGCATTTTGACTGTAATTTAAAGAAATAACATTAAGAAAGAATATTAAAACGAAAACACTAGGAATTGTAACAGTTACTAATCCTTTTGCAGACATAAATTTATTTAGTTTTTTGTTAAGTTAAAATTATGAACAACTGATATAACAACAAATCGAGATGGTTGCAACAAATCGACAGGTTTTTTTTAATGGGAGATAATGGAGTGGTAACCCCACCCGCGCTATCGGTATACACCGGCGGGGCTCCAGTGAAGGATAATAGATGAAGTAGGTCAGTTAGCCCATCGTGACGAATTCAACAAGAATTGTTCACGATGGTTTCCAGGGGGAATCACTTGGAGGTCGACCTAATAATATATTGCTAGCAATGGGGCTGTGAAACTCCATTTCTTACAATCCCTTACCAAACCCCCCCCCCCCCCCACCGAAAGCGCGGGTTTTTTTTTGCTGGGTGAAAATGGTATGGTAACCCCGCCTGCGCTAACGGGATACGCTGGCGGGGCACCAGTGAAGGGTGATAGATGAGAATGAAAACAGGCCAGTTAGCCCATCATGATGAATTCATCAGGAATTAACCATGATAGTTTCCAGGGAGAACCGCGAGGAGGTCGACCTGGTTGGGTATATTGCTAGCAATAGGATTCTCAGTCTCCATTACTAACAATCCCTTTCCCCCGAAAGCGCGGGTTAGGTTACCATTCCAATATTACCTATTAAAAAAAAACCATAACCACAGCGCTATGAACACCACAGAATTCTCCGACTATATGGTAACTCTGAAACGTCACCATTTTTCAGGACTGAGATATCATGCCTCTATCAATATTCTGTTATTTCATTATTATTTTATCTATTTATTTTATTTTTTATTAAAAAAACAAGAAAACAAAAAGCTAATTATAGGTTTGCACAAATTCAAATAAGATTTAACTAAACGCACATGACATTGCTAATACTTAAAATCAACTACATAAATTAAACTTAGGTTAACAACATTATAGTAGAATAAAGATTAAAGATAAGCAGTATGCAATTATATCCTTTCTTTCAAAGAAAAACAATCATGTACAGCTGTTTAACAATAGATGGATAAAACAATGTTTACAAAAAATAATTATTTAAAAATATAACAATTAAACAAATCATGTCATTTATTAGCTGGCAAATTTATACGAAAAGGAAACAGTCATATAGAATTAAATACTTATATTCTATAGGTAGTATTTCATTTCAATTTGTAGATTTATAGATAAATTTCTTAATTTCAACGTTGCCAGATTGAAAAAATCGCATCTGACAACCATGACACTTGTTAGATTAATGTCAAACAAATTGTCATTTGTCGGTCTTGTCTGTGATTGTGCTTATGTGATTGATTAAAAAGACACCGCCAATTGTGCTTTTGCATTTTTAAATATTTTCAGAAAATATTTTTTAACCTAGTATATTAGATTTTTGTAACTACTCAAAATCACAGTTTATGTATTTTTATAACAAACAAAGAAAAAATCGTACAATAACCTGACAAATTAAAATTACACGAACTAAAACCTAATAAATTTACCATGAGCAATGTACGGGCACTTATAGGTCCTTCTATTCTTAATTCAGATTTATCAAGATTATACGAGGAATCCCAGAAACTACTAGATAATGGTGCCGATTATTTACATTTAGATGTAATGGACGGTCACTTTGTACCTAATTTGACTTTTGGCCATCCAGTAGTTAAATGTCTGCGATCTAAAATTAAAGATGCCTTTTTTGAAACCCACATGATGGTTTCTAAACCAGAACAGGTATGTTTTTGGACTTAAAGATATTCCTACTTTAATTTCATCTATAATAGTCCTTGAACTGACATTGTAAATATTAACCTATAAACCAAAACAAAGACACGTGATTGTGTATATGGATATTTTTTTATTGCATTTTGTTTCCTTTTCCGCACTTCTGTAAGGTTTATTTAGTATCTATGTTTATTTTATTATTGATTCAGTGGATTGCTCCAATGGCTGATGCTGGTGTCAACCAATACACATTCCATATCGAACCTGTCAATAATGTTGAAGACATATGTAGAAAAATCAAAGAACATGGGATGAAGGTACCTAATATATATATTTATCTTCAAGCCTAGTCCTTTGCTATATATCCAGACTAATGTCAAAATTATTGAATATAAACATCTATAAATACTTTGACCAATTAACAGCTGTACATTAAATCAAGATAGCATTAACTATATTTAATAATTATTATTACAGGTTGGATTAGCAATCAAACCTGGTACACCAGTTGCTGAGGTAGAAAAGTATGTAAATATATCAGATATGATACTTATTATGACTGTAGAACCAGGGTTCGGTGGACAGAAATTCATGGAAGACCAGATGATAAAAGTAAAGCATTTGAGAGAACACTATCCTTTGTTAAACATTGAAGTTGATGGTGGAGTTGGTCCATCTACAATAAATTGCTGTGCCAATGTAAGTATTAAATCTATCTATTAGATAATGTAAATATGAAGAAAACAGTGATAAGTATAAAAAAAATTAATTAAAAAAGAATCATCAAAACATTCCATAACATGATAATAATTTGAATTTCAAACTTCTTCATATCAAAATAATTAAGATCCTAAATCTCATTAAAATGATCACATATTACTATCACTTTTGAACTTTATGATTTCAGGCTGGCGCTAATATGATAGTATCAGGGACAGCAGTTATTGGTGCACAAGATCAAGCCGCTACAATTAAGTTGTTAAGAGAGACTGTACAAGAAGCCATTAAAAAACTATAATGAATATTAATTTAGTTTACCACACACTTTTATGCATATTGCATAAATAAATGTAATTGTCTTCCAAAATATTCTTTATAAGGGAAATGAATGAATTAAAAATTAAATATTTTCTTAAAAATAACTTTTAATCAAATTTACTTAAATCTATTTGGCTAGAATTATTAGTAATATCATCTTTTGACACTGGAAATGTTGAACTGCAAGGAATACCAGATTCATTGAAAACCATAGGTTCATTATTAGCTTTAAGTTTAGTTCTCAAACCAGAGAGAGCAACAAGTATAGCTTCTTCTGTTCTGATTGTTCTTGATCCTTGATTTGGTAGTACATTGACATAATGGTTGAAAAGTAAGTGAGCTTCATCTACTTGCAACTGTTCATCACTTTCTAGAGCTGCTTCTATACCATGTAAACCACCAAATACCACTAAAGCATGATTATACCTTAATTCTTTAGAAGGTAGATCATCTATATTAGTTCCTTTATCTGAAGTACCAATAGTAAGGTCATATCTGGAAATAAAGACAATTTTATCATGATTAGTCTATGGTAATTCCACTAATTGCTTGCATTAATTACGGTCAAACAAAACATTTAAAAAATTAATATGATGTGACATTTACACAAAAATAAATTGAAATGAGAGCAGACTGCAAATCTAATGTAAAGTGGTAATTGTCAACAATAAACATGAAGAAATTAACTCTTATTCAATTACAATATTTTACAGCAAATCTAAATAATTCAAGTAAATATGCAAATTTATAATACCATTTATATTTAAATTTATTAATCATTAAATAGCAGGATGAAACAGATTTGAAAACAATTGGTATGTAGATAGAAATTAATAATTAAGGCAATTAATATTATTAAAATATTGACTACTATATACATATTTTTTAAGTATGCTATCATTTGTGTAAATTATATTTAAATAAATAAATTCTATAATATAACAACAATAAAGATAGCATTGAACAATAATAGATAAAATTTAGTATAATATGCTGGGTGATGCAAGGCATAAAGATGCCTTTAAACAATTGATGAATACACTTACCCATCTTTATATAGAGATTGTGTAAACACTTGTCCAAGGCTATTTGCAATTCTGACCGTGTAACCCCAGTAAACACCGGTCTCAGCTCTTGGTGTTGTGAGGCTGACTATCTTGCCCTTGATTTTCTTACTTCCATCAGATATTGGCAACATCCTAACAGTAACTCTAATACCAGGATTCAATAATTTGTCAGTAGAAACATCTTGATGTAGTCCAACATTGACTTGTGATCCTCTGCCTGGTTTTACCTTCTTGTTCATAGTGATTCCTTCTCTGAAATATAATTAATATTATATCAGAATGATACACATCCAACGAGTAATATATTGTAGTAAAAATTTCAATATTTAAAATTATTACACCACAAATAAAGTTTAAAACCATATAATACTCTTATTAATATTTGTAAATAATTTAACAGAAAAGCATGCTCATAAATTATAAAATATAATAATTACCTAAATTTAAAATCATTTGATAAACGTAAATGATGTGGGGCATCAAGAGGATTTAAAAGACCAGCAAACTCCAAATCCTTGTGTAATGGGAAGAAGTGTTTTCTTAAATATTGTGGGCATTCCAGATATTGTAAAATGCGAGCCAACTGCACACAACTCTTACGAGCTACTTTAACACCATCGACGTCCTCCAATTTAGACTTTTTTGTATCAAATTTATCACCGATATCATCATAAACAATGACTTCATCCACACAGAACACACAAGCAGCTCGAGCAATCTGACCAGCCAAATAAGTTCGCAACTCAGCTGACTGTGCATTCTCCAATATAGACCCTGGTACAGCTATACTGATTGTAGAAATTTCTGCGTATTTCTTTTCTCTCTCAGCTTCCTCTTTACACTTCATCTCAGTTTCTTTTTCCAAAGCCAGCCTCTTCTCACGTTTAACAATTTTCTCCTCATTACGATGACGTTTCAATGCTTTTCTTTCTTGATTTATTTCTCGCCAGCTTTTTCCAGCTGGTCGAACCGTTGACTGAGACATAACCTCAAAGTTAGAAGTACAGAAACCAAATTACAAATATTATTGAGTAACTTTATACTTGTAAAACAATTGATAGTGACAGGATTCAACGGTAAACACGCTTCACAAATATATTAATATCACAATAAAAATAAAAAACTGTTATACGACCTGTAATAACACAGACAAAGAATATATAACTAACGGAACACAGACTAAGAGTACAAATTAGAGAAACTAGAATGACATTACTAGGAATGATGTTATGATGGCATCGCTAATCTTTATATATAAGTACTATCCTTAATCTATGTTAAAAAAATATTTATGGAAGGATTTGAAAGAAACTTAAGTAACTCCTTTTTTTGTTTTCTTTATTTTTATTTAGGAAATAAAGTAACTAGTAAATAAAATAATTGTATTCCTATGCCATTAGATCGTAAATTATGTTATTTGTCGCAAAAAAAAGTAAATTTAACATATTAAACGATTAAGAAGCAATCATGCACTTACCATACATAACATACATACCGTTTTTCTTACAATTAGCAATTGTTTACAATGGGTACACCAAACAGTTTTAGTATTTGTTATTTGTAGTTGCTGTTATCAGGAATATAAGGAACTAAGAAATTACATAGAAGGAATGATAAAATAAAAACTAAATTATATGGTTACTCTCCCAACGACTCCAATACTTTCTCTCAGTAAATACAAAAATCATGCTCGCACAATCTCTACTACTCCCGATACTTGACTATGCCGACGTCTGTTTTTTGGATGTGACTGAGGAGCTTCTAAACAAGTTGGAACGTTTACAAAATCTATCTATTAGGTTTATCTTAGGTGTTCGCAAATACGATCACGTCTCTGCCTTTTGCAACCAGTTAAAGTGGCTCCCTATCCGACTTCGACGTGATATGCACATCCTTTCTTTCCTTTATAACATACTCAATGACCCCAATTCTCCATTGTACCTCCGCTCCCGGTTTAAATTATTACTACCACCAATCCGTCCTAAATGCTCCTGTTAAGTTCAGTTCAAAATGCTTGAACTTCCTTTGTGTAGGACACATTTTATGGGCAACTCTTTCTCGTATCGAGCCGCCCAGTTATGGAACAAACTTCCTTCCCACGTACAAGAGAATCCTTCTATTACCTCTTTCAAGAAAAGGTTAAAATCACATTTTCTTTCCCTTGAGTCATAATTTTTAATTTTTCTAATTGAATTGTCAAATCTAAAAACATTAAACTTTTGTAATGTAAATAATATATTCATTTATTTTAACATTTATTATGTAAGTAGGTAGGTATTATATTTATTTATAGTGTATGTATTTATGTAATATTATATATTTTAATATTTTATTTAACTCTATATTTGTTTATGTATTAATATTTGTAGCACTTCAGCTGCTCGCTAACGAAATGCTTTTTCACTGTATTGGGTTGACTAGAAGAGATCTCTATCAGAGATAAGTCCACCCTTGCACACAATTAATTTATAAATACATTATTTTATATGTTACTTAGAAATGCAATAAAGAATATTTATATATTATATTTATATAAGCAGAAAGGAGGCAACTATATGATTTACAGTTTTTATTTTATTATTTCTTCTATGTAATTCCTTGTTCTTAAATATAATATTACTTAATTTTTTTCCTTTATCTGTGCCTAAACATAACCTTATCTAACCTAAAAAGGTATAAAATAATTACCTATAAAATTAATAATTATATTTGAATGTTTTGTTTATATTTCTTTATTAACATCTACAGCTAATTTTGGTATGTATATGATTGGGTTTATTTAATTATATTTAAAGAGAAGTTATTATCTTATCTACATTTTATATTAATTTTTGTTTATACTAACGTACTTTTGTTAACTTATTTACCCAAAATTTGAAAACGCTATAAAAGAGAAAAGTAAATAGTTATTATTCCAGTTTTCGTTAACACGTGCTCTATCACACTAATGGACACATTGTGATTAGCTTTTGTTTTTTATTATTATCTAGGAATATAAGTACATATAGTAGCAGTAGTGCTTAGCAATAAGGCCGATCTTTTGTATTATATCTCATTTCAATTAATTGTATTTACTATTTTATAAATGGTGTAATAAAGTGTAATATAAATAATAGTACTACGGCTATACTTTGTCTCCTTTTAACCGTTTTCTGCCACTTGCCATACCTACCCCTAGTGCTCGACTAAAGTCGCCTACTTTGTATTGTACTCAGCTCTTTTTAATATTTCTGACAAAAACAAGTAATTTTAAAATATTTATTGTATTACAATAAATATATATTATATTGAATTTCCTATTTTTATTAAATATATATTGTATTTCCTATTTTATGACTTTGTCAATGTGGTAGCCAATTAAATAAACAGAAAAACAAGTAGATTAATTAATGAGAATGGGGTTGGTGCATTTACTTCTATTAAAACTTAATAATATAAACGTAAGAGTGAGTTACCAATTACTATTAGATTTTATTGTTAAAAATTTCATAAGCACACATTCAATTTAAATATAATAATGTTTAATTTACATGTAATTTATAATGTAACATTATAAATTACATGGGGTTAGGTCCCAGTTGGGCCATAATCTAATGAAGGTTTTTTTGACTAAATTACACATAAGTTAAACCATATAGTAAGTTATTATATATGTATTAAAACTACAATAATTGACATTGATTACTTAATATCTGCAGTGATTACCACCACATAACTGATGAGATAAACAATAACAATTGACATATAACTTATCTTTATTACCTACTTATTCAATATTATTTCTTAAAATGATTGTAACCTCAGCAACAATAATATTATTTTCATCATATTGATGTAAACTGACAAGGGCTGTCAACATATATAATTGCTTAATCTTTTCAAGAAAAATAATTTGTAAATGTTTTTCTAATATTGTACTACACTTTACATATAAAATGTGACCTAGTAATGTTTATAGGATTATAAAATAGCTTGATTCTGAGACAAACTGGCAACCTAAAAGTTCTATCTCAATATTTTTTTGTGAGTGAGACTAATTTTATAGTTAATTTTATAATTTTACCAGAGATACAAACTGACCAGAAAGACTGTACAAATGTTAATTTGTTTAAAGTTTCTCTTAATTACCTTTGTTCCACTCATGTTTCTGCCATGAAGCAACTGTGCATACATGGCTGTTGTTTAATTTGAAAGGTTAGATGTGATAGTGGAATGGCATGGTATGACAGTACAGCATCATTGTTTTCAATAATACCAGTGTCTGAACCATGGATGCCATGGACATCACAGTGTATTCAGTAATCTCCATGGTGCTGGGGTCTTGTTTAAGGGGACAGCTATGACATTCTTTTAGGTGGGCATCAATAAAAGTTTTAAAAAAATAAGAAAATATATATTATTTAGAAAATAAGAAACACAACCCTATACTTGTTTGTCTACAGAGGCTCCCATTATCAGGAACCCCTGCAGGAGGTCAAACATCGTGATACAACGGCTTGTTTATAATATTGTTTTAAATTCAGTTTATTAGTACAAGGTAACGGAAACAGACATGGCAGCAAATGGCAAATTGGGTAAGAATTTATTTATAACTTTAATTTTTAGATAACTGTGTTAATCAATTAAAAATTCTTGAATCTCTATTTAACTAGTAAATAGACTTACAATTTGAATTGAATAAATTGGCATATTACTTTTGTATGCAATTTAAAATCAAGAAGAATTGAAGGCCCACCAAATGCAAAATGGCAACCCAGGCCTGTTGATATGAAAAGCACCACAGACTTCAAATAATTCACTGTAACATAAATCACTCATGCTTTCCTATTTCTGGCATTATGATGTTATGACTGTAATTTCACTGCTACGTCAATCAAACCTTTCACGCCAAATTACGACGATGTCAACATAACTGCTTGGCGACAAAGCAGGAGTGGAATAAAGTTACTTTTTTATATGTATAAAGACTCTTGATATTTTTTTTTTTTGTGTTTTTTGATATATTATTTTACACTTAATTTATTACAGCTCTTCTCAGTGTGTCAGATAAAACTGGCCTATTGCCCCTGGCAAAATGTTTATCAGAAGCGGGACTCTCGCTTGTAAGTACAGGCGGCACAGCCAGCGCGCTCCGCAATGCGGGCCTCAAAGTTTTGGATGTGTCAGATATTACTGGAGCACCAGAGATGCTTGGTGGTCGCGTCAAATCGCTGCATCCCGCTGTGCACGCTGGAATATTGGCCAGGTACTTACTGTTCAGTACTATTATTATTATCTAGTATTCTCCTTCTTTGTCCACATGAAATAAGTTTAACTGTATTAATCCAAGATATGATCTATCTGTGTACCAAACTTCATTTAAGTTCATACAGCCATTTAAATGTGATAGAAGGACATACATCCAAATGTAGTCATGAACTTTCACGTTTGTCATATTGAGACTAGGAATAAGTATACCTAGCCTAGTAAAGTAAAAGCAGAAAACGACATCTAGTAAAGGTAAACGAAAAATATTAACAATTACTTCGGGCGTTTATTTTATATGAGTACATAAAAGGTAGTCACTTTATTTGAAACAACATCATATAACAATGATTATAATTGTTTTGTGAAATATATGCAAATTTTGCATAATATAAACTTGTTACCTCTTTAATGGTAAAGACTCCTTTTCTATGCAATAAGTATAGACTACTGTTTAAATTAACCTCTAAGAAGGTAATATAATGCGTCTAATCATTCATCCTTTATACCATCCACATTTAAATTGTTTACCATTATTTTAACTTGTTTATATTTATACATTTAATATACCTATTGCTTATTTTCTTTAACAAAGACTTACAGATTCCGACCAAGCTGATTTGAAGCGGCAAAAATTCGACCTGATTAGTGTCGTGGTCTGTAACTTGTACCCATTCGTGGAGACTGTGTCCAAACCAGAAGTGACAATTGCTGACGCCGTGGAGAACATCGATATTGGCGGCGTCACTTTACTGCGAGCTGCGGCTAAGAACCACGACAGAGTGACCGTGGTGTGCGACCCTAACGATTATGATAGCGTTATCAACGAACTAAACACGAGCAAGGATCGCCAAACCTCGCTTGATACAAGGTTAGTTCTAGTATAGATATTGGCAAATAAATTTAACAATTATATCTAGGTACTATTGCAATAAAAAAATTACTTAAACCTCCCCAAATAATTACCATTTTTTTTTTCACTTAAATTGTAAAAGTACATCACGCTCTGAACACACTTTTTAACTTTAAACTTAAAAAAAAACACTACATAAACAAGTGAAAGCTTTATAGTTTATTGTTTTATTTATTCACCAGTAGTCATACCTATTTTATTTTATTATTTTTCTTTTTTTTTATTTTATAATTTTTTTTTTGTCAAATACGTTATATTTATTTTCTACTTTTTAGGAAAAGATTGGCGCTCAAAGCCTTTACTCACACATCTGAGTATGATCTCGCTATATCAGATTACTTCCGCAAACAATACTCGGCAGGTCAATCACAACTGACCTTGAGATATGGTAAATTAATTATAATTTTCATAAACTTACATCTTAACAATATAAAAATACATCTTTGGTCACATTGTGGTTAATAGAGATCACAAATCGCTACTTGCTTTTGTCCCGACATACTTCCCTTGGTATATTAACATTCTACGATTTTTCATGCATGCTCATTGGTTTTATTTATTTATTCTTTAGTACAAAATATGTTTACAAGTCTAAATTCTAAAAGTATTACCTCCTAGTCTACCTAGTTGATTTTGGCTAGGTATTCTTGATTTGGCTTGTTTTCAACCCATCACCAAACTGCAAAATGCACTGTCGTCAAGAATTTAATTAATTATATATTTTGCCATTATCACGTTAGCATCTATTGATCCAATTTTAAACATTATGTACCTCTTTTACCCTCTTCCAATTTGGCCTGTTTTTAATCTAATTTTGAATCCAGGGTATCCAGCTATTAATGACCTAAAAATCTTTGATCCTTGCTTGGGTCTTAGTGGGTTTTCGGCCACCTGCATGGTCAGTCTACTAGCAGTAGCTAGTAATGCTAAAGGATAAAATAATAAGATATATCCTTTTGCTTCTACTGCTAGGAAAACAACAAGAGTATGCGGGAAATGCTAGAGCATCATATTGGGTGCTTTTTCCAACCAAATACACTACATATAAAATAATTAAAATTAGCGGTGCTATGAAATTTTATTGTATTAAATTTATCATATAATATAATAATATATTTTATCATAAAATATCCTTAAACTATGCATATTTTACTACTGACGATACTTTTGGACCTTGGCCGTAGATGGAATAAGAATTACAAATATTTTACATTTTTGTAGGAATGAACCCACACCAGAAGCCAGCTCAAGTATTCACAACTCGCGATAAACTGCCACTGACAACATTGAACGGTGCACCTGGTTTTATTAATCTTTGTGACGCTCTTAACGCGTGGCAGCTCGTACGTGAACTAAAAGAAGCCCTGGGACTGGCCGCTGCTGCGAGCTTCAAGCACGTATCACCAGCTGGTGCTGCAATAGGAATCCCATTAACTGAGGAAGACGTAAGTTTAAAACTTCGCTCAATTGTTGGTTAGCTTTGAGCAAAAATTGATCCTCAGTTCATAGAAATACAAATACGTCATAACCTTCAAGAAAATAGCATACTCTTTTTTAAAAGGCCGGCAGCACACCTGCTACGCCTCTGGTGTTGCGAGTGATCATGGGCGGCGGTAGTCACTTACCATCAGATGAGCCGCATGCCCGTTTGCCCCCTCTTATAAAAAAAAATGACAATGGATATATTTTTCTTAATTAAAATATGCTCTAAAGCGGCTTGAGTCAAGCAGTCATCTATTGCTATTTATAAGTGAAAATGGAACAGTTTCGTCTTTATTCATTAAATAAAATAAAAGAAATCTGTTGAATGTCTATAGAACCATTTGATCTAAAAATGTTGGCTCTCGTGTTATTAATAAGTGCGGATATCGATTAAGCGTGTTTATATGTGCAGGCGAGCGTATGCTGCGTAAGTGCATCGGAAGCAATCACATTGAGCCCGCTTGCGGCCGCATACGCACGAGCACGCGGTGCTGACCGCATGAGTTCGTTCGGCGACTTTGTGGCGTTGTCAGACGAGTGTGATGTGTCCACTGCGCGGCTGATCTCGCGCGAGGTCTCTGATGGAGTTATTGCACCCTCATATTCACCAGACGCTCTCGTCCTGCTCAACAAGAAGAAGGGCGGCAACTACTGCGTCTTGCAGGTCTGTATCTACTTTAAAAAACTTATGCATTGTGTATTATTACATCATTATATTAATAACATTATTATAATTATTTATGATATTGTATGTGCAAAGTCTTCATGCAACAAACTCTTGTAGCTTTGTTTAATCTCCATCTCCTTTACAATAATATTAGTTATAGTATTTTAGATAATGTTTTAAATTTGCAATAACAACACTAGGTATATTTGTTTCTATATTTTTTTATTAATATTTAATAATTATTTATTGCAGTTCTTTTTAAAATATTTCACTAATCTTAATAAATACTTATCTAATTACATATATTTTGTAGATTGATCCGAATTATGACCCTGTCCTGTTGGAGCAGAAAACTATCTTCGGTCTTACTCTGGAGCAAAGACGCAATGACGCTAAGATCACATCAGACTTATTTAAAAATATTGTTACCAATAACAAAAATTTGCCAGAGAGCGCCGTAAGAGATTTAATTGTGGCGACTGTGGCCTTAAAATACACGCAGAGTAATTCTGTATGCTATGCAAGAGATGGACAGGTATGTTAACAAAATTTGTCTATTTTATTAATAATAATTACAGATTAATTCTTATTAATAAAAAAAAGTGGTAGCCCCAACTGGCATTCCAAAATAATATTAGTTTTTAAAAAATGCAAGAGAAACAGTTTAAAAAGTAAAAAGCTAGTCTGTTTGGTTGTCTATTTTCAAGCAAATTATAAAATAGTTACCAAATATCTACTTGTTGTATGTGACATAGACATCATAATGGAATGGCAACTTGTGCTACCAGTTTACGTTAGAAAAGGAGATAGGTGAAGCTAGAACTAGGTTTATTGGCCTATCATAGAGAATTCACTAGAAATTAATTATGATTGTTGCCAGAGAGGACAGTGTGAAGGTTGATCTGATAAATTACTAGCAACGGGACATCTAGACCTTGTTACCAACTCTTCTTTTTAATTAACAGTACACAGTCACCTTAAAAATCATTGTATTTTTAATTCATGATAAATTAATCATGATGTGCCAACTGACCTGCTTTGCCAACTCACCAGAAAGAAATGTAGTAAATAGAGTAGAAGTATGATAGACTCTATAATTTCTCTTTGGTGGGGATGGTAGTGACGGAGTTGTAATTCCGTTATCGTCTATTTATTATTTTTAAACAATTTTTTTTAATAAGTTGTTTTTTTATTTAATCACAGTGGAAGCGTTATTTAAATGGTGGCAGAGTGTACATTGTAAGGGTAATTTCCAGGTAATAGGTATCGGAGCGGGACAGCAGTCGCGCATCCACTGCACACGGCTAGCGGGCGGTAAAGCGGCGCTGTGGTGGGCCCGCCGCCACCCGCGGGTTCGAGCTATCGCCGCCGCAGCACGACCCGGCATCTCGCGGGCTATACTCTCTAACGCTGTCGACAACTACGTCAATGGCACCGTAGGTATGTACGTCATGCACTATCGTCAGTGAAGTTATAACAGTGCGTAAGTCATTTTTTGAAGTTTGTATGTTAATTTGATTTTTAAGAGGAGATATCACTGTGTGGCCACGGCATAGAATACATCACCTCTTCCTTTCCCGTGAGTGTCGTAAGAAGCGACTAAGATAAGGCGAAGGATGCTCTTAAAGCATCTCCAAAGCCTAACTGTGGTTGCCAATCCGCCTACCAAGCGTGGAAAGTAGTTACTGGCAAAACACCCCAAGAGGGAGGATTATGTTCAGCAGTGGAGAGGTAAGGGCTGATTTGATGACTAAGAGTAGAGCAGATCACCTAAACTAACCAGAATCTTGATTTTAAACAATTGCCCTATATATTAAAACTTATGATTAAAAGAAATGATACAATAGAAAAATAAATAGATATTTTATTCAGTGATACTCTTAAAGTACATTCAAACATCAATATTACAAACTTTTCCCGTTATTATATTAATGAAATAACTAGATCAATTCATGAGGTGCTTTAATATCATTTTATAGTGAATATATTGTGTACCTTAAATATAACCTCTTAAGATTATTTTTCGTTTGTTCTGACCCCTATACAAGTATAGCTACTTGTATTGAAAATGAAACTTCATTACCATCCATAAAGGAATTGTATGAACGATTCTTTATAGCAATGATGCTATATATCCATAAATTAGTGTGCCACTCATTTTTATTTATTTGTAAAATAAATCTAATCAAATAACCTATCACTGGTTTGTTATTGGACTTCCGTAAGATAACACTTTGTCTTTTGTACACATTGAAGTATGTAGAACTCGCTAATGTGAATATTTTAGTAAGTTATATATATATATATATATATATATATATATATATATTTTAATGTGTATAATTATGTATAATTTTAATATAATTATGTACATTTGACCATAGAATACATACCTTTTACATTTCAGGCACTGATTTACCATTTGAACAGTGGAAGAGCCTTTTTGAGGGCGAGCCCCCTGCGCTATTGACACAAGAGGAGAGAGATGAGTGGACCAAAACATTGGACAAGGTGGCACTTGCCTCAGATGCCTTTTTCCCATTCAGAGACAACATCGATCGGGCTGTTCAGGTATGTATCTATAGAGAACATTAAGTGTTTAAAAAAATACAATGTCATTGATATTACATGGGAGTAGTGATCTAGCATGTTTCGCAAACATTATATAAAATTGTTAATTATAAAACAGTTATACTGTACAATTTATCATTATGATCTTATATTGAAATTGTAACTAGACAATGTTTTGGAGATATTTAATACAAAAGTAAATAAAATGTCTTAATAAGAGCAACTTATGCTGAAACAAAAAATATTAGACTTTTATTCATCTATTATGTTTGTCTTATCTAAAATAAGCATAATTATGCTACTTTCATATGCTTAAATATCAATCCCGTACAATTTTATTTTTACTTGTGACATCGTTAATAAAGTCTAAGCTTTTTTACTGCCTATTACTATACTGCTGACATGCTGCTAAAAATGTGTAATGGAAATTATAATTTTGTTAAATATTTAAAGTCTTCTTCTTTTTGTGTACAAAATGCCTTCGATAATTTTTCAACATGTTTGGTAGTTTTCTAATTATTTTAAATAGAAATTATTTCTTAGCATATTGCTTCCATTTAAATTTTAACAAAGATATTGAATAGATTTATAAGATATTTCACGCATCTTTACAGGTTGGAGTTGAATATATAGGCAGCCCATCTGGATCGAACAAAGATGATGAAGTCATCCAAGCATGCAATGAACACAACATCGTGCTAGCTCACACGAATCTCCGCCTTTTCCATCACTAAACATTATTTCCTTATACACATAACTACCGGTGTGCGTGTCTTATCTGCGCCAGCGCTTATCGTTAAAGTCAATGGAGAACAAAATAATGTTTGTGCTTTAAGTATTATCGCGATTTACTATTTTATTGTGTGTTATTTTTTACGTAATTAATTCTGTAATTGATCGTTCAAAAATATTTTCCAGTTATTAATTACGACAATAACACAAAGAAACAATAGTAAATAACGATTATCACGAAACTATAAATATTGAATTATTTCGTTCTCTACGTCGACGTTAATTAATTTTATACTACATTCCTATTACTTTAGATCGTATAAATTTTCGTCCTAACACAGATTTACATTTAATATGTTACAGGCGTCAGTATTGCGCTAACTTCAACTGTACTAATTATTACTTACTATACTTGATTTGCCTCAAGTTTTGAAGTCTGTGACTAACCCAATGCAAATCTGTGTTCATTTATAAATACATAAAACCTCCAATATAGCTATTTGTTTTATTACATTTTATCAAATTAAGAATATTGCTCTAAAGAAAGAGACGAAACATTCAACTATACACTAATAAATAACAGCTAGATTAGGCTTAGGTTAAAATCAAATAGGGCTAAGTTCTATTAATGGAGGGATCATATTTTTTAATAAGTGCCTGTGTATTTGTAATGGCGCTAATACTATTATATACAACATTCCTATTATTGTAGATTTATAAAGATATTTTGAGCTTTTTTACCTTTATATCATAGTGTTTAGAAACTAAAAGCAATTTTACAACAAGTAAAGTTTATCCTGTTTTTTTTTTTATATTCAAACATGCTTTAAGACAAATAATGTGCCAACGTAGTATACACGTGGATTTTTCATAATTATTATTACACTATGTTATTAATTTATAAAAATGTTACTAATTAGTTTGAACTGCTTTAGTAATTTAATAGTAAGTTAACAAAAATAATACTTGTTAAAGTTGGCTAAACTTGTTATTCAGACACCATTAAATGTTATATGCACTAAATAATGTAAAAGTGTATTATGTATATTACTAAAACAGTCCAAACTAGGCTTACGTGAAATAATCTCTACCACTGTACAAAAAATCTGAATTTTCTATGAATCTCTTGTCGAAAGTGAATCTAAAGAAATAGAAAAATGTATGAATCTCATGAATAGCTGAATTGTTCTATTTTGATTATTTCGATGTTGTAATTTATTATATGTATTCAACCTTGAGATTCCACTATTTTAATTTCCGTTTTTAGATTTGTGTTATTGATAAAAATTTATTATTGAAACCGTTATAAATAAACTACTGTCGAGTATATATCACTTTCACACAGAACATCAAAATATTGCCAGTGTGAAATTGTAATAATATTAAGTCTACAGTAATAAAAATTTTTTATGCCTTATTGTTAAGATTTTGAAGTATTTTATTGTAAGAAAATTAAATGTTTGTACGTGTAAGTACATATATTAATATTTTCTTTTTTTATTTCTATTTCTTGCACCATAGAATATAGTTTGTGATATAAGATGATTCTGGGTAATCTCCCGTCCTCGTGGAAATTTCCGAAAATACCACAAAGAGACTATCGTCATAGTGCTACAGTCTGAATGGCAATACAATTACCGTTTATGATATTAATAAGCTATACGCTGAAAAGCGTATTTACCAACTCTGAGGGGTAAAAATTTTGAAAGAAAATAATAATATAATTAAATGTTTCTAACTCAAGTAATGCCTGCGTGTTAATATTTGAAGCTACGGTGGCCGAATGTCATCAAGCTAGCTGTACTCTAGTAATTTATCTTTATAAAAAGATAGTTCTTCCACTCTGATCATCTAAACAGGCCAAATCCTATATGCATTGATGTATCGGTAATTTTTTTTTTACAGCTATAAATTATAAAGATATTGGGTTTAAACTTTAGATACTCTTTATTGTTTCCTCAAAAAGATTTCCTACAGTAATAAATTTATTATAGATAATTACAAACAATTACAAGAAATGCTCACAGTGAGAAAACAATGGGCGACCATACCCCTTAGAGCAATCTCTTAGATACTTGAGGAGATCCCCCAACAATTTTTATTGCAATAGAAGGAACCAAAAAGGTTTTTTAATTATAGTTGTGTTCTAAGTGATTACCGACTTTTAAAATCCACGCATACGAAGTTAGGTCATGTAGCTATAAATAGAAACTAATGTATTTATTTATTGGTTACCAACTAAGAGAGTTTGATAGTTTCCCAATTCGTACTAGCCAGTCTTTTTTTTTTACAACACAGGGGGCAAGCGAGCATGCGGCTCACCTGATGGTAAGTGACTACCGCCGCCCATGATCATCCACAACACCAAAACACGGGTTATTTATAATTTTACTACACAACACGGCAAACGCGTCAAAGGCACTTATCATGTAAGGTGACCAACTATACTCATTTACTGAGTTTTGTACTCTTTTTTCGCAAACTACTCTTTTCAAATCCTGTACTCTAAAAGTACTTATTTGTATAATTTTATACTTATTTGTATTTATAAAATATTTTTTTAGATTATTTTATTTCAATTTATTAATTAAATATTTACTAACAATCTCTGAAGAAATTCGAAGAGTAAATTTATATTTAAATGAAGAAATGGAACGATGAGTAAATAGAACTTGACAAAAGATGGGTGGAAATCTTTCGGCATTTTAGAGTAGAACATATCTCACATGAAAATTTAAAAGTTTTAATAGAAATTCCATATGTTGTCCAGGCACTAATGCTGCTGTTGAAGGGGTATTTTCATTAGGGAATGATTATTGGAGCAGTGTGAAATCGCAACTTTCTGTAAAAACATTATCTGCCAACTTAACAGTCAAATTTAATATGCAAAATGAAAATTGTTTAGATGTGGCTACGTTATTAGACGAACATTCTGGTTTACCAAAAAAAATCCACTCCGAAGAAAAATATGTTTTTAAAAGGAAATAAAGTTTTTATCTTTTTTTTTCACCTATGAAATACTTGCAAAGTGTATTTTTTTTTAAACAAAAAATAGTTGGTCACCTCATTATCATGATAAAATTACCCTACCTTTCAGAAGAAAAAGGAACTGCTAGTAATCAGCTCTGTCTGCAATACACCCTATTATATCGACCTACATTTGGTTCACTTTGGAAACCATCGAGGTTAATTCTTGTAAAATTCATCACGATCGGTCAACTAACATGCTTCAGGGTGGGTATTGCATTTTCACCCATCAAAAATTTTTTTTCTTAACTCGCAGCAAACAGTAGATATATACTCTCAAAATTCTATTGAAAGATTAGTGTAAACCAATACCTATAGATGAGGGGGAAAAGCGATTGTTAGTAATGGAAACTGAGAATCCCATTGCTAGCAATATACCCAACCAGGTTGACCTCCTCGCGGTTTCCCCTGGAAACTGGTATCATGGGCGAAACAGTATACTTTGTTATGTCCATGGTACTGCTCATGTCTATAGTCGACGGTTCCACTTTCCATCAGGTGGGCCGTCAGCTTGTTTGCATTCTAAGTTATATAAAAAAAAACTATCATGGTTAATTCCTGACGAATTCATCATGATGGGCTATCTGGCCTGTTTTCATTCTCATCTTTCACCCTTCACTGGTGCTCCGCCAGCGTATCCCGTTAGCGCAGGCGGGGTTACAATACCATTTTCATCCATAAAAAAAACTATAGATGCTAGCTTGCAATATATATATTTATAATTATATTTAATTATATTATGTACTATTTGTAACAATGATGATGCTTTCGTATGTGGGGATTTTTGTGACTCATAGGTCATTGGTTATTCCCCGACTTCTTACATTTGCAACGTCATAAGTTTAGCGACCGTGATAATCACAATGATACCATGTTCAACAGAATTACCCCATTTTTCAGTATTTATATTAATAAAAAAACAAATTGATAATGTCATTCATGGATCTACCTACTAGAAATCTGTAAACAATTGGCGAGAATCATAAATAAAACAAATTAAGCTTTTGTAAATGAAATTCAGATTACATATACATAATTACTTAGTCGAGCATGTGCAATCCAAATACAACTGAAATTGGAAGAAAAATCTACAAAATTACATATGTAACACTTACCTGCACTTGTGCAAAAGCATTTAAAAAAAAATATAGAAAAATATTATATTCAGGCCAAGTAAAGTTTTAAATATCCACGAATTGAAATGAATAAGAAGACATAACACACAGTTTTATCTAATCTAGTAAATTAATGAGGGTTTCTATTATATATAGTACATAACTGACAGTTATTATACTTAGTTATATTATTCAATGATATTATACTTCATTTATTTTTTGGTAAAAACATACTTATTATTGTACTATAAAAATACTCAGATCAATACAATCAATAGTTGGTTTTTATCGGAAAATAGTACCAGTGTCCTACGCACATAAACAGGAGCTTGTACATCACAGAATATACTGTAACACTCTTAAGGTCCATTGTTGCGTACTGACATATTATGTCTATAATTTCACTGCTATATGACATCCACGATAATACTATTCTATTTTCTATGCTTCTCTAAAATATACTATTTACAATGAAAGTTTCATATTCACTAACTTGCAATTTTACATTAAATATTAAATTTTATCGAAACTTGCACTTTTAACATCTGAGTAATAAGGTTTATAAAAAGGCAGTATAAAATATTTCATTTGGTGTAATAATTTATTTTTTTATGTTTTGTTCCTATGTTAACTAAATACATTGAAGACACTGAACATACAAATATAAATCTACCATTAAAACACATTAGTTTCGTATTGACTTTGATGTTTACCAATGGAGAGATTGACTTTCTAAATCTAAATCATAATTAAAAATTATATTACGTTTTTTATAAAAGATATTATGCAAGTTCTATGATTATATATGTGGCTCATTACGAGAAGCTTATTTAGAATAGAAGTTTGTCCTAATTGAAAATTTATCCCATTTTATTTTCATATTTACGATTATTTTGTTATTGTTATTTATTTTTGCTAAAAATAAATTACAGAAACAATGAAATAACATTATTTTTTTAAGATAAACATCCACTTTCTCAATACATATCAACGAGTACAAAGAAAGGGTAAAGAATCAATGGGTGAGTAAGTAAGCAACATGATTGAGGTAATACTAGGCACGATTCTGGTGTGTCTTTTCTTTAAACTTATCTCTTAAATTATATTTAAATTTAATAATTTCGCGAAATTTCTACTTTGTGGACCATCATAAATTAAATTTATAATAATGTAATCTATATATATTTACAGATTAAATACATTTTTACTTTATCTTTTTTATACCAAGAAGGTGGCAAACAAGCATACAGCCTGTCTGATGGTAAACGGTTACTGTATATATTTAAAAAAAAATTATTAGAAACTTAGTTTATATTGGTTCATAAAACAAAGATTTCGCTGTGGTATCAAATTTAAAGTTTAGAGAATGGCGCTTCAGTATCGGCTCCTCTCAAAATCAGCAATGAGGAATTTATGATTTTAAATTACAGTAACACTGAATTTGCATTGTAGTTCTGAATATAATTTTGTCTTGTGCTAAAAATTTATTTTCAAATTTATTAAATTATTTCAAATTAAAGGAAATTATATTTTCTTGTTTAAAAGCTGTTGTGAATAGAATACAAAATTTAATAACAAGTTGACGGATTGTATTTATTGCAAAATTTACTTAATATGTGATTGTGACAAAGGACTTAGTTTGACTAGTTATCTGTGTTATATTTAAAATTATTTGGTATTGTGATTTATAAAGTGCAAACCATGTCAGCTATTGGTAGTGACCAAGATACTGAATCGTCCAACTTTGGATCTCCATCTCCACAGTCGAAAAATATACATATCGACTCCCCTTATAGTTCACCGTCGCAACAAGTTCCTCAGTTAGCATTTTCATTGAATGAATTATCTTGCACAGATAAAAATTTCAGCATGCATTTCGGTAAGTAAATATACTTTTTGTAATTATTTTAGTTAGTTAAATCCTTTTTTAATAACTAATATGTACTATGTGTATCTACGTGTGCAAAAAAATATTATTTAGAGATACTTATTCTAATAAATAACTTAAATGGACTATAAACATAATCATATTACTGCGTAAATATGTATACCTAATATGAATTTCTCAATTATTTAATTTTTTTGATTAGTAACCGTTTAGAAATATTACCTTTTGAATCATTATGATTGAAACACTATGTAAAAATGAATTAATTTTATTTTTTTTATTTTCTTGATATAAAATAGTATAATAATGATTTAACAGGAAAATTAAGGTTATCTGTCAAATGCTATCTTTAGTGCATTAGGAATTTTTTGTACTAATTTTTATTGTGATTTGTAATAAAATAGGTAGACAAAGTTGTTGAAGTTGCTTTTGTCCATTAATTTGAATATGTAACAGTTTATCATTTTGATACTGAATAATTTATACCAATGTTTGTTTACATTTCTAGCTTACTTCAAAAATGAGGTTTCTTTTATGTTTTTTGTGTAAAGTATGTTATAAAATAGCTACCCAATTATTTTTTAAACATGAATTTACCATTTCTTTTGTAGGCAATTATAATTTAGTTATTACATACTGTGAAATATTTCATTTGACAGCTACAATATAAATAAAAAAAATGCAGCTAAAAATATACAAATCCAAATTTCTTCTCACTTTATGATTGGTTAATAGATTGAGCAGTCAAATAGGTATTTTATTTTTTAAACCATTCAGGTGACAAACAAGCATATATCCCCATTTTCCCTTATTGAAAAATAACAAAATAACGATGTGTTTGCTCTAAGCTATTGGTATTTTCTTACATATGCTTATTCCTGGTTTTTATCTTTGTTGAATAGCTTAAGAGACCAATATAAGGACAGATTTTCACTAACAGTGTCTGTTCAAATAGATTGATAGAGAAGAGCAAGTTTTCATTGCATATTGTCATATACTGTGCTTGAGGGTATAATCAAGTTTTTTTTATACCACTGAGGTGGTAAACAAGCATACGGCCCACCTGATGGTGAGTGGTTACCGTAGCCTATGAACACCTGCAATACTAGAGGTATTACGTGTGTGTTGCGACCCTGAAGAAACCTCTTTATAAACCTCGTTATAAATATCTAGTCTATTTATATGATATACTGGTGAGTGAACATGTGTATTCTTCATATTTAAGGAATGCTAAATTCCTTGCCCAGTATGACATTAGTGGTGTTGAGAAATCATTTTCACTCTTCATTACATGAAATTGCAGAATTTTTTAAATTTTACAACCAAAATCAGGAGGAAGGGGAAAAGTTTAAGATTACATTGTTTATTTGAGGAAATTAACAATTCACTGTAACTTTAAAGATATTGGATGCACTTTGTATGATCGTTTAGTCTGGGATTCAGAACACAGATCTTCAAAGAAAGATGTTACAACAATCTAGTTTAACATTTGTATCAACTTGCTATATGGTATTATCTCATAAATTTATTAATAGTGATGTAGTTTAATACTTATTCCAGAAATTAGAATATTTAATATAGATTTTTAAGAACCAATGGATGTTAATAAAATTTCATACAAAAAGAGAGAGGTTGTCTTCTAAACCTCAAGGAAAAGCTTACCATAGAATAAAAACAGAAGTGAGTGGTGGTTGTGGTAAAAAAAAACATAAAAGTGAGTGTTGATTTAAGTGCTCAAAATGCAATTTGTGGGGGCAAACAAGTCATATTGATCTCAATATCTTATTTTACACAAATAAACTATCTGGTTTGTTTGATTAAAAATATTGATAATGGTAGTATATTGAAGTGAATTTGCAATGGTCTGTATAAAGATTGAAAAGAAGACAAAAGGAAATATAATCCTTTTTCATAAACATTGTTATTAACAATGTTGAAGTTGATTTAGTATTGATGCATTTTCATAATTAAGTGAACCAATAGCCACACATATGGAAAGGAATATTACCTATTATGGAAAAATATAGTGTTCCATTAAAAATATGGAGGAAGATATTTTAGGTAAACTGATAGTACCTGATCAGTATAATGGTTATAATAAGAATTTACCTCTGATTATATAAAAGGACACTGACTGAGTTTAATGTGAAGAAATTGGTTTAATGATTTTAATATTTAATTGCTAGAAATAAATAACATTAAGATGGATGCAGCAAACACTATTTTTTTTTATGGGTGAAAATGGAATGGTAACCCTGCCCGCACCAACGTAATACGCCGGCGGAGCACCAGTGAAGGGTGATAGATGAGAATGAAAACAGGCCAGTTAGCCCATCATGATGAATTCATCAAGAATTAACCATTATACTAGTTTCCAGGGGTCTGCGAGGAGGTCGACCTGGTTGGGTATATTGCTAGCAATGGGATTTTCAGTCCCCTTTACTAACAATCCCTTTTCCCCCGCAGCAGACACTATTAGGGTACTTAAAAATATAGAAACATTTTTAAAGAAGGTTTAGGTAATTAATTATACAGGACCAGTGAGGAACATCACGCCAAAGGGAAGTGGTCAAAATTAATCAAGATGGTTTCCAGGTGGAAACACATGGAGGTCGACCTGATAGCTAATATAGGCTGACATTCAATGGAGCTGTTAGATCCTCATTATGAATAATCCCTTCTCCCCTACTATGGCAGTTTAGGAATCTGAATGTTCAATGCAAATGTGGATAGAGGCGGCCAGAAAGACCTAGGCTAACCTATTATGATCAGATTTGGGGGGGAAAGGGATTGTTAGCAATGGAGTTTGACATCTCCATTCCTAGCGATATGCCCTATTAGGTCGACCTCTATGTGGTTCTCCCTGGAAACCATCATGCACAATTCTTGTTGTATTCATCATGATGGGCTAACTGACCTGCTTCATCCTTACCTATCATCTCTCACTGGTGCACCGCCAGCGTATACCGTTAGCGCAGGCGGAGTTATCATTCCATTATCATCCATTAAAAATTATGATCAGAGAAACCATGTTCAGAGAAACCATCTTTTTGAAAAAAGTCTCTGGAAATGATGTGAATATATAAAAGTTGCCTAAATAAATACGTATTTAAGGAATATATATCCACCTACTTAATAAAATTTAAATTTAAACTATAATTTCATCCCACCCATCTGGACTAGTGGCGGTCCTCCACCGTGCGTTTTTCAAGGCACTTTTTCCCACGCACAACCACTCTTTGAAATCAACTTCCAGCAGCAGTATTTCCGAACCGATATGACAACATAACCTTCAAGAAAAGAGCATATTCCTTTATAAAAGGCCGGCAGCTTACCTGCAATGTTGTAGGTGTTGTGGGTGACCATGCGCGGCGGTAGTCACCATCAGGTGAGCCGCATGCTCTTTTGCCTTCTGTGTTGTAAAAAAAAAAGAACCGGAAATATTTCCATTCTTTTAGACAATATTAGGCATTTACTAACTGAAAAATCTATACTGGGGCCTGTTGCTTATGTTCAGGGACTGTGTATAAAAATACCCATTAATTACCAAAATATTTATCTTTATCAGCTATGGACAAAATATGTAATAACTTGTATTTTTTTTTTTATATAATATTGGCCTGGGACAATGAGTTGTCCAGTTTACAGAGAAACATCCATATATATAGACTTGGTGTAATATAATAGTAACCTTCCGCTGTCAATAGTATGCAAGTGTGCCCACCCCAGAATTGGCTGTTGTCAATCCTTTGATGTTAGCTAAGTTTACAGTTATTTACAAAGATATAATCTGAGAGTAAAAAGAGTCATTTTAAGGAGCCAGCCCTCTGTGGAAAGCAATCTTAAGTACGCCAATGAAATTATCAGAAGTGGAGCATATGCATTATCAATAAATAATAATAATAATACTTTAATTAGCTATGATTTTGGGTATAAAACATTAGATCTTATAAATTAAAAGTACCTTACCAAATCTACTTACATAAAATGTGCAAATATTAAAAAGAAATACAATTACAAATTTTTAGTAGCATTAAAAAACTAAGAATAAATTTTACGTACAACATCAATATTAATTTATTTTATTTAATAATAAAATAATATTAGTTAAAATAAATCTATATAAATTTCAGACCGACTATCAAGAATCTCTAGTCCCATTTTAGATTTTAGTAGTCTCATAGCATAGTGTCTTTGTTTTTTGCGTCTTTAGTGTATCCCCATAAAAAACTAGTCCTGGGGCGTCAGAAAAATTACTGAATAATTCCGTTTCTGCATCTTTATCATTTCATTAGATTCCGGTAGATTATCACCACTGTAGCACTTGTTTTAATGTGTATAACATTAAAATTTTGCAAAAGAATTTTAATCATGTTTGAATAAGTGAAGTTTCGTTTTTTTTTGCTTGTTATTAATTGAAAATATTTTGAAAAAGTAATGTTTTTTTAGTATACCCGTAGCTAATACTTATGATAACAAAGTTCAATCACCAGAGGGAGACTTTGTACAAAAGTCGATTGTTTGGGTACCTCTGTCCCATTCGTGTTTCAACCGTGAAGCAGTTGTGTTTGCATGGCTGTGTTTCGGTTTGAAGGGTGGGATATGGCGTGAATTTACTGGGTACAGAGGAATAACACCCGAGTCCTCAGGAATTGCAACGCAAGGGGGTATCATGGGCGAAACAGTATACTCTGTTATGTCCATGGTACTGCTCATGTTTATAGGCGACGGTTACCACTTTCCATCAGGTGGACAGGTGACCTGTTTGCCATTCTAAGTTGTATAAAAAAAAAAACGATGTTCTGTGTGCTGTTTGGATGACCTAAGTGTGAAGGTCAACTTCCATCAACCGAATCCCAATCTGATTCGAAATAATAGATCTCAATATTTTACTGCACTAGACAATGGCCCTGCCTTGTAGTTCTGGCATAGAATAGGCTACCCCTTCCTATCCCGTGGGCGTCTTTAACATCTTAAAAAATTGTGCTAGTTAGGAATACGAGTATCGTTCTATTTTTCCTATAATATTTACTTATATCTTTATAAATCGTAACTATGATCTATTGGATATAAAAATAAATATTTGAAAGGGACGGATCGACGAAGTCACGCCATAAGGGTTCCTATGTACTATTTGGTACGGAACCCTGAAAGCAGTATGAAAAAACTGCGTGACTGCAAGCGACGGTTGGGGGCCGTGAGCAGTTTTCCGAGTTATACTCGTACACCTTCACAAAACTAACCCGTCTCCGCTGTATTGCATATATACGCCCGTTCCTGAACTAAAGTTGCTAATAAATAATTTTCTGTCTATATCTAGTAATACGCCATTGCAACTTCTGCTTTTCATAGCAACTTCCAAGTAGTCAAACCTTGTTCATTAGTAGTGTGACCGAATACGCTTTGTATTTTATTTTGACGATACCCGTGTATGATGTGGCCTTGTGTATGAAACGTAATGGCTTGTTCTAAGAATTTGATTTTATTTTGGTGCCATAATGTGTTTGTATTATATGCAGTAGAACAGAACGAAGTATTAAGTTTTATTATAGTCCAAACACTTATTGAATTATTTCATAAATTTCTTTGTATAGAAAGAATAGTAGGATTTTTTGAGTTACTACTAAAAAACGAAGCACAAAATTAGATATGCAATTGGTTATCAAATCTAGTAAATGGTTGGACTACAGAGTTTATATACCTACTTATTAAACCTTATATGAAAGTGCTTCCATTATACACCTGTATACGTTCCACTGTAGTAAAAATATATTTATATATTTAAAATATATTTTTTGTCCTTTTTTGTAATACATATCTCCTAGGAAGAAAATTGTCGTATCTCTTTTATCTATTCCCATATTTTTTTTAACTTTTGTTTACATAAAGGAGGCGTATATGTAGGTACATTAAATGGTCATTTACATTCCCATTGGTTAAACTGATAAAGTTTTTTGTACGGAACCGATAAGTACTTAAGTACGTGACTAAATACATAGGCGATAGATGATATTATAGATTTTGAGTAAAAATAAAGTAAAACTGATAACGGTATTGTAAATATTTCGAAAGTTATTTAATTTTAGTGGTATTTTATTCCAAACATAACACATACTATTGACGAAAAATAAAGAGTATTGTTTTCTTATTATAATTTATGAAAAATATATTACACCTAATTTTATGTAATCGTAAAAGTAGATATCTAAGTACATCTCTTTTTACGATTACATAAAATTGTGTTTACGTGCTGATGATAAATAACGATTGATAAGAGTATATGCATAATTTTGTCACCTTTTATAATTTGTTTCATTTATGTATGTATAAATGAAGTATCATTCTTTAAATATGTTTTAAATATTTACTCTGTTATGTCCATGGTACTGCTCATATCTATAGGCGACGGTTACCACTTTCCATCAGGTGGGCTGTCAGCTTGTTTGCCATTCTAAGTTGTATAAAGCATTATAACAGCAATTATAAAATTAAAATGTATGAATTGTATAATTGAATTTAAATAAATAATTAGTAGATACATATAAAGTTTGTACATACTAATATTTGTGAAAGAAGAAGAAGAACCGGCGAGGCGTGTTATTAAAGTTAATACCCGACATTCGGTTCTCTCTGTTTACCCTGTAAAAGATTTGGCGTGAACATGATTAACGTATGTTTTTTTTGTAGAACTGCGACCATTTCTCCGTATCGTCGAACAACCTCAAGACTACTTTAGATTCCGATACAAGAGTGAAATGGTCGGAACACATGGGTGCCTACTCGGGAAATCTTATGTGACGAATAAATCCAAAAAGCACCCTACAATCGAGGTAATATCACTTAATTTTAACTTTTACAATTTCACACTGCGTATTTTATATTTTATAAGAGACAGGAATTAATGCGATCATTTAGATAAACTACGATGACATGAATTATCTCAATGATTCGACCATGTGTTTTTTTTAATAGATGATAATGGTAACACCGCCTGCATTATCAGCTTACGCTGGCCGGGCAACAGTGAGGGATGATAGGTGAAAATAAAAAGCAGATCAGTTAGCCCATCTTGATGAATAAACCTCGATTTTAGCATAATGGTTTTCAGGGGGACCACGTGGAGGTCGATCTGACAGAGTACGTTACTAGTAATTTGTTTGGTAGATACATTACATCGGCCGTGGTTGCTTAATGTTTATTTACTGTAGGCTTTTGAAAGGAACAATAAGAACAATACGCAGTAATCCTTAGGTTCTTAAGTCCCACGTTACATATGGATGCTTGAATGAATTAATAAATTTTCTTTTACAGCTGGTCAATTATACGGGACGGGCAATAATAAGATGTCGGTTAGCCCAACACGATAGTGATAAGGAACACCCCCATAAGCTCCTCGAAGATGAACAAGACAGAGATGTGAGCTACGAAGTGCCCGAACATGGCAGCTACAAAGTCGGGTGAGCTATGTTTTTATATGAACGTTTCAAGGGCACAGATAATACATACCTGTAGTAACCCGATTTTAAATTTGACCTTTCATTTAAGTTCCTTTCTATTCAATAAATATAAAATTATATAATTAATATGGGGTAGATAGTCGTCTTGTTAGCTATTTTTACAAGTGACATCTAATATATAAAATTCTCGTGTCACGGTGTTTGTTACCAAACTCCTCCGAAACGGCTTTACCGATTTTTATGAAATTTTGTGTGCATATTGGGTAGGTCTGAGAATTGGCCAACATCTATTTTTCATACCCCTCAATGATAAGGGTGACCCACCCCTAAAATTATTTTTTTTAATTTTTGACAATTTTTTTTTATTTTAATTTTATTATGATTAAGCATTGAAAAATACATACAGCTTCAAATTTTTACCTTTTTACGATCAACCCCTGTTTTTTAATAGCGATTTTTATATTCCGAAGAAGGGTTGCAAGATGGCAGTCAAAAATAATAATTGTAGTACGAGAAATTTTTCCCTACAACGCTTCATTCCTCTTTTAATCATAATTACATCCTAACACACTTATAATGTTAGCTATTTTTTAAAAAACTATTTTCTAGAAATAATGTATATGGCAAAACAACGTTGCAGGGTCAGCTAGTATATCGATATAAATTGACTACAAACTAGCATGTTAAACATTTTACTAGCAATTTTTAAAATTATTGAATCTATTTCTAACTGAAAAAGTTTTCAATTCGGATGCATTTTTTTATGTGAATGTTACGTAATGTCTTCTCCAATAGGTTTTGTAATGGGCACGGTTAGCTCCCACGTTGATCTTGTATTAATCTATTTATTATAATTATCTATCTATCTATCTAATCTATTAACGATCTAAGCCACCAAATTGAGAAGCAAACGTAAAATTTGATTGTTACGAAATAAAATCTACTAATATTTCCATCTACTTGTACGAGTAGACACCAATTCCATATTTTGAACCGATTTCAAAAACAGGAGAAGATTCTCGATTCGGTTGCATTTTTATTTTTATGTTCATTTTTAACTCCGTCAGTTATAAACAGATTTTGAAAGTTCCTTTTTTAATTGAAAGGACATATTTTCAGATTGCTCCCATAAAATTTTTATCAAAATTGGTTCAGAAGTTTAGTTTTTAAATCAAAATAATTTATTTTACAACGTTAAATTTTTTTATAGAACAATCCTAAACACGTGAATGAAAGAAAAAGTCTTAAACAATATTTGTTATGATAAAATAAATTATTCAACCTATTATTATTATGAATCTAGAACCTAGATTAATAAAATAGATTCTAGGCTATTCTCCAGATTTAATTCAAATCCTAACAGTCGTCGGGCGACTCAAATCTTGTTCTTTCTCTTGCTGATTTCTTTCTTTTTGGCAGGTTCGCGGGCATGGGAATTATCCATACAGCGAAGAAAGATGTCCCCGGATTGTTGTACAATAAGTATGCGTCACAAAATAGTACAATGAGTTCTAGAGAGGTGAGTTCTCTGTGCTTTTTTTAAGTGACTGTCGTGACTACATGGTACCTTACTGGAACTCACAAAACGCTTGATGTTGCATTCTTAATTTAAATAATTTCATGATAATGTGTACTAAATGTCTCGTTCGGGGAGAAAGGGATTGTTAGCAATGGAGTTGATAGCCCCATTGCTAGCAATATGCCTTATTAGGTCGACCTCCACGTGGTTTCCCCTGGAAACCATCGTAAACAATTCTTGTTGAATTCGTCACGATGGGCTAACTGACCTGCTTCATACTTACCTATCGTCCTTCACTGGTGCCCCGCCGGTGTATACCGATAGCGCGGGTGGGGTTACCATTCCATTATCATCCATTAAAAAAAATGTCTCGTTCAGCCATGTTTTTTGTCACGTTTTCAACCAACTTTAGGCAATATTTTTTTAACCAGTTATTTTGATTTGGGAATTAAATTACTGAATAGATTTTGATAAAATTTCTACGGAACCAGTCTGTACATATATCCTTTCAGATAAAAAGAGAAATTTTCGGATTCGGTTGAAAGTTCACGATCAGAAAATTATCCATATTACCTGCCAAAGACGAGTATCAGTCCTCTTAATAATACTACCTATCCTATCCTACTAATAAAAATATTAAAATATGTTTGTTATTGTCATTTGTACGTTATTTATTTAAATAATATCACCAATAAATAAGTATATTTATTGGTGAACGGTTGTGGACAGTTTGATATTATACATTGATTTTCGCTCGTTGTTATACAAAAGACATCAACGTTGGTATGTACCTAGTAAAATTATTTAAATTTTTGAATTTAAAACTGGAAGTTGTGCATGCACATGTACATTTACTTAGTATTTATTCAGCAACAAGCAATATTTTGCTCCGCAAATATCCACATCGGCTTCAATCATGACAATATTGGCTTAACACGAAATTATAATTCTCGATTGAACAGAAATATATCAAAATCGGTTCAGTATTGGCGTAGATAACGCGTAACATACATACAAAGAAAATATAGACGAATTGACGAACGCCTCGTTTTGGAAATCGCTTAAAAATATATTAGTTTATATTGGACTGTAAATTTTGCTTACAGAAATATAGAACAAGTGGGATTAAATATCACGGTCTGAGGGTTAAAATGAAATGAAATTTATTTGCCAGAAACATTGCAGATAAGATGTTTCATTTGTCAAGTTTACAAGATATCCATTATGTTTCGTCACATATTCCGTGTCCGTTATACACGGTTCCGTGTAAATACAAATTAAATAAGTATATTCAATCTATCGATCTAAACATATCTACGTATTTACTAATTTTAATTTGTAATAAATATATTCTAATATTTTAATATTTACCTTGATATATATTTAATTAAATAAACAACAATGATACCATAAAGCCATATATATTATAAAAATCTTGAAAAATCAGATAGTAATGAAGGCAAATTTAATGTTGATTTAATTCTAAAGTTATCCGTACACATAAAAAATATTTTCCATATTCATTATAAATATTCTCTTATCTTTAAGTGCGTCACTCCAATTTCTAGTAAAACCGTATGTGTGTGAAATGAACTATATTTACATAAACCATTCAATATTGTTCTATATACGAAACGACATCCGTTACAAGTATTTTATAAAGCGGTTACTGTTATGCCACTTTATGAAGTATCATTATTTACATGCTACTTTATCCGCGTAATCACAGAATACCCAGAAAGAAAGATACTAAAAAGTATATTGGGGCAAAAACACTACTACAAACAGGCGAAACTAGTGAGCATAAAGCTGAATTTGAACATTCCAGATCGTTTTCGATTATATGGTACCAGATAAAAATATTATATACTTTTTCGGGGGTTTATGCATAATCAATAATACATTTTTATGTCAGAATAATGCATACCACTTTTAATACCCCTAGACTATGCAGATGGCATTAAATAAAGCATTATTTTACATGTTGTGAAATATCCTATTGACAAATCGTGATTTGACACCGTAATACATTCATTACACAAAAAGACAATTGGGTATATATTTTTTATTAGATAAGGCTGTAGCTTCCTCTCGGCAACAAGAATATTTAATGCATAATAATGCCATTTTGTCAATTTGACCTAGAGATAATCCATGCAGTATTTTTTATCCTTTTTAAACATTGGTATTTTATCAAATATATGTAGTAATATCATTACTTCTAAGCGATAGAATGAATCTTTCATTTTTATCAAAAAATGTTTCTTTAATATACGTTCTTTTTAGATTTGATTGTTTTTTAAAGTAAATTTACATTATCAGGCGTCATATTCAGTGTCTAAAACTAATCTACTATTAATATGTACTCGTGGTAGTAATGTGTCGAATATATATAAATAAGAATATATAAGAACGCTGATTGACTGACTGCCTGACCCATATATCAACGCTCAGTTGAAACTGCTGAATCTGGAATTTAAAAATTTTACAAAAAGGTTTTTTTTATGTAGTGTAGGTGAATAATAAGAAACGAGTTTTAAAATTTAATAACCATAAAGGGCTAAAACTTTCATAATCCACGCGTACAAAGTAGCGGGCAAAAGTTAATTCATAATATTATAGCAAAGAAAAATACCTACTTTTTGTAAACTTCATTCATTTCTTGGTCTCCCCATAAAGACTTGAAGTTTTTAGTTAGTTGCTTTGACAGTTCTAAACATATGAAGTGGTATTTTAAGTGATGAAATGTTTGTATTTCTTTATCTTCTGCTTATGGTAATCAGATTATATTTCTCTTTGATGTTTGGTTGCTGCTCGTAATTTTAATAATGAGTTGGCGATTTTTTATTAAAAAAAAAATTATTGATTCGCCTATTTTTTTGTGCATGTTTCGTAATATTTTCGCTAATACTGAACCGATTTTGATAAGGTTTACTCGCGTGTTAGTCCTAAAATAATCTTGTAATAATTGCAGATTTTTTGTTTTTTAAAGTACAATAACAAAATAGCTTCTAGACACTTAGTTTCACGTCCTTTTTTATACCACAAATATGGCAAACAAGCATGTAGCCCGTCAAATGGGAAATGGTCACTGTAGCCTATGGACGCTTGCGACGGGTTTACTACGGGTGTTACGTGCGTATTAATAATATATTAATGGTCTAATAAACAACTTGTTGCTTATTATGTTTTTATTAGTATTAGATAGATAATAGAGACTTTAAAGAACTAATTTATTAACTAAGTAACAAATCTGCATGATGAGAACACTCAATTAGTTAATTTAGTCCTTGAGTCTATCTATTGTTATTTTACATTTTACAATCACTACCTAAGTTAAGTACAAGCGTTCTACTCACGGTTCACTCTAAGAATGCTCTAAAACCCAAAACACAGGAGCAACAGTGGAACACTGGTTTCACACGCGATATAATTATTATAAACAAACGAATGGTAACAAATCCGTAAAAGGAACACTGCTAGTCATCGTTTCTGTAGTTTAAACAACTTGCTATTATCGGGGTCCGACTTAGGGACCAGAGGGTCTACCATGAAATATTTTCTATAAATTCGGGGACGAACGAATACATGCCGTTTAAAATTATTAAAAATGTCTAAATATTGTTCCTCTGGATTATTAGGATAGGATTTATGATGAACGAAACGTTAAGCTCCATTTACTGGGTCGATTTTGGTACGAACAAAAACACGAAATTTGGCCCGAAAATTCGGAATTTCATTTCATGGTAGACCACCCGACAACAGTGTCGCTGTTATTTTTTGCTATGCCATCAGTATGTGTTTACTCAATTGCCAATATTAGTTTAAAAACAAAAACTGTGAGACTGCTTACTATTTAATACTGATTGTGTTACGATTAAAGCTGTTCTATGCTGGAAATAGTAAATAAGTACTTGTTTAAAAATATTACTATTTTGACCGTGTCAATCGTTGACATTAGCAATTGTTAGGTTTATGTCACATAACAGTATGCTGATTATTTTTATCACCTATTAAATTTCTGCAAGTAGGAACAGATGTTTATGCGTTCGCGCTTTCTATTACCTTCAGAGTTTTTTAACTATTAATAATAAAAAAACTTTATGTTACTGAAATTTATTAAACAGGAGCTTATTTTACCCAACTTAAAAGGAAATAAATGTTTGAGCATAATGTTATAAGTACATAGAATTTAGAATTTTCCATGTATAAGTGTTAGCATCTCTGCCATGTGTTTATGCAAAATTAGACCAACATCTCTTACCTACTCAATGTGATCGAAGTTGGTGTTTTTGTAAAATATACTTTTAAGTATATTTTACAAAAACACCAACTGTTTTATTTATCTACGAATAAAAAGTTTTACCTCGAGTTTTGTGTGTTCTTGCAGACACTTTTTATATATAATGTATAAAACATTAGTATATATGTTAGCAATATTCTGATCTTTAGTCTAGTGTTACCTAATTAATTAATCGTTATAATTTATACTTAATTATAGGTGTTTTTACATAAATTATGATCTAGATAGATTCGACAACAGCATAAAATAAACTTATCTACTTCTGTATTTTTTTTTACTCCATTTAACATTTCAGTTTTTCAATAAATAAATAAGAAAATAAAAATTCAATATTAATATCTGTACAGAGGCATAACATTATAGTCCTCAGTAATGGCGAAGTATGAAGGCTACCATTATGAGTTACTGAATATATGATAGCATTTTATCCTACCAATAGGCATTTTCAGACTAATAAAAAACTGGCTCTGCGACATACACAATAGTATATAATTTCTGTGTCCATAATTTACTATAACAAATGGTGATAGCAGAGGATGTGACCCAAGTGTTATTTCTAAATTAAGGTCCTATCCAATCAGTGGTTGCACTGATCACGAATGGTTGACACGGTGATACGGGATTCGTCATGGTGATGGCGACAAGCCCACATAATCCCCACCCTCCGCAGTCGCTGAGAGTGCGTGTGTTCGACGCAAATTATGCCAGTGCATTTTAAGCCGCGCTTGTGAATCCAATTCTATACAATATGAGTGAGGTGACGCGCCGAAAGCGTCCGTGTTCTAGTGTTTACGGGTTTAACCATAAAAAATATCGCCATCACACGTCTACGTCGGTCTCCTACAGTCATCCCACAGTTTTAAATGTGATACAAACCATAAATATTACAGATCTCGGTAAGTTTTAAACAAATACTTTTTTGTTTTAGCTTCGCACCCTGTGCGAAAACGAAGCGAAAAATATCAACCTCAATATAGTTAGACTGAGGTTTAGTGCACATGATATTAATACCAATGAAGAAATATGTCCAGCTGTCTTCTCAGAACCAATTCACAATATGAGTAAGTATACCTAAAATAGTTTATATTTATTAATTTCGATATCTTTGTTGTTTGATAACGTTCCATAGATAGGTATTTGTTGTTGGTACTGTAGTCGATTCTATATTGGTTTTTTATTTGGTGACAGTGGAAACATACAAAATATTTACTCAAAACGTTTTCATTTCAATCCATATTACAGGAAGTACCTGTCTACTAAGTTTTCGTTGGGTATTGGAATAGAAAAAAAAAAAACATTTTTGTATTACATGTACAAACGATTAAATCTTACTTAATAGTTTGCAAGCTTTTTACAGTAATACACATAAATATATCACGTACAACTCGCAGAATAAATGATAAAGATAGGACAGTTTTTACAATACTCGTATCTCTTATATATTCAGCTACAAAACCATACAAAATTAGTAATCACCGTGGTATGATGTGCTGAAATAATCTTCCCGCTTCTCAGCATTTGTAATAACATGTTTCTACAGCGCTTATTTTCACTAAAACCTTATACTACCTTATATTAACTAAATTAAATCACTGTTTGTTGTTATTTGGTTACATTTATTTTGTATAATGCCGCTACCATTAATACGTATGTGACTGCTAACACTCAAAGATTGACTGCCAATATTACTAACGTACAAGAACCTTTTGAACAAAATTGCAGTTGTAGATTGATAGCTAATATGGAAGGTAATAACAGGAGGATTTTATTCCTTTATTATCGCCACCGATTCATGAATACCTAATAAATGTTTTTTGTAAGTGGCACAATATGAATTCTCTTTTCGTTTCGTCTTACGATGAAACGTAGTCATTGTTTATTCTCTACTCCGTCATCACACGGAGATGACATGACCTGTATTACAGCAAAAAATATTATCATGTTCATAATTTTACATTTGTATCATACCAAGGAATGTACAGATAAAATAATGTTATTGGTTGCGTCATCTATCGCATCATACAAATTTACCGCGTTATAATATTTGTAGTGTATTGACACGACGATCAACACTACTTCCTTTGTTTCCTATTCCTTTGGTACACGTACGAGCGATAAAGACCTTTTGTTGTTCTTTCATGTTGAAAGCTATAAAGTTCGCCCGTGCGGTGGCGCGACAGTTGACTCCTTTACCTTCTCTTTTCTTTACCAGAAAGTCGTGCTAATCCTCCGCGCAAATACAGTTCACTTAAGTTTTAGGTACCCACTCTATACCTACATCGCACCGCATTTTTATTCACTCGCACCACCACACACCACAGTTATAATAATATTTTAACTCACTTACTTGTTATTATAAAGTCTGTCATCATAATTTATTGTGGAATATCACTTGCATATCATCTCTAATTTTTCGTTTCATTATCTAGTTTGTAATTACAATAACGTAATTATTATTTAAGACTAATACATGTCAAAATTAGCTTATCCAGCAAATATGTCATTGCCCCTTATCGGGATAAAAACTGTCCTATCTTTGAAGTTGGAGCAAATACTACACATTTATAAACTTTCACTAAAATCGTCATCAATCATTTCGTAAAATGGATTTCTATTTTTATATCCTACTTACTAGCTTTTATCCGCGACTCCGTCCGCGTGTCCGGGATACGTTTACTGACCGAGGTAAAAAGTAGTTAAACCTTCTCCATCCTATATAGTACATGTATACCAAATTTCACAGTCATTGGTTAAAGCGTTAAGGTGACATAATGTAACAAACAAACACACGCAATTTGACATTTATGATATTAGTAAGGATTGGAAAATTCGATAAGGATGAATATCATGGATGTTTGTTACTCTTACACACAGACACTACTGAACGGATTTGAATGAAATTTGGTACACGGGTTTTTTTTATACAACTTAGAATGGCAAACAAGCTAACGGCCCACCTGATGGAAAGTGGTAACCGTCGCCTATAGATATGAGCAGTACCATGGACATAACAGAGTATACTGTTTCGCCCATGATACCTCCCATGCGTTGCCATTCCTGAGGACTCAGGTGTTATTCCTCTGTACCCTGTAAATTTACGCCATATCCCATCCTTCAAACCGAAACACAGCCATGCAAACACAACTGCTTCACGGTAGAAACACGAATGGGACAGAGGTAATCAAGTAATCGACTTTTGTACAAAGTCTCCCTCGGGTAGGTTATACCATAATTTAATATGCGCTATATTATATTTTATATACTGATTCACACGGCCAAACCCGCTGTTTGTTGCTAGTATTACAATATATCGTTTGTTTCATTGATTGATATATACATGAAATATAGGTATTTACTTTCAAATGTAATTGTTAGTTCATTTTATAACAATTTTTTTACATTTTTACTAATAGGATAAATGTTGAAAAGTCCTACCATAGATTATAATCTTAGATTATATAGATAGATAGTCTCCATAGAAATGCTTCAAGCCAAACGGGTCAACTGTTTCATACAATTTTGCGTGATAAATAGTTATGAGTGATTTCTTTATAATTTCCATATGTATTTTGTCTTATAAATTCTGCATCTTTTTTTTTAATGCGTAAACACAGTTATTTTATTTATTAAACAATACTTCTAGATACATTTTCTGCTAATTTAACGATTAGCTGACAAAAAGCTGACCTGTTTTTGAGATTCGATGCTCTATCTATATAATCTAAGATTATAATAAAGTTATCGTATAAATAAATACATACTTGTAAGTACATGTCACACCTGTCATCCATTAGCATAGCGAAAGAATGGAACTCCAAATACTCACAGGTTACTAATACTTTTTTTCAGCACATCCACCTATTAGATTTGAACCCCTTATTTCTTATGTAATACTATAACCGATGTCTCCGTATCTTTTTCTCTGTCAGTATTAATTTATCACTGTGATCGTACAAATTATCTTATACATATCTTTAAGCATTTTCTCTGTTTATGTTAGTATATAAATAGATATAGTATTATACATATTTTATATCTGTACTAAAATTGTTTTTTTTTTTTTAGAAAGTGCAGCTACGAATGATTTGAAAATATGCCGCATTAGCCGTAGTTGTGGCCGGCCCAGAGGTGGGGATGACGTCTATATTTTTGTGGAAAAAGTGAATAAAAGTATGTACCTTTATACGTCTTAGAAATAAGTGAACCTTCTCTCTATCTGACTGATTCATTATTTGACAAATAGCATTCTTCATTTATGTATTTGTTTATTTTTTGTTAATTTGTTTTTATTCTGTCTGTAATTTTTTGTTCTAGTATTAGGTATATATATACTGACAGCATACTGATGCAGTGGATTATGAACAACCGATGATCATATTAAAACAAGCTGACAGCCCACCAGATACAAAGTGGTAACCGTTAAGGTTATCATTCTTAAGACTAGGGTGTTTTTTTTTGATGGGTGAAAATGGTATGGTAACCCCGCCTGCGCTAACGGAATACGCTGGCGGAGCACCAGTAAAGGGTGATCGATGACAATGAAAACAGGCCAGTTAGCCCATCATGATAAATTCATCAGGAATTAACCATGATAGTTTCCAGGGGGAACCGCGAGGACGTCGACCTGGTTGGGTATATTGCTAGCAATGGGATTCTCAATCTCCATTACTAACAAGCCCTTTCCCCCCAAGACTAGGGTGTTATGCCACTGTGGTTCTATACCTACCCACTAATTTTCTATTGTATTTCACCTTTCAAACCGTAAACAGCCTTTGTATGTTAGATTTCAGTTTATATTTAGGTATTTTAATACCTGCATAAGAAAATCAAATGTGTTAAAATTGTATGTGTAACTGACATATGCAACTTTATTTCAGGTAGAATAATATTTTTTTGTCTGTGATAGAGAAAGATAGCTTAACAGTAATGTTTCTGCAGCACTAATTATTTGTTTTGTTTTTTTTTTTTTTAAGAAAACATTAAGATTCGGTTTTTTGAGGTTTCTGAGAGCGGGGAAGAAGTGTGGAGTGCCTTCGCACATTTCTTAGAGAGCGACGTCCACCACCAGTACGCTATCGTCTTTAGGTAAAGTATAGGGTTATAAATGTTTTAGAATTACATCGTGTTATGTGAAAAAGTTATCTTAAGTTCCATGAGTTGTGCGCTGCAATTGTAATTCGTAAGTTTTCATCTTTACAATGTAAATGTAAAAATCCTATCATTACAAAATTAATACAGGTATATGTAATTAAACCCTGAAATACTGTTATATCTTTTGTGCCATGTAATCACAGTTGTTTCATGGTAGACATATGAGTGTTACAGAAGTACTCAAATGGATGACTTTTATACAAACTCTCTCAAAATCAGTCAAAGTTGATTAAAATTAAGGAGCTCCATGTCCACGTGTGATAAGTATACGAATGTCACAATATACATTTTGTTTACAGGACACCCCAGTATAAGGATCCGTATATAACAGTCGATGTGAAGGTGTGCATAGAACTGGTGCGACCTCTAGACGGCAGGACGAGCGACGCTAAAGAATTCACTTATAAAGCGGAACAGGCTTTCAAACAGAGTAAAAAACGGAAGGCCAACTCATCGTACTCGTCGCTCAGTTCCAATAGTACGTTATTTTTACTTTAATTCTTCTAATAACATATTACTTTTCTGGCAATATACTTCTGTTTTAGTCAATTCTCTTATTTTTCCCCATAAAAGTTAAACAAACCATCGACGTAACTAACGTATGTATGTATGTGAATAATAGTCAACTTATTTTATATAATTATTAATTTTATGCTTGTATGGGTGATGGACGTGTATATATTGTATATATGTATGTATGCATTGGATATATTCTAGGATGACCTTCCACTAGAGCGACCTCAAATCCGTTGTAAGGAGTCAGTGGATGTAAGTGGCTAGAGATCGTTCCTTATGGTAGTCTAATTGGGGAGGCCTATGTTCATCAGTATACAAATATTGGCTGAAATAATGATATCTATTGCTACAAAAATATGTTAGATTAGCCAATGTTTAAAATACTGTTTGAGTCAATGACCTAAACAGTAAGGCGTATGTGTTATAAAGTGGCTTATCACATGCTTCACAATGGCGGCTTTACCATGTGCTATTTCATATAGAAATAGTTTGAGTCGAAATTTGTAGATTGGTTACAATACAACAATACAGCACTTAGAGTGCAAATTTAAAAGTGTAGGAATAAAAATAAGTAATGAATTCAATAGGATTTAATTACTATATAAATACGACTTAATGAATTTCATTATGCATAAAATATTTAGTACTAACCACCCGCCCCGGCTTCGCACGGGTAAATAGATCTGTGTTCTTTTCTTTTAATAAAATACAGCTGATAATGTAGCTTTCTATATGTAAAAAGATTATTCAAAATCGGTTAAGATTTTTTTTTACAAACAAAAAAACAAATCTTTTCTCTTTATAATACTAGCTTAATTCGTCCGCGCGAATTTGGCCATAAAGTATCGTATGTGCTAAATTAGGATATAACCTATTCGATGTACCTTTATTTCAAATCTATTCAGCACCGTGAAGTAATAATAATAGATAATAGAAGTAATAATAAGAATAAGATGCGTTTAGAGCAGTATAAAGTACATATTACATTGTAGATACAACCTTACAATTTTATCATATTTTTTATGCAACCTAGAATGGAAAACAAGCCGAAGGCCCCCCTGATGGAAAGTGCTGACCGCCGCCTATAGACATGAGCAGTACCATGTACATAACAGAGTATACTGTTTCGCACATGATTCCCCTCATGCGTTGTCATTCCTAAGGACTCATGTGTTATTCCTCTGTACCCTGTAAATGCACTGCCATATCCCACCCTTCAAACCGAAACACAGCCATGCAAACAACTGCTTCACGGTAGAAACACGAATGAAACAGAGGCGCCCAAGCAAACGACTTTTGTACAAATATTACTCGAAATAAATGACTAGTGTTATATAAGGGATATCCGCGGACCTGTTACCTGATTATTTGGTCACTTCTTTCGTTTCGATATACGTATTATGTTTTATATTTTACTAGTTTTTACCTGCGACTTCGCCACACGACTGGGTTATGTTGATTGACTAAATAGTAGCTATATCCTTCTACATCTCAAATGTTAATATGGTACATGTAAGCGTATACATATATAAATCGTATTTATTGCTGGCAAAACTCTCCTTATGAGGAAGGCTTATATTCAAAAGTGGGTAGTTATCGGCTGAAACGATAATGATAAGCGTTATATCAAATTTCATAACGACTGGTCGAGCTATAAACGTACTCGTACTAAGAGGTAACAAACGAACACTTTTTCATTTATTATATAAGTAAGTGTTAAAACTATTAATGAATAAATTAACATTTGACATCGTTTGCTATTCTGACATTAAAGCTAATAATAGATTTTTCGCTTCTAGTACTACTACTTCGCTTTCGTAGTGCAAAAATTGGACTACAAATAGTTTTTGATCGTACAGCCACGTGTCCATTTATAGAACCCGATTTCTCACAAATTTTGATATTTACATTATAGTAGGTTTTTATGATCTAATACTTCATAGTAGTCGAATTCACACAAATTCATAATTTGAAATTTTTATAAAAAGCAACACCTGAGTTTCTCGACCTTGCTTTTTAGCTGTAATTGCATTCCGAATGCATGGTACAGTCATATAAATTAATATTAAAAAATGCTTAAATTCAAGCATACTTGAATAAATATATTCTTTTTTTAATAGTAGGATGTCAGAGTTTGTTAGTTACCTCTTGTTCTATTAACGATTCAATTGTCCCAACATTTGGTATATACGTAGTATATATTTAGGTTGAAAAAATATATAGGCTGCTTCTAATTATGTCTCCGATAAAGGGGGAAGGGAATATTAGTATTGGGGAAGTTAATCTTCCACCCTGGAAATTATCATGTTTAATTATTAGTGAAATATGTCCTCGTCCTTCGTTCTCGTCCATTCATCTTCCTCTAGTACCTACCCCTGACATGTGTACTGTTGATATAGACGGGTATGTCATCCCATTATCCATTAAAACAATTTTTCCCGCACTATTAGCATACCTCAATCACGCGAACGAAGTCACAGGTAAAAGCTTACATTGTAGTGACGTGGTGTAGGTGATTTCATTGTATTTTTTACACGTTAGAATTAGCAGATAACAAAAAGTACTCAGTGCTCTAAAGCACTTCAGACACTAAAATATGTTAAATATAGAACAAAATTATCAGAATCCATTGTGCACACTACGCAATCATAAACATACGATGTATGGCCGTGAAATGTAGCAAAGGAAAAATGATTATAAATAATTTTGATCTCCTTAAACGATAGTAATTTAGTTGTGTGCTATTTAAACTATTTCTTTTTAATTAAATTTTATCGGCTCCCAAAAGAAGCTTTTGAATGCGTCCTTTTTTTATGGCTCTTACACGATTACGTTCCCAATTTTGAACTGATTTTTCCAATTCTTTTTGTAGTCTATTGTTTGGGTTTAATTCAAATTGGTTTTTTTTTTGCACAGAAAAATACTGGGCGTTTATAGACACGTAATTACTCGTTCTAAATTTAAATATTTTCAATCTGTCTACGAACATCTCGTCATTAAAAGGTTTATGTCGTTTTTTTTTTTGTGAAATATTTAATTATCCAACTTTAATTTTATATAAAAGACTGTCGTTACGTTGATTAGGTCTTACTACTTAAATTTCTTGAATTATACTCAGGCAAGTTCACTGAGTTTCCGAATTCAATTCGAGATATACTGTTGAGTTAAAGTACCAAACCAATATATAATTTGAGTATATCACTCCACTAGATATTACATACATTATAACGAATTTGCACATAATTCGGTCGGACGGCGTTACCCGTGTTAGTTTTAAAATTGTTCTAGGAAGACATACGTTAACAGGTTATAAATAGACCGATTCCTCGATGTTTACATTACTTTTGATATAAATATTGTTGTATAATGTCCTCTTTGAATATGTATGTAAATAAAAATACAGTTTGTAAGCGCATCACATCAGAATGGCTGTGCCTATTTGGTTAAACCCTTTTTGTTGTGATTATTAAGATAAGATATGTGTGAAAGACAATGTTTGATACATAGTTGATAAAAAAGTGAAAAATTACACCCGTGCTTATACGTAGGTGAGAAGCTCGTTTAAAATACAAATAGAAGGGTTTCCTGGAAAATACAAGTAAACTTTTAAGATAGAATAATTGATATTTCACAATATCATCTTAATTTTTTTTATTTATTATTACAAAAATTCAGAAACACTTGTACTTCTAATTTCAATGTCATAGTGTTTCGTGACCTCAAAAGTTAGAAACAGTTTTTTTTTATACAATTTAGAATGGCAAACAAGCTGACGGCCCACCTGATGGAAAGTGGTAACCGTCGCTTATAGACATGAGCAGTACTATGGACATAACAGAGTATACTGTTTCGCCCATGATACCCCCCATGCGTTGCCATTCCTGAGGACTCGGGGTGTTATTCCTCTGTACCCAGTAAATTCACGTTGTTGTAAATAACAAGCCATAAATAGAACGCACTCGGCAACGACAACAACGCATTGTTCTAAAAAATTTACACATGAGAATTAGCTTCTTAAGAGCCATTATTTTAAATGTTCATACAGAGATTCTTAAATTATATTTAACACCAGCCGTTTCCCGTGGCGTTGCCCGTTTCTAACTTTATATCATTCCCATTGTAACTCTTCATAAGTCCGTTTTTATATTGTATTATATACTTAAATGGATAATTACGTACCTAATATCTTCATAAAGTTTCAGCCAATTGAACTGATCTAGGTATTATTTTATATCATTTTATATGATTCTTTAGAATGATATAACTTTTTTATTTATTAAGCGATTGAAATAAACAATAAATGTTAAATGAAGTAAACCGCAACGCATCAATGAAAACCGCATTAAAATCGATTAATCCGTTTCTGAGATTAGCGTGCACAAACGTACAGACAAACAGACAAAAATTCTAAAGAATCATTATTTTGGGTTCAACTGCGTTCATAAAAGCTCTCCTATAATAGTTTTCCTTATATATAATATCTTCCATGTACAGACAGCGACCAGTTACGCTATTTTATTATATGTATTGGTTTGATAAGTGATGCAGAAGGTGTTGGATTAATGTTATTTTGTTTACATTCACTACAAGAGCTTACACAGATTACCGAGTATCGAAGGACGCTCTTTTGTGTTAGCCGATTTGCATGAACATATGCGTTGCCTGCAATACTACGTTGTATTATGACAAAAATATATACCGAAAATAAATAAAATGACAGAAACCAGTAGCTGGTGAGATTGAGTACCGCGAAATAACATTCAACTAAAAATGTTACGTAAACATTGTTGGTTTTTGGTTCTGAAAACTGCGTACTTAGGCACCTTTGTCCCATTCGTGATTCTACCGTGAAACTGTTGTTTGCATGGCTGTGTTTCGGTTTAAAAGGTGGGATATGGCAATGCATTTACAGGGTACAGATGAATAACACATGAGTCTTTGGGAATGGCAACGCATGAGGAGTATCATGGGCGAAACAGTATACTCTGTTATGTCCATGTACTACTCATGTCTATAGGCGGCGGTCAGCACTTTCCATCAGGTGAGCCGTTAGATTGTTTGCCATTCTAAGTTGCATAAACAAAATCAATGGTACGTTATGACTTTTTTAATAGATGAAAATGGCATAGTAACTGTGTTTTTGTTTTCGGCATATACTGATAGGGTACTAGTGAGGGATTGTGAGGATGAAAGTTGCTCATACAGCTCATCGTGACGAATTTCCCAAGAATTAACCACGATGGTTTCCAAGGAGAACAGCGTGGAGGTCGACTTGGAGGATATATTAGTAGTAAAGGGGCTATTAGTGCCCATTCTTAAATTGCTAGTAATGGGGACTAACAGCCCCATTGCAAATAAGTCGCTTTTCCTGCACACGTGGTTGGTTGAGGTACTCTATAGTGTTCTAACTAATGGTCAATCTGGTTTATGTAGAGAGAGACAGCCTTCACCAATCGGCTCTAATGAAATACATCTTTATAACGTCGTTATAAGGGCTCATTTTAAATGATAATAAAAATGTGAATATTCTGTTGCGATGTGACTTTGCAATGTTATTTGTTTCAGGTGGCTCTATAAAGAGCATCGGCGATGTTCCGGCTACAGTCATGTTTGTGAATAGCGTGAGTACCAACCCTACATTATGTAACTAATTTCAAATAGCCCAAAACTTGATGAAATTCTAGCAGCTGTATAGGCTTTTTCGACACTATTTCATAATAAAGTTCATTTTAAATAATCGCGTACCAAACTTAACTATTTTTATTTCATGAAACAATTTGATGCTTACTTTGCAAAATTAATTGTTGGTGAAATTAATGTGCAACTAGTTTTATGATTTTCAATATATTAATTAAACCTAATATGTATTATATTTTCTTATTGGTCAAAACTGTTATCTTCTGATTAGTGGCCAACCGTGCCTCTTGCTACGCCAAGTAGCGTCTACCTATTCTCAATATAATTATGAATTAACGATATTCATAGTATTCATACATATATCATTTGTATTGCGCTCTTTGAATAATAATAATACTAATAAGTTTTTGTAGTTGAGTTTGTTTGCCATCTCTCCTTCTTAAAATATGTGAAATTTGTTTAAAAAAAAGAATTGAATTTAGTCCTTAGGAATAACAGTGCTGGAGGGGTACTATGAGCGTCACAGTGTATTCTTTGGTAGCCATCGTGATATTTATATTCATACATGGTGACGATTACCAGTTTCTATTAGGTGGGCTTTAAATCGTTTATTATTCCAAATTGTATAAATTTTACTTATATAAAAATAGAGGAATGATTTTGACACTATGTTTATTCTATCAACCCTATAAGGAACATAACGTGAATATAGTATAAACTTGTGTAAATGTATGTAAAGAAAATCAATACTAGAAATAAATACTCAATTCAGACTACAATGCGTTTATACATAAACAGTTTTTGTTTATTGCATCGGATGTGTATATTTTAAGTAATATGTGGTTTACTAAATAATTATGTCATTGTGACTAATAATTGTATGTATACATACACCACATCAATACGCTACTCGTTTGTATTTAAAAACTTAACAATTTTAACCTATTTCCACCTCCAAAATACATTTGTAGATGAGTTTTTTTCTCTTTAAATAAAATATTGTTTTAATGATGGTCCTGTTATAGTCAAAAACGCTTGGGGATTCCGTATTGGATGACTACATTGACTGTTTTAATAATAGGAATAGAAAAAATATTTATTTGGCATTTGACATTACACGTACGTGTACTTAAATATTTCAGTAAATACCGAATAGGACTCCCTCCCACTCAGTATATGCTGTGGTGTTTGGATATACCACAGCGTTGATTTCTAGTGGGCTCATAACAAGAAATAGCGTTCATATATTCGTTAAAATTATATAAAAAAAAATGCAAAAGTGAGTTATTCAAATACACTTATTGTTCATAGTACTCCTGTGTGTTCAATTATAATATATATACATTTATGAATTGTATGTATACAGAGGTAATATATGTTAATATTTACATGTTACTAATTAATGCTTTTTTATATTTTAGCAAGCAAACAACTTATGTGAGGATGACAACAAATACGACCTTAAAATGTCTACATTCCAGACCGTAAGTTAAACATTATTTACTAAAGCATTATTATATAGTTTTTATTGTTAGAATAGTGTTGTGAATCCATGAATCCGAGAGACGCGTGTTAGTTCACACTCTGCTTTGTTAGATTTAAATATGCTCCGCAAATTGCGGGCAATGCTAAAACTAGTATATATTATGTATGTATTTTTATTTAGTACTATACAATTCTAGCAGTCGCCTAGTCATTATGCTAGGAAATTCTGTGAATGATGAATCATACAATGAACATCTGGGCGTATAAACTAGAACCTCCATACACCCAGACTCGAGCGAATTTAAAAAAGTTCATTTACTAAATTTGCCTGATCCGCAATTGAACCTGGGACATAATTTACATAAAACAACTTCCCCATGTTTATATATAATGTATTCTAGCTAGTCAATGCATTCCGTTAAAAAGATTGAAGTAATGACCCTACTTGTACTTTATGTAGTTATATTATAATGAGGATTATGGACATGATTGGGCTAGTTACATCAGTCGCAAATAACTTGCTGTAAATACAGCGTTGCCGAGGTCGACCCAGGAAGCGATGACGTGATGACCTAGACGCATATAAAAAGAATTGGTTCGAGGCAGTGCAGAGCCACAAAGTACAAAATTTTAGAAGATGATATTTTAGAGGAACAGAAAAAAAAGCCGATTTCAATTGTATTAAAACCAGTTATATCGATTTAAAAACTAACCTATTGAACCGGTTTTGATTGAATTTCTATGAAATCTGTAAATATAGGATATATTAATAAAACAAAAGAATCTTCCAAATCGGTTTACAATTGACGAAGTTATGATGTAACATAAAAAAAAAATAAAGCCGAATTGTAAACCTCTTGCTTTTTAAAGTCGTTTAAAAATAGAGGATACTTTTACCAAGTTTAACCAAGGAACAATTTGATAGTATTATTATTGTCGAACGTGATGTCATTCCTGTGATATTGCAAAAATTGACTATACAATAAAACAGTAGGTACGTAGTGTATTGATAATACTTTGTAATAAATCGTGTAGGTACCTACTCAAGTACAAGGCCAAATCAGGATAACGGGAGGCGAATGCGGTCTAGACGCTTATTTAATTGTAATCATCAGCTACTACGGACAGAATTTTAATGAATTGATTAGTTATTTAATGTTCCTTGCGTCTAGGACTTGCATTCGAATGTTCGAATAAATCGGCAATTATTTGAGAATTAATATCCGAATAGTTAATCAGTACCATTCCAATATATTCGAATAATTTTACAATTACATTTCTTATTAATAAAATAAAAGAAAATACACTTAATAAAATTAGTTTTGAATCGAGCGATTTCATCCTTACAGCGTTATCAAAGTGACAAACTAAAAGAGCTAGAATGATATTCTTACACTATGTAGTTATTTTCAATCTTCAGAAAAATCATTGGAGGTGTAATTTCAGTATTAATATAAGTTATTTCATTACTTTCTGCTTGATCTTATTACCGAATTCCGCCAATTGTTACCACTTATAAATCTCGGATATGACGGACGATGCACGCAAATATCTTTTCGTTAAATCTGAAAGAACATGTACTTACATGATCTTACATGGTCTTAGTAATGTCTAAGAACACCTCTTCGTTTCCTTCACAGTTCCTCTCGTTGTTCACGTAGAAAATAGAATTAAATTAAAAATAAAGTAGTCATTTTGCTATGCCTAGTGTTATAATTGAACATTCCATTGCCTTATCTCCTTAATCATTTCGCGAACACTCATTTTTCACGGCTTCTACCATATTTTTCCATTTATTTAAAACCTGAGTTTATTAGATCGTGCTTTTTTTAATGGGTGAAGATGGAATGATAACCCCGTCTGCGCTATCAGTATACGCTGGCGGGGTACCAGTTAGGGATGATAGATGACAATGAAAGCAGGTCAGCTAGCCCACCGTGACGAATTCCTTTAGAATTAACTACAATGGTTTCCAGGGGGAACCGCGTGGAGGTCGACCTGATATGGTGTAATGCTAGCAATGGATCAGATATACCCCATTACTAACAATCCTTTTCTTCCCAGATCGTGCATACTAGAATGCACTTAAATTCTCCAACTTATTTTTTAACATATCTATTGATTTCCTTCATATGATGAAATACTCTATTTATAAAGGGAACAAACTCGTTTGTTATTTTTTTGTTTTTCTTATGGATTATTCGAATATCAAAATCATCGAATATTTGCAAGCTTTACTTACGAGGCATGTTCACCTTTGTTATTTTGCGCTCGTTGTTGTGTTTTGTTTTGCAGTAATTGCGCGTATAAAAGCCAACTCTCTTATTTATCATATTTATTATAAACTAAAACCTTCTACAAATATATTTTAACTATTGCACTGTTTTGACATTTTCTTTTAAATTGATAATTTACTCGAAAGGGGCAAACAGTTCAATACCTAAAATAGGTATATTAAAGGTTTAACGTTTTTATAAATAAGGGGATAATAATGTATATATCTATATTAGATTTTTTTTTATTAGATATAGTTCTTGTGCCGAATAATATTGTTTTTTTTTTTCTTTTCTCTTCTACCCAAAGATTGTATGGAAGAGATTGCTTTAGCGAGAAGACCGGCTTTTTGTACTTCATAAGTGTAATATATTGTTTTTTTTATAATTCTTTAAATAGTGCAATAAAGAGTATATAAATAAATATATATTTATAGTTTATAATATGCAATGATAGATATAATATGTACTATTTAGCAATATAAAAGATTGCAAGCCTTTTAGTAATAAAAATAAAGAACAAGTATTCAAAGTTAATTTAATTTAGAAATCATACTATCACACTATTATATCATATTTATATTTATTTACTTTATATAATGTAATAAAAAAATATTCAACTTTTCTAAATCCATTAATATTTAATTAGTAGCAACTTCGCCGAAACTTCACCAACAATAACAGTGATATGTAATGTAATGACTGCGCGGTTTACTTTACTCGTTTACTCTTGACACCTCAGGGAGGTCTGTTTGACGTTTAGATAAGAAATGTCGCCCTACTATACATTTAACCATTTCACGAAATTATATTCATTATTGCCATTTGGACGTGGTATTCTGAAAGTGCCTTTATATTATTGAAATTCTATATAAATTAGGCTACTGCTTCACAAAATAATATTGTCTGTTTTAATGAAATTTAATGAAGAGAACCAAATTTTGTAGACATTTTTAAAGAAACAAATCTCAACATTAATTTTTTTTTTGTACTACACACTTAATTGCATTTGTACCGCATTGGACATCAGCGACAGCCTATGGTCTGGTCGATTATTCGTTTACAATAACTCTCTGTTGAATATAATGTCCCCAAAAGTTATGCCAGTAGTTGTCACGCTTGGCAGGCGGGTTGACAACCGCAGTTTTTTTTTTTTGATGGGTGAAAATGGTATGGTAACCCCGCCTACGCTAACGGGATACGCAGGCGGAGCACCAGTGAAGGGTGATAGGTGAGAATGAAAACAGGTCAGTTAGCCCATCATGATGAATTCATCAGGAATTAACCATGATAGTTTCCAGGGGGAACCGCGAGGAGGTCGCCCTGGTTGGGTATATTGCAAAGCGACAACCGCAGTTAGACTTTGATGATATTTTAAAAGGAACGCTGCTGTCCATCCCTCGACGATTAAGTTTCCTTAGTTCCTCTTACGACACCCATGGGAAGTGAAGGCGTGGTTCATTCATCCATTATCATCATTTCAGCCATTATCCGTCCACTGCTGGACATAGGCTTCCTCCATAGACTGCCATAAGGAATAGTTCTTATTAATATACAAAGAATATATTAATTAAATTTTTGTTTGTTCTTAGATACCGCAAATACCAGTGCCTCTAAATTCACCCGGTAACGACCTAGGGAATGCTCTCTTGATGGATATAACAGGAGCCACGCCGAGCCCCGATAACAAGCAGCACTTACTAAACAACAACCCGATGATAGGACAACCCAATATACCTTCATTGCCCGACTTTAATTCCGCCGAGCTGAGACAGATACTTGAAAACAACTCGAGTATCTCGACGGAGGATAAAAAACGATTTGCCGAGGTTGATTTGTCTGGTGAGTGACATTACTTAGATGATTTATAAGGTTGAAATTAAGATTCCTTCCAAAAAAAAACTTCAATCTTGACAAAACCAGTTATTTTTATTTAAAAACTAAACTACAGTACCGATTTTAATATAATGTCTATATGGGATCAATTTGAAAATAAGATATTTTCAAGAATATTTCAGATAAGAAAAAATTCAAATGGGTTTCTAAATGACGGAGTTATAACACATAACAAAATACAAACAAAATAACCTCCTCTTTTTTTTAAATTGGTTAAAATTTACCTTCCAATAACTCGATCGTATGAAATTCGACCTACATCTCTGCTATCCAGTCATAATGTATTCTGTTTTTATTGTTCATGGTGCAGTTCATGTATAAGCGACGGTTACCATCTCCTTTTTTTAATGGAAGATAATGAAATTATAGTTACGCTTGCACTAACGGTATATGCTAGCGGAGTACTAGCGAGTGATGATAGATGAGAATGGAAAGATCAGTTAACCCATCGTGATAAATACACCTGGAATTCAACACCATGGTTTCCAGGGGCGACTATGTGGAGATTTACCTGACTGAATATATTGCTAGCAATGGGACTGGTAGTCCATATTGCTTTTAACTCCTTTCCCTTCCCTTACCATTTCCCATTAGATCAGCTTATTTGCCAATAAGATTTATACTTAGTACTGAATTTCACCATCGTATAACCCATCATCATAATCATCAGGATGAATGGCGGTCCTCAACTCTATATTTTTCAAGGCATTTTCTTTTTAATTTTTTTTTTGTTTTCATTTGGAATCAACGTACAGCACCGGTATTTCCGAACCGATGTGATATCGCGACCTTTATAAACAACATATTAATTTTTAAAGGCCGATGATTAAGGGCTGACAGCATTATTTCCGTGTTATGGGTGCTCATGGGTGGTGGTAGTCATTTACCATCAGAGGGAGACTTTGTACAAAAGTCGATTGCTTGGGTACCTCTGTCCCATTCGTGTTTCAACCGTGAAGCAGTTGTGTTTGCATAGCTGTGTTTCGATTTGAAGGGTAGGATATGGCGTGAATTTACTGGGTACAGAGGAATAACACCCGAGTCCTCAGGAATGGCAACGCATGGGGGGTATCATGGGCGAAACAGTATACTCTGTTATGTCCATGGTACTGCTCATGTCTATAGGCGACGGTTATCACTTTCCATCAGGTGGTCCGTCAGCTTGTTTGCCATTCTATGTTGTATAAAAAAAAGGTGAGATACATTCTCATTTTCCACCAGTGTTATAAAAACAGTTTTATAAAAAAATACGCGGCTGTAGCTGCAGTATAATAGCGAGTTAATTCAGTAATTTATATTTATGTTATTATTTCTGTTTCAGAATATTTAAGCTCATTCCAGGACAGTTTCTCTGATGAGGTATGTATTATTAAATATTTTTGGATTTTTTTAATATCTCTAAACCTTTAAATAATATATGCATATCTGTAATACAAACACACACACACACACACACACATATATATAAATCATTTACGATTTTATTTTCCCAACCTATTGATTTTATAGAGAAGTGTTAAATGAATAGCCGATTGCCTCATCAACATGGTGGCATAAGCAAATCTATTTAGAAAGATCGCATTGACTTTAGAGTGAACAGCGAATCTCCGATGACTTTTTTTGAGCGACTGTCAATAATTTGTCCAAGTGTACCTCAGTAAAGGGAGTTAGTTAGTCTTGTTTTTTTCTTTTATAACTTATTCAGAGGCGCTAGGTAGGTTAATGCTAGGTCTGAACATAAAGTAGGAACCATAGTATATAGAAACACTAAATTTATTACGTCATTCCTGAGATGGGCTAGCAATTGGAAAGTTATTTTTTAATATAGCAACGTCCGGCATGACACTGCACAATTTTAACATCATGATAGAATAAGACAAGAAAATGTTATCATCTCCTATACTTCTTCTGAACACATAATGTGTTTGAGATTTGCACAAAAACCTGTGGACTGACTGATGGGAACTTCATTAATGTATTGGATAAAAATTATCATGATGATTTGAAATCAGTATGATTTTCCTTATACTCGTACGAAGTAAACAGTTTTGTTTTATACTTCAAAATATGGATGTATTTTGATGGAATTTTGGAGAATTTTGTTACATTATGTATAATGCATATGATGTAAAAAAAATCCGAAAAAGAGAAAAAAGAAAATTCTATAAAGAATATACTATATATATAATAGAATATAGTATACGAGTATTTATAGATTTTTTTCTAAAAAGACTGATTTATGTTGACAATGTTATTATTTGCAAATTTATTTTGAAATGCAGCTTACAATTGTTTTTTGTTTCAGCCGAGTAGCATGAACTTCCTAGTAAGTTCAATGCTGGTTTCAGATTCTGGCCGTGCAAAGGTTTGTTGTTTACTTATTTATTTTTTTATTTTTACCTATTTTACTAATCAATATGGAAATCCGTTATAGTGTGCTGTTAAATGAATGTCAACTGTATTATCTCTTACAAATATTAGGTCTCTGATAATAACGAAGCCTCGATATATATAACCGTATGAAAAACAAAGCTTGCTATTTTGGGTGGGTCCTTGATCTTTGATCCATTATATTCTTTTCCAATTTATTCCAAAGATTTCTAATATATTCTTTTGATATAGAATATATAGGAAATGGGCAGTAGTTTTCGTTTTTAGTAAAAAAATATACTATTTAATAAATAATAAATAAATACCACATAGTATTATTACACAGCACCATTTGGTTTTAAACTAAGCAAAGCTTAATGGTTATAGGCAATCGATATCAATCAATCGTCCGTAGCCATATTTAAATACTATTTTTGATAAATACATATTTATTATACATGGAGAACACTCACAAAAAATTCCACTCTAACCCCCCCCCCCTCCCTCCCCAGGTTCCCCCTGGTTGGTAGGGATAAGTGGAACTGACCATCATTACAAACAGTCGTACACATGATTACAATTTTTTGTATTATTCGGTGTAAAATTCAATTCGATTTCGAGACCACTGGAAGGTTTTTTCATTGATGATAATGGAATGGTAACTCTGCCTGCGTTAACAGTATATGCTGGCGGAGTACCAGCTAGTGATGAAAGATGAGAATGGAAAGATCAGTTAGCCCATCGTGATGAATAAACCTAGAATTTAGCACCATGATTTCCAGGAGGGCTACTTGGATGTTGACCTGACAGGGTATATCAATGGGACTGGTAATTCGCATAACTAACAATCCCCCCTCCCCCACCATCATCGGAAGATTAGGCTAAGTGTTTAGTGATTAATGTGCTAATCTGCTACATCACCAAGGCCATTTGATAATACATATTTTATTTATATGTAATATATATTTTTTAGGGAACTGATAAAAAGTCCAGCACTAGTACTATTAAATCATCCAGGAAAAAAGAGGAAATGAAGCCTAAAATTGTTGAAAAAGCAAACAGCGAGTATTCGGCGTCTTATACCTCAAAAGATGGTACGGATGTGAAGCGGGTTAGTACAAATATTTATATTGATATAATAAAACTATCCGTTTTTTTTTTATTAATTTCTGTAATTTTTTTTTTTTTACTATAGCTGTGTCCAAAATATCTTCTTCAATTAAAAAAAAGCAAGGAGAAAATTTACATGAACTTTTTATCTTGTTACAATAGAAGGAATTATTAATAAAGATCAATAATTCGTTCTATTATTTAACTTATTAAAAAGTTACTTTAAATAGATGTCTGTATCATTATAGTTATTATTGTGTAATGCAGAGCATGACATCTATTTTACTAATATTTGCATATTTCTTGATACAACAATGTAATTTATTTTACAGATACCCTATTTTAGTAATATAAAACATGTTGTTTACTGAATCTTGTACTATTTTAATATAGCGAAACTGCACAAAAATATGTATCTAATAGAAGGCATTAGTGTCTAAGATACAGGCTAGGCCTAGTTTAGATACTAATGTGCTGGGCATAATGCTACACTTTATACACATATAAAAATTCACTTTTAAATTTCTGTAAGCCCATGACTGTATATTTTTATATGCAATAAATCTTTATTATTATTATTTTACTTATTCATTTTTAGTTGGTTGCTGAAATCTGTGATATAATTCGTCAGAAACAAATTACTAAGAAATCAGTAGTTAGAGATAAGCTGGAACAATTGTTCGAAAGACGATTATCAAATGGTGACACGTGAGTATATAAATTGTTCATATTTATAATAATTATAAAATAAGTACATCGAATTATATATTTACCACAACCGCAGCCGTCGAATTAATCTTTTTCTGACAACTATTTTTGATTACAATCGTTAACATATTTGTCTATTTTTATTTTATCGCCGTGCAATCCCGGCATAGAATGGGCCGCCTATTCCTATCCCTTGGGTGTCGTAAGAGGTGACTAAGAGAACTTAATGGTCGATGGATGGGCAACTGCGTCCCTCTTAAAACATCACCAAATCCTAACTACGGTAGTTAACTACTTACAACCCCACTCACGAGACAGACCTATGTTCAGCAGAGGACAGTTAATGGCTGATATGATAATGATGATTTTATTTATAGTATGATTGTATGTTATTTTTGCAATTCCTATTAACTGTAATATGACCCTTCGATATTTTTTAATCCGTTCTATAGTTTTCAAATAATTCGTTAAAAAACCATTTGATTTTTATTTTTAAACCCTTAAATGAATACCTTTGCCCTTTCGTTCATAAATGGCCATTTTTTGACATATTTATTTTAACTCGATAAGCAACTAAGTTTCAGGCTTGTAACAATTTTTCCATTTTTACTTTATAGCAAATTTTATTGGGCTATTTTGCAATGGATAGTTTTTACTTTTGTGTTAGTATTAAATATACTAATTTTGTCTGGAGTAAAAGTATGAACACCTTAAACTTAATCACCAGAAGGATATTTTGTAATAAAATCGTTTGCTTATGCACCTCTGTCCCATTCGTGTTTCTATCGTGAAGCAGTTATGTTTGCATGGCTGTGTTTCGGTTTGTAAGGCTGTAAATTTACAGGGTACAGAGGAATAACACCCGAGTCCTCAGGAATGGCAACGTATGGGGAGTGTCATGGACCAAACAGTATACTCTGTTATGTCCATGGTACTGCTCATGTCTATAGGTGACGGTTACTACTTTCCATCAGGTGGGCCGTCAGATTGTTGCCATTCTAAGTTCCATAAAAAAAAATATTTTAAAATTAACATCTTTTTATGTAGTAAAATCTTAAATTATTACTTTCAGCTTCTTGCACATGACGTTATGCAGTAATCAACCTAGTCTACAATATATTGTGAAACTAGTACATAGTATGGGCATGACACATCTGCTCAATCTTAAGAACAATTTGTCACAGACAGTGCTGCATCTAGCCATAGTCCATGAAACACCTGAACATATTAAGTTCCTTGTATCAAGAGGTAAGAAAATGTTGTTTTTCGTTTTTTTTTTAAACTAGTATATTAGAGAAAAAATGTTAAAATCCTCTACATGGTAGAGCATCCGTACCGTAACCTTGCGGGATGGCCTATTCTGTGGCGCTTTGCCTTCATCCTATAAACTTCGGATCCTTTAAACCTAACTTTACGTTAAGTACGCTAAATGATCTGGTAAAGTTAAAAAAAACCTTCCTCTTTTTGGTTCATTCTATGCATATTTAAAGAACTTGCACGTATTAGAAAAGCAATTTATTATTTATAATATTTAATATCTATATATATATATATATATATATATATATATATATATATATATATATGTAAAATGATATGTGGAGTACTACGTAATACTAACTTTACATATATGTATATAATATATTCTGTAGCAATATAAAGGTTGTAAGCCTCTTAGTAATAAATAGAAATAAAGCAAAAGTTCTTACAGTTCATTTAATCTAGATATCATACTATTAAATCATATATTTACTTATTTTACTTTATATTTGATATATAACATAATTACCAAACTTATGTTAGTCCATTGACACTTATTTAAATATAGCTTCTTTAGGACTTACATTAAAAATAATTGTGATATATTTTATATAATGATCACGTGGTTCACTATACTGGTTTTCAGTACGACTACCGTTCAGTTAACATATTGTAAGAATCGCTCAACACTATTATTTTAAAAGGTGAAGTTTAGAGTTGCCATTCCAATCTTTAACTAAGTGAATTCTGAAATTGAATCCTTTTGTGTTTGAATTGTGGTGTGACTTGAAATATTTATGGTAGTTTTTATGGTTTTTTCAATCAAATCTATTAATACGTAAAAACAAAATACCCACGAAAGGTGGTTACTGTAAGTGTCTTATGATAACGCGTAAGCGACGCGTTCTCCACGGCGCTTACGACGTTCTTCTCGCGGTTTCGCTGAGTTTGTGATATACTTTGCAACCTGGTACTGATTTATTGTTAAGGCTCCAAAATAACACGAAATTCTTTGAAATTGTTAATACGCCGATTAATTGATAATAACCTTGAAGCAATAACACCAATACTTTTTTTTTTTTTTTTTTACAAAATTTATTGAATAACACTTTTTACATTATGCCCTTGGTTTCGAATACATGGGGTTGCTGTAGTGGTGAATCGTCAAATAAAGATGAAAAATTTATCAATTGTAATGGATGTAAAAGGTCATACCATTTTCTTTGTTTGTCAATTGATGAAATCGGAAAGGATTCGAGGATTTTTCGAATATGGAAGTGCCCGGGATGTTTGAACCAGACTCCGAAATCCTTGAGAAGCGATTCGACTCCCGTGTGTAATTCGTCCACGCCTCGAGTAAGTAAAAGACCTGCACTGAACTCACCATCTCCTATTGGAATGTCCGCCACTAAAGAGGATATGCGTTCTATTATACAAGAAGTTATAAAGGAGGAATTCAGTGCTATGATAGAACGCATCAATACTTCTATGATAAACACCATCATCGAACATATGGAACCTATAAAAAGGGAAATAAGCGACATTGTCCACTCTATAGATCTTATTAATAAAAGATTTGAAGAAATTGAGTGTGAACAATCGACTTTAAATAGAATCGTAAAAGATGTGCAAGAAGAAAATACCATATTAAGAAGTACAGTCTCAGATTTGAACCAGCGTTTTAATTTGATAGAGCAGCAGTCTCGTGCTAATAATTTGGAGATACAGTGCATGCCTGAAAACAAACATGAAAATATCTACACAATTGTTAAACAGCTGGGTGAGGTAGTTGGATGTGAAGTAAACGAGACTGACATTGTGCATTGCTCTCGAATCGCCAAAATTAAATCCGCTAGTGATAGACCTAGGTCAATTGTAATCCAGCTTGCTTCTCCAAGAATTCGCGACCGGTTGTTGGCAGCTGTTATCAAATTTAATAAATCCAACCCTCAGAACAGGTTAAATAGTACACATTTCGGATTTAAGACCAAAAAATCGCCGATTTATATTGTAGAGCATTTGTCTCCATCCAACAAGGCACTACATGCAGCTACGCGACATAAAGCGAAAGAAAAGGGATATAAATATGTTTGGGTTAGAGGTGGCAGAATATTCGTACGGAAAAACGAGGAAGCTGGTTATGTTTTTATAAGAAATTTGGATACACTTGAAATACTTTAATTTTCTTGTTTATATATCTATTTATAACATTTACTTATTACTGCATGTTTAGTTATGTCTACCAAATTTAACAATTTACATATATACTACCAAAACTGCCGTGGCTTGAGAACGAAAACTCATATTTTCTCGAGCAACGTTAGTGGTAATGATTACGATATAGTAATTCTTTCAGAAACATGGCTTAATGATACTGTATTGAGCGGAGAGCTATTCGATGACAGATACGTAGTGTATCGAAGGGACAGGGAAAGTTCGATGTATCGGGGTAAGGAGGGTGGCGGTGTTCTAATTGCTATAAAGAAACCCATTAAATCAAAACGCATTAGTACTTGGGAAAGTTGTCTTGAAGATCTCTGGGTAACTATTGATATACCTGCTACGTGTCGTTTTCGTCGAATGGTTTTCTGTGCTGTATACCTTCCTCCTCCAGTCAGCAGGTCTGCTATGGAGTTATTTGTTAATAATTGTAATGCTACTTTTGAACAGATTACTAATTCAGAAATATGTGTCGTGGGAGACTTTAATATGGGTAACATTGACTGGAGGACCGTATTCTCTACTCATGATACCACTCAAAATAATGGATCCAGCACACGTGAAATTTTGATAGATTTTACATGTGTAAATTTATTACAGCAGCACAATTATGTTACTAACCCTGCTGGTCGTACCCTTGATCTCGTTTTCTCAACCCTTCAAACTTTTACGGTTAATGAAAGTACTAGTGTTCTATGTGTTGTTGATCAGCTTCACCCTCCTCTTGATATTAATGTTGTAATGGGTGGTGATTTAAAACTGCCATATAATACCGATGCAAAGAGACTAAATTATTACAAGGCTAACTATGACATAATTCGGGAACAGTTAAAATCAATAAATTGGGATGAACTGTTTGGAGTTGAGGATACTGTAAATGAAATGGTTGATGTATTTTATGAGATTTTAAATTCAACTATAACAAATTGTGTACCTTTACGCAAATATAAGAATAATAGGTTTCCACCATGGTTTAACCGTAATCTGATAAAAATGTTAAAAGAAAAAAACAAATTGAGAGAACGTTATAATAAATATAAAAATCCTTTAGACGCGATAGAGTTAAAAATTGTGGCAAAACGAAGCGAAAAATTAATTAAATATTGTTATCGTAATTACACACAGAATATAGAGAGTAATCTAACCAGTAATCCAAAATTATTTTGGACTTATGTTAAGGCTAAGCGTGGCGGATCCAGTATATATCCAGCCAATATGACGGATGGTTCTTATACTACATCTGATCCAGGGCAAATATGCGAGTTGTTCGCTTCTTATTTCTCCTCCGTGTATGATTTAGATGATATAAATGAACACAAACATAATTCCAGCTTCTTGTACAATTTAGAAACCAATAGTCAATGCATGATACTTCCAACCATTGAATATGATATCTTACTTAAAAAATTATTGAACATTGACTGCAACAAGGGAATGGGACCAGATGAAATACCACCCTTATTTATCAAAGAATGCGCACGCGAGTTAGTGTACCCACTTATGTTGATTTATAGTAAATCTCTTACTACAGGAGTTTTCCCTACAAAATGGAAGATGGCAAAAGTAGTTCCAATACATAAATCGGGAGAGGATGACGCGGTAGGCAACTATCGGCCAATTTCCATTCTATCTTGGTTTGGTAAAATTTTCGAATCAATTATTTGCACTCATCTGCAGAATCATCTTGCCTTATATCTGAGTAATTGTCAACATGGTTTTACTGGTTCGCGGTCTACAAGTACAAACTTGGCATCGTTCACTGAACTCCTAATAGGAGCAATTGATGCTGGAGAGCAGATTGATGTTATATACACAGACTTTTGCAAAGCTTTCGATAAGGTCTCTCACAAAATTATTATTTATAAACTGCGCGCCTATGGTATTACAGGATCTTTATTAGATTGGATGGCTTCATATTTAATGGAAAGGACTTTCTTTGTAGTAGTAAATGGGTTTCAATCGGCATCTTGTAAAATTACATCTGGAGTACCCCAGGGATCTCACCTGGGACCGATTCTTTTTAATCTTTTTGTAAATGAAATCCTTGAGTGTTTTCTTTTCTCACAAGTATTTATGTACGCAGACGACTTAAAATTTGCTAGAATTATTAAATCCTATAACGATGTTACGCTCCTACAAAGTGATCTTGATAGGCTTATTAGTTGGTGTGATATCAATAACATGAATTTGAACCCTAAAAAATGTCGTATAATAAAATTTAGTAGAAAGCATAATTTAATATATTCACAATACCGAATCAAAAATGAAATAATTGAAGAGAGTAGAAGTATGCGTGATCTAGGTGTATTATACGATCAACAATTAACGTTTGTTCCTCACCTAAATAACATTATTAATAAAGCTTCAAGGATGCTTGGTTTTGTTATAAGAACCTGTAAAGTATTTCATAACAGTAACATTAAAATTATACTTTATAATAGCCTGGTGCGGAGTGTCTTGGAGTATTGCAGCGTGGTCTGGCGCCCACATTTTGCTACACATATATTGCGTATGGAACGTATCCAGAAGCGATTCCTATGGCACTTGGCATTTTCCACTGGCATTGCCAAAAAAATTAAATCCTACAAGGCCAGGCTGCAGTACTTTAGGATGATCTCATTAGAAAAACGCAGGAAAGTCTCTGACGCCATATTTATGTATAAACTTATAACATATAAATTACATTGTCCTCAGTTATTAAGCCTTGTAAAATTGCGAGTCCCTTCTAGATTACCTCGTGGACCTATAACTCCGCTAATACCTCCATTTAGAAGAACTGTTCTGGGTAGTAATTCTCCAATGGTAAGGTTCTGTAAGATTATAAATAGCTGCAGTGACCAGGTCGATATTAATTTTGATACTCCAATTGTTTTTGTACGAAATATCTATAAATATATAAAATGAGTCGTGCTGCTGGATCTGCTTATGGATATGGTGGCTTTAGTTGTTAGTTGTTAAGTATTTAATAATAGTTGTAAGCTATATATATTTCTCTGTACTTATTGTTATACATGTATTAATATATGCTGTGTTTGCCTATAAAAAATTGTTACACTTAGTTCTAAGCTCCATAATTGTATATATATTTACATTATTTTGTGGAAACAATTGTTGGTAAACCTAAATAAATAAATAAATAAATAAATAAATAAATAAATAAATAGTTCATTCTTGATACGTCAAGGAGCTCTGCTCTGTTCACCGGTTGGACAAGAAGTGTCTCCCCACCCAAATAACAATCTTTTATATCTACAGGGCCGAATTCGAGTGAACAAGTCAGCGAGACCACGTGTTCTTACAATTTCATTACTTTTTATTCAAGTATCATGACTATAAATAATTATAAAGTTAATTAAAATATAAATTAGTGTTCTATATACACTACAAGAATAATTTATTACCAAATTTGGTATAGTAACAATTTTAACGTTTTATTATATTTAAAGTAGTTAGTCTGATTTTTATTAATAAATGTAGGTAACACATTTTGACACAAGATGTTTAAGAAAATATCATAATTTAAAATAAATATTTAACACACGCTTGCTTGCACTTTATATAAATACACCCATATAAGTATACATATTATAATCCATTAGAATGTTTGTTACATTTTCGAGCAGGAAATACTTATCAGATTTGAATGAGATTTACGGGATACGGATTCATTTTATCCTTAGTTTTAACCTTTTAATAACATTTTAACCTTACTTTATGATGCAAAACACAAAAAGAGCATTGTATCTTTTCTTTATTGTTTCATTATATTTTTTTTTTCAGAAGTATCACAAATGTAAATTCCTCCCCCTCTTCATATATATAATCAAAGTTGTAATGTTGTAGGTTGCGATCCAATGCTGTCCGACATCGAGGGTAACAATGCGTTTCACTACGCGGTATGTCGTCAGGACAACGGCCCCGCCAGCTGTCTTGAGGCTTTGTTGGACACGATACACAAGAATAATGTTCCACACGACTTAAACGCAACTAATTCAGGTGAGTTACACAGTAAAATTGACCATACATATGTATATATACGTCATAAACAGCAATACTCAGTACGTACTCAATATGATTTCAAATTTTAAGTATTGGTAGGTCCAAAAGAACATATTATACTATAATTTATTTAATTATCAAATTATATCAAGCATTCAAATCCTGTCTCTTTTCATTCCTTTGGAGACAAGTTATGTATCTTTGAAACTCTTGGTAAATTTATCAGTATTCACCACAGTACATATTTAGTACCAGCCATTTCCCGCTTTTAACTACGTAGTTCCATATATCATTCCCACTGGAACTCTTCATCAATCCAGTCCTATATTGTATTATATACTTAAATAATATTTATGTACTTAATACATTCATAAAGTTTCAGCCATTACAACTGATCGATTATTTTATAGCATTTTAGATTGATATAACTTTTTTATTTATGAAGCGATTGAAATAAAACAAACAATAAATATTAACTGAAAACCGCATTCAAATCGGGTAATAAGTTTCTTAGATTAACGTGTACAGACATACAGACAAAATTCTAAGTTTTGGTTTCTTTTGCGTTCATAAAATCCCCTTATAATATTTTTGCTTATATATCTTCCATGTACACACAGCGACCAGTTATTATTTTATTATATGTATTGATTTTTTTTTAACACGAATATAATATCAGGGGTGTTCTTCTCTAGAAATCTGTCCGACTCTAGAATAAGGGCATACGGGTATGCGACCCGGCCTCCCGAGCCGCTGCAGTGTCCCAGTCCTTTCCGCAACTGCAGTATCCCCTCCTTTCCTTTCCCACATAAGTCCCTTATTGCTTTCATTCACCAATTTCCTTTACGCATTTCCAACGTTTCCTTCCTTTTTTCCTCAATCCTTTGCCTCCATACGGTAGGTGGCGGAAACCACCAACAAATGCATTCCCAAAAAGGGTTGACGTCAGGCAGGTGGCCGGTCGTAAAACTAAAAAACCAAATCTTTTTGTAATATGGATAAAATCATATTATGCGAACTCCAAATGATTGGGATAAGGATAGGAAGATGATGATAATGTTGGCCACAGAGAAAGAAACCCCCCTACACTTGGCGGCGATGTACGACTCGGCGCAGAAGGCTCGCATCCTGCTGCAGCGCGGCGCGGCGTGCGGCCTACGCGACGCACAGGGCCGCTCGCCGCTGCACCGCGCCGCCGACATGGACCACGGCCGCGTGCTGCGCGAGCTGCTGCACCACGCCTCCGAGGTCAGCCCTATAATATATAAACACCCCTCTCTCTCCAGGCGTACACTCTTGACACAGTGGTCGTGGTGTTTATCATGATAGTGGATCGATGATGCCCTCTTTCGTGTTTGAGGTCCTCGCAATGCGGCTCCATCTACTTCTGCTCACAGCCGTGCGAGCTATAAACACCTGCTGGCAATCTATTGCAAATATAGCATTTTTATGTTTACAATATTTTACAATATATATATATATATATATATATATATATATATATATATATATATATATATATATATATATATGCATTATATTAATTACCTCAGTTTCTCTTGCACAACTTATCAATTATAATTTTAAATAAAAAAGGGTAACTACATCCATAACAATCCTAGTTCATGATCACACTCGAATTTTCTTTAAAAATTTATTATAACTTATTTATTTTTTGTGAGAGTAATAAAGCGTTATTAAACTGCTGCTTTTATATAGTAAGTTTTATCTGTGGTACTGTCACACGAATCATCATATCAGCCTTTAACTGTCCACTGCTGAACAAAAGCCTCCCCTTTGGGGGGTTCGCCAGTAATTCCCACGCTTTGCAGGCGGATAGGCAACCGCAGTTAGGCTTAAGACATGTTTTAAGAGGGACGCTGCTGGCCATCCCTCGCCCATCCTTAGTCGCCTCTTACGACATCCACGGGATAGGAGGTGGTGGTCTATTCTATGCCGGGACCACATGATTTCTCTCATGCGAATACCGCTATTTATATCTTGTATCCCAGTTAACAGTGTGCCTTTGATAACATTTTTCTATCATAGTTGTCTATTGAAATTATGATTTATATTATCGATTATAACATGAATCCTAATATTTTCTTTATATTCATCATCATCATCATTAACAGCGATTTTCTTTACATTACGTACTGATAATGTTTTTTAACTTTTCAGAGTGATGTAAACGCTGCCGACGAAAGCGGTTACACTGCTTTGCAAATAGTCTGTGGCGGTGGTATGAAAAAGAATACGCTTGAGATGGTGAAGTTGCTTCTAGACAATAAGGTATGGAGCTTTTTTAAATTACTATATCCTTCTAACTTCCTCCTCTGAACTTATCGACAATATGGTATTCCATCGGTCCATTTATTTGCATTAAGTATGTTTATTATATGTATGTTTTTAACTGTTATCACCTATCAATATGTGCATCTTTATACTGAGTTAGTGATCCGATCTAGTCTCGCATGGGTAATTAGTATTATCGAAAATAATATACAGCCTATGCTTTGATTATAGAGCATCGGGTATCAAAAAAGGGTCAACTTTTTGTCAGCTATTTGTCAAATTAGCTGACTTGTTTTTATATCAGTGTGCTATATACATATTTATATACGCGTACAATGTATCTTGACGTATTATTTAATAAATAAAATGAGTGTTTACGCATTAACAAGATGCAGAGATTATAAAATAAAATAAATATAGAAATTATAAATAAATCACTCATAACTATTTATAACGCAAAATTGTATGAAAAATTTGACCTTTTTTTCTTAATGCATTTTTATGAAGACACGCTATGTATGTTACTTGTTAATAAAGTCATTTCCTATGGGTGAAAAAATTTATTAAATCGTTTATATCGTTTGTTTCGTATACATGATACTACATGACTACTGATATAGACTCGTATTTCACACATCATCTATGCCATTCATTTAAATTGGTAGAGTGCCATCGAAGGATGATAGGTGAGAAAAAAAAATACAATATTGCGCATATGTCAAGTATGGCAATTACAGATTTAAAAGTTAATTCGCTTTATCTTTCTAAATGTAATAATATAGAACAATCAGAAATATTTTTTACAAGAATTAATAGAAAAGTGTCTCTAATTAAATCCAAAGAAAGCTGTCAACGTCCACAAATTGAAATTAAAATTGTAACAAATACATGATTTTTGCTATTTTTGCAACTTCATGTAAATTTAAAACTGTCTCATGCATATATACATATTTTCATTATACATACATTAGCAGATTGTATTATCAGTCTGCCAGTACGTAATACGGTATACTACGCCTATTGTTATTAATAACCCCTTTGGCACTTCCAAATTCCATTAATTTAGATATTTTTAAATTATATAATATCTATTTTCTATAACTTGTAACGGAATAATGCCATAAAATCAGCTATATATATAAAAACAGCTATTATAGATGATAATGGAATGGTTACCCCGCCTGCGCTAACGGTATACGCTGGCAGGGCATCAGTGAGGGACCATAGGAGTGTCTGAAATGGTAGGCCAGTTAGCCCATTGTGATGAATACACCTGAAATAGGGGGGGAAGGGATTGTTAGCAATGGAGTTTGACAGCCCCATTGCTAGCAATATGCTCTATCAGGTGAACCTCCACGTGGTTCCCCTTGGAAACCATCATGAACAATTCTCGTTGAATTCGTCTTGATGGGTTAACTGACTTGCTTCATTCTCACCTATAATCCTTTACTGGTGCCCCGCCAGTGTATACCGATAGCGCGGATGGGGTTACTATTTTATCACCTATAAAAAAATACGCCTGAAATTCAGCACGATGGATTCCAGGAGGGACCGCGGGGAGGTCGACCTGATTTGCACCAGTATAAAGAATAATAAGAATATAGGGTGGGACTTGCAGTCCGCGTTACTAATAATCTCTTTTCCTCTGGGATAGGTGATGTTGCCTTTATTACGTTTGTTTATCCCGTACATGCAGTTGGTTTAGCTCTTATATTATTTGTAAACACAAAAACATTACAGGCTGATCCGGTTCGCGATGGTGCTAAATCAGCGTGGCATTTAGCGAAGGAGGTACCTGAGATCCGGGCGGTGATTAGAGAGCACCCGTCTTTTGCTAACACACAGATGATGGATGACGAAATCAAATCTGAACCGGAGGACGAAGATGTGAAAAGCGAGGGAGAAGACGACTCTGACAATGAGAGTGTGAGTTGTATTTTTAATTTTGTGTACAAAAATGTTCATTATAGGTCTTTTAATGTAAACCATTCAATGATCCATTAATAAATTCATGTAATCACAGACAGACTTATTCGCAATTTTTTTTTAATTAAAAATCTGAGTATATAAGTGTGAAGAAAATATTGCATAAAATTCCCACAAAAATGTAAAAACTTCATTTTCCTCTACAAGTTGTTTGCGGTTACCAATTCAAATATTTCAAACAGATTAAGGAAAGCACTTGAAGATTTCATTCAAATGTTCAAACATATTTTTAACCCAGTAATGTCGTTGTATAAAAATCCTGTGTTAAGATATGCGTTTACGGTAAATTCCGAAATCGCTTAATTTATTTTTAATAAAGTTTGTAAATGTGTATCATTTGCTTGAACTAAAGAGATAAGAAAGTTTTTATGTCGACAAGAAATGAATGAATTCGTTAGGTTGCGGTAGGGTAAAATAGTGTTTGTCGGGGTAGCTAGTAAAGAATAAATTTGGCGGTGTGCAGGGCGCGGGTGGTGTAGATGGCGGGGGCGGGGGCGGGGGCCTGCAGGGGCTGGCGCAGTACCGGCAGGAGGTGGCGGCGCTGCTGGACGCGAGCGGCGCCTGGCGGCCGCTGGCCGCGCGCCTGCACCTCGACTCGCTGCTCAGCTGGCTGCAGCACACCGCCAGCCCCACCGCCACCTTGCTCAACTATCTTAAGGTAGGCCCTTACATTATATAGATAGAGCTTCGAATTGTAAAAACGGGACGACTTTTTGTCAGCTAATTGTTAACTGAATCGTTTTTTTTATCAGTATTCTATAGACTTGCGCATAAAATGTATCTTTACGTATTATTTAATAAGTAAAATGAGTGTTTACACATTAAAAAGATGCAAAATATATAAGACAAAATAAATATACAAATTATAAAGAAATCACTCATAACTATTTATCACTTAAAATTCTATGAAAAAGTTTATCCATTTTTCTAGAAGCATTTCTATGGAGACACTGTATATAATCTAAAGGTACGGCGTACATAAATTACGCTCACTGATGAAGAGTGTTTAGTAAAGACACTCAATGCGCCTCTACTGTTTGCTAGTTTTAATAAAGATGGACTTATTGAGCTCAAACTAGTTCCTCTGACCACCTAGTGGTTAATTTATAGTAAATTTGTCACTGTGGGCATACTGACCATATACAGTATATAACAGTAGCGCAGTCAGAGTTACCATTACATTTCGTAAAAAAAATTTTGTTTTCTTATTATTTTAGTGGGGGGTATCATGGGCTAAATAGTATACTCTGTTATGTCCATGGTTCTGTTCATTTCTATAGGTGGCGGTTACCACTTTCCATCAGGTGGGCCGTCAGCTTGTTTGCCATTCTAAGTTGTATAAAAAAAAAGTGATCTTTACTCTACCTACTGATCTACTGATGTTTCTCATTTTCTCTTTCGAATTAACAAAACATATGTACATTTTTCAATTAATTTTTATAGCTTTCACTAAGAAATAGATTTACTTAATAAAAGCATATACTCTGTTCAGGAAAGTGGCGAGAATATAACGTCGAAATTATTGGCAGCGACCCTGGATAATATCGGCCAAGAGGCCGCTGCGGTGGTTATACGGAACTACATTGACTGACGGCGAGTTCGACGATTAAAACATCACTTATAGTTGAGGCATTTCTTAGTATTAAGTACATAGTGTCGTTGAAGTTTTAATATCATGTAAGTCGTGTTTTACGATTTTCATGTTTTATTTGATTATTACGATAAAGGCGGATCGTTTGAACTAATTATGACGCTCTAATTGATAATGTCTCCTATATTTAAATTTATTATAAAAAAATGCAAATAATATTTTTTACTCTTCTGTAGATTATATACTGTATTTTGACCTACGCGAATTTATTACTTCAACAAATATAGGTAGAAATATGATAATATAAATAATTAATTAATAATAATTATACGTATTATGTTATTTATTGTATATATGATGAATTGCAATTTAATTATTTGCCATGAATTTATTACAATCATTGTATGGCTATTCATTTTATAAATTACTCTATATTTGTAATTTGTTTTATTATTTGTTCCTAAGCTACTAAATAGGACTTAAAATTTTATTTTATCAAGTCTGACAAGCACCTAATGTCACCGTATTTGACATTGTGGAGATTAGTATCACGTATTTTTAAGTCTGTTGCTGTTGCAAATTTTTTGTTTGATTTAACCCAAATGAGAGTATAGACAGGAGTTTAATTAAGTGGCCTGTATAAATAATAGTAATGTCTAAATACCTACTTATTGTAAATTCAGTAACTAAGTATATAAATTGATGCTGTGATGCAAGTGACTTGAATTGAAAAATAAGTTATTAGTTAGCAATACCTATTATTATCATTAGATGTGTTTGTCTATAATGAATTATTTTTTAGTTTTAATTAGAAGTATTTCAATTCCAAATAGATTAAGAAAAAATGTAACAGTATATTGACAAAGAAATAGCATTGGAACTGGAGCAGTCGTTTCTAGCGCTCAATCTATTTATTTTTGCCGCTCTGGGCAAACATATAAATTTTCTATAGCTTATAATATTTGAATAACTCACAAGAGTTAATTTTTTTAAATTCTCTATCTATTATGCAAAAAAATATAAAGTTTGAAATCGACTACTCGGAGTATTTTTTTTATGTCCAAAGTTTTTCAAAGTTGTCGAAAGTAGTTCACATCTTTTTATTGACACTTTTTGAAATGGTACTCTAGGTCAAATGATTGTTAAAAAGTTGACTTGATAATAAGAAAATTACATACATTCGCACTTGTTATTCAAAATTGATGTAATTTTTAACCTTGTATAATATTATAATTTAATAAGATTTGTTAAAATCTACCTACTGGTTTAATTTTGTTAGTAATAATAAATTTTATATTTTATTTCTATGTTGTTTTAACTATCTCTTAATACATAATCAACATTATAGAGGGAACAAACTTACACAGTTATAAAATTTGGTTAGGCATTTTGTTGATGAACAAATGTCCATGGTCTGAACAAGCCTTAATTATATGACGTTCCTAACAAATATAATAACAATGTGAAATAATATGACTCTTGATATTGTTCGAAGATGGACTATGTCAGGCTATGTCTAGCCCTTAAATCTACAGTAAGATCTTTCCTTTGTCTTTTGAGAAATTGTTCAAAATAATGCTCACAACTATCGTTTATCATCGTACAGCTCGCCATTAACAGAATTCATCCTCACATGCTACAACCTAAATGATCGTGTACGGTACATTTTCAGAGAGTTTTTAGACTAGAATGGACTTTGGGTCGAGGCTTTATTTAGAGACGACAGTATTGGATTCTTTAAAAAGAGCATACTAAAGTTCTTTCAGAACGTGAGATCCCTGATGTTGCAAGCGTCCATAGCCTATAGTGGCCGAATATTATCAGATAGGGGTGAAGAGGTTTCTTCAGGGTCGGCAACGCGCGCGTAATACCGCTGGTATTGCAGATGTTCATAGGCTACTTTAGAGTAGGCTACGGAAACCACTTACCATCAGGTGGGCCGTATGGTTATTTCCCGCATCAGTGGTATAAAAGTCTGTATTTTTGTTTGCCAATTTTGTAGTATAAAAAATGTGAGGAAAGGTAAAGTTTGGATGTTCGGAGTTATCTCCGCTATTATTGTCAGAAAGGTATGTATCCCTACTTTTTATTTTCGGTAAATATATATTTTAAATAATTAATCATAATAAATGTAATTCGAGTCCGCAAAAAGTCTATAACATGGCGTATATATATATATATATATATATATATATATATATATATATATATATATATATATATATATATATATATATATATATATATATGTTTAATATATCAGCCAAAAAAATGGTTTTTATGTTAAAAATGGTTCAAGTTCAAGTCGATTGCTTGGGTACCTCTGTCTCATTCGTGTTTCAACCGTGAAGCAGTTGTGTTTGCATGGCTGTGTTTCGGTTTGAAGGGTGGGATATGGCGTGAATTTACAGTACTACTGGGTACAGAGGAATAACACCTGAGTCCTCAGGAATGGCAACGCATGGGGGGGTATCATGGGCGAAACAGTATATTCTGTTATGTCCATGGTACTGCTTATGTTTATAGGCGACGGTTACCACTTTCCATCAGGTGGGCCGTCAGCTTGTTTGCCATTCTAAGTTGTATATAAAAAAAAAAAAAAAAAAAAAAAAAAAAAAAAAAAAAAAAAGTTATAGCTATTTTATTATGTAACGTATAAGCACAAAATGTTATTAAATTTTATAAGTACACGTAGATATCTATGTACATCCAATGTAATGTATTTAAATCATCATTAAGTAGCAACATCTAGAAAAAGAGAAATTATTCAATTAAAATAATTACTATTCAAGTCCTTTCTTGTTAACTGACGATGATTGATCGACATTTCAGATAGTTATCGGCAATTTATTTAAATGGGATAATTATCTATCTCATTATCGAATTATCTGTGATCTAGTTCACAATGTTGTGAACATATTCACTAGGTTGTACACGGCATTCAGAATTTTTTAGTACCTTTCATAGGTTTCAATTAACAATATTCTTTTATTCACAATTGTACATTTACCAACTGCTTTTTGTTATAGCACGAAAATTGCACAAAACCACGTTTACCTTATTTTCTATTTTGGAGCCGTAAGTAAGAGATGATATGTGAAAATAAAATCAGGTTAAAATAAAACCATCGTTCGTTGGCACGAATTCATTAGGAATTAATTACTATGGTTTCTATAGAGGGTCAGGGGGGGGGGGGCTGTGTATTGCTGTTAGCTATAAGCTAGATATGTAGTCGGCAGATTTCATTACTAACAAATGGAGTACGAAGCTCTTACGAAGATATTTTTTCATTTTATCCAGATATATCTCTATAACAGACAAAGACGAAACGAAGTGCATCGTAGGTATACGGGATCTTTTTACATTTAAGTACGGAATCCTAAAAAATGAGGTCTATGCTGCAATTGAAGTAATTCTATTCACTGTCTAATGATGATTGGTTCTTACTACGATAGGCATTCATTCAGATACCTAATTGTTGGCTAATTTACCTAAACAAGATAATAAGTAGCTTTTGAATTAACTCATATTATCGAATTACATGGGAAAAAGCTTACAACGTTGTATGCTTTTATACGTAGAACATCTTTCATAAAAATGACTTTGTTACGAAAGATTAAAAAGCTCTTCACTAAAGAAGACTATGATTTCGATTCGCCAGATGTAAACTTGAGAAACTTTCATCCACAACTGTACATTTACTTAGCAGCTATGGGCATTTTCACAAATAATCGGGACTCGCGTCTAAGGTTATGTATACACATAATTTATAATGTAATTGCTACTAGATGATATCTTTTTTATAACACTCTGCAGTGTCATAAAAAAGTTAAAATATCATGGCAAACAACTGATTGACCATCTGATGGAAAGTGGCAACCGTCTCCAAAAAATATGAACTGCACTACGCACATTACAGATCACACTATTATACAAGTAAAAGAGATATTTAAAATAAATTGATAGTTGATTAATGTGAGCAAAAATTAAGGAGAAACAAAATCAATATTTTCAAATTGTGTTCCTGAAAGTGTAACTCAAAATTATAGATATAAATATGCCATTTAGAAGCGGTTACCTACTTCTAAAATCCACTGTATAAGGAGGTATTAAATTACGGAAGCATAAGTTTTTAGTCCAAATCATGTCGTTATATAAATTGATCAATTTGGGAGATAACACCATCTCTGATTAGAGGGCCTACCATGAAATATTTTCCGAAATTTCGGGGAGGAACGAAACAGAAATTTGATGTTAAAATTACATAATACATGCCGTTTAAAATGAATAAAAATGTTAAAATATCATTCCTCTGGACTATTAGCATAGAATTTATGATGAACGAAATGTTAAGCTCCATTTACTGGGTAGATTTTGGTACGAACAAAACCACGAAATTGAGCCCGAAAATTCGGAATTTCATTTCATGGTAGACCACCAGTTCCTAACATTTTACCCCAGGGCACTTTACCTATTTTACATAATGTTTTTTTTGTTATTACTTTCAGATTTATATTGCCTACAGTATATATTTCATTTACGTTTATAGGCGTGGCCTTCGAAAGTATTGGTCTGTTTCACGGCGTCATTGTTCAAGACTATGCGTTTGCAACAGAAAGCTTTTTTTATTTTTTATTCTTATTAATGGATCTCACTGTGGTTTGTAGTGTACTTTACAATAAAGACGAAATTCTTCAATTATTGGAGGATATGAACAACGATTTTATTTTTATTCGTACAATGGAGTCTAAACATAGGTAAGTATGGATTTTACCTATAATGCTCCACAAACGACTTACTAATGCCCCACACTACCCTACATGTCTTGTGGTCCGGCATAGAATGAAATGTAGAATGTAGTCACCCTAGAGTCGGATTATCCCTATAGCAAACTACGCATGTACCTAGGCGCGCGGGGTTACAAAACAGCACGCGTAGAATTTTTAAACAAAGAAAATAAACATAATTAATTGTGTGTGTACCTAAGTACTTACTTACACAATACAACAGATATTTATAAAATTTTGTCAATAATTGACAGAGCCTAAGTGTGTGTCGATGACAGTCAGTAATTGTAGACAGACAATTTATCAAACAATTTTGTAAGACAAAAATGGAAACCCAGAAACTTTATTTATTTATTTATTTTTTTATAGCAATTAATAATGTTCTTGCTTAAATTATAATAGTACATATTTCGTAGTAGACTTAGTATGACGTACTAAGTCTATGTGTTATTGAGTGTGATTAATTCATAATAAATTATTTCAAAATTTCAATTATCAATATTTACTATTACTAGTTAAAACTTATAATCTTAGCTTCACTAGCTTTTACCAATAACTTTGTCCTTCGACTTCAGTAACTTATCATACCTACTTCAGTTACATCGTAGACTCTACGCGATATTTTCGCCAATTTTGAACGCTATTGTTTTTTTTTTATTTGTCGGATTTATTTTATTTTACAAACAAACACAAATTTAGTGTATTTACACATATCTATTACCTAAAAATTATGAACACACAGCGACAGATCTGTTTAGAGTACAGACACAATCACAATGACAAATCTAGGGGGGGAGGAAGAAGTGATTGTTATTAATGGAGACTAAGGGTCCCATTGCTAGCAATATATAAACCATCAGGTTAAATTCCAGGTTTATTCATCATGATAGGCTAACTGACCTGCTTTCATCCTCCTATCATCCCTCACTACCCTCTACCAATAGCATAAGTGAAGTTACCATTCATTAAAAAAAAATCTATATATATTATGACACCAAGTGGCGTCACTAGTTGAAAATAAACATGTTTATAAAAATACATTTTGTTGCTAGCAACAAAATAAACATTCTCTAGTTATGGATAAGTTCTAACTCTCACTGATTTACATATACGTATCTTTTCAGGGATACATTTATGGCGGGTCAGTTGTTTATACACAAATTATGTTGTACCTGGCACCTAGTACCGATAATCATTGACAGTTTGTACATTTCATTGATGCTATGTCCTCTGGTGATACAGGGTTTATTTAATACCGACAGTGACGTAAATAGACCTCTAATGTTCCCCCTTTGGCTGCCTGCTGATGATCCGTACAGGACACCAAACTATGAAATATTTGTGGTACTTGAAATTGGTTTTTTGATGGTTGCAACTTTATTATTTGGTGGTAAGTACTTAAAAAATAAAATATATTTATATTAAATATTCTAGTACTATATTTGAAAAAAAAAATCTCAGATACCATACCGATTCATTTGTGTTGTACATGTTATGGTAATGGTAATTTTTTAACACATTCGTCTTGTAGTGGTTTTATTTCTCTTGGTCTTTCGGTTTATTTTTAAGGCAACATAGAGTATACAATATATTCAAATACTTTTTCATCTTAAGGAAACAACAATCTTTTTAGAGATATTTTCCTTTCTGTAATATAGTATAAGGAGAGATCAACCGACGAATCCAACTCGGCTGGACAGCGTTCGGAAAATTACACCACATCTTTTCATCCAAAATATCTCAGACTTTGAAGACGAAGGTCTTTAACCATTGCGTGTTGCCAGTGATGACTTATAAAACCGAAACATGGTCCTACACGATTGTATGCAAAAACTTTAAATTACTCAGCGAGCTAGTGGGAAGGCTATGCTCTCTCTGCCTCCTTTGCGTGCCTCTTTGCGTGATAGAATTCGAAACCATGATATCTGCAAAAAAACCAACGTAACCAACATAACCCGAAAGATAAACAAGCTGTAGTGGCAATGGGCTGGTCATATAGCTCAAAGAACCGATAACTGATGGAGAAGAAAAGTTCTTGTGTGGCGACTCCGTACGGGCAAACGCAGTGTAGGACGTCCCACTAGGTGGCGTGACGACCTGAAATGCATTGCAGGGAGTCAGTGGATGCAGGTGGCTCAGCAGCGTTCTTTATGGCAGTCTATGGGGGAGGCTTATGTCCAGCAGTGGAAGAATAATGGCTGAAATGATGATGATGAATATAGTATAAAACTATAAAGTACAAGTTTATATAGACAGACTTTTTCAATAAGCCTTTTTAATTTAATTTTGTGTGCCCAATAAAGAAATACAAGCATTTTAATAAATGAAATATAAATAGTAATTTTTTGAAACTGTAATTTTTAATTTTTTTTTTGTAAAAATGCTTATATTTTTTAATTTAGTTACAAAACATGAATATATACATAAAAGGTGTTATTGATTTATAAAAAATAAACCACTTATACACAGTCTTGAAATATATATTTTATTATATATTACACATGTTACGGGTTAAGATTTATATCTCAAAAATCCCCTTATAACTAACATCTTGTTGTGGCAATAACAGTTAAAACCTAGTACCCATTTTAATTTTTTCAAATAATCTCTTTTATGTGTTTTCTTACAATTCATATATCCATTGAGATACCTAACTATAACTAAAATAATATGTCTGCTACAAAGTACCTACGTATATTACATTATAATTTTAATGGATTATTGACTGATAAAATTTAAATTTCAGGTTATATTTATTTACTATTTCACGTCTTATTACATTATTACTATATTTTGGATATGATTATCCAGGATTTTGAAGTAATATTTAATGGTTTAGACGAATCAGTGGCGTGCTTACTCCCGAAGGATCCACTTCGTAAACAAGTACAATCTACACTGAACAGTAGGATGAAACGGATAGTCAACTGGCATCTCGCAGTATTTAAGTATATTTAATTTGTTACAAATTTGTATACTTACTTAAATAATAAGTTAATTAAAAAAGGATCTAGTTACCACCTAATTGTTAGTTTAAACAACTATTGAAAATAGTAAACCTATATAGGGTTTGGAAGAAACAAGCTATCAATATATCTGTCATATGCTGGCTTCAAGTATCTGATATCAGTAGACTCATACACATACTTAATTGCCAATAAATTATAGCTACACATCAATTGTTTTTCACAGATCTTTTTTTTTTTATATACAACTTAGAATGGCAAACAAGCTGACGGCCCACCTGATGGAAAGTGGTAACCGTCGCCTATAGACATGAGCAGTACCATGGACATAACAGAGTATACTGTTTCGCCTATGATACCTCCCATGCGTTGCCATTCCTGAGGCCTCAGGTGTTATTCCTCTGTACCCAGTAAATTCACGCCCTTCAAACCGAAACACAGCCATGCAAACACAGCTGCTTCACGGTTGAAACACGAGATCTGCATTAGAATCTCTCCTCATCTCTAAATACTCATAGTAAGGTCTTATCTATATAACATTTATAGTGACGGATCTTTATTACAGGTCTTTGAAAACAGTATCATCCGTATTTGGACCACCTATAATTTATCAGGTGATGTTCTCTTCAATTGCTATATGTTTATTGGCTTACCAAGTCGCTGATGTGAGTGTTATTTAAAAAGGTTATATATTTACATAAAAAAAAACTATGTACGATGATTAGGGCTTTTTATGCGAGTTAGAATGGTAAATAAGCTAATGGCCTGACCTAACTGTATCTTCATCTATGAATTTTGACTATTATTCCTTTATAACACATTTAAAAATAAACACTTCATAATTTATCTTAAATTTGTTTTTATTGCACACTGGTATTGGAAAGGAGTATTTACTGTAATTTTAACGTAATCTATCTATCTCTGGTATTTATACTATATTATATTTCTAACAATCCCTTATCAGGTTTTAAAGTGTTCTGTGTGTGTCAACTATAGAGAATCTTATTTTAAGGAACCTGCATTAATAGTGTCCTAAAGAGATCCCGTTCTTGCGGCATAGTGTACTTTTAATCGTATTAGTATATATGAATAACGTAATTCGTATGCACCCCTATATTATTGTATACTCATGAGCGAACTTCAGTAATTTTCCGCTTGGTATTGAATCGAATGGGAAAAAATATTTGCAATTTACACTTGCACTTAAAATGCTAATATTTGGTACATATTAATTGTTGACAATCAAAACTACGCATCAGCGTCTGTAGTAATACGTAAGTATAAAAGTAATAAATATATTTTGTTATTTTAGAGTTTGGAGCAAGGAAAGCTGGATATAATTTTTGTAATGTTGCTTTTGGCCTCCTTCGTTCAGGTGTGGATACCATGTTACATTGGCACTTTGCTACGGGACAAAGTAAGTAAATATAATCACAAAAATCGCGTTTAATGTAGATAAAGAATGTGTGCGCAATACTTTTACTTATACCTTTGTACAGAACCTTAGAATAAGGATCTAATTTATTCTTATAGCAGAATATAGTAGGTATTCATTCTTTAATCATTTAGCTAGCAGCAGTCCATTAAGTGTACTACTAGGTAGAAGTACACGCCAAGGTCTGATATTTTCCTGCGTACTATATATGTACATATTACATTTTAATGACATAATGCAAGGGATATTTCAAGTTCTCAATAACAAGTTACATATACATTTTAATTAGACCGTCGCACTGAGGATCCACTAGGTAGTAAGTATAGACTAGCTGTACTGGACTTTTTTTAATGGCAGTCATTCGATATAAGTATAATGTTATCCCTAAACATAATATAAGTTATAGACAAAAGAAAAACGACAAAAATATATTTTACAATAATAAAATAGTTTACATTTTAATATTTTTATTTTTCGTATTGAACAATCTGTCCTATCCGCGTTTCTGCTAGAATTCTGAAGTAGCTAGCTTGTGCATACAGTTTTGTTTCGGTTTGAAGGGTAATATTACAGTATACAGTGACATATTACTGCTTTTGCAATTAGCAATATATGAAGGGTGTTTGTAAAATGTGCTGGTTCTTGTTTTGTATATATTATTTATTAATTATATTAGTTGTGAAATAAAATTGTCGTCTGTTGACTTGAAGTATTGTATATATTTTTTGTTCTATTTCAATTGTTTATAAATATTCTTTTTTATAAAAAAAACTACAATTGTTAATATATAAAAAGTTTAATTTTAAACAATGGGTATCATTGGCATCAAATTCTTTGATGTTTATATTGCTCTTTATACCTGTTATACCAGCTTACTTGTTTCTGTTATAAAAAAATATAAAAATAAATTGAAATTGTCTGACTTTGATCTACTCATTTTTTATGATGACATATCAAATAGATATTGCAATTTTAAAAATAACTGATTTAAAATCTTTTGATTAGCGTATGCATAGCACAGTATTTTTTTTTTTTGCGAAAAAGTTATGTTGTATGTGTAGTTATTTTATACAAACATATTCTTATTTGCCACTATAGTAGTATAAAAAAACACGTAATTTTTCTTGTAGGGATTCGCAGTGGGCGATGCGTGTTGGAACAGCGGCTGGCACGAGACTCGTCTCGGCACACTGATCCGCACCGACATGGTGCTTGTAATGCAGCACTCGCAGAAGCCACTTGTAATAAAGTTTATAGGGCTGCCACAATTGCAACTGGAAACATTCTCTTCGGTACATAAACATATGTGTATAAATAGAAAGTCTATATTTTATTTGTATCTCCTTAGCAATTCTTCGTAGCAGGAAGGAACCTCATATATTACTGACTTTACTTCATATATTGGGGCGGCGGTAGTCACTTACCATCAGGTGAGTCGCATGCTGGTTTGCCCCCTGTGTTGTAATATATATATATATAGACGTTGGTCAAAAGATTTGACTTCTCACTCAGATAGATGCCATCGACAGGAAGTTCATCCTCATACTTTAGAGACTAGACGGTCGCGTGCAGTGTGGTTTCAGAAATGTTTCCTTCAACGAACACTTAGGTTATAGAATGAGTCTATGAGAATGTCTAAGTTTTTCCAAGAGACTACACCATAGAGTTCTACAAAAAAGGGGTAAAGAGGTTTCTTCAGAGTCGACATCGCACACGTAATGCCTCTCTTATTGCAGGCGTTCACTGTTTACCATCAGGTGGGCCGTATGGTTGTTTGCCACGTCAGTGGTAAAAAAAAAGATAAAATTAAAATGTTCTTGGATTTAAATTATTGTATTTCTAAACAATACTTGACAGATTGATTCCCTTACGTTCTTCAGTACGTGTGTATTTTTATTCTATATGTGTGTATTTATTTTATATATATATTCGGTAAGCCAAGGAAAAGACAGTTTGCTAATAACAAATATCTTGACTTTGTAGGTTTGGAATTTTTAATTAAATAATTTTGAATAAAATTTGATATACAGATAGACCGTACCTTATATTAACACACTAGTTTTTGAAAGCAGTATGCAGGAAAGACGGCGGTATACAGTCTAATCCAATAATTTCAAAGTTAAAATGTATGTTAATTTCTTTGGAATTAACATACAATTAACGACAGCTCTTGTTGTTATTAAGTCTATTTGTCATATAGTATTTAAAAAACAACCAGGTATCCAGTTTTATGCTATTTATATTAAGTGCTTGCCTGCCGTTTACGCTGGTTCGTGACTTCAATGCTTTTAAGGTGGGACCCCCTGAAAGCCGACCTGATAGGATATAATTAGTAATTGGGCTGTTAGGCCCCAACGCTATCAATTCCTTTCCCCCTAGAAACAGATAAGTAAATACCTTAGGTATGGAAGTAATGAACATTTCTCTTTTTTCAGATCATGACTACTGCATATTCTTACTTTAATATGCTTAGGCAATACAATTCAGATTCTTAAAAGTCCCTACACTTATATATTAAAGAAAGAATTAAAAAATATTTTCTACACTTCTTCATTTTTAAAGCAATGTGTTAATATAAAGGTACAATTTAAAATTACACTAACTACACTTATACGAAACTATATTAATAAAGTGATTACTTTGATTTTAAACTTGTTTTAATTACTATTAGGACATTATTGTTATAGTAATAAAAGTCTTTACTAACATAATATTATAAATGTTATTTTTATCACGGACCAAGTTGCGAGTAAAAACTAGTATTTTATAATAAAACTTCTATACTTGTTTGTCCTTGTGCTCTTTTCTTCCAGTCCTCCAAAGCAATGAGTCCCCATCTCAAATATAATTGTTCATTGACATTGTACCAATACCATAAACTTGCATGCCCGCCCCAGAATGGTCTGGTGCCCACTCCAAGATGCGAGCGAAGCTTTCAGTTATGCGTTAAGATATATCTGAAAGTACATATAATGGTATTATATGTATTGGAGAGGCCAGTCCCCCTTCCCCTGACCCAAATAATCCTAAATTTGCCAATGGAGCAAATGCGGTGAGCATGTGGTTCTTCTAAAAATATATAAATATTTTTTACCGGAGCCGCCATATTGAAAAGTAGGTAATTTATTATGACCTTTCTTTTTGTAATTAAATTGATTATTAGGCAATCTGTGAACCTAACTATCAACTCATTTAGAATAAGGAAACGATGTGATTAAAGTAATAACTACTGAGTAACTAGGATTGGTCGTTACTGTGATATTTCTATCAAATAATTATTGCCAATTTATTGAAATGAAGTAATTATTAAATTATCTGATTTTATCCAATTATTTGGTATAAAGCTCATAACGTTATATACTTTTATAAGCAAAACATCTTACAGTAAGATGACTTTTTCACGAAAAATTAAAAAATTCTTCACCAAAGAAGACTATGATTTCGATTCGCCCGACGTAAATTTGAGAAACTTTCATCCACAATTGTACATTTACCTAGCGGCTATGGGCATTTTCACAAATAATCAGGAATCGCTTCTAAGGTCAAGTATCTGTTCTAGTATTTCCCTGTTAATGAGTTCATTACATTGAAATTAACACCAATACGAACGGGGCAACTGTTCTGATAAAGCTTAATTGTGCAACTGAGGCGATACATGTACGAGTTTTGACTAATATCAAAATAGACATGTCTTTAAATATTTAACCATTGTAGATAATGTAGATGCATGCTTAGTTTTTTTAAAAAACTGCAGCTTAAAGCTACTGCCATTTATCTTATTTAACGACAAGTGCCCACGTAAACTGTCTGACATAAAATAAAAATAGTTTCCCCAAGAATTTGATACAACCACTCGAATACTATTACCCTTTTTTTTATCAAAATTAAACTATAAAATATCACCTATCTATAAAATATATACTTACGAATATACCTATATTAACATGCATATTTTTAATAATTACTTCCAGATTCTTTTGGCCTTTTTTATGTATTTCAATTACAATTGTTGCCATAGTTTTAGAAGCAATGTTTGTGGTTCACGGTGTTCTTATCAAAGACTATGCATTTGCAACAGAATGCTTCTTTTATTTTTTACTCCTAGGAATGATTCTCGCTGTGTATGCTAGCGTACTTTACAATAAGAATGAAATTCTTCAACTAATAGACGACATGAACAATGATTTTGTTTTTATTCGTACAATGGAATCTAAATACAGGTAAATATAATTTGGTTTATAGACGATTTTTATTTGCCATTTGTCTGTAAGGTAGAAAAGGACAACTTGTTCTCAGTTGTAATTGTAATCAACAAAAATCATTGTTGGGCGAAAAAGAAACCACATTCCGGAAAGACAAAAAGTGTAGAAATTCTAATTCAGGCATATTTATAAATATTAAATTTGACGTTAGTACATAGTGCACCATAGTGCAACAAGCAGTTCCAAGTTTACAGAACATTTAATGATAAGGAGGTTCCGATAAGTATCATAAACTAAATAATAGTCCGTAATTATTTTTATATTAGTACAAATTTATTATATTATGGTCTTTTTTTTAGAAATTCTTTTTTGATGGGTCAATTGCTCATACATAAATCATGCTGCATATGGTACTCCTTCACAACGAGCATTGGTATACTGTACATTTTACTGATCTTAAGCTCTTTGGTGATGCATGGTTTACTTAAATCCAGCAATGATGTAAACAGACCTCTACTGTTCCCTATGTGGCTGCCTGCTGATGATCCGTACAGGACACCAAACTATGAAATATTCCTCTCTATCGAAATATGTTTTTTGATTATTGTGAATCAAGCATTTTCTGGTAAGTATAAAATTTAAATAGATATTTATATTTTTCAGTTTCGCAAGGAGAGAGTGGTGGGCTAGTGGCACTCTATCCTTAGTTTCCGTTATTGTAAAGTTGTTCAGGTTATTTTTTAGATATATAAAATTTTATTTCAGGGTACATTTATATGTTATTTCACGTATTGTTGCATTACTACTACATCTTGGATATGATTATGAAGGATTTTGAAGTAATATTTGATGGTCTAGACGAATCAGTATCGTGCTTACTCCCGAAGGACCCACTACGTAAACAAGTGCAGTCTACATTGAACGGTAGAATGAAACGGATCGTCCAGTGGCATCTCGCAGTATTTAAGTAAGCTACCTGTAAATTTGTTACTAGATAGCTTATGCCAAAGTAAACAGTATTATAAAAAATTGGATCTCATATCATAATATTTTTATATAATAATATGTTGGCACATGTATTTACTCTTTTATTTGATGTATAGGATATAAATATACATACTGTATAGGGAGATAGTTAATATAGATACACGTGAGTGACGATGATTGGTAGTAAAGAGAACTAGCAAGCCTATTGCTAGCGACATATTCTGACTTATTTTAATAGAAGTTATTGGAATTATGATACTGCGTACATTATTGGTATGCGCTGGCGGGGCACCAGTAAAGAATGATAGAAGAAGACGAAAGCGGGTTAATTGACCCATCATGACCAACTGTTAAAGAATTGATCACAATGGTTTTCAGGGGGAATACATAGAGGTCGATCCGACAAAGTATATTACTAGAAATACAATAAGTAATCCCTATTACTAATTCTTTCTCCCCTTAATATACCCTGTTGCCTATTAGAGGCGGGATTACCTCTTCATTTGCATCTATTAAAAATAGTACACAAAAGTTTTGTCATCATAATTAATAAGTGTTTGATACCGTTGTTAATGTATATCTTCTCTTATTGCAGGGCCGTGAAAATAGTATCATCTGTATTTGGGCCACCTCTAGTCTATCAAGTGATGTTCTCTTCAATTGCTATATGTTTACTAGCATATCAAGTCGCTGATGTAAGTGTTATTTTATCAGTAGATAGGCATATAAAGTGGGACAAATTATATATTTTACAGCTCAATTCGGAAGTTAATATCGTTTGAGAGAAATGGATAAGAAACTCAGTTATTGCTTTTTTTAAACGAAAGTTGTTTTTACAAGTTTCAGCGGAAATAAAAACTACGAGTAATAAGGTATTTTACAATCATAGTAGTCGAACAAACTAGTTCGTACATGCAGTATCCGTTCACAAGTATGACGAGTGGGCGAGTCATTACGTCGCCACCAGTCTGGATGTTAGGTGAACATTACTTATTTGAAGACACCCAATTATGTCAAAAATGTCAATATACGTCGTCTGAAAAGCTCTGCAACATTTCTAAAATACCTATAAAATGCCATAATAGCGTTCGATACATATATATTTATTTATTTTATTTATTTGAGTTTACAGATTATACCAATATTAAAATGTATCTAAACTAAACTCAAAGCCTAATTAAAAAATTCTATTATTAAGCATTTTGTAGTCATTATAATTGCGTAAATGGCGGTATCCAATATATATCAATATTGAGTTGTAGATGAACGTCAATGCTATATAATCCGTAGATTGAAGGATTGTGGGAAACTGACACCTGTCATACAAGCATGACAGAGGGTAGCGATATCCGGTCCCTATATAAAACGATTTACATTACCCGTTCTCTCTGTTTCGGTAGCTATAACATAATTGCTAACAATATTTCCTTATAAGTTAACATACATATGTTGATAACATTAATATGTTGACACTAGGTACTAATATTTTAGTTATTAAGTACCCAATAAGTCTTTAATAATTGATAACAGCCTTATTATCATATGCCAAAATATTCACCAGTTTCTGACAGAACATAAAGAGGAAGAGGGGATACCTACTTACTTTCTTGCTGTTTTAGAGTTTAGAGAGAGGAAAGGTCCATGTCATTTTTATAATGTTACTCACGGCCGGCATCCTTCAGTTGTGGATACCATGTTATATTGGTACCTTACTACGAAACAAAGTAAGTATATGAAGTAACTATAGATGTAAGTATTTATTTAGTCATAGTAATTTATTTACCCGCCATGAATTGGAATTTAGTTTCCACCACAAACTTTGTAACAAATTAAATTTCTGGCATACTTAATGGCGTAAGAATTTATTTGCGCTCAATTAACACTTTATGATAAATGAACATGGTTACAGGATTTGGCACAGCTACATAGAATAAACAATATGGTGATGAGTAAACTTCATCATATATACGTAATTAGTTTGTGTTGCTACTTCTAAGATGATCGTGTATCCTATCAACATACGTATAGATCAGATGTTTGAAAAGTCTTCTAGTCAGGTAGTTTGAGAGCCAGACATTTAGTATGATGAGGTTCTCATGTAAAATAACTCTTATTTTTTTTTTTAATACAGATTTTTCCTTCAGGGCTATGCAGTGGGCGAAGCGTGTTGGAACAACGGCTGGCACAACACTTATCTCGGTAGACTGATCCGCGCCGACATGGTGCTTGTAATACAACGCTCGCAGCAGCCACTTGCAATAAAATTTATTGGGCTGCCACAATTGCAGTTGGAGACATTTTCCTCGGTATACACTCGTATATATATATATATGTATAAAGACATTACTTAACTTTAAGAAAAACAAACAATCCAAGTATAACTGTAACTTCTGTAAAAGCAATAATAATAAGTATCCGCGCTGATGACCCGCGTCTCTTTGGGTTACATGGTTTTTTGTTGTTACATTGACGTAATGTTTTATTTTTTTTCAGATCATGACTACTGCGTATTCCTACTTCAACATGCTTAGGCAATATAATTCAGATTCTTAAAAACTTACAAAAGCTACAAACTTACACTAATAAATTAAGTAAAAATAAAATACTATCAATTCCTTATGCAATGTGTTTGGATATACATATATAATAGAAACAATTTAAAATTATTGATTAGTAATAATTGAATTAAATTTACTAATAAAAATGTTATTTTGTATTGAAACTTATTTTAATTATTATGACAATTTTATAATTCTGGTGATAAAAAATATTAGTATTTTAACAAGATTAATATTTGTTAGAACATTACAACTTAGAATGGCAAACGGCTGACGACCCACCTGATGGAAAGTGGTAACCGTCACCTATAGACATGAGCAGTACCGTGGACATAACAGAGTATACTGTTTCGCTCATGATACCCCCCATGCGTTGCCATTACTGAGGACTCAGATGTTATTTCTCTGCACCATGTAAATTCACGCCATATCTCATCCTTCAAACCGAAACACAGCCATGCAAACACAACAACTTCCAGGGGGGTTTGCCAGTAGTTGCCTAATACTCGGTAAGTGTATTGGCAACCGCAGTTTGGTTTTAATTTAGGTATGGGCAGCAGCATCCCTCTTAAAACCAGATGTTTTAAGAGGGACGTTGCTGCTGTTCACTAAGGGAGGGCGAGAGATGCTGCTATCCATCTCTCGCCCTCCCATAGTCGCCTCTTACGACACAAAAGGAAGGGGTGATATATTCTATTTTTTTTCATTCCCAAATAACAATATAAAATACTACCGTCACATTTTATTTATACAACAATTTAAGACGCAGTAATGCGTTTTGAATTGTTCTATAATTATTCGTAACATACTAATCCTGTTGGACCACTGGTTGTTCCTCATACTACGGCAAATTTTGTGATTCAAAAAATAAATTAATATGTTTATTGGCTTTTAAATAATTCCCGCTGTTATAATTGGAGCTAGAAGTACGAAACTTTGGTTTTAGACTTTTAATTAGAAATAAATATACTTTTTAGCGTTCTTGGGAATATCATTCCTAAAGGAGTAAAATGGAGAATAAAAATTTGTAAAGGAATTCTGTTAGGAATTTTTAAAGCTAGTATGACAATTTGATTTTAAGCTTTTGATTAAAACCAAAATATGTATTTATCAGTAGTTTTTGAAAATCTTATCTCTATAGGGGATGATTTAGATGAAAATATGTGTGTAAATTTGTTAATTTTAAGTTAGGAGGGGGAAATTTTGAATGCAAAAGTGATACCCCGCGAGAAATCGAAGGCCACACGCGAGGAAAACTGCGGGCAGAAACTAGTCACTATATATACCTACATGTACCACTATTTCTGAGCTGTATACAATGTAGTTTCTGAGACTAGCTTATACAGATAATCGTTTCATTTAATATTTACGTATACACAGTATAAAGCAAATGGAACTCTTTAATTTATAACATCATTAGTATTCTTTTAAGACAATGTTTTATTAGGAAACAATTTTTTTCTTAAACTTACATAACAATTGGATATACATATATATAGGAGGTTCAAAAATGTTGTTCCTTTGGGAAATACCATTTGTTCACTTTGACTGACAGTACACCATCCAGTATATGCAAGTTGTTAATGATGATAAGAAATTAAAAAAAAATCGAAATATGAATGTTCATATCATGTTATCATTTTCGCCATATTAACAGGTAATTGCCAATGCCTACCTTTTTCTAATTAAGTTGATTACCTACTAGATAACAGAATCTACTCAATTAGAAAAAGAAATTGATGCAATTGAAATAATAAGCAGTAAATAACTAGGACTGGTCATTACTGTGATATTTGTACCAAATAATTATTTGCAATTTGTTGAAATGAAGTAATTATAAAATTATCTGATTTTATCCAATGATTTGGTATAACCTCACAACATTATGTACCTTTGTAAGCAAAACATCTTACAGCAAGATGGCTTTATTGCTAAAGATTAAAAAGCTATTCACTAAAGAAGACTATGATTTCGATTCGCCCGACATAAACCTGAGAAACTTTCATCCACAACTTTACATTTACTTAGCAGCTATGGGCATTTTTACAAACAATCGGGACTCGCTTCTAAGGTCAAGTATCTATTCTATTACTTTGCTGTTAGTTCATTACAGAACTCATTGAAATTAACACCAATACGAATGTAGCAATTGTGTGTCTTACTAAGTGCAAAACTAGAGAATAGCTGTACCAATTCTACATACATATAGTAAATTAGACCGTAAGTTGAATTAAATAATAACTTTCAGATTCATATGGCCTTCTGTATGTATTTCATTGTTATTTATAGCCATAGTCTTCGAAGGAATGTTTCTGGTTCATGGCGTCATTGTCAAAGACTATGCTTTTGCAACGGAATGCTCTTTTTATTTCTTACTCATAGGAATGGTTTTCGCTGTGTATGGCGGCGTATTTTACAACAGGGACGAAGTTTTTCAACTAATAGACGATATGAATAATGATTTCGTTTTTATTCGTACAATGGAATCAAAATACAGGTAGGTATTGGTTTACAAGTAATTTTTAAAACAATGTCATTATAAATACTCGCGTTATTCTTATTTGCCAAAGAAGGGACAAAGCATTTGTAGGTTTAAACGTTACTTTTATTGAAATACTTATATATATATATATATATATATAAAAGTATATAATGGGGACGCCAGGTCGACCTCCACACGATGCCCCCTGGAAACCATCGTGACTAATTATTGCCAAATTTAGTTGACCTAAAGTCATCCTCACATGGCGAGGCACCAGTGAAGGACGATAGGTTTATTATCATTTATTTAAAAAAAAAGTTCCCTAGGTAATCAGTTATTTACATTTTACTATGTTTTTAGGGATCGCTTTCTGAAGGGTCAGTTGCTCATACATAAATTATGCTGCATATGGTACATCTTCATGACGACAATTGTTTTTCTGTATATTTTATTAATGTTATGCTCCCTGGTGATGCAAAGTTTATTTAAAGCCGACATTGATGTAATCAGACCTCTACTGTTCCCCATGTGGCTGCCTGCTGATGATCCGTACAGGACACCAAACTATGAATTATTCCTCTTTTTCCAAATATGTTTATTGGCTATTGTGAATCAAGTATTTTCTGGTAAATATAAATTTAAAATATATTTATACTTTTCAGTTTCTCATGAAGAGTGTCGTGGGCTAGTGGCACTCTATCCTTAGTTTCCGTTATTGTTCTGGTTATTTTTATTATTTTATAGACATATACTTATTTCAGGGTATATTTATATGCTATTTCACGTATTGTTGCATTACTACTGCATCCTGGATATGATTATTAAGGATTTTGAAGTAATATTTGATGGCCTAGACGAATCAGTAGTGTGCTTACTCTCGAAGGACCCAGTACGTAAACAATTGCAGTCTACACTAAACGGTAGAATGAAACGGATAGTCAACTGGCATCTTGCAGTTTTTAAGTAATTATCTACCTTTAAATTAAATTAAATTTTTAAACGTATAGTTATAATAATTAAATTTATTGTCATTCTTCATAGAAATTATAATGTACATATATAAATTAATCAATATATTGTGCAGTATTCATATGCGCCTGGCAATAAGTACAAACTCAGCTTTTGCTAGACTGATGTTCGATCAGCGTTGATTTTCAGTTTGCACCTACACGGGGCACCGTTTCATTATCAAATATTTATATTTATTGATCTAGATATTACACAAAAAATAAAAGAAAAAAAAAAACAAAACTCAAATAAGTATAAAAACAATGAATAAAAGAAAAAAAAAAAAACAGAACAAAATAAATTAAAAAGAGGATTTAGTGATAAAATGAGAATAGAAGAATTAAGAGTAAATTATATTTACTTGTACCTACAAGCTTTCTATTACCAATCTTTAAGTCAGAATTCTTATGGTATATTCGTTTTTAAGCGTTTTGTATAAAAGTCATGATGATGATGGATGATGAATATCGTTCAGGAATGAATAATTTTTAGGCGATTAAGCGTCTAATTATAATTATTAACGTAACTTTCATACTATAACAGGGGCGTGAAAACAGTATCATCCATATTTGGACCACCTCTAGTTTATCAAGTGATGGTCTCTGCGATTTTTATATGTTTGATGGCATACCAAGTCGCTGAAGTAAGTTATATTTATCTAGTTATACATAAAAATATGTAATAATTAATGCTCCTTTCCACTCAGGGTTTGCTGGAAGAGAACTCTTACAGAGTTAAGCTCGCCTGTTGTACATCTTTATTTTATATATATTGTATGTTGTAATTTTTTGTGTACAATAAAGAATAAATAAATAAATAATCTCAAATAATTTATTTAATATTATTATTAATTGTACTCTCTCCTAGATTGTACATTAGGTAAATCTGGTGTGGAAATAGCCTAATTCACCATATCTGAAAAATCCCTACAATAAATATAAATACACTCGTATACGAGTATAATATAACAGTATGTTATGTAGGTATTTATCTCTCCGTATAAAACTTTCTCGAAACACTTATGAAATGGATGTTTCATAAAAAGAAAGAGTACTTAGTTACTTTTTTTGGTTTTTTTTTAGAATTTGAAGAAAGGACAGCTCGATATAATTTTTGTAATGTTGCTCACGGCCGCCATTCTTCAGTTGTGGATACCATGTTATGTCGGTACCTTACTACGTGACAAAGTAAGTAATAAATAAAGCATTTACAATAATAATTAATTACCTATATAATTCATTTATTTTTAGAAGTATTTATTTGCTTACCGGTCATGAGTTAGAATCTAGCTAATACTAAACATTTTGTGTCGATTTAAATCTTCAACTACTTGTCCTTAGGCAACGGAATATACGGATAACAAATCAAATTAATGATGATATTAGGCTCTTCACACGCCACGATGGACTCTAAATGACTTAGTAAAACGTGTGCATGCCGAGTATTATATTCACCACAAGAAAAGAGAAATTACTTATTCAAATAGTCAGAGGATTATCCTTTAAGAATTTACAGTCCTGAGTGTGTGTTATGTTATTTATTTAGATATAATGCCGAAGGAAGCTATTCGCGCGCAGTTAAAACTGTATATAGTAAGAATTATAAGCTATGTTCTAGCGTGAATAATCTTCTCACTCTGTTCAGCACTCTTAACTTTCTGGTTGTCTTAGATTTTGTTTCTAAATGACCATATAACTAGGCCAAACTAGGCATCATTGGATTTATTAAAGTCATAAATCCTTACTTTGAATCTGAGAAGATATGACAAACGGCGTCTTTTTTGCGATGAACCCGCAATTTGCGTCTTTCTAGGGTTGAATTGAATAAGATTGTGTTCACCCTGGATCGAAAAATAAACAAGTGAAGTTTTGATTTCAGACATGGTCTATTCCATCACTTATCGGTCTGTTCCCAGGTGATGTTTGCATGACCGGTGTATAATGCGTCCCCTGTACTGTAATCTGCATAGCAATGAATATTACTGATCTATAACATATCTATCATTGATATGCAGTAGAAACAAGGTTGGGGATAGTACATAACCTTACGGGAAACCAGCGTTTACAGAATTTAAATATAAGCAAACTACATCGACTATGGCCTTAATGTTTTGTTCCTTGAAAAAACTGTCGATCCAACTGCACAATCTTATAGGCAACCCAAATAAAGGTAGTATTGAAAGCAGTGTTTTATTTATATTCCTTGCTGTAATACTGCTCTTCTAACCCAACCCTACTGATAGATACATAAAAATTGTGCATTAGGAACTAATATTGAGAATATTTTTAGCTGTTCATAATATTTTCAGTTGCCAGCATGTTTGTGTAAACGAGGTCTCGGATTCGACTCTTGATCAAGCGAATTTAGAAATGAATATTTATGCTTTGATTCGTCTCTGGGGAATGCCCCTAAATTTTTGTCGCCTGGTCAATTATATCACAGGATATCCTAGCTTGAAGATCATGCGATTGATGTTATTACGTGCCACTGATTATTATTATTAGTTATCGAATTTAAGGAGCAAACATTCAGTGTGATCGTTTTTTTTTTCTTTTCCGTAGGGCTATGCAGTAGGCAATGCGTGTTGGAACAGCGGTTGGCACGAGACGCGTCTCGGTACACTGATCCGCGCCGACATGGTGCTTGTGATACAGCGCTCGCAGCAGCCACTTGCAATAAAGTTTATAGGGCTGCCACAATTGCAATTGGAAACATTCTCCTCGGTACATAAATATATATTTATAAATGAAAAGTTTGTATTCTGTCTATTTTTTTAATCTGAATAACTACCTTCCCTTCTTGTTGGTGTCGTAAGAGGCGATTAAGGAAACTTAAATCACTCGATGGATGTGCAGCAGTGTCCCTCTTAAAACATCGCCTAAATCCCTGCTGAGCTTGCCAATCTACCTTCCAAGCGTGGCAGCTACTGGCAAAACCCCTCTTTATGGAGGAGGCCTAGATTAAGCAGTGAAGAGTTAATGACTGATATGGTGATGAATAGTAATCCCGTCTGTGTAGTCGGTATACGCTGGGAGAGTACCAGTGAAGAATGACGGTTGAAGATAAAAGTATGTCAGTTGGTACATCGATTAACAGCGAATTCCTTAAGAATTAACCACGACGGTTTCCAGGTAGGATTGTAAAAATGTGAAGTTATATTACTGGCAATGGGACCTCTAGTCCGCGGTATTAACAATCTATTTTCTCTACGTACAGATAATTAAAAATATCTACTACTATAGATAACAAATTTAGAAATAATTTATATTATATTGTTATTATAAATATTTAACTTATATAATTTTTTAAATAATAACATTTACAACTAATTCTAACTAGTCTCCCAACGCACAACATCGAGGCTGTATACTCAAGAATTTTAAGAATGGAAATAATGACCATTTCTTCTTTTTCAGATCATAAGTACTGCCTATACCTACTTCAACATGCTTAGGCAATACAATCCAGATTCTTAAGTTCAAAAGTTACAATCTACACTCATTTATTAAGGAACAAATGTTATTTTTATTTTCAACACTTCACTTTATTTTTTAATCATCATCATCAGCTGTTAATTGTCCACTGCTGTGCATAAGCCTTTCCCATATGAGTAGTTTTGACAGAAGTCGCTACGCTTGACAGGAAGATTGGCAAATGCAGTTAAGGTTAGGTGATGTTTTAAGAGGGACTCTGCTTTCCATTCCTTGACTATTAAGTTCCTTTAGTTGCCTCTTACAACACCCAAATTTTTTATGATTGTACTGCTGGGTTCAGAATATTGTTATCTGCTGTGAACTCCCAAGAAACTCAACCATTACTCTTTTTTTGAAATTGTTATCTATAAGATAATTTTAATTTTATAGTTCTGGTAATAAAAAATTTTTATAATAAAACTTTCATTTGTATTTTTTCTTATATTTGATGAGTTGGGTTGCTGCGAGAGTACAGAGGAACTTTTTTTCTACTAGTTGTCCTACGATTACATCTAGGTAAAGCAATGTACCTCTAATTGTAATGTAAGCATTCGGGACATGTCATAAACGTTGCTCCACTGATAGATAGATATGTGTATAATTTATTTACATTACTAACAGCGCATAAATAACAACAGTCATTGATAGACATACACAGTAAAAAGAGATAAAAGAACACGTATACAAAAAAAAAGCAAAATACATAAAAGTAGTAACAATTTTTTGCAAGTGCCACAGTAACACAAAACGGTCACAACTCAAAAGTTTGTGCCCTCGAAAGAGCAAGACGCGCGTCGCGAAATTCCTTAATAAAAATAATTAAAAAAAGAAATATAAATAAAATACATTGTGAGTGTCCATTATATTCATTATCATTTAAAGTTGGTTTTTTCAAAATAAATAAATAACAGATACTATTAGAAGAGGAAGTTACTTTCTGTCACATTTAAGCATTCGAGTGATAAATATTTCCACTACATACTTATTAGGTATGCCAATTTTTTGTTTATTAATTAAAAAAAAAATTAAGCTCACATTTAAAAATATGTTTACTTTTAGACAATCTTATTTGTTTATTGTATTGTGTGGTGGTATTCCGTACATTCCAACTTTCGTAGCCTGATAGCGGAAACTTCCCTCAAATGCCTATCAGTTCTATGAGAGTAGGTCGCTCTAACGGTCGTAACGCGTGGGTTTAGTACTATACCCGCCATGGAATGAACTATAGTTATTAAATTTAGAATATAGTTAATCCGGCTGCCGATACTTTAAGATGTCAAAGACCGTACAAACGAGATGCGAGTTTCTCCGAGATGCCATATTTAAAGTGAAATTATTGTTTAAATAAGGTGTTACTCGTATCTGGGTACCTTCTAAGGGCTAGAATGTACCCAGAATCCGCCTAGAATCTAGGCAGATTATTATAACAAAATCTATTTTATGCATATTGTACATACTGTATAAGTCGCTGAGTTTTCGAATATAATCGAGGTCCATACAGTATATAGCCATAATTCAATTTGAACAAAATAAGCTATTCAGGAAGAATGACACGCACTTCCTCCTTTAAAAGATTTCTGATTTGATATAGATTTCTTAGACGATAAAAACAGCTCTGAACTAATTTTAGAACGTGATTCTCAAAGCATAGTTCACTATACATCACTATTCCAAGATTTCTAGCTTCTTTAAAATGGTTAATTCTTTGCCCGGAAATATATACGACAAGGTTCTTATTAAATATAAATTTTACTTGTTATTTTGATCCTAGAACCATGTATGCAGATAGACTGGTGGTTTCTAACACTGTGGCGAGACTATAGTGTGAATTTTATGTATTATAAAAATTATTTCAGCCGAGTTATCATACGGTTATACCTGAGGGAAACTTTGTACAAAAGTCGTTTGCGTGGGCACCTCTGTCCCATTTATGTTTCTACCGTAAATCGGTTATGTTTACATGGCTGTGTTTCAGTTTGAAGGGTAGGATATGGCAGTGAGTTTACAAGGCACAGAGGAATAACAACTGAGTCCTCAGGAATAGCAACGCATGGGGAGTATCATGTTCGAAACAGTATACTCTATTATGTCTGGTAGGCGAAGGTTACCAATTTCCATCAGGTGGACCGTTAGCTTGTTTGCCATTCTAAGTTGTATAAAAAAAGTTATCAAAATAAATGAAAATTCGTAAAAGTATCTTGAACTACTATACATTATTAACAAAGACACCTTACATCTAATTATTAGACTAAACATTTAAATTTATACAGTCAAGTGACTGTAGATTATTTACAAAGAAACCTTAAGCCGGGTGGTCAGACTGACGTAATTTTGGCGATTAGTCTGTACAGACAAACACTTCATCCAATACTTATACATACACAGTATAAAAAGTCGAGCTCAAGTACTATACGAGGTAAAATCAAAATTATTGGCATCGTTTTAAAAAAAAGTACATATGTTCTACCAGTGGATCAAAACATTTTTACTAAAGAAAGCTTTATACCTATATTAAGATATGCAGAAAATAAAAAAAAAAAAACTTTCAGCCACTCTCACTAAATTAAAAACTGAGTGCGCCGTATTCATATGATAGGTTTGATATGTTGCTTTTGGAAACATTGCCATGTGTGCCCAGCATAGAATGGGCCACCCTTTCCTTTCTCGTAGGTGTCGTAAGAGGCGAATAAGAGAGGGCGAGGGATGTGCAGGAGCGTCTCTCTTAAAACATCTCTAAAAGTCTAACTGCGATTGCCAACCTGCCTGCCAAGCGTGACAACTATCGGCAAAACTCCACTTATGTGGAGGGAATATGTCCAGCAATGGACAGTTAACGGCTGAAATAAAAAATAATAATAATTTCGGAAACATACTCAATTTAACGAAAATAGAACATTCTCTTAAAAGGATTCTAATGATTTCTATTTCACATGTATACGCAAGTATACAGATTTTGATTAATAGAAAAATGAAGAAAAAAATATTCTGAATATTAATGTTTTATTAACATTGTCCTATTAACAGGTAATTTGTCATTGCCTATCTTTTCTCTTTTTAATTTAGTTGATTACTGGGTAATCAGCATATAAGATATTTATCTATCATTTCAATTAGAAAAAGAAAATTATGCAATTAAAGTAATAGGTACTGAATAACTAGGACTGGTCATTACCGTAATATTTCTACCAGATAATTGTTTGCAATTTATTGAAATGAGGTAATTATTATTTAATTTTTTCCAATTATTTGGTGTAACCTTACAACGTTATTTAACCTTATAGGCAAAACATATTACAGCAAGATGATTTTATTGCGAAAAATTAAAAAGATCTTCAGGAAAGAAGACTATGATTTCGATTCGCCCTATATAAATTTGAGAAACTTTCATCCAATATTGTATATTTATCTGGCGGCTATGGGCATTTTCACAAACAATCGGGACTCCCTTCTAAGGTCAAGTATCTGTTCTATTATTTCATTGTTAATAAGTTCATTACAGAACTAATTGAATTTAACACCAATACGAACGGGACAATTGTGTGTGTTACTAAGCGTAAAACTTGAGAATAGCTGTATTAATTCGGCCAATTTTTTCTGCCAGGAACTGTGAGTCATTTTCTTATGGTGTTTACTATTGAAGAGGGATATTGCCATAAGTTGCCACGCTTGGCGGGTTGGCAGCCGCAGTAAGACCTTTGGGGGTGTTTTAAGAGGGACGCTGCTGCCCATCCCTCGACTATAAATTCCCTTAGTCAACTCTTACACCCATAGGAAAGGGGTGATCCATTCCATGCCGGGACCGACACGACGATTTTAAATATGATATAATTAGCTATGTATAAACTTTATCTAGTTCTTTTATTTGAAAATTGTTACAATATTATACACCGCTCTACCCGCTGACATTGATGCTGCTTTCGACTTTGGATTTGCTGAAAGAGAAATCTTAGAGTTAAGCTCGCCTTTGTATATTTACTTACTTCTGTCATATTATTATGTATTATTGGTATGTATATTAAATTATAAAATAATAAATAATTATTATATAATAACTTTCAGATTCAAATGGCCTTTTCTATGCATTTTAATGTTATTTATGGGCATGATTTTTGAAGTAATCTTTCTGATTCATTACGTTCTTATCAAAGACTATGCGTTAGCAACGGAATGCTCTTTTTATTTCTTACTCCTAGGAATGATTATCGCTGTGTATGGTGGCGTACTTTGCAATAGGAACAAAATTTTTCAACTAATAGACGACATGAACAATGACTTTGTTTTCATTCGTACAATGGAATCTAAATACAGGTAAGTAGGTATCAGCGAATAACATGGATAGTACCCATATTATAAAAAAAATACCGTTCTTCTACCCATCTATCCGTGTGATATCTTCGATCGATGTTTGACACCATAATTGTATAAAAAAATTGTATACCTACTATCTACCTTCAAGCCTCACTCTTACTTAAATGCTCCTAATTGATATATAAATTTATTAAGATTGTTTTTTTTTTAGAAATTGTTTTCTAGAGGGCCAGTTGCTCATACATAAATCCTGCTGTATATGGTACACCTTTACAACGATCATTGTTGTCCTGTACATTTTATTGATCTTAAGCTCTCTGGTGATGCTCGGTTTATTTAAAGCCGACAGTGATGTAAACAGACCTCTACTGTTCCCCATGTGGTTGCCTGCTGATGATCCGTACAGAACACCAAACTATGAAATCTTCCTGTTTTTTCAAGTGTATTTTTTGATTATTGTGTATCAAACATTTTCTGGTAAGTATAAACTTTAAATATATTTAAACTTTTCAATTTGACATGAAGAGCGTCGTGGCATAGTAGCATATTATCTTTAGTTTCCGTTATTTATTGTAAAGTTGTACAGATTATTTTGATTTCTTTACGGACTTATACAATTTTATTTCAGGGTACATTTATATGCTATTTCACGTCTTATTGCATTACTACTGCATCTTGGATATGATTATCAAGGATTTTGAAGTAATATTTGATGACCTGAACGAATCAGTATCTTACATACTTCCGAAGAAACCACTACGTAAACAAGTGCAGTTTACACTGAACAGAAGAATAAAACGGATAGTTGACTGGCATCGCGCAGTATTTAAGTAATTACCTACCTTTAAATTCATTACTAGGTAGCTTTTATATCAAAGTAAATACGTATAATAATTTAAAAAAAAAAGGATTTAATGATAAAATTGATTTGTAGATTTAAAAGCAATTTAAGTGTATTTACTGGTACACACAAATGACAACATTATTTTACAATGACAACATTATACAAAATATTTTAATGGGTGAGAATAAAATTATAAGTTCGCATGAGTTATCAGTATACGCTAGCGACGCAACAGTGTGATCATCTCTCACTCAGAAAGAAAGCAGGTCAGATGGTCCATCCCAACTAATTTCACAAGAATCAATCCCAATGGTTTCCAGGATGACCATTAAGGTCGACATGATAGGGTATAGTGCTAGCAATAGGGCTATGGGACTAACTACTAATCTCTTTCCCCTTATGCAGAATGTTGGCGGTATTTAGCAATCATTTTGTATAAATCACAGAAGCCTATAAGGATAACCAACCAGTGTAATCTTTGATGGATGATGAGTTACATGCAGAGGAAGAAAACTATTAGATGACTAAGTGCTTAATCGCTATTCTTAATATCTCTTTCATTCTATTGCAGGGCCGTAAAAACAGTATCGTCCATATTTGGCCCACCTCTAATCTATCAAGTGATGTGCTCTGCGGTTTTTATATGTTTGCTGACTTATCAAATCGCTGAGGTATGTAAATATTTATATTATTTTATTTTTTATTTTATTTATTTACGGACAACTAACAAAACATACGTTTATATCTACTTAAAATACATTATAATAAGGTTACATTATAAAATGCTGCCTTAATTAAAGGCCGCCACGACACGCGTATTCATAATATATATAATTATTAGGATGAAAAATGATAAAAACTACAATACTAGGTATACAACAAATAGACTACAGTAATACTTTGGATTTGAAAGATTTGTACACTTATAGTCTATACATATGTGCAATGATACATGCCCTGCTGTTATTAAGCTGATTAAACTATAGAATTTATACAAGGGGAATTTGAATTTGTTTAAGGTCGTGTTAATATTAGGCAATCGTGACAACTGACTATACTGTAACTGCATTCTGTTAATAGCTGAGAAATGGCCTAGACTTCTTAAACGCTTTGTATTAAATAGAAGATATCTACTTGGCCTAGCCAATATATATGGGATATTAAAATTCACCTGGCTTAGCAAATTAGAAGAATCAATGTGCCCATTTACTAGCTTGTACAAAAATAAATGTATTAACCTAATGCAATGAAAAATTAATAGGTATAGTTTCAATATTGCTTACACAATCTCTAATGCACCTACAAATGTAATGACGATAAACTATTCACTTTTCAGTAGAACAGAATGTAGTTGGCAAGTACATATGTACTAATAGCACAGACAATCAGTATCTACTTGCCAGAGTCAAAAGTCATTTGCTTGGGTACCTCTGTCCCATTCGTGTTTCTACCGTGAAGCAGTTGTGTTTGCATGACTGTATTTCGGGTTGAAGGGTGGGATATGGCAGTGAATTTACAGGGTACAGAGGAATAACACCTGACTCCTCAGAAATAGCAATGTGGGAAGTATCATGAGCGAAACAGTATACTTTGTTATGTCCATGGTACTATTCATGTTTTTTAGGTGTTGAATACCACTTTCCATCAGGTGGGCCGTCAGCTAAACAAGCTGCGCTGCATAAATAAAAATCAATTCCACAGAGTTGTCTTTTTCAATCTTCTTTTAAATAATGTCTTTATTTAAGTGGGCAGGACAGACAGGACTGAAAAATGCCATGACTGACATGCGGACTAAGTCAGGAAAACTGCTAGTATAATGAAAGTATAACAGTGATGTGGAAGATGTTATTCCGTATCTCACCTGCGGCACTTTCTGTATGCAGCTTTTTTAAAATACTCGCCAACTTATGGAATAGATGCGTCATAAAGAGGAAAAGTACTTGCATTTTTTGTTTTAGAGTTTGAAAAAAGGAGAAATCAATATAATTTTTATAATGTTGCTGATGGCCGCCATCCTTCAGTTGTGGATACCATGTTATATCGGTACCTTACTACGAGATAAAGTAAGTAATAAATAAAGCATTTCAAATGATGTTTTTTTTTATACAACTTAGAATGGTAAACAAGCTGCCGGCCCACCTGATGGAAAGTGGTAACCGTCGCTTATAGACATGAGCAGTACCATGGACATAACAGAGTATACTGTTTCGCCCATGATACCCTTCATGCGTTCCCATTCCTGAGAAAAGAAATCCCGAATTTTCGGATTCAATTTTGTTTTTTTTTTTTCATTTCGAAATCCATCCAGTAAATTAAGCTTAAAATTTTGTTCATCATAAATCCTACCATAAAAGTCCAATGAAACGATATTTTACCATTTTTAAACGATATTTATTATGTAAATTTTAACATGAAATTTGTGTTTCTTTCGGCCCCAAAATTTTGGAAAACATTTCATGGTATTATTGGTATTTATTCGTTTTATTGATTATTCCCGTAGTGCAGTGGCACGTTGCACAGTGGGAACTCTCCTAAGAAAGCCATCTCATAAATACTTTTTCTAAAACTCTGTGGATATGCATGTATAATACCTCAAATTGTAGCTAAAGAGTTACTCTATCATTATAAGTATGATTCAAATCTGTCACTGTTCATACTTCATAGAACAGAGCATCTAAAGTCAAGGAATGAAAAAAATACAAAAATAATTATGAAACTTAAATTTCGTTTGGTATAATTTTATAGTATCAAAACAATAGAAGTCATATAGTGTGATACCATTTGAAAATGCTTAGAATGTGTACTTTACTATAAAATAAAAATATATTTAGTTTAGTACAATATTACTTAACCAAAGAACCATATATCGTTATATGTATTATTTTCTTTTCTCAAACTTTCAGTTGGAGATTTGACAGTTGCCGAAGCTTGCCGAAGTTCTGATTTTGGTTTAATTTATTAGGAAATATAATGTAATTTCAGGGCAAAAGATTTTTTTTTGCAGTTTTACTGCGTAATATATTTAAATCTAGTATAATATCATGGTGAGAATGTTTTTTTCTAAGTACGTATATTAAGATTTTTTTCTTTATTTGAGATTATCTGTCTGGACACTCAAAAAAATACTTTTGTCTCAATTATTACTTTATATTTTATCTTTTACGTTACTTTTAACAAGTATTTCACATAGTATTTAGTTCCCATTTCCATACAGACCTATTCTTTACCGCATAACCGCATAATGATGAATTTTTTAAATGAAGTAATTTTGCACACGTCTATGATCATTATTAAGTATAAAATAGTGCATTTACATATGAAATATTACAGTTCTTTATAAGCATTTGTTATTTCTAAACAATTGTTAATTACTTATCTCTCCGCAATAAGTGAAGTCTCGTGTACCGGACGCGACTTAAGTCTCTTATTGTTGAAAGTGATACAAATTATATTGATTATATCTCAAACTATATACGAAATAATATTACCGAATCTTCAGATGCGAATATAGAATTTTTGCTATATTCGCAAGTATTTAGAAGTCCTTCATAACTCAGTTTCGTCAACGCTATACGAAATGTGGTCGAAAGAAAGAACAGTTTTTAAATCAAAATAGCAATTGGTTTAATGTCATTTTCACTGTAAATCTAGAAAAAACAACATGCGAACCTGAACCTACTACTTCGATAGAGAAAAGAGGAAGACCTTCTAAAAGATACAATGACAGTTCAGAGAGTACAAAGAAACGGAAAAACAAGGGACTGCTTGATACCTATGGACTTGATTTCATACTGAACTCATATGTACAGGGTTTAAGGTCACGTGGTGAAGTAGATGAAGCATTCATCGTTGATACGCAGTAATTTTCTTAATGAACCGACAAATATAACAGCATATTCAAAACATGAAGATCTTAGCATTTTTATAGAATTGGATCTGAACAAGGCACAGTAAGAAAATATGATGAGTTGTTTGATAGCAAAGAATTGCTTATTGTTTCCATCATACAAGTTGATTCGTGAAGTTACAGAATCTTGCTATCCGCAAAATCACAAGGTGTTGATTCATTGTGAAAGTGTGATACGTTACTTTTCTGTCTTGCCTTTTGGGCAACTTTTAGAAGATGATCAAGAGTCACGGAACAAAGACTATAAACAGTTCAGGCTTCATCATGCAAGACAATGTTCGAGGGTAGCCACTAACGAAGATGTTCTACACGCACTTTTATATACCTCTGACCCATACATACAAGTTTAAGAAAACCTTCCAATAAAAAATATTTAGAACTTTTTGATGAAGTAAAGGAGCTCTTGAGTGACTTCTAAGTTATCTTTATAAGAGTTTTTGTTTTTTACGCAGATACTTTTACTTATTCCTGTATAAATTTCTTAGGACATAAATGTAAGCCTACAAATTTTATATTTCTTGTATTCCTATATTATTTATAACTATTAGAAATAAATTTTTACTCACAACGCATACATAATTTAAAAGCATATATATTTAAGATTATCAGGAAAAAAAATCATGTACATATCTTTATTAATACGGAAGTTATAGATTTATGAGATGAAAAGGAGTTAAAGTTCCCACTGTGCGTTGCTCTACATAAACGAGGTCCTGGGTTCGATTCCTAGTCGAGCTAACTTTTAAACGAACGTTTGTACTTTGGTTCGTGTCCGAGTAGTGCCTCCAATGCTCGTTACCTGGTTCTTCACAACACAGGACTAGTTTAACTAACTTAACAACCATGCGATTGGTGTGAACGTGTAGAATTTATTCTCATAATTTAAAGACCAAACAGTGTGATCAATTTTGTCTCACAGGGATACGCTGTAGGCGATGCGTGTTGGAACAGCGGGTGGCATAAGACGCGTCTCAGCACACTGATCCGCGCCGACATGGTGCTCGTGATACAACGCTCGCAGCAAGCTGTAGCTATCAAGTTCATAGGGTTGCCACAATTGCAGTTGGAGACATTTTCTTCGGTATATACGTACATAATATATATTCATACTGTTTCATGATTAGGTCCTAACATGGAATAGGTAAAAAGTATTTAAATATTTCAATCAATTGTCTAGTATCAAAAGTACACGCACTACTTTGTAATTAAAGATGGCGATGTAAAATATTTTCATAGATATTTATTTTAGGTAAAAAGAACCGTACAAATAAAAGCTACATAGCGGATTTTGCCACATTTCATAATACAAAAAAGTATCAAAATCAGTTCAGATTTGCGAATACATCTCGCAACATACAAACAACACTGAGTCTCCTAATTAAGATTATAGTATAACTAATGTTATATCACATTATGAGCTCTACCTTCTGAGTACTTACTGAATTTTCAGTTACGTTCAGAAATAAGTAAAATTTAAAGCTGTACAATAAAAATGACAACTTGTAGAAACACATAATAAAACTCTGTGATCTGGCAAACATTGTTTTGCCCGGGCTGGATCAACTTGTTATATCCAAACAGTATCCTCTCAAACTGGACTAAACTCTATATACTTACTCAATTATATACTTAATATTGTTAATGATACCTGCTGTTCCCGCCAATTCATTCGTGTTGTAATCGGAATTAAATTGATACATAAAAATATAATGTGCATGTTAATAATGTTAACTGAGAGATTTTTAAACTAACTAGTTTTGGCCACAATCGAAATCAAGTTTTTTTTGCAGGGCACAATTATTTTATATTTCACATTTTCTTTGTTTTTAGGTTATGAGTACTTCATATTCCTACTTTAACATGCTTAGACAATATAATTCAGAATCTTAAACCCTAATATTAATAACTCATATAGAGTAAGAAATCAAAATGACTTTATTTTATAATTTATTAAATATAATATATGTATATTGCATAATTTTAAATTATTAATTTAGTAATTAAGTATGAACACTGATAACACTAATAAAACTATTGTTTTGTTTTATTTAGTATTGGGAACCTTTATGCTCTGGTAATAAAAAATATATTGTAACAGGACCTTTGTTTGTGTGTACTATTTCCTTGTGTTTGATTAGTTGGGTTGCTGCAAGACCATAGAGTAAACATGGTATACCTGAAATGCATAATTACTAATTATAAATAGTCTCTACATTTTTAAGTTACATCACTCTGTATTAATACATATATTCATTAATATTAAGAATTTTTTTATGCAATTACAAATGTTTTCCCCCAATAAATATAATAATATATATAAATAAAAACAAAAATAAATAACATTGCAGACAATGGGCATAATCACCGTCACAAGTTATATTTGTCTCAAAGGACATCTTTAGCAATCCATTGTAGAAATGCTGTTAGCATTACAAGATTGTTTGGGCCTGAGGTGGGATGATATTATTTTAATATGACTATATGATATATATTAAAAAATACTATAATTATTTTATTACATTAAAGTTTAATTAAATTCAAATAATAACTCAATGAAATAAATTAAACATTACCTAAATTAACAATTTTAATGACTCTCATGAACTTGTCTGATGTTTCCAAATCTTCATATTTTCTCTTTGAACAATGATACTTCATATATGGGAAACAACCAGTTCTTAGTATTTGGTAATTTGAACTCCCAACTTTCCAATTAAAGTTAGACATACCAAATTGATCATCTCTTACACTTCTGTACTGAAACAATCACCATGCTTAGGTTTCTTTATAAGTAATTACAATGCGTTTGAATAATGAATAAAATAAAAAAAATGCTTTTTTATTAAAAACCTTGATAATAAAATCCTGCTAATATTATAAAATTTCTATCAAATCTTTGTTATTTAATAATTTTTAAAGAGGTAAAAAGGTTTGAAATAAATTTAGTACACAAAAAGATTACATCCTAATTCAAAACAGGGTAATATTTTTATAATAATTCATGTAGATAAAACCATGGGTTGTAGCTGGTCTACTATAAATTTTTTTAATGGATAATAATGTAATGGTATCTCCACTTGCATTAACGGCATATACTGGCGGGGAACCAGCGAAGGATGATAGGTGAGAATGAAAAGGCATAATCGGTTAATTTAAATAACAGGAATTCAACTTGACAGGGCATTTTGCTAGCAATAGTAGTCTGCACTACTAACTCCCTTTCCCTTCTCCCTGTACTATACACTTATACTGCTCTGAGATGCCTTATGGAGTGTGTAATTGTGAATGGAATATGTATTGTAAAAAAATGGTACTATCAGCCCTAATAATTCAGCATGGAAATTTAAATAATTCACAAATGTATAATACATATAGTGGATCAGTTTACATAATATTTAAATTAATTTTGTATTGTTATCTATGTATTATTATGATATTAATTTGTCTCCATGGGTGTTAATTCATTAAATATATCTATATTTTCACAATACAGTAATTTTAGTTAATTCAATTTTTATGTTCCACAAAAAAAATTGGTCAATTATGTCAAAATCAGTTATTTGTATTTAAAAACTTAACTACTGAACCGCTTTTGATAAAAATTTATATGGGACCAATCTGTAAGTATATCCTTTCAGATGAAGAGAATTTACAAGTTGGTTCACAACTGACGAAGTTATGAAGTAACAATCACAAAAAATATACAACCGAATCGAGAACTACCTATTTTTTAATGTCGGTTGAAAATACTGAAAGATCTAAAATTGAAAGATATTGATAATACCTTAACAAAATATGAAGTCCAAGGTGGTTCGTTGCATTGCATTAAATAAGCGGATAACACTTCGGAAGATGTGGGCTTTGATGATGAGTGTGCAGATACAATAAGAAAACCGCCCTTAAGGGTATCCACTGACTGGATTCTTTTAATTTTAGTAAGCATTCTTCCAGTTTTAATCATTTTTCGAATCGAATTATATATTTATAATGAATTATATAACTAAATACAAATGAAGTGTATTCGGTAAAAAAATATTTATAATTATATTAAGACTAAACAAAAGTCGCAACTAGATAAAAATAGAATGAAGTAGTACCGACGCTATTACGTAGGCACTGAAAAATGTTAGAGAAAAGATGAAATGTAAATAAAATTTTATTTATCCTCCTTGTGTGGACTCCGGACTATAAGACAAAGCAAATATTTTATTACAGTATTTAAGAGTCAGCACTACCTTTATATTATTGACAGTTGAATCTGGAAAAAATTTCTATGCAACCATCTAGTTGTATTATCGCAATAAAATCAATATTTATTGTTTATAATATAGCTCTGATTAAAAACTCGATTCATTAGTTCAATAAAATCTATGAATGGATTATAATTGACTATAACATCAAAGTGTTTGTGATAGATTGTACATAAATTATGTATTACCTAAAAACGATTAACAAGTCAACATTAATGCAACCTCTACAAACAGATTCAAGAACTAAAATAAATATTACGAATTAATTTTCCTTTAGTACTTACTACTACTCAATACTATTTACTATTTGTAAATAGTATTGAGATCGGATCGAAAAAACTGTGTGAACCCATTTAGTGATTAGGCAGCACTCGTACATTTTTTTAACTTTAACCATTGTTCGAGAAGTGTTCACGTAAAGTTTGTTGCTTTTATAAAATCTGCACTATGGTTACATAATATTCACATAAATCTTCTTTTCTTCAAAGTGATATAGTATACTACATGTTTCAAGCAGAAGCCAAATTAAAAAGCTACTCACTCTAATGTTATTGACATATCTCATTGTCAATGTCAACTCTTATCTGAACCACAGATAGATATTTTCTTTGATCTATGGCCTTAACTCTTTATACATAAATATATCCAAAAATTCGTTATGAATGTTATGAATTAATGAAAACTATTTCATACAAATTTATTACTCAAAATTAAAACTCGTTATGAATAATAAGTTTGTATAATTTATTTGAGAATTATTACTTATTGTATTCAGCGACTCTCATAAATTAATAATATAAATAATAGCTATAGATCACTGAACACCCAACTCCATGATCCAATTACTATCAAATATGTATTTTAACTCCGCCTGCGGGACCGGCCTTTATGCACTTGGAGTCTCTACATATGTTATTTCCGTCTTTTCGTATCAAAATATAAAACATGTATTTTCTAAATCAACAACCCCAAATTAGTTGAAAACAATACACGAAAAGTTAATAAACTATTTAATTTACTTCCAGTGATGCAACGCTTCAAATAAGTATCTTCATAGATTTTATTTTTATATTTTTTTTCTATTTAATTTAACCTACCCTTTAAAAATAAACATAATATTGTCTGGTATACAAATTGGGAATCTGTAATTAGCTAATGTAAGGTGTAAATATAATATTTTTAATTATTCTAAAAATAAGCTGTTAGTTCCAGAAAAAATACTTATACATGCAGAAAAGTTAGTGATATTATAAAAACAAAAATAAGTCACTCATTTCCGAGTTCTTTCCTTGGGAGGTCAGTTAGAGGAAACCATTTCGTCCAATTCATCCGCTTTTAACGTTTAAATTGGATGATAAATGATATAAAGACCATTTAGCCACTTAATACAATTCGAAAGCAGTGATGCTAACCCATTGCATATTCCGAGCGATTTTATGACAGTTATTTATTTATTTATATAACTTTATTGACCAAAAGAATATATGGTACACAAGGATGCTATAAAAGGACATTTGTACTAAAGACATAACTTGAAGAAAGAAGGTTACTATCTATTTATTTATGTATTGAAGTGTACTTGTAAACAAAAAGTGCTCGGTAGGGATATGGAAATGAATTTCCATCCATCTCTACCAGTGGCATTTTAATCCAGCCTTACCCCCAGTAGGGTAACGTTGCTAGGGACAAAGGAACTGGACGCCGAGCCGGCCCCCGTGTCTGATATCTATACATTAGGTTCATAAATAAAAGTCGTCGTGTCTCTTTTCTCTTCAACATTGACGAATCTTTTTCATCTCAATATCTTCAGGCGCCGTTAGATCGTTAGAGTGTCAGTATTGTCCGCTTGCCTAATTGGCATATACTGTAGAGACCAGAGAGGGACGATACGTTTTTTTTAATGGATGATAATGAGATGGTTACTTCGCCTTCGCTAATGGTATACATTGGCGAAGCACTAGTGAAGAATGATAGGTGAGGATGAAACAAGTCTATTGTGACGAATTCAACAATTAATCAATAGCGGTGGTTTCCAGGGGGAACTGCGTGGAGGTCGACCTGATAGGATGTATTGCTAGCAATTGGATTACTTATCTTCATTACTAATGATTTTCTCTTCTCTCCCCACCGTAGGTTGGTTTAAGATATAATAAACTGCTACCTCACTAAAATTGTTAAAAATAAGCCGTGAAAAGCTTAGGTAAACACTCATAACTGTAGAAGAACAATGCGTATTCTACGTATAAACAAAATTATAAACAATTCTTCAGTATAGTTTATTTCTTTCAAGAAAAGCTTGAAATCTTATCTTTTAACTAATAATATATAATAATACTTAATGCTATTATATTATATGTATGTATTATATGCATTTACTATTATATTATATGTATTGTATATGTTGTATATATATTATTATTTAGTATGTTTTTGTATATATACAAAAACCTATTTATTTATTTACAATTTGTGTCTGTTTATTTTATATCTTTTCTAATTACCTTGTATACCTTTTTTTGTACTTATCCTGCGCTAGATTACCCTCTAATTATTTTATCTCTCATTGTATTGGGTTGGCCGGAAGAGATCTCTTTTAGAGATAAGCCTACCCTTGCTAACTAGTTGTTAAACTAATCGCTGTGTCCTTTTTGAAGTGCAATAAAGATAATATACATATATAAAATTGTTACTTCTTATACATTATGTAGATAAATATTTATCCTAGGTCAAAGATCTGACCTTTTGAGCCCGTTATATTATTCTTGTTGAGACCTATAAGTTCGTTTTATGACGTCTGCCAGTTTGTAGATTAATGCACAATTGAAATGATCGGTGTTGTAGCTGCTTGTGTTTTAATATTATTATTATTTTTACAGTTCTATAAAAATGCTTATAGAAAACCTTATAATTTTCCTCCAGGTAAGCAATTACATTTTACTACGTTTTATACACATCTTCTTCGATATACACAAAATAATCTATATTGACATCGAATAACAAATATACACAATTCATGATAAGTAATTCGTGATCGGGCAAAACAAAACAGTAAACAAATCATTGTTCAAAAAAACCGCCAGTTATATATGTCAAGCCACGAAAAGAATAGCTGCAGTAAAGAATATTGCTTATATGCCTAATTTAACAAAAAAAAACATAAACATCTTTAGAAAAGAATATTTATTTAAATTTTAAATAGGTATTTTTTGTATTATAATATTATTTTCAAAGAAATTTTTAACTAACTTTGGTTAAGAATGTCAATGAACCATCTAGGTATTTACAAAATTGTTACACATATGCTTTACATGATCAGGACCGCCAAGTCTACCTGTTTACGGTGCCTACTGGATAGTCCTCGCTACAGAATTCAATAATTTAGCCGCCGCTTTTCGCAAGATTGGTCACAAGTATAAGACAAAACTCATTGGTTTATACCTGGGCGCCATACCGGCTGTAATTGTCAATGATTCGGATTTAATTAAAGAAATGCTGAATCGCGAAGAGTTCGATGGCCGTATGGACATCATATTAGCTAGACTTCGTGCTTATTGGCGGAAATTAGGTAAGATATTTGTAAAATTTCATAAAAAAATATTATTGTCTATGAACTTAGACAGCAGTAGACATTTAACGGCTGATATGATGATGATGAATTATTTAAATGCTCATTTCATTTTTAATGTATTACTTACTTGGTCTACACTATGTTAAACAAATATTTATTATCAATTTTTTTTTAATACGTTATTGAACTATCTCAGAACGTATCGAATTATAATGGCATATTGCTTTTCTGCTATGGATTAAGTATATTTAAACTTTCAGGTATATTTTTCACGGATAGCTACTTTTGGTACATACAGAGACGATTTTCTCTCCGGCACTTGAGAGATTTTGGTTTTGGCAGGCGCGACGAGACTCTGGAAGCAGTACTAGAAAGTGAAATAAGAGTGATGATTGACATGAGCATTCATGGACCGATATACCCAGCTGAGAACGTAATAAAATTAAATATTTCTTTTGATTGTGAAAATCATCGGATTAATTTACGGAATTTGTACAGAATTTGAGAAAATCCCTTTTAAGGCTTTTAATCATAATAATCTAACTATAAATAATCATTACACAATCGATGACAAAGTACTGTTATGGTTACGTCAAAATGGTAAAAACGTTTAAGTTTCATACCTATTATATTTTTCCCCGATATTATGACAAATTTATGGAATTTTTAAATGACATATAATCACACCAATCACCTGGTTATGAAAAACCAAGTAATGGACATTATATTTTTTTTTTTATTAATTTTATTCTGTAGGACGTGGTCAAAGGCAAACTGATATACTTGCCGCACTATTTCGCTGTGCCATTCATAAATGGAATGCTCCACGTGATGAGCCGCATGACGCTGCCAAGGTCTGAGTACCACCTTCTATGGGAGTTGGCTCGCAAAAGTTTAATCTTCCAACGAAGTTCGGACGATATAGGTAGAGCTCTGTCACTCACTCCGTGGCTGAAAGACATCATTCCAAAATGGAGTGGATACCACGCATTGAGAAGCAGTAATCAATATCTGATAGACTTCTTCACAGTAAGTCTTTTTTTTATTTAAACAATTTTATTGACCAATTCAAAATACGGATAAAAAGCGGACAAATAGCATTCTCTACTAGTCAACTTTTGTGTGTAGATAATTTTTGAAAAATATCATACCAAAACAACGATCCCAAAAAAATCTATTAATACTGTAAAAACCTTTATAAACTGTAATTGTTAAAGTTTTTTTTAACTTCGGAGATAATGAGAGATAGCGAAATTTTTTCATAAGTCTAAAACTGAAGCCATAGAAAAAAATATATCAAAATAATTTTTGCTAAAATATATGCTATGACGTACAGACCGACAGATGAAGATATAAGGGTTTATATTTGGCAAAAACCAATCAATTTTAAAAATGGAAATATTCGTTTTCAGAACCTTGTCAGCAAAGAGTTAAAAAGCTACGACGAATCACATGAACGCCATTTTCTAGACGTTTACATCAAAAAGATGAAAGAGGAACTTGCTCAGGAAAAGCGGTCTACGTTTTCTGGTAGGAAAAATTATGTAACATACTCTTCATTACTTCTTCATAGATAGATAGGTATATCACATACAAAATGTAACCAAACTCATTTACATAATTTGAAAAGCGAACAGAGAGTTCAGACGGAAGTGTTCTTATCCCACTACGAAATAGGAGGTTCAAAATATTTATATATAATTTTCAACCAATGTTTTTATGAAAAAAAAAATCGTATTGTTCAAAAAACATTTTAATTTCACCTTCAAATATTATTCTCTATAAGTTTTTTTTTACAATACATATGACCATAATTGTAATATAGGCAAGTATCTAATATAGGTACTATTTGTTTTGTCTGAGGATAACGTTTCTAAACATAAAAAAATATAAATATTAAAAGTATTTTACTAAATAGTGACAAGTATTTTAAAAAATATCATATAATCGATTCAATTATCATCATCATATCCATCCATTGATTAACATAAGCCTCCCTCTTGGGGGTTTTCGCCTATAATTGCCATGTTTGGCAGGCGGATTGGCAACCGCAGTTAGGTTTTAGAGATGTTTTAAGAGTGTTTTAAGACTCCCTTAGTCGCTTCTTATATATACCCACGGTAAACGAAGAAATGGCCTATTTTATGCCGGGACCACACGGTGATTTTGACCGATTTAATTATGATAATTTAAAAGATAAAATGTATTATATAATAATATCTAATATATAAAATTCTCGTCTAATATATAAAATTCTCGTGTCACGGTGTTTGTTACCAAACGCCTCCGAAACGGCTTTACCGATGTTTATGAAATTTTGTGTGCATATTGGGTAGGTCTGAGAATCGGCCAACATCTATTTTTCATTCTTCTCAATGATAAGGTTGACCCAACCTTAAAATTTTTTTAACAAAATTTTTTATTTTTATTTTATTATGATGTAGCATAAAACATACATACATACATATCTGTCACGCCTGTCTCCCATTAGGGTAGGCAGAAACAATGGAACGCCAAATGCTTCGATTCAAACAAACCTCTTTCGCTTCTTCCACATTCATCAATCTTGTCATACACGCTCGTCGGTTACGGGTACTTTTAATTTGGCCCTTCTTCAGCACGTCGCCTATTTGGTCGACATACGTCCGTCTAGGGCGGCCCCTACCGACATCTCCATTCATTCTTGCTCGATAAATCTCTTTCGTAATTCTTCTTTCATCCATCCTCTCCAAATGACCAAACCAACGCAACATTCCTTTTTCAATTTTTGTCACTACATCGTCTTTCAGTCCACACTTCTCTCTAATCACACTGTTTCTTACTCTATCTTTTAAAGTAATACCACACATACTTCTCAAAGCTCTCATCTGTACAGCATTTATCTTACTTTCATGCTTCTTCTGCCATACCCACGATTCGCTTCCATACATGAGTGTTGGTGTCAGTACTCCTTGAATTATAGCAAGGCGAGCTTTGCTCGATACATTTTTACTTGACATAATCGAGAGCAGTGCACCGTTAACACTGTTTCCCGCTTTTACTCTCCTCTCAATATCTCTGTCACACTTCCCATCCCTCGTAAACAAAGAACCTAAATATAGAAACTCACTCACTTGCTCTACTTTTTCATCTCCTATCATAATCTGGCATGCCGTTAAACTTTCATTCCTCTCAAAAACCATTACCTTCGTCTTCTTCGCATTTATTTTCATACCTTTTCTTGCATACGCTTCATTCATTATAGTCACCATTTGTTGTAATTCATACTCCGACGATGCAAAAAGTACTTGGTCGTCGGCGTATAAAAGAGTCTTAAACAGAGACTCATTCATCCTGAATCCACAATTAGATCCTTTCAAATCGGTCAAGCAACTGTCCATAAATAGGTTGAACAGCCAAGGAGACGCTACACAGCCCTGTCTAACACCGCGTTCAATGCCAAACCAGTCTGTATAGACTCCATTTATTCTGACACAGGCATTTGAATCCTTATATAAAGATTTGAATGCCCGTATCAAATGGCTGCTCACCCCATACATTGCCAGTGTTGACCACAGTTCATTCCTCTCCACTCTATCATAAGCCTTTTCAAGGTCAATGAAGGCGCAGAAAACCTTCTGATGTTGAGCTAAGGTTTTCTCTGTTATGCACCTTAAGGAAAAGACTTGATCCGTACATCCCATACCCTTTCGAAAACCTGCTTGCACATCCCAAATTTTACTTTCCGTCTCATTCATCACTCTTTTAATCAAAATCCTAGCATACAATTTGCCTACAACACTAAGAAGGCTTATTCCGCGGAAATTTTTGCACTCCTGCTGTGACCCGCTGCCTTTATATAGTGGCACAATAACAGCTTTGCTCCAGTCACCTGGAACACAACCGGACCGCCAACATTTATTGAACAGCAGACACAGCAGGTTTACAATGATTTCTCCACCTTCTTTAAGCATTTCGGCAGATATTCTATCGAATCCCGCTGCTTTACCAAATTTCATAATCTTCATTGCATTCATTACTTCATCCATACTTATATCACTTTCACTGTCAACTTCTTCGTCCATTATTTCATTTTCAACATTCTTTCTTTCACTTCCACGTTCAAATAAACTTTCAAAATATCTCTTCCAATGATCTAAGACTTCCTTTTGTTCCGTGATAACATTACCATCCATATCCCTTATCACGCCCATTTTCGGATCTCTCTTTTTACCTCTAGCTGTTCGAACTAAATGCCAGAAAAGCTTTTGATTAGCTCGAAAATTTCTAGAGAATTTCCTTTCATACTCATCCTTACATTCCTCTTTCTTTTTGCTTACTAATTCTTTAACTTTCTTTTTCATTACATCATACTTCTCTTTTGCAATTTTTTCAATGTCACTTACATTACCTTGCATTCTCTTATTAGCTCTGGTAGCTAACAAATCCATCCATGCCTTTTTCTTTAGAGCCACCATTTCTTTCACTTCGCCATCCCACCATACATTCATTCTCATCTTAACATCCTTCCTCTTACTTACACCACAAACTTGAGTAGCTATATCAAAGATTCCGCATTTAAATTCCTTCCAAAATTCTTCTATCTCATAGTTATCTTTCTTCAGTAGCTCTCTAAATCTTTCATTCAATCTTTCTTGATACTGATTTCGAACCTGTTCTTCTGTCAGTCTCTCTACTCTTACTCTTTCTATTTCTGACATACGAACACGTGGACGATGTCGCCATTTATTGAATAAGCCACCTATTCTCGATATCACCAAAAAGTGATCGGTTCCGACATTCGTACCACGATAGACTCTTGTATCCTTCACTTTCGCTCTCAATCGTTCATCCACAATTACAAAATCAATCATACTTCTCTCAGTTTGCCTTTGCCATGTATACATATGAATCAGTTTGTGACTAAGGCATTTGTAGCATAAAAAATACATATAACTTCAAATTTTCATCCTTTTTGATCAACCCCTATTTTTTCAATCGCGATTTTTATATGCCGCGATAGGGTTGCAAGATGGCAATCGAATATAGCAATTGTAGTATGATAAATTTTCATGTATAGTTCTAGAAATAATGAATATGGTAAAACAACGTTTGCCGAGTCAACTAGTTTAGTTATAAATGTTTATATAGCTATTTTCTTAAATAATGTTATAGAAGTACTTGTAACTGTTAAATAGATAAATACATAAGTACCTATTTCGCTAAGTGCTGTAAATAGTTTTCCTGTTGAAATTACTTGCAGACGCCGACTTTATCTTGACATGCAACAGGTTATCATCATGTCAGTGTTCAATTGACTTCAATTTATGTGCTAACTTCGCCAAATCTAAACCGAATCTAATAATAAACTAACCTAATCTTTATTATGAGAAACAGATTATTAATAATGGAGTCTAACAACCTCATTGCTAGCAATGAGGTTGTTAGACGGCAAGGGATTGTGAGTAATGGGGAGATCAGTCCCCATTGCTATCAATATACCTTATCAGGTCGACCACCACGCGGTTCCCCCTGGATACCATCGTGACTAATTTATCGTTGTATTTGTCACGATGGGTTAATTGACCTGCCTTTTCATCCTCACCTATCGACCCTCACGGGTGGCCCGCCAGTACATACCGATAGCGCAGGCGGGTTTACCATTTCATTATCATCCATTAAAAAAATATCAGCATATTGGTAGCAATGAGATTGATAAACCTCATTTGATACTCATTAAGTCAACCTCCGCGGGGTTTCTGAGGAAAGCATCGTGGTAAATTCCTGATGAATTCCGCCAACTGAACTTCCTTCATCCTCATCTATCAAAATCATTCTCAAATGCTGATACCGATAGTGCAGGCATAGCTGTCATTTAATCACTTATTAAAAAAAAAACTTTGTTACGAATGAGTAAGTTTTTATGAAACAAAAACAAAAATTATTAATCTTGTAATCTTAAATTATGAATTCTAAACCTTCAACTTCAAAGCCTTAGGACATATTATTACTATCGAAAATTAAGCTTTATAGATATTTTATAGATAATATATACCAAAGATCATATTTTGAATATAAAATGTAATGTCCTCTATTATCTATAATTAAATTAATGTAATCTTGTAATAAGTATATAATTACTAATACTAAATAGATAAAACGTAAACATCTGTAATAGATAGTAAAGCTGTATAGTTAACCTATACTTATCTGTGGTATCACTATTCTGGTATAGTTAGCAACAGAAGTCACTCCACATAATTGATTTCCAAAATTGATTTCTAATTTTTTATTACTTACTGCCTTTAACTACAGTCGCTACTATTTTAATTATTTCATTTAGGTACTTACAAACTAAAATCTTAGTAGGTGACAGGTGAGTAACAAATACGTTGCTAATACCCTAACAGCTTGACTTTGTAGAAATTACCATGCTCGTAGTGTTTGAATTAAATCGGCAATATCGAATTTACTAACTTGTACTTAAAAAAACATAATTAATTTACTGCACTGGTTTTTATGTAGGTATCTAACTACAACAAATTAAAAATTTTGTAATAAGCAATGCAATAAAAATAGAAAAGAAATATACAGATATTTTATTTATTTATTTATTCTTTTTTGAACACATTTAAAAAAATGTTTAGTACATAAAGCAGATTCAATGCTATATTCTCTCCCAGTCAAGTTCTTTATTTTTTAAATACAACTGGGATAACAAAAATAAAAAATATTTCCAACTAACTTAAAAAAAGAGCAAATTACGAATAGATATTATTATTGTCTCTTAACTATCCTACATCTAATAAATTGGTTAATATCGTAGTAGTGGAATAAAGTGTTTAATTATAGTGGAACAACTGGTGCTGGTTTGCATCGACTACATGTTCCCGGCGGCGTCAGCGGTGCAAGCGGTGCTAACGATGTTGGTCGAGAGGCTCTTGCTGCAACCAGAAATACAGGACAAGCTGCATGAAGAAATAGACCGCGTTGTTGGCAACGGTCGGCTACCAAATCTTGATGATAGAAAAAAGTAAGTGTAAACTGTAAGTAGCTAAGTACAATAATAAAATTATATTTGATTATTTATTATGTGAGCCATTTATTGTCAACTGTTGAACATAGGCCTTATCTAATACGTATTGGTGAGAGGTTATTGGCCTATATCAGGGGTGACCGACTTGACTACCAAGATCTACTGTTTACTGACGAAACCCTGTGCGATCTACTAATTACATACTTCTCGAAATCTCAAATGAAATAACATAGTTTAGTTTACAGTTATGTAGTATTTTATATTTTATTAAGAGGGAAAACATTAGTGGGTTTTAGGAATAAATCTAGGTCTGAAAGGTATATCGAGAGTATATAAGGGCTCACCGTCTTGTCGTGGGCTATTATATGATGTCCTGTGCGGGCACCTTGATTCCTTACGTCACTTTATCATGAATGTACGAGTACACACAAAACATTGTCTAGAAACACAGCACATCAAATTATGAAAGCGGTAACCACATTAACAGCGCAACAATGTTATTAATATTTTATACGTAGTTGCTCGTCGATTGTTGAGGTCACATTGACGGTTAAGAATTGAAAACAGCTCTGAAGTTTCTTAGAAGCTTCCGGCCTCCTTATTGGTTGTTGCAACTCGGAGGTAAAGACGATGATGGTGATTGGATAGGATAGGATCAAATGAATGAATGAATTGAATTTAACTTTAGGTACCAATTATCATTAATAATTTTTGAACTTTATTTTTTGAAATTATTTTTGAACTGACATATAAATAGAGATTATTAAGAATAAATTTATATTAATATTATTTAAAAATATATAACATTAAGAGAACGCTCAAGCAAACATAAAACTAAAATTATTCATAGTAACTACTTATTTATATTAGTGTGAGCATTACGTCTGAGTATCTTCCGCTAGATTAACAAAATATAATATTTGTTGCATTGCCACAATCGACTACGACACGATTTAGTCGCCTCGCGATCGACCGGTTGGTCACCCCTGGCATATATCATGTAAGTTTGGTTAAGTTATGATAAGATTCAGGTGGATGTCCAAACGGTTATTGAAACCATTATGGTTAATTGATAATGAATTCGTTACGATGTGTCAACTAATCTGAAAATCATTCTCACCTATCATCACTGACTGTTACCCCGCCAGTATATGCTGATGGTGTAGGTAAAGTTACAATTATATATTACCTTAAAAAAGACACACAATGCTCGAAACGGTTTACAAAATTTCTCTGTATTAGATTGTCCTCCTAGACAACTGGTAGAAGAATCTGTCTATAAAAAGTTTTTCGCTACCGCATGCATAAGATAAAACGTCCGTGGATACTTCCTTATCTAGAAGAGATTAGAGCAGTACTAGTTTTCCTGATTTGGCGCTCAGATAAATAGAATTGTAAGTTGGGAATTTAAAATTAACATTATTTTTAGTATAAATTTATTATGTTTACTTATTATATTGGGATAGATAGATTAAAATTAATCACTTAGCCGCCCCGGCTCCTGTGAACTAAACAGAAATAAAATGTATACAAGTATGTTTACTTTACCTTGTCCTATTATTAGGTATGTCATCAAACATAACAACATGTTTGTTTACGCAAACGAGATGAAGTCAAAAGTGAAGGAAAAGTGCCTAGATAATAATGTTTATTTATATACCTCTAAAAGGTTCTTCTATAAATACTAGACACATAGTTAATTTAACCTAAGGTTACAAATGTGATATAAGTACCCTGATAGTGGTGGCAGATTTAGGTACAAGCCGCATATTAATATATAATAATTACCACGTTCTGTTTTTTATTAGAAATTATAACTATTGATGCTCACTAAAAATGTTATAGGTACTTTTTTTTTGGGTTTGTTAAAATGGAGTGTTCATCCCGCCTGCGCCAACGGGATACGCTGGCGGAGCACCAGTGAAGGGTGATAGATGAGAATGAAAACAGGCCAGTTAGCCCATCATGATGAATTCATCAGGAATTAACCATAATAGTTCCAGAGGGAACCGCGAGGAGGTCGACCTGGTTGGGTATATTGCTAGCAATGGGATTGTCAGTCTCCATTACTAACAATCCCTTTCCGCCCTGTTATAGGTACTGAAACTACGAGTGTTTAAAAAATTCGTGTTTAAAGTGGAAGTAATTGAGGAGTGCCAAAGAAAAATGACAATGATCTTAGTTCAAATAAGTTATAATTGAATTTTGGTTTTCAAATTATAGAAGACTAGCATTTAAAAAGAAAAAGTTGTCTGGAAGAGATTGCTTAGCAATAAGACCGCCTTTTGTACTACACTATACTTATCTAAAATTCTTCAACATATCGTTAATGTTGGTGCAATAAAGTGTTGAATAAAATAAATAAATAATAAATAATTTGCCCGCGAGTTTGTCTGCGTGAGCGGAATAATAATAATACGATATTATTGACCAGAATAAATAGTAGACTATGTTGTTCTCCACCCCATATTGTACGTGTATACAAAATTTAATGAAAACTAGTTGAACCGTTAATGTTTTAAGAGGTAATAAAGAAATAAACTCTATTTATTTATACTTCATTGTTCACAAATAATTACATTCATATAATTTATATTAAATATAAATGTACAACAAGCGATCTTAACTGTGCAAACTTACTTTCATATTTATTATTACTAGTGTTAGATATATTTTATCGATGTGCTTTATTCTTAATTGCATCATTAGTTAGTTGGCGATGCTTTTTTAATGAGGAACAATATTATTACAGGAATATTAAAAAAAAATATTGATAGGACTTTAAAATTAATATAAGTATTAATTTTATACGTTACATCCTCAATTTTATGCGCGATAAATAAGTAATTATATTAATTGTAAGGTCTTTATTCCAAACAAACAAATGACGTTATTAAGCCAAAGGTCTTTGTAATTAATTGTTCTGATTATTTTACTAAAAAGAGAAAGAGAGAGAAAATCGCGAATTGCATCAAGTATCAAAGTACTTAGTTTATATTTGCCATATATGTTTGCCATTCTAAGTTGTATAAATGAAAAAAATATTTATCTATCTATTGTTAATTATATAAATAGAACATTTTTTATCAGAAAAATTTTTTGGTACATTAGTAGGTAGGTGCTAAGAAAAATGTTTCACTCATTGCAGTTTTATGTCTATCATACACTAAGTCTTAATATTTAATGAAAAGAAGTGTCGAGAAGAAAAGAAAGATATGAAAAGTGTGTATTTTTTAATGGATGATAAATGAAATGGTGGTCTTGTCCTCGCTATCGGATACGCTGACAGGATGGGGCACTAGTGAGAGATGACAGGACAGTTAGCCCATTGTGATAATTACATTGTAGTATTGTTGGTTTCCAGGCAAAACCACTTACAGGACAATCTAATAATATTATTAGTAATAGGGCTCATTGAAGTAATTCCTTCTTCCCACTAGAAGTCCATTGAATGTAATATTTTAAACGTTCATAAAATACGCTTCAGTCAAGGTTATTATTGTGGGGAAAAAGATGTTTTGTAATTGGGTATAACTGCCCCATTGCTAGCAATATATGCTATCAGAGCCACTTCCACGCGGTACCTCCTGGAAACCATTATAGTTATATTGATGAATTCGTCACAATGGGCTAACTGACTTGCTTTCAACCTCACCTATCATCTAAATATCTGCCCCGTCAGTGTACACTGAGAACGCAGGCGCGGCTACCATTCCATTTTTACCCCTAAAAAATAAAGTATTTTGTTAACATTGGGGCTGATAATCCCCATTACGAACAATTCCTTCTCCGAAGAGTGTATCTATGTGAAGTGCGTATTTATATACGTATTATGTCATTAAATTTAACATTCTGATCTTTTATAAAATATGTTTTGGTCAACATTATTATTGCTGAGAGAAGTACCTACGTACTGGATAACACATGTTATATTCAGTCATAAGTTAGGTATTACACTGAAGCTCATGATACTGGCGACCACGCTATCATGTCCTGATTTATGACCTAAATATTCTTCGATATCTACGGACAAACTCTTTTAATTTATGTATTTTATTTATATAATGAATAAGAAATTATGTATACCTAATATCGATATAACGAATTATAAATTAAATTGGCCGCAATCGGCTCTATTTTTAATTAGCTAATTCTACTATTTATTACCTTAATTCTACTTGTTGCATCATTATTTGCTGTAAATGTTTAAGTTGTATATTATAGTTACAGTAATTTTAAAAATAGAGAATAATTTTGTGATAATTAAATCATATAAGCGTTACTAATACTCGTAATCGTTTTAAAAACAGATTTATTTATTTATTTATAACAGATGTAATAAAATATATCACTTCTAGAAGATATATTTAGATAAAAAAATATAACAGTTTTTAATTGAACCTTAAGAAAAACGACAATGAAAACTGCATTTAATTTGATGCAGAAGTGTTTACGTGATGTCGAAATTAACATACAGATAGAAACACAGATAAAAAAAGCCACAAACAGCCCTTGACATGTCGAGGGCTGTCTGTGGCCCCTATTGTGTATAAATGTCTATTTAAGGAGCAATGACCCGTTATCGTTCCTATCATTGTTTTAAGGTTTTTCCTATCTAGGTATAATAGTCGTTTTGGTAATTGTTCATTCCATATTGGCACGGCCCTTCAAAAAGGGTATATTCAGAGTCGGCAACACGCACGTGACACCCCTAGTATTGTAGGCGTGCATAGGCTACCGTGATTGTTTACCATCATTCATGGTATAAAAAAAGTATAAATCACAATATAAATTTCTAATACCATGGTTTCTTTTTTCTAGTATGCTGTACACAGAAGCGTGCTTGCGTGAGATGATGCGGTTCGATACACTTGTACCGTTAGGCGTACCCCATCGGGCTATTGTGGACACCACCATCGGCGGATACCACGTTCCAGAGGTACTTGACACCATAGTAGCCCAATTACAAAACCACAACGGCATTATACTCAGAAAAAGTTGTTGTATTTTTTGTTATTCAATCAAAATATCGTATATTTATCAATAACCAATTTTGTACGACCGCGTCAGCGGATTATGCTAAATGTTTTAAAAATAATCATATTTATGTCCTAATTAAAGAATTTTGTTGATGAAATATTTCAGAAAAAGTTTAAATTTAGTACGTATTTGTTAAAAAAAAAAACTAATAAATTAATTAGTTATACAAATAAAGAACAAAAATTTTTTTTAGTATTTTATGCTTAGTAGGCACCTAAATACAGGCTATTAGATTTAAAGTAATATTAATACCATACCGTAGCATATCAGCCGTTAACTATTCAGTGTTAAACATAGGCCTCCCCCTATTGGAGAGTTTTGCCATTAGTTACCCCACTTGGCAGGCAGATTGGCAACCGCAGTTAGGCTTTATTTAAAGAGCGACGCTGCTGCCTAACCCTTGACCATTAAGTCCTCTAGTCGCTTCTTATGATATCCATGTAACAAGAAGGGGTAGCTCATTCTATGCCGGGAACACAGCGAAGGAATGTTTCTTATTATAATATAATATAATATTATTTTATTATCTATTATTTTAATTAGCAACTAATGTTTTCAGAATAGCATGATTAGTGCCAACTACGTAATGCTGCATATGGATGAAAAAATATGGGGCGACCCTGAGAATTTTCGCCCCGAGAGGTTCATTGTCGATGGCCGCCTAAGTGTTGCCAGCGATAAATCTTTACCCTTCGGTGCTGGTAAGAAAATTTATTATGGATACTCTGGCTCTATAGACTCCAAAGATCATGAGTACAAATCTGTCCGACATGAAGAACTTTGTTTTAAACAAAATTTTCGACTAAATCTCCAATAAAAGAAAACACTGTTTACAATAGCTCTGACCATCTCATTTGGATATGGTCCTGAACATATTTTATTTTTATACAAAAGTAATAGGAATACCTATTAGTAATTCAAAAAGAAATAAAAAGAGTTTTTAAGGAGATTCTCAATTTTTGTAACTATATAACGCAGTGTTATAATTATTTTTGTAGTCAATAGAGTTTAGTTTCATATGGTCTTGTACTGGTTCCATAAAATTTTTATGGCGATTAAGTCACCGCTTTCATTTGCAGAATAAAAAACTACTTCTTATGTACTTGTAGACACGCCTCTTCGCCTTCTATATACAATATTTTTAATGTTTAAACAGTTCATCATTTATCGGCACGTGCATTTTGAAATTGCTTCTTTTTTACAGAGATATACGACATATTACCCACTAGTATTTTGTCAGTTACTTCATATGCGCGGATTTCAAAAGTAGGAATGAAATTATTAACTACTAGATAGTGCATTAAGATATACAAGTTTTTAAATAAGATCTTCAGGAATACAATTGTGATATCTGCATTGAATTACATGCAGTAGTTATAGATTAATACGGGAATTATCATATAGACAGACAAATATTTTTCTAAAAAATATTGTTTTTGCTTCTATTACTCTAATTAAGATGTTTCGTACCAATTTTTGTTAAATATCTCCCATGTACAGACATAGCCTAGTTACAATTTTATTATATTAGTAACAGTTACGATTCGCATAATGTGGCTTTTTTAACTTCCAGGCAAGCGTTTGTGCGCGGGCGAGACGTACGCGCGGCAGTCGATGTTCCAGGTGTTCGCAGCGTTCATGCAGGCGTTCCGCGTGTCGCCCGCCGACGGCCACCGCCTGCGCGCCCCCTCGCGACGTATACAGGGCATCATCACCACCATACCCGAGTACTGGGTGCAAGTTACGCCCAGAATTGTATAAAAAAAAATATAATATAGCACCCCTATAGACAAGTGGTAAACAAATTTATTAATTGTATTGTTTTGATTATTCGATTCGATAGCTGTATTTCAGCATAAAATGGGCCAGGGGAAAGGAAGAGCTCAGGTATCTTAAGAGGCGACTAAGAAAACTTAATGGTCAAGGGATAGGCAGCGGCGTTCCTCTTTCATCACCAAGGTCAAGCGGTCATCTTTGTGATTTTCAACCCCTATTGCCAAGGCCTATGTTTAGCACTGGATAGTTACCTGACATGATGATAATGATCGTTTCGATTCGCATGAGACATTGGATATCGCTATCTCTTTCTTTCTCATAGACTCATCAACGATAAAAATTATATCGATGAATTTGCTTGCCACTTGTCTAGGAAAGCAAATGTATATACATCATGCATGACGCATAGAATCATAATTTTGTAGCTTTAAAATTTGAGTAACGGGATATTTGTTATTAATTACGAGACTTTTTTAACCCGTGAGATTTAAAATAAGTAATTAGATTTATTATATGTAGATTATTTTATACATATAATTTCTTTATTTTAATGACATTTCATTGAAATTAATTAATTTTCATTGACTTAAAAATATACATCTTATACATCAGAGATATAATGAGATTTTCGCAGATCAATTACTTCTATTCAATTAATTACCTAATAATATAATACATTGTATACGATTTACTTGTAAAATAGTCTATAATTAATATAATTCGGAATTAAATTAATTTTAATACTGATCAAGCTATCATTTTTTGCTTTCTTTTACTTGTTATAGGTTCTGTATTAAGAATTTAAATGTCATGATTTTTTTTTAATAATTTTGTCACTTATGGGCGGGAGCACCAACTTGAACCCTTCGACCCAGTGCAACGATGAGCTATGAGAATCGTCGATGATCCCGAGCTTTCAAGCGGTATCAAATCCTTAAGTCGTAGGAGTAATTTTGCCTCACTCTGTGTGTTCTACCGCTTGTACAATGGATTGTGCTCAGAGGAATTGTTTAATATGATGCCTACAGCCACTTTATATGTACGGCCCGCCATCAACAGAGAATTCAGCCTCATATCTTAGAGCCTAGATGGTCACGTACAACGCGGTTTCAGATATGTTTTCTCCCACGAACGCTCAGGTTATGGAATGACCTCTCTGTCGAGGTTTTTTCAAGAGACTACAGCATGAGGTTCTTTAAAAGGGGGATAAGAGGGCTACATTGTAAATTTTTAGAACTGGCTACTTAAAAGCAATATAATAAAAAAAAAAAAATTTTGAAAATGAAACTCTTTACAAATAATACTATATATGTATATAATTTATTCGTTTGTCATTTGTTTTACGGTTTGGCGGAAAATTTAAAATAGTCTGTGTAACGTTATCATTAACTTAACACGAGAAAATTTTCGTGCGATGATTTTTTATGACTTTCGATGTCATCTAAGTCAACAAGAAAGATATATGATAGACTACGATTGGCCTTTCACGATGAAGCCCCGTCTCATGCCATTGTTTACAACTGGTTTAATAAGTTTAAACGTGGTTGCACTAATCTCACCGATGATGTGCGTGAGGGACGGCCTTCTATGGCGACGACTGAAGATTACATCAGTGTTGTGCGGCGTATGATAGAGACTGACAAAAGAGTGATATATCAGCAGATCCGGGCAAGCTTAGGGTTTCTTCAGGGTTGGCAGCGCGCGCGTAGTTAGTACCCTTGACATTGCAGGCATTCATAAGCTCTGGTAACTGTTAATCATCAGGTGCGTCGTGCTTGCTTAGGTGCTTGTTTGCCACCTCAGTGATATAAAAAAAATTTGGTCCTGACTAGTTACTGCAAACAATAGGAATGTAGAGAATATATCAATAGAAAACAAATTAAAAATACGATAAACGTGCAATTAGCTTTATAGAATACAGATGATTTACCTAGTGATACTTAGTGCTCATTAGATATATTATTTATATAGGTACAACATAATTATTTAAAAACAATTTATCATGTTTGTGATACATTATCATTGAACCACAAAGAGCAATGACGCGAATTTAGAGATACGTTCCAAATTGTATAATAAATATGATGTCAAATAATTTAATTCCATATGTAGATCGAGTAAAAATTGAAATTTTTAATAGCTAATGCCTGTAACATAGCAAATATGATTTGCCTTTTGATGAATATCACCATTTTGACAAATATATTTATTCATCTTTATGTCGCGTAAAAAAAGATACTGGAAGTTTGGTGAGTCATATATTCAAACCTTTGCATATTTTGACTTTTGGTATTTTGTAAAATTTGCAATTATTCGTATTGTTTTGTAAATTTAAATTCTGCCAACAGGTTTAGGCAGCTATTTTTATTTATAAAATTCTTTAGAAATATTTATACTTATTCTTATTTCATTGCATATTTTATTTGATTTGAATTATTTGATAAATAATAAGTATCACTTTCTTGAGTTCTGTCACCTTTACCTTTCTCGTACAACGTCTTATATTATATACTGTGGTATTAATTTTATTAGTTTAAATATGGTCTGTTGCCTTCTATACCCGTACTATTTGTATGATGTCCAGTTACCACCTAAGATTACTTTCGTATAGATCTTTGTTAATTAATTAGTAGTTGCAAAAAGCAATAATATAGACGCTTTGGCGTTGAAAATTATTTTCTTTGTTTTAAAAAATGTAATATTGTTTTTTTTTTCTCTCAGAGATGTATGCATATGTTGTAGTTTTAGTTTATTCGTATTTAGAAATTGTATATGATAGCAAATGATAAGAAAAAAAATATACTACGATTATAATCGTATATTTTGATTCTTCTCTAAATGCATATTATATTATATTGGTTTTAAATTTTAGAGGAGCTTTTTTCTGCGGACATTTATGTAGATTATAGAATCGGTTTCCTGCTGTTATTTGCTCAAGAATCTGCAGTATGAAGGTCTTCAAAAGAAGACATTACATAAGGATTTACAAGTTTACGTATATTTTGCCACCTTGATAGTATAAAAACGTATTTGTCGGTTTGTAGGGTGGGATATGGCAGTAAATGTACAGGGTAGAGAAGAATAACACCTGAGTTCTCAGGAATGGCAGCATATGGAAGGTATCATGGTCGAAACAGTATACTCTGTTATGTCCATGGTATAGCTCATTTCTATAGGCGACGGTTACCATTTTCCATCAGGTGGGCTGTCAGCTTGTTTGCCATTCTAAGTTACTTAAAAAAAAAAGATTGATAGTAAGTATATTTATTCGTTATTGAATACGGAACCCTTCAAAAACAATCTTTCATCATATTAGTATACCAATGATTAAGTTATATAGTTATTTCCTCAGCAATTCGCTTTCAATTACAACTTTACCACAGTAATAACAACTCGGGCCCTAAACTTATATTAATTATTTAACAATAATAACTTGAAGAAATGATTGGTATCGGAACAACTATTGCGTTGGCCTTTGTGATATATTTTGTGGTCTACTGTTATAAAAATGCTTTTAAGACACTGCCTAATTTTCCACCAGGTAAGTTTTTATATAATTTATACTGGTGTAATATATAGTATTTTTTAATATTTAGAGTTTTTTATATAATGTAGGGGAATTCGGGAGAATTGAGCCACTTTTTACATACAACGTCGTAATTTCTTTTTTGAGTTTAGAAAATCGATATTACATTTTTACGATACCTTACTCTAATAGGTACATTTGTGCATAATTGTATTTTTAATATAATACACAGGTAAAATTGTATTAGCATTTTAATAAAAAATGAGATATCAGTCAAGTTTCCCCACAAACAGAGACATTAGAACCGAGCTATGGGAAGAGTTGTTATTTTGGTTTACCATTTTTGGAAAAAGGAAAATTATTTTTAACTTGAACCATAATTTTATTAAATTATCTTACATAATAATTTACATGTTTTTAGTACACCCACTAAGGAAAAAGCATAAAGGTAATAAGTTTTCGTAACATTTGTAACAAAATGTTCCAAAATAACAACAATTAACTTTTTAAAAACACATAATAATATTATTTAATTTTTTTAATTATTAACCTATTTCCATTAATTTGGAATCATTTATCAATCTCAATATTATTGTAAAACAATATATTATCTTTTTTAATATGTATCTTTTTAAGCTTAACAAAATTATCAAACGATTTATTCAGGTAACATATTATCAAACTTTGTAATAATCAGTCTTTTATTGCATGATAATAAATGCATGATACTAACTACCTGTGATGCTTTGTACTGATTCTACCAATTGAATTCTAAATCTGAATCTCTTGTTTACATTAATTTTGTATTTAGCTTATGGCATAGAAAACCCTCCGATCGTAGAGTGAAATCACTTAGCACACGTTAAACTGCATTTATCTAGTAATATAAAAATAATAACACACAATACATACTTTAATAAATACAATAGCAATTAGAAAAATACTTAAAAAATATTTTTTTTCACTTTTTAAATTCTAATTGCCAAACAAAATAGTCGTGATGCAAAATAGGAGTATACTTGTAATTGGTTGATCGCATGCGATCGATGATCGCATTGACATTTCGTTCAAGTTCATACAATTTTGAAAGAGGGCTCAACTCTCCCACCTCTCCCCTACGTTACTTGTAATTTTTCTATATTTTGCAAAATAATATTTTATCCCTTCCTTCCTTCTATCTTACCTTCTACTATAATCTTCCTAAGTTCGTCATGTTGTATCAAATGTTCCAACATTTTCATCCAATCGTTTTTATAATTTGTCTCTTTTCCCTAACCCTAAGTAGGATCTCTTCATTACTAATTTGATCTTTGATTTACGATTAATTATTGTGTAAAACAGAGGTAAGTATGGAAAATGAGATTCTAGATCTACATATTTCTTAGGATTAATTTTGTGAAGCTGTTAATGAGTTATGTACATTTTTACGAATTGTGACAGGCAGTCCAAAAACGCACCGTGGCATACCTCAGTTATAATATCTTTCAGTATTTTATACATGATACTAGATTGCACTATGTACCGTCTTTAAAATATTGTAATAGACGATCTAATACATGAAAAAGAACTATTTAGATATAGAACGAAAGAATAATGGACTCGACTAAAAGACAAATAAAAAAATCTATTAATTATTTGAATGTTGCAACTGACTGCTAATATTACTCAGAGAGAAAAATTATCATAGAAACACCTATGATAATTTCAACTAAATTCGGTTACATTCAAATTTAATCAAAAGCTGACTATACTTTTTGTAATTATCGCATACCTACAGACAGATGCGGCGGACTTTGCCTCACATTTACGCATTGTTTGTTATTATTATCACTCATATATTTACACTGCTTGTTTTAATTAGGCAACTACTTGCATAGTATCTATATAATTGTTCGTGACCCCAAATTATATCTCTTTGTAATTTGAAACCAGAAAATTGTTCCTCCAGGAAGTGCCCAATTCATTTATAGCCGTTTACCGTGGATCCGCATGAGTTAAATTAGTTAATTTCAGTGGTAATTTTGAATATTTTTTTTGCCGTAAAGAAATATGTATTTAAAACTCATATTACAGTGGTTTATTAAGGCTGTATTATGTTTGTTTTTCCTTATGAAAAGTAATCTCGCCTGCAATATAGTATTCGCTGGCGAAGAATCAATGATAAAAGTATCACTTTTAGGTAAGTAAAGATAAAGTCAGGCCAGTTAGTCCATTATGACGAATTTACTTGCGATTAATCACTATAGATTCAAAGTCTATACTTTGAAGTCGACTGTTTCTAGTTACTGTACTAACAAATTAAAAAAAAAGAAAACTAGAAACGATAATGGATTGTTTTGTTATAACAATAACAATGAATGAATAAAGAATATGTCCGCCATGTTTAAGATATGGACTCTTTGGTTCTTTTTTTAAATTATTTTGTACCTATGATTGATGATCTTTTTATGGGATAATATTTCATGATATTACTTTCTTGACAGGACCTCCACGGTTACCAATTTATGGGTCTTATTGGATAGTCCTGGCGTGTGCGATTAATAATCTATCACTAGCGTTCAAAAGGCTGGGAAAGTGGTACGATACTAAATTGATAGGCCTATTCTTGGGCCCAATACCAGCTGTGATTGTCAACGATTCCGCTCTGATCAAGGAAATGCTCAACCGAGAGGAGTTTGACGGAAGAATGGACATAATTTTGGCAAGGCTTAGAGCATACTGGAAAAGATTGGGTAAGTAATGCATCATACAGTGGGAAGGGGATTTATTCAGTAATTGTTAATTGACAGCCTTAAAAAATGTCTTTACAGTATTGAGTTTGTTCACTCTGCTGATTTTTGAATGAGTTGGTATAATTCCATAAGTTCGACGAGCGTGTATGACAAGATTGATGAATGTGGAAGAAGCGAAAGAGGTTTGTTTGAATCGAAGCATTTGGCGTTCCATTGTTTCTGCCTACCCTAATGGGAGACAGGCGTAACAGATATGTATGTATGTAATTCCATAAGTAATAATATAAGTATCAAAATGTTATTGTAAGAAGCTATAGGTCTATTATTATAATTATATTTCCTATGTCTTGTTCATTAATAATAACTGTATGAAACTGATATGTCGCATTATCTTTATTCTATGAATGGATAAAGTTGTTATGTGTATACTAACACAACATATACACGATTATTATAATCACGTTATGAGTAATAATACTAAAGTACTATAACTTTTATTTTAATGCAATAATTATCGGTTTAACTTACATATATTTTAGTCGAAAAAGCTCGACTAGTTTCGGGACCATCTGGGACCCTTAGTCATGAGCATCGCTCATGCATCAAGGCCTCTCATGACTAAAACTTTTAGAGATTTCTCAAAAATCTGGTTATTGGTTGGAGACAATATCACACAGAAAATAGACTCGAACTCCTTTTTCATACTCCGTTAGATAGAAGGCGTTTGTTGACAATATGAAAGTATTTATAGATAATAATTTATTTGGATATTTTCGAATAAAAGTTTGTGATTTTTAAAAATAATATAGGTAATTATTTGTAAAAAAAAATACTAAAAAATACAAGAACCTAATCGTAATACGTTGATAGACACGCTGCCTATCTCGTAAAGTAATTCTAAGCATCTTTAGTCCTTTTTGGACTAAAGATGCTTAGAGTTAGGGACTACTCACACTTATTCAGCTCCATTTGCGTTTCGCTGAACGATTCTAGTCACACTTATACAGCTCTGCTTTTATCAGCCGCGTACGGCGTCTCTGCACTCTTTAATCCTTGCGTACATAATGATTACGCAATAATAAATCAAATCAATGCAGAAACAATACAGGTTGCAACTTGTCGACAAGGAGTCGCGAAACATCCCTGTAAAGAGCTGTTTCGCCGCGTTCGACGGTGAAGGCGCTGAACACCGCGGAACAGCGCTGAAAGCTCTCTATAGCATTGGAATGATTAATACACATTTATCCTTATTTTATGATTGCCGCAAAAGCAGAATAAACGCGGAGAGCTGAATGGATGCAAACATGTCTCCATACAAAATCGTTGTTTTCTATGGACAAAAGCTGAATAGAGCTAAATAAGTGTGAGTAGTCCCTTATTTGGATTAATAATTTACAATTGTATTCTAAGGTATATTCTTCACGGATGGCTATTTATGGCATGTGCAGAGGCGTTTCTCTCTTCGGTATATGAGGGACTACGGGTTTGGCAGACGCGATGGAACTTTAGAATCAATACTAGAGAGCGAGATAAAAGAAATGCTGGATATGACTATACATGGACCTACGAATAATGCTGAAATGGTAATGAATTCGATAATACATATAATATTTAATTACATATACATACAGTATACTCTGTTATGTCCATGGTACTGCTCATATCTAAAGACGACGTTTACCACTTTCTATCAGGTGGGCCGTCAGCTTGTTTGCCACTGACTAAAAGTAATAAATAGTAATTTAAATATACTTCAATTTTGACAGCCAATATAATCTTTCAAGTATTTATTTTTATATCATTTTTAATATAATTTCAAATATTAAACAAAAAACAAATTATATATTGACGTCGTGTGTATAAAATAAATATAAAAATTGGGGAAGATATCGTGTACTAGGAGTCTATGGATGAAAACATTTTGTACGAATTTTTCTCTTGATTTTGCATAAACTAATTTATATTATTTTATTTTCCTTTAAATCAACAGGAATTAGTAAAAGGAGACTTAATCTACCTTCCTCACTATTTCGCTGCACCCTTCATGAATGGCTTACTCCATATCATCAGTCGAATGACAATACCAAGATCGAACTACAAGGTTTTATGGGAACTTGCCGAAGGAGCACTCATCTTCCAAAGAAATTCCAACGACTTAGGTGCTGCACTCTCTCTTACTCCTTGGCTGAAGGATGTTTTACCTAATTATAGTGGATACAACGCCTTAAAAAAGGGCAATCAATGTTTATTGGATTTTTTTACGGTATTAATTTTATTACATACTTAGTAGTGGTTTGTTTATTTAGCTCGCTGAGTTATATTCAATCTAATTAGTTTTTTTTTTTTTTTAATATAGACACGAATAAAATTGTATTTAAGGGCCTGAGCAGATGGTAGATTTTTGATCCACGAAGAACAAAATTCCTCGCTTATATTACATATTTGCATGGAGTCACGCCTTGTAATGCAAATCTACATGTTTTATTTACAGCGAAGGATATCTCGCATAATGCACTGCACCTAATGCAACTAAATAATTAAAATGGTACTTTATAAGTATTATCCATAAAAAACGGCCAGTAAAAATATTAATTTTTATTTTAGGATTTAGTTAATAATGTAGTTGCTACACATGATCCTTCGCACGATCGTCATTTTCTCGACATGTACATTAAGAAAATGAAGAGTGAAATTGATGAGAAAGGAAAATCCACATTTTCAGGTAAAATTATAAAAATATAAAAATTATACATCTACAATCCTAGAATCCTACATAAACGTTATATTAATAGATATAAAAAAATAATTCTAAATTATGTATAAAAATACTTAGCTGTAAAAAAATTTACGTTATTGCATAACTTTCTCTTACTATCTTTTATTATTTCAGCTCATTAGGGAAAGATTTCCAATTATTCAGCAATATGAAATATTTATTGAGTTCAATGGTGACCAACTTAATATACAAACTTTGTAGCTATTTTTACTATTTTAGTAAATGATTTTTTAAAATTTCTCTGTTATCCTTAACCTTTCATACAAAAAACTAAAGGTTACCCTTTTATTTTTATAAATTTAGCAATGATAAATTATATATATATATATATATATATATATATATATATATATATATATATATATATATATATATATATATATATATATAATTCTAAAATTATATACCTACTAGCTTTTGGTCGCTAATTCGTAAATACGCGTAGATTTCAGGAATAAAAAAATCAATAAAATAGGCTATTTTCAGACGGCATATCACGATAAAATGAAATACCATGATACCAGATTTTATGTTATACCTTCAAAAATACAACTGCGGAAACTGCAACCATTGCGTTGTAGTATTTTTGTGTGATGTCGGAACAAACACTCAATTAAAAAAAAATATTCTAAAAATTACTACTTTGGCAGTTATTGGTCTTATTAAGACACATGTATTAATTTTTTTTAAACATCTCCGATGCACAGGTAACGTCTAGTTACAATTTTATAATAATAGTAAAATTCTCGGATTATAATTTCACTACATCCCTGACATTCGTGACATCCCTGATATTGTAAATATCGATAGGATACGGAAACTCCGCTTACCATCAAATGGTCTGTATACTTGTTTGCCACCAAAGTAATATAAAAAACCTTATACTATGAGTATTATCCATGGTAGTTCTTATAAGAAATAATGTCAACAGAGTTACGATTAACGACCTTGTAGCAGTTGTACTCTCGATAGCTGCTAGTCAATGCCCCGTACAATGCAAACGTTTGCATTCATGACACTGTTTGTATTGATCTGTACGTGTTCTATGTATTTATTACATTGTAAGTGTTAGGTGTAGGTAATAATAATACCCTTAGGTATTTATATATTAGATTCATTTGGATATTGACGGTGGAAAAAAGTTCTTCACCTATTTTGAAATCGCCTATACTGGTCGGATATTTATATTTGTTTCGATTGAGTTCCTCATTGGATATTATATATTAAATAACCGATATTTAATATGTATTTGAATCAATACACAGATATTGTAAGCACAATATATAGTTATATTATACTTAGTACGTACTCTAGTATTAAGACGTGGTATACTAGTAGTAGGTTTTTTTGGGATTACGTAGATATATATCTGTGTATCTAATGTTGTACCTTAATACACAAATTGTGCTTAAATTGCGATTAAGTTAAATGTCTAGGTACTAATATTATAATTAGGAAAATGAATTCAATTGTTTATGAAATCTAACACACGTATTTGTAGTATTTGATATGGAGAAGGACTTTTTATTAAGATGTTCCGATTGCACAGACTTAAAATACGGGTAAAGTTTAAGAAACCATTCTATATCGGCGAATTATACGAACCAAATCCTATTCTGATTCATGTATGAGATTTTTAACTACTATTTATTTATATACTATTTATTATTAATAAGTATCTCGTCTTACAGTGGACCAGTTGGTGCTTACGTGCATTGACTATATGTTCCCTGCTGCGACGGCCGTGGAGGCGGTGCTCACAATGTTGGTGGAACACTTGCTGCTGCGGCCCGACATACAGGATCGGGTGCACGAGGAGATAGACCGCGTTGTGGGCAGCGGACGCTTGCCTAATCTCGATGATAGGAAAAAGTACGAATTACTCATTTTCATGTTGTCAACTTCAGTTGGCGTAGCATTTTCGTAGATTTGCGTTGTTTTGATCGCTATTAGTAAAAGTCACGATACTAAGTAAACTATTTATTATTTTTTATTTTCAAATACATTAAAATAGAATGGTAACACAATCTGAGCTATTGGTTTATGCTTTCGAAGTACAGGATAATAGGTGAGAATGAATTCAGGTCAATTGATATCGGGGCAAGTCGTTGAAGTCGTTAAGAATTTAGAGTGTTCATATCCTTCGGTTAACTTTGGAGTTTACCGAAGTACAATTTTCATAATAATTTAAACAATATTATTCTGATTGATCGTTTATAAAGTGCCCTTATAGTAATAGAATATAAAATGGAGAAGGCAATCGCCATGTTTCTGACATGTAATAAGAATACCGTTATTATGGTGGCTACCGTGAAATAATGAAGACGACCCAAAAAACCCGTTAAGGCCCGTCCGCTACGGATATAAAAAACATTAATCAAACTATAGCGTAACATTATCGTAAACCGTGGTTACCAGTAAACCAAGTAAAGTCTCGCCATTAGAAATAAAAAAAATATATATATAGAACGTCTTTTTTTCTAACTTGATTATATACCTGACATTCAAATCTGCAAAATCAGAAAAAAATAAATAAGATTTTACAATACAATACAATACAATCAGAAATATCACACGAGATTTATGGACAATTGCAACATAGTCTTAAGTAATAGTACGAATTGTGATTTAAATGCATACATACATAATCTGTGGCTATAATTACTCTTCGAACTGGAACATGGCTGTATAAATGCAGCCATTTTGAGGTAGATATATATTAAATAATAGGTACCTATGTATACAACTTTGTAGTATTATAATTATTTGTATCAGCGCCATGCCATTACCATGCTTATAACTATTGAATGCAAATTTAATTAGGCAACATCAAATTTAAATCCATGAACATACCTACACAACAAGTAAAAATAATATGATGCTGCTGGAATTACTATTGTAACAAACATTTATTCTATTTTGTATATGGTTTATTTTAAATTTCAGTATGCCATATACGGAAGCGTGTTTACGCGAAGCAATGCGTTTTGATACTCTTGTACCTCTAGGAGTTCCACATCGTGCTATCACTGACACTACTTTCCATGGATATAAAATACCTGAGGTAAATATTGCTGGTTATTATTTTCGAAAAAGCAAAATTATAAAAAGTTTTAAACGTTGTATATATGTACGTTGTTGTATATACACAAATATCACAAAATACCTACTGTAACTCCCATGATACTATTCATGGTTTGAAAATTGGGTTAAGGTGCTATGCTTTACACTACATACACTACCAACCTTACCAACTCCGAAACAGGCATGCAAGCACAACTGCTTGGCTATGCAAGCGCAATAGAAATCATGAAATCGTTATATTTTAATGTAAGTGGGTTAATATAATTAATTTTTACCACATAAATCGACCGTTACCTAATGTTATGGCATTACTACATATACTCTTAGAGCCCATACCCATTAAACTAATTTTCTAATTATTAAATCCTATGCAATGTTTTCATAATATTCGTGTTTATACCGTGAAGCAGTTGTTTGCATGGCTGTGTTTCCGTTTGAAGGGTGGGATATGGCGTAAATTTACAGGGTACAGAGGAATAACATCTGAGTTCTCAGGAATGGCAACGCATGGGGGTAATATGGGCGAAACAGTATACTCTGTTATGCCCATGATACTGTTCATGTCTATAGGCAACAGTTACCACTTTGCATCAGGTGGGCCGTCAGCTTGTTTGCCATTCTAAGTTGTATAAAAAAATATGTAATTTTCTACAACTTTTTACTTTTTCACTATAGTGCAGTAGATTTAATGATTAATATTTTATTTGATATTTAAAAATCATTGTCATTATAATTTATTTGCAACTAATACAGATATTTAGTTCACTATATAAGAAATGTACGTACATCTATAAGTGTACTATAAAATCGTAGCTATTACTCTACGTGCTTACGTATCTTTACAATAAATTCATGATAATTTCATAATAAAAAAAAAGTTCTCCTAATATATAAATCTAATTGTAATACGTGTTAATGCTTCAAGAGACTGTAACCACTTTCAATCAGGACTCAGAGTAGGTGTTTGGTCAGCTTGTCAACTAATTCCTGTACTTATTTATAATATATTAAACGATACTTTTCAGGGTACGATGGTCAGCACCAACTATTATATCCTGCATATGGACAAAACAATTTGGGGAGATCCTGAAAACTTTCGCCCGGAAAGATTCGCGTTTACCGCAAAAAAGACGCCGTTTGTCGTATCTCCTCACTTTCAGGGCACTTCCCTTGATAAAAAGTCGAGTCTAGGAATTCTGGGCGTTGATATATCTTGCGACGTCCAGTTTTGCGGTCATCTGGAGGAGAAGGCTAAGATAGCTTCCAAAAAGTTAGGAGTGCTCAATAGGGTGAGACGATATTTCATGCCAGAACACCGCCTGAAATTATATAAAGCCCAAGTCAGGCCGCATATGGAATACTGTTCTCACCTGTGGGCAGGAGCGCCACAGTACCAACTCCTTCCGTTAGACCGCATTCAAAGTCGGGCGGCTCGAATTATCGATAGTCAACGCCTTACTGTCCGACTCGACCCACTGAAACTGCGCAGAGATGTTGCATCTCTGTGCATCTTCTACCGAATTTATCATGGGGAGTGTTCTGAGGAATTGTTCGGATTGATACCTGCTGCTGATTTTCACCACCGTACAACCCGCCACAAACTAAAGTTTCATCCCAATCATCTGGAAGTATCTTCCACCGTGCGTTTTTCAAGGCACTTTCTTCCACGCACAACCATTCTTTGGAATCAACTTCCAGCAGCAGTATTTCCGAACCGATACGACAACATAACCTTCAAGAAAAGAGTATATTCCTTTTTAAAAGCACACCTGCAATGCCGCTGGTGTTGTGGATGATCATGGGCGGCGGTAGTCACTTACCATCAGGTGAGCCGCATGCTCGTTTGCCCCCTGTGTTGTAAAAAAAAAAAAAAAAAAAAATTCATCGTGAATGGACGACTGGATGTTTCTTTAGACAAATCTTTGCCATTTGGTGCTGGTGGGTATTGATGAATTAAAAAAATTAAAATAATATAAAATATGGCTTACGAGTGTAAGTCACATGGGTTAGTTACAACCATTCTATCGACTGTTGTTGTTATGGTGAATTTAAAATTTAACATATCAGAGGGTGAGTATACCGCCGTGACTCAAATTGTTTTGGTTCACTATCGCAGTTTTTGATCACCAAAAAATTTATTGAATATACCTAATAGGAATTTAAATGGACAAAGTTTTTGATGTCGGCTAGATTCGAGTTTAGAATCATTTCGGCATCTACTATTGAGTCACGATACGATTGATCTTTGACCATGATGTACTGCATGCAACTAATTTACTGTAGGGAGATAATGTCGAGCAAAACAATGTATACAGGTATTCAGGTGTCACAATATGATTGGAAGGCCTCTATTTATTTATGAACAATGAATTTTCTTGCGCAAACGTTAACACTTAAACGTTTTACATGCATGCCACCAGCTGTTTACCTGGTAATTAGAGTAAAGAGTACTTACTTATCGTTCCAGTTGGCGGATTTTGGCACTCTAGTTTTTTTTTAATGCACCCTGACATAATGACAGTTAATAGACGAGAATTATACGGTATCCGCTAATAACCGCCAACCAGCCTTTCTATAAAGGGTTCATTGTCCGATGGTACGATGACGTTTCAAAAAATGAGCTCATAGTATGTTGTAATAATAATACAGGAATGTGAGTAGGTACTTATCCTACGCGTATAGAGTATACACAAATACTTTGTTGATATTATAACATAGGTTAAAATATTCGAATAAGTACTTATGAATATATACTCATAACCACGTATTCGAATATTTTTAGTCGCTTATACCCCATTGTCACTTCACATGACTGGAGATAGTGTTATATCAAACGCACTTTAATTACAAAACGTTATTATTATTTATCACATTCTATTGGAGACCTACTTATTTGATATGTATGTCTCAGCTCTACGTCGTTTTTATTATATCGTCATACTCGTAGAATACTGACGGATCTTTATATGTAATCTTTGTCAGATCCGTCAGTATTCTACGACTATGATGATATGTAGTATATAGGTATGTTTTTTGTAATAAGTACTTCACCAGACATGAAATTAAATATTGCATTATAATCTCAGATGAATTAGGAACTATAAGATTCGATAGAATAAATTTTTGTTTTCTCATGTGTTAAAAATGGATTTTATATTTTATTTTGAAGTTCATACTCCGATTTTATACAGAAAAATATGAGATTGAGAAAATTGTATTACAGACGTTATTGTAGAAAGTTTCGATAATGTTTGAAAGATTTCTGAAAGCTTTTTCAAAAAGTATTAATACACCCATTTTTATTTTTGTTTCTTCAGGATCGGCAATAATAAGTTACATCCCTAGTATTAGCGTTCATAAACTACAGCAACCATTCACCAACAAAGCAATATGATATATGTATACAGTAATCCTTAAAGCGACATTTAGGCTATATTAAAGCGGACGAAGTAAAATTCTGATATTTCGTTTTGCAGGCAGGCGTTTGTGCGCGGGCGAGACGTACGCCCGGCAGTCGATGTTCCAGGTGTTCGCGGCGTTCATGCAGGCGTTCCGCGTGTCGCCCGCCGACGGCCACCGCCTGCGCGCCCCCTCGCGACGTTTACAGGGCATCATTACCACCATACCCGAGTACTGGGTGCGAGTCACACCCAGACAACCATCAGTCTAAAACTAATTTTTACTCACAATTTTTTTTATGTTGTTAAAATATACATATTAAAATATAAATAAAAATAAATGTGTATAGTATAGGTAAGTGTCTTAAGTTTTTTTGTTCTAAATAATTGGTTAGTGATGAAGCAGTCATCCAGTATCATCAACCTACGTGCAGTCTCGTTAGCAACCATCGTGATTAAAGAATTCCTCACAACAGACCTATTGCTCTGCCATGATCCACATTTACATTTATCCCTTACTGGTACTACCACTTGTATTGCCTTGGATAATCTATGTAGCTAAGCTACGGAGTTTCATTTTTAATTTTCAATTTCCCATTACTGTTTACAAAATATCATTAGGTTCCATTTGTGTTCAAGGAAGAGCCCTTTTAATACGCGCAGGTAACGTTATTTAGTTATCTACAAGAATTCAGTTACATTGCATAAAATACAAATTCAATAAAATAATAGCGTCCAGTTGACTCTTTTACAACCTTTTTCATTTACTCGAATGCATCTAAGCCTCACGGTGACCGATAAAAAAAGACAGCTAACAACTAACGTGATTCACTGTCTGTAGATAAAACACGATTAGATTAATGGTAATTTTAGAAACATATTTACTACGATATTTTGATAATGTTAATTGTATGTCAATACAATTATACAATTATAAATGTTGATCTATACTTAGTTTTTTACAGTTTAAAAAAAAATAATATTTTTAGTACGTTTGTTACGTTGTGGAGCAGGTTAAGGTCAGAGACCATGCTGCCTAGTCTTCAATATGATAAATTGTCTGGAATTTTAAAATAATTTAACAGCGTTAATTTTTTTTAAATGAAACATGAATGAACAAAACGTATTATGCTTTTTTTTCTAGTGCTTCTCTTTCAAGTTTTTACTAATTATGAAATAACTAACTTTTACCTACGACTTTGTCCGCGTGGCCGCGATAAAAAATAACCTATGTCCTTCTCGATCACTTAAAGAGTCCAGCAACTACATTTCATTCACAAGTATTGTATAACAAATGAACGAGTCGCTCTATATACGTTCTTAACTATTCGACACGTCCAAAAAAATTCGGAATATTCCACATACATGTCTTCTCGTAACTTAGAATCTGGTGTAGGTTTTATCGTAATACGTCATCTTGGGTTTTCTACTTTTAAAATCCACACGTTCGAAGTTGTGTACAATAAGCTAGTTTGTAATATTAATAATAAAGTTATCTCTCTGAAGAAGATAGTAGTGTGAAAGAGAGATGAATTAAAAGACTCTTTATACACAATCTTAAGGGTCCCCATCTCGTCTAAGATTGGCTGCGTTCAGCCCATACACTTAGAATAACTTATACTTTATGATCTAAGGTTCAACCCCAACAACGATAATTTGAGTCCCTTGTTCTAATGGGCTGTTGCTTTATTAAATTTATTATTCATAAAAATACGATTAATTTATTTTTTATTATTATTTATAAAAATATTACAATTATATTGAAAAATTCATATAATGAATTAGATTTGGGCATTTTTTCTTGATACTTATTAATCAAAACATTAAGTTTATATGTTTTTTATCATTATATTTCAATCGAACAAATCAGCAACTTTCTAACAAAACACCCTAATTATCTTCGGAGTGAGGATAGATAATCAAAAAAATCTTTTTTTTTTTTGTATATATAATTCAAAAAGTCGAGCATAATAACAACGTAATAAAAGATAAAATAATTGATAACTTATCTATGCAGCTATTAACTCAAAACAGGTGCTCTCTAGAGATAACTGTGTTTTTCGAGAAATCGAGAAGTTAATAAATAAAACGTGATTATGATACAGTCATTATTTAATGTATTTATTGCATTTCCATATTTACCGGCCACATTTTAGAATGCCAACTACAAATTGCCATTGAAACATGAAACGAAAGAGTTTCCTATTTATTTTCCGTTAATCTATCACGGTAGTAGGTACCTAAACCTGATTGATAGATACACATTTTTATCATCTAATAACTCATGTTATAGGTGAATGAAATATTGTTATTTTAGAAATTAACAACCAACTTAGGTAAAAGAATATTTATTATTTTATATGTACAAGTACGAATACAAAATTAATAAGTTTTTATATAAGTAGATAGAACATCTTGTTCAGTAATCCATTATATAATTTTATATTAATTGTCAAATATTGATACTTTTTACAGTTTATTATTTATCTATGATCTGTGCTCGCTCTTGGTTTTGTAGTAGGTACAATTAAATTAAATAAACATTTTTTAAAATTAATCTCTATTTTTATCTTTATACATGTATCCAAACGTTACTAAAATTTTCACCTTTTGATATGATGATCAATAATCATTACAATTACAATTTTAAAAGCGGCCTACAGACTACACACTAATTAAATTATCAGTTTAACGGTATTCTCGCTTAATTCTTGTTCTGGTCCTTTTGAGATTCAAACTATGCAATTACCAATTATGGTGGTAATGAATACATCACCTGCATTACTGGTAATTTGATTACTAATATACAATAATGTAAGAATATAACAATTATTACTGTTACTGCTTACATAACTATTGTAATAACGTGTAAATAATATTTATGACCACCTTAAGACCGATCCACACTATAGTGCCGGTCTTAGTTCGCTCTTGGTCTGCTCTAGGTGTGGTAAAATATTATTACGTAGGAAACAACGTATATTCACACTACAATCCATTCCCTTTCCGATCAATCTCGAATTGTCTGTATTGATTATACCGAAAGCGGAACGAGAGTAAACTAAAACTGACATAAAAGTACTTCCGTATGTAAATAATTAAGCTACTATTCATTTCTATATATTTAAAAACATAAATTTTTTGAACACATTATTAACCAAGTTGCAAAAACCTATAATGAAATAAAATATCGTAAACTCGTTTAAATGTAAAAACATATATTATCATCTCATTATACATTTAGGCATTAAGTATATACAAATATAAGTAAATAAACTTAACCACTAATAAGTATATTATGAACATTCCAAACAAAATTATAAAACCCCGTATACATAATAGTTTTTTTAGCAGATAAAATGTTCTTCGTCTACGTAAGCCACAAACCTTATACATACTAATAACCATACAAATTTATAATAAATCACAAGGTTCTTACTAATTGAAAACATGAAGTTTCGCTATCCTATGATGGATAGATTCAGGATGTTAGGAGGCGCTTATGTGCGTATTAACATAATTTATCTTACACTTGATTATAACAACATAAATTTACATATTACATTTTATACTTATAGTTGTCAGAAGCCACATAATACTTACATCAAAGCATATAATAAGGAAAATATGAGAACACACCATGTCACCATCCATTCATGTCTTCAATTATCCTCCAACAAATAAATATTTAGATAACCTTATAATAAAAAAATATATATCTTACATTTCAAAATTTATAATAAATAATCACAACACAATTGATTCAACTTTATAAAAAAATATCCCCATCATTTCTAAAACGAATTGTCATCCCTTATTAAAGGTGTATTAGAGCTATTAGCTTTAGAGGTACGATTTCCAAGAATCCTTTTTACTGCTAAAGGAACTTAGTATTCAAATGTGTTTTAGTGAGATGTAAAGACATCGAAATATCCACAGGGAAATCGACCTGATTAGGTGCGCTTATCCCTAGTACTAACAATTCCCAAAATAGTAGGTAATAAGTAGTAGTTATTAGTAGGTAATGTAATGTTCATCAGAATAGTAATAATTTACAATATCACAGTGATTACACCTAAGTTTTCTAAGTTTTTTTTTTTGTGTGTGAAAAGTATTTCTAAAACATATTTCTTGATTTATTTTTATTTTTACTGGAATAAAATAAATCTCAATTCAATAATCTTTAAAATAATCTTAGTCTAATACCAACGCTTAACAAATTAAAACTATTAACGACATATTCCCTTAGCGGACGTTTTAACGTCCGATTTTAACATGCTTTTTTTCTGCGTAAAAACATGTTTATTCTGGATTTTAACTGTTCTTTCACTGGCGCCCCGTCTGAATTTGATAAGACTTTTAAAAATCATTAACACAATAGTTGATGTATTCAAGTATCACAATTATGTACATAAACCAACAATTATGAACTTTAACATATAAAATTATAATGCTTCGTTGTCTGATCGACTACTTTGTAGTGTATAAACTACTATAAAAAATAAATTTATTCAGATAACTTGATCTAAGGTTCATTGTATTAATTACTTATTTATTCACTACAAGATGAACGCATTAACATCTCGCAAATACCAAATAACATACAAAAATCAATAGGTACATAATTGTTTTTTTTTACATAGATAGGTATTTATATATGTAGGATATTTATATTTTATACAAACAACATATCTCTACCTGAATTGCAACCACCCCCATTTATTGACTAAATATAACACTAAAAATCTATTGAAAAATTAAACATATTTAATGAATAATCCTTAATTAATATTATAAATGCGAAAATGATATGTTTGTTTATTACGCTTTCACGTCTAAACTGCTGGATCAATGTTGAGGAATTTTGGTACAGATGGGATCCTAGATGTGGTCATAGGCAATCTTTTCCCCAATCAGTGAACATTTCGACCACACGGACAAAGTCGCAGGTAAAAACCAGTATATAATATAAAATGAACTCCTGATTGTATTTACTATATGAAATAGCCACGTAGTAATAATAATAATTATAGTAGTAATTTCGTATTTAGGCCGTAAACGTGGCTGGAAACCAAACCGCAAAATTAAGTTTATTTTTGGAGGATTTTTGATAATTTTTCAAAAATAGTGTTAGTTGAAACTTTTTTAAATATTTATATATACTTTAATAATTAGTATTATTTCAGATATTAAGCCTCAGAAAATTCGGAAATAAGAGGAGGAAATGGTTTTTAATTTTTTCTCACAATTTCTATTATTACAAAAAAAGAAAAAAAAAAAACTACGTAGCATAAAAATAAAAAAACAGTTTTAAAATATGCAAATAAAGCCTTTTCTAATGATACACTACTTGGACGAGTAGGTCAATTTTTAAATTTTGGATATACGTTTTGGACTCCCTAGCATAGAAAATAAAAATATTTTTTAATTATTTCCATTGCAATATGTGTAGATCAATATTATAGTATGTACTTATGTAAAAGTGTTCAAAATTTCAAATTGATAGCATTAGTAGTTTGTACGTTTTTGGTACGAAATCTTGAAAAGGACTATTTAATTGATATTATAATTCTTTTTTAAGCAACTGGATATGGCAAATCATTGGACGGCTCAACAGTTGACAAGTAGTAATGGTGGCCTGCAGGTAAGAAGTGCACTATGAACATTACACAATACAGTGTCATCCCTCACGCGTTGCCATTCTATGCTGTGACAGTATGTCTGAGTACCGTACTTTTTTTTTAATAATAATATAATGGAATGGTAACCCCTCCTGCGCTAACTATATACACTGGCGGGGATGATAGGTGAGAATGAAAAGGCAGGTCAGAGTTCATCATGTATCCTGGAGTTATCCACAATGTTATCTAGTGGAGACCGAATGAAGTTCAACCCTGTATTTTCAGTTACCACTCTATTTTCATCCCATTAAAAAAAAAATACCACAGTATAACAAACAGTACTAAAAAACTAACACTAGATATAGGTATCCAGTGAAGATATTTAATATGTCAACTACAAAAAAAATTGTATTTACCAATATAATTCTGTTTATACTTGTAGATATAAATAACTTCTAGCTGAGCAAAAATGGTACGAATCTAGAAGGATATCTAGCATAAAACAAAGTATACAATGTAGGTAATTAAATATACCGTTATTAGCTATATGTTCTGTGACAGAGTTGTCGCCATAAGATCGACACATACATTGTTGAATAATAGACAGAGATTATCATGGTACTACAATGAGTTGGTACATTGTGATTGATGCTAGGATAATTATGTGCTTATCCATGTAAATGCGAAATCTTAAATGTTTATTTTAATAGTTTTACATTAATTATAAATTATTTTTTCGAATACACAGATATTGGTCTTTATTTATAATCATTGAAATGGCTGTATAATTCATAAATTTTAAGTAAGTTGTAATGGTCATATTTTTACATAGGTTACCTACCTAATATTTTATGCAGTTAAACAATTTTACAAGAATTGAAATGGCAAACAATGTGACGACTCACTGATGAATAGTGATAACAGTCTTCTATATGCTACAACAAAACAGACTTCTTCAAACAAGTATATTATGATATCCCTGGTAATCTTGTGTTGTCATTCCTGGGAACTAATATGTCCTCGTAGCTTGTAATTTCATTGGAATATTCAACGAAAAGGACAGTTGGTTCGGGATAAAAAATACTTTTGTAATACTAATTAGGCAGAGGGAGCTGTGTAGCAAGTTTTGGGATATAAGAATATGGGTCAATGTTGATTTTTAAACAAATAGGTACTATAAGCATTTTATGAAATTTTGTTACAGTTAGAAATAATGTTTAGTACATAGTAGTTCGATGTTATTTCATCTTACCGTTAAGAGTTAGTCAATAGGGATGTGATGCAAAATTTTACGCAATGTTTATATTTTCACTTACATATATGTGAAATATTAATTTGTTACAATGTATGAACGTATATTAAGAAAAGATTACCTCTGGATAATGGATGTAGTTAGTAACGTAATATAAATTTAGTATCTACGACCATAAAATTTACAATGTACCTAATTTTACGATTGGTTTTACATTGATTAATTTATCTAAGATGCATATTAAGTTTTATGTATGTTTTTAAAAAGTATTTAAATTCTTTCTTAGTGACTTCTCTAGATTTAGAAAGGTCTAGATTAATAGTTATAAAATATCAACGAGCCAAGACGTTCACATTTGAAATATTAGTAAAGATTTATCTGAGATAATGAAAAGCGATGATAATTATAAATAATTCAAATGTCCTATTATACTCTATTCTACAATAACACATTAATGTTTAACAATAATTTATAAAAAATACAGATAAGCGTGATTAAGGCGTGTTAATTATAGCAATTATTATTATTATTGTAATTAACGAGGTCTTCTTGTTTAATAAAAATGGTTTCTGTCAGATAATCTTATAAGACAGAGGACAAAATTATATCTTATAAAGTAATTATGCGCCTCAATCATGGCATGTAGGTATTCTAATACAGCAGTAATTAAAATGCATAATCTGAAATTATGTTAAGAATCATTAAGACAAAGTGAAATATATAATAATAACATATACATTATTTTTTATACATTATCTTATGGCAGTACATGGTAGTATTCACCAAAATTAATTGGGTGGCATGAAAACCTAAATCAGCCATGTTTAGAATGATTTTAATTTCAACCAAATTATATAATCGAGCATAAATCTTTGCTGTTTAGTGAAATAATACAAACATGCAACAATAACGAATGACAGTCTCCCTCATAAAAGATTGATAGAAAGATTAAATTATTATACCCTAAGATTTAGAGATATACTACATATACCCTAGAGATATATACCTCTTGAATTTTAAATTCTAAAATCTAAGTTGTTGAAATTTTATTTGTAACTATAATGTGTATATGTACATTAGTGTCGATAACTTAAAACTTTTCATTCTCCATATCAGTTAATAGATTAATCGAGCATTATAAATCCCACTAGTTGACGCATATCTTCCGATAAGGAATCCAAGAGATTCTCTTGTACTATTTAACAAATAAATCGTTATTATACGTTGATAGATATATGCTATTCATGAATTTTACAAATAATCGTTAAAAGATAATGGAAAATTACAATAATCATAAGTACATACTATAAATATATAACTGAGATTGCCTTCTTTTTAAAGAACTAATGATTATTTTTTTGCCTATTCCCAAAATATAACGAAATTGAAAAAGTCACTTTAAAAATTATTAATTTAATATGATACAGCTAGTCTTTTGAACAATAATTAACTAAGAATTATTGTTGACTTAGATTACTCAGAGCGATTTATTATTGTAATTTAAAAATATCAAATAATATGGTTAACCATCGTCTGTCGGTTTTTCTTCAATTTGTTGTTTACCATTAAGTTCGATACTCTCGCTCGTAATTTTGGATTCCTTTTGACTTCTATACGCGGCTGGCCCTACCAATGACAAAACCACTGGAAGGAATAACAAACCATTAAAAAGTCCAAATACTATAACTAATAAGAATATTTTGAAAAATGACTGGAATGTGTAAGTTTTGGACATACTAAGAATAGATAATGATAAGAAAGTCGAACCGCCACCTAGTAACACTGCCGTACCGATAGATGTAACCGTTTTCATTGCTCTAGTAGTTCTATCACCATCTGCAGTAACCAAGAATGTGTGACCGATATGAGCTGCATAATCTACACATAAGCCTATTGCAAGTTCAAGGCCAATACAGCAAACTATGTCTACAGTCATGCCCCACCTTTGCATCCACCCCAAAACGTTCACAATTGTTATTAACACGCAAAGAAATATCCAGAAACACATTTGTAAATTTGTTATTAAAATTATAGTACAAACCATGACACAAAGTAAGGCCAATTCTATATTCCTTTCCACTTCAGTCGCTATTATTTCATCAGTAACCCAATTTGCGAACACTTTAGACCATACGCTCCGATAACCGTCGCCCGTTGAGATCGAAGTAGATTTTACAATATTTTTCACGTGGTTCATAGCCGGTATGTATTCCTCAGGTCCATTAAATCTTTGGAATTTAAACTGCATAGAAGATGCTGTTATGTTTGATGTCGGGAATCCACAGCGAAGAGGTTCAGCGAACCTAAAGTTTAGCTGAAATTGCCCGCCCACCGAACTATATAAAAATTTTGATAAAAATTGGTCGAATTCTTCACTTGTAACTGACGTTACATTCATTAAATCCCGATTGAAATTCCTTAAAACATATCTGTGAAATGAATCTATCCAAGACAAAATATTGTCAATGTAGGATTGGTTCCTTAATTCATGTGCTATTTTATATAAATTTGGAAATTCGTAATGATAATTCATTTCGCCAAGAAATACCATTGATAAATACCCTTCATCTGGGTAATAATTATCATATGTATTAAGATAATCCTTATAATAAGTATCATCAGGGATAAACCATTTTGGATCAAACCTTTGCTCTAATTGAAATAGTGCACTTGTGCTAAATCCAGTCATCACTAATACAAATAAAATAATAAGTGTTCTTCCAGCAGAAGTAAAAATTACATTTTGATAAAATTTTGTAAGCAATCTATGAAATATTGTTTCTTTTTTAGAAATAGAAATGTCTTTGGAATGCTTGTAACAGAACAGTATACCATTTCTATTATCCTGTATCCTTCTTATATCTAAAGTAAAAATAGCAACATAGAATGTAACAGAATAACAAAATATAAAAAAGACACCAACAGCAGCATATATGCAGAAAGATTTTAAGGATGGTAAAATAGTAATAGCTCCTATAAGAAGAGCAACTATATCAGTAAAAGAAGTGATTACTATTGACACACCAGCATGTTCTAGCATTAAACCAACTCTAATAGGAAGACTTTTTTTAGATTCACTCTCAGATAAGTTTTTCCAAGATGCATACATAACAAACATATCATCTATACCAAGTCCCATCAGTAGAAATGGCAGAGATGAATGCACTGGACCAAATGATATGCCGAATATAGAACACCAACTTACTGTAGTAATATATGCCATACCTATACAAAGAAGTCCAACACTGCCCAAAGTTAGCCTGATTTCTAACCAATTAAATCGCGACAATGCAAATTGTATATACAAGAACATTAATATAATTCCTAAAAACAATTTGTCAATTTCTTTAAACATAGCCTCACCACTAATATCGGCAAAACTTCTTCCAGCTTCATAATACAAGTTAATGTCAGTTAAATTTTGAGAGAAACTATGCATTAATTCTATAAATTTTAACTCCCACATTGCCAGTGGTATTGAAACCCAATCTTCAGTACCAACTAAATTACCAACTTCGTTGATATCAACAGCAGACATGTTCACAAGAGTGAACCATGTTAACATAATAGATTTAGCAGACACTATATCCCCAGTCTCATCATGCTCAATTCCACCTAATAGTTTAGTGTAGTTCATAGGATGCCCTGTGACAGGATTTTTAGTTATTTGATTTACTTTCCTTACAATGTCATATTTGGTGGTATTATGTATTAAATTGATATCATTTTTCCATAAATCTACAATGTTGTGCTGAAGACACACTGAATTAAAGTTTTCTATAAAACTACAATAAAACATATCACCAATCCACAAATTAGGATCCTTAAAATCATCATCACGGTTTGTACTGTTTTTATTAGCACTATCCATTACAGCGGTAGACTCTGCAGATTTTGTTTCACTGTTTGCACCATATATATCAACAATTGGCACTGCATAACACAAATCTAGTATACTATAATTTTTATTTTGATATGAAATTTGAAGAGAATTTAATTCTCTGGTAATATTCATAATAATTTGTAAAACCTTTGGGTCCAGCACATCATCTGCAGTGATAATTACATTTTGAAGTCTAAAGTTTGTTTGAAACTTATCAATGTACCAATTGGTGTCATAATAAAAATCAGAATCTGGTGGCACCCATAATTTCATTGGATTTTTTTCTATGTAAAATTTCATTAGACCAATGCAACTCAATAGCATAAAACACCATGTTACTGTTATTGTTTTCCATGGGTTTCTTGCAACTAGCACTCCAAGAGTAAAAAATATCCTCTCTGTGAAATGAACCAGGGTTGAAGAACCATACTCCCATATTTGCTGAGGAGACTTGATCTTCTTAGTAGGCATGTTTCATAATATAAAATAATAAAATTGTAAAATCTTCAGTCACTATAATATTTTACTTTACCATTAATTGAAATTGTCACTTTGTCACATAACTAACAAAATACAAATGAAAGTTATAAAAATAAACTGTATGGATGTCAAATATAGGCGCGTTAAACGTGCCGCCTGAGGCTGCTATGAACAGCGACTGATACGATATCGGCGGAATTATCTCGGACACTCTGACTTCGCCTAAGTAACAATTATTCAATTTGTACTTGATAAACGCTTTATATATTTATAGAACTACATTTGCATTGTATAAATATTGTACTTACGTATGTAAATTAACTACTGAATTCTAAAGTAGTTTATACGTGAGTACCTTCATTTATTCTGTTGTACTAAAATAGTAGTGAAAGAAAAGAATGAAAGGCAGTAAATGCATTGACAATTAAAAATATTACCTGGGTACCCACCTATTATCGCAATAAAATTACAATTAAAAACTATAACCACTGCTCAATTAGTTTCAGCTTTTGTAGAACATCTAGTTCTTATATTGTTTACCTATACTTTATCGGTAAAAAACACATTTAAATATAAAGCTTGGAAATAGTTAATTAAAAAGCAATAATAAAAAATGTAATTAATTAAAAATTAAAACACGATAATACAGATAATATTTAAAGTTTTTTATAGGTAGTTATATAATATTATAAAACAAAAATAAACAATGAAATGACAAAATAAACAAACCTACTGTCAGTGTTGAATGTCAAAGTCGTTTACAAGAGATTACCGTAAAAAGGGGTGTATAGAATTTGAATGCTTGGAACTGGTAAGAGAACAATCAAAAACCGTATTTATTTCAAAGACAGATATATTTTGTTACTGCGCTGTTAAGACTAATTGTCTGTGAAGCCCCGTTAAATATTTTGAAAATGTATTTGAAATTCACCAGCCACTTCATCTATACCTAATAGCTAATACGGGGGGGATAATAGATTGTTAAATATAGGGACTACTTAGCCCCATTGTTAGCAATACACCCTGTCAGATCAATCTCCTCACGATTCCCCCTGGAAACTGTCGTGTTCTATTCCAAGTGAATCCATCACGATAAGCTAACTGACCTGCCTTTCCATTGTCACCTATCATCTTTTACTAGTGCCCCGCCAGCGTATACCGTTAGTGCAGGCGGGGTTAACATTCCATTATCATCCATTAAAAAAAATAGCTAATACGGAAAAGTGATTGTTAGTAATGAGATTTAATAGCCCCGTTGCTAGCAATACACCCTGTTAGGTCGACCTCCACGCGGTTCCCTTTGGAAACCATATTGATTAATTCTTGTTGAATTGATCACTATGGGGCTATGGGCTAACTAACCTGTTTTCATCCTCACCTGTCATCCTTCACTGTTTTCCCGGCAGTATATACCGATAGCGCAGACGGGGTTACCGTTCCATCTTCCCCCATTAAAAAAAATTGTTAATACGGGGAGAAAGCAATATAAAGTATATTCAGTTCGACCTCTACACAGTTTTCACGATATCCAGTATCATAGTATATTCTTGTAAAATTCGTCACAATGGATCAACTGAAACTGTAAATGTTAAATAGAATAGAGTACTGATGAATGAACTGAGTTATTAGAGAGATGTATGAAATGATAGAGCACTGATTATTATTGCAATTTTCATCTTAATAATTATTATGGTTTTAAAACATAGCGTACTAAATTTCTATAACATTAAACTTTTAATTATACCTATGTTTATGCAAATAAATGATAGTGATTAAAAAAAATTGTTGGCAGGATTATTTCTTGGATTAAATGTGTTGGAGTTTTAATATTGGCGGTTGACGTTGAGTTTTTTTTAGAACAATGTATTATTTTTATGTTTATTCTATGTCAGATTTTTATATGACATGTCTTGTATCTTTTCACTAAACTTATTATTTTATATCATAAATATATATATGTTTTATTACAAGATCCTGCTATTTACAACAAAATGTTGTGATTAAATTGTATTACCGATGTTATTGAAATTACTTAAATTTGTTGGAGTTGCACAAAAATTAAAATTGGCAAGATATATAACATAAAATTATAAATGTCTGTAACCTTTTACGATTTATTATTCAGTTTTTCTTTAGCGATTTAGTTATAGTGTAAATACTTCTTGGTAGTTAGTTTTTTTTATTGTACCTGTCTGTTTATGAATTGTCACCTTAATAAAATTATCTTGCTACTAAAAACATCACTCAATTCCTATTATTTATTGACCTCTGATACAACTCTATATATAAAGGGCACCTTTCCTAGTTTCCTTTTAGCGACAACTTTTGTAAAATAATTGTTTAGGATGGAATAAATCTTTTACTGACTGAAGAATACTAATGATTTTTTTTTTATTTTTATCAAACTATAAGTATAGTTTGATAAAAAAAATAATTGACCTGACCAAAATACAATCTGCTGATGATTACTAATAGTACAAATTAACTATCTATTAATTGATTGAATGTTTTGATTTGTTATTAATTTCAATAACGAAACGCTACAGCTTAAATGCAACTCGGTTAACTTTTTATTAGGTTCTAATGAAATAGATTATATTTATGCCATTTAAAAGATCGTAGCCATTATCAATTTTTCTTCTAACGGCCCAAATGAGAGGCTAAGCGCGGAAAACAGAGTCTTTCTCACATTCACATTCACATTATCAATTTTTCTATTCACCCGGTGTCATTTCTTTTAACCTCTTGACTAGGGTGAATAGAAACAAGATTTTGATATTTTTCTAACAACTAAAGAAGAAATAACCTATTTCTATTGTTTTAAACAAGTTAGTTTAGTCTAGTTTTGAGCCATATAATAAATATATTCCATACCTTGTTCTTAGATTTCACGTCATTCGCTAATTCAAAAATAACGTGAAAATTAATATCAAATTTAAAAAATGCATAATCTTTCTGATCTGTGTTATACTATTCACTCTGTTCTGTTTCAGGCATAGATTAAGCAAAACATAATAGATACCTTTTTCTTTCTACGGGTTTTAATATACCAATAGGAAAAAAAGGCGGGAAACTCGAATAAGAACAAGCGGGTTTTTTAAATTTTTTTATTAATTTATTAAAACTATCTCTATCAATTCTTATTATTGAATAAAATATTATATTTTCACTAAATTCAGCGACAGTAATATAATTAGCATTCATGGGGAAGCGCAGTTGTAGAAAAAGGAAAAAAAAGATGACGATTCAGGTGATGTAGACCATGAACCTTGTAATGACAAGGATATATATTCGGAAGATACTTCTACTGACTCAGAATCTGAAATTGATAAGGCCGATAAGTATATACCTTACTACGTCACAGATTATATTAGAAGATATCCCGAGGAATCCCCTGGGACAGAATTTGTTGTCTTTGTAGAATCCTCAGATAGTCAGAAAACCATTGGATCCAGAGACTTGCTCTCACTCTCCTCCTGTTTAAAACGATTTAATAAAGGGGTAACTTATCTTAGATCTATAAATAAATTCAAAATCGGAGTATACTTTCAAAAGCCAGACTTAGCCAATGCTTTTTTAAATAATAAAACTTTTTTAAATGACTACCATTTTAAGGCCAGTATTCCTGCTTCTTCAACAGAAGTTACAGGCGTTATTAGAAATGTACCTACAAATATATCTAATAAAAAAATATATACTATGATATCGAGTTCTAAGAAAATTATTGCTATTAAAAGAATTTTAAGAAAAAATACCTTGACTCATGGATATGTGTTACAGCCAACTCTAACCGTGACAATTACTTTTGCTGCATCTGTATTACCTGAATATCTGGATATTGGAGGTTGGCGCCACAATGTCACTCCATATATACCACCAGTTAAACAATGCTACCGGTGCTTGAGGTATGGACATTTAGCTAAATTCTGTAAGAATTCTGAGCGTTGCAGCATCTGCAAAGGTGAGCATAATTATAAAACTTGTACAACTGGAATGGAAAACGCTATTTGTGTACACTGCAATGGAAATCACACAAGTGTATCACCGCAATGCCCTGTTAAACAAAAGAAAATTGCTGAAAATAGATCTAAATTCAGACCTGCTTCTTTTGGAGATATACTTAGCACTGAAATATTTCCTAAACTGGGTAACAAACCTAAAAAAAATGTAGACCTAATTTCAATTCTAAATTCTGATAACAAGAGTTTATCACTTTTAATAGAAAGCATAATCAAACTTATTTCACTACATAACACAAAGAACACATCTATTAACACTAAAAGTGTTTTGAATGTGTTATATGATACTTTTGGTAATAGACCTATTTCACAAAATTCAATCGAGACCAATTAACTATCATACAGTGGAACGCTCAGAGCCTACTGAGCAATCGACATATTTTTACACAATTTTTAAATGAACATCATATTCACATTGCTCTCATCTCAGAAACTTGGCTAAAACCACATTACAAATTAAAAATTAAAGATTATTGTATAGAACGAAATGATTGTGGTAATAACCACAATGGAGTAGCGATTATTATACATAATAGTATTAGATATAAAAAACTTCACTCTTTTTTCGACAATTCTTTGCAAACTATAGCTATTAGTATTGAAGTTAATAATTCTTGGTATTCAGTTGCCAGTATTTACTGTCCTACCAATAGTACACCTAGTTTTACTAAAGCCAAATTTAAGTTCTTTTTGGAGTCTCTTCCTAAACCCACTATCATATCTGGAGATTTAAATGCACATCATACTATGTGGGGTTGTACCTCCACTAATACAAGAGGTAAAGACATTCTTGATTGTTTAGATGAATGTAATTTGGTACTATTAAATGATAAGCAAGTTACTACTGTTGGCTCTCATATTTGGAGACCCAATGGCCTTGATTTAACTATGGTATCCCCATCCATATCATTAAAATGCGAGTGGTCGGTTCATGATGATCCGTTAGGAAGTTATCACCTGCCGACTTTTACTAAAATAAACACAAAGAACTCTTCATCAACTCCGTCAGGTGAACAACATGCTCCTATAGATGAAGTTAATAAACTTTTGTTAAATCGTATAAACCTACGTCTCGTTAATTGGGATCTTTATTCTGAAACTGTTAATCAATTACTTTTGGATTTCGAGTATGATGTCAATGAACCCTTAAACAATTACAATAGGTTCTGTAAAATTATTTTGACAGCTGTGGAACGTTCCGTTCCACGTAGGAACTTATCAAATAGCGGTGCAAATACTTCAAAGAGGCACAAACATATTGCAGTACCTTGGTGGAATAACAGGTGTGCGACAGCTGTCAATGATAGTAAAGCGGCTTACCTTAGGTTTAAACAAAATCCAACTCTCGATAATTACATAAATTTTAAAAGAGTTCAAGCTGTTAAAAAGTTAGTAATTAAGCAAGTAAGACAACAGGGGTGGCAGGAATTTTGTTCCAAATTTAATAGATTAACACCAATTTCCACTGTTTGGCAAAATATGAGAAAACTAAATTCAAAACATCGTCAAAATCATTTTAAAGATATATCATGGGTCAATGATTTTTTACGCAAATATACTCCTGATTTTGTACACTCACCTTTTGATGACAAACAGTTTAATTCTGTTAATTCATGCCCAAAATTTCTCACTGACCCATTCTCAATTGATGAAATATCCAGTGCAGTAAAATCTAGAAAAGATACAGCTAGTGGCCTTGATCGCTTAACATACAATATGTTTCGATTGCTGAATAAAATAAACCTTACTAAACTCTTACAAATTTTTAACGATTTATGGAAGGACTGTATTATCCCACCAGAATGGAAAATGGATTGTTTGATTCCAGTAATTAAACCCGGTAAAGATCCTACAAATTTCGACTCCTATAGACCTATAACATTGACGTCCTGTGCAGGCAAATTATTCGAACAATTAATTAAACAGCGTTTAGAGTTCTTTATTGAAAGTAATAGTATATTACCATCGAATCAATTTGGTTTTCGCCGTGGATATTCAGCGCGCGAAAGTTTAGCGAACTTCTATGTCGACCTTAGTACTGCTTTGAATAACGATGAATATGTTCTATCTGTTTTTTTAGATGTCGTAGGAGCTTTTAACAATGTAAATTTAACAGTTCTATCTTCGATTTTATCCTCATTTCTTCCAATGAAACTTATCGAATGGATTTATAATTTTCTTAGTAATAGAGAAGTGTATGTTAAAGTAAATAGTAAATTAATAGGACCTAGGTTAAGCTCTAAAGGAGTATGTCAAGGTGGTATTCTAAGCCCGCTACTATATATTTTATATATCTATAAACTTAATTCAATTTTAGGAAACAGTGTGAACAACTTGCAATTTGCCGATGATTTATTAATTTATATAAAAGGAAAGAATATTATTGATATGCAATTAGTGTTAAATGAGTCATTAAAAAGACTTGAGAAATATTTTTCTCTTCTTTCCCTCGATATTAGTTTAACCAAAAGTAAAGTAGTTGTTTTTCATCAAGTTCATAAATATGTTCCATTAATGAATATTATATATAATAATCAAACTCTTCCAACAGACTGTAGCGTTAAATTTCTGGGGGTAATTTTTCATCAAAATTTAAAATGGGATCTATACGTTGATTGCTTAGTAGATCGTGCTTTAAGAGCCACTAATATAATAAGATCTGTAATTGGTCGTAACTGGGGAGCTGATCCTAAAATTATCCTTTTACTTTACAAATCTCTTGTTAGAAGTAATTTTGATTACGCTTTCTTTTGTTATGCCTCAGAACATAAATTAGTAGAAAAACTCGAAAAAATTCAAAATATGAATTTAAGACTTATTTTAGGTGCTATGTATACTTCTCCAATTATCTCAATGCAAGTAGAATGTAATTTGCCTCCTATCCTTCTTCGTTTCGAATACCTAAAACTCAAATTTCTCTTCAAAGTTTTTTCAGTTTCCAATAACCCACTCATACTCAAATTATTAAATTGCCCCATTTCTATGTTTTTGAATAAAACTATTGTCAATGATTTGAATTTACGAGATGAATATAACATCTATAGTAGTAAGATACTTCCTTGTTATAATGGCCTTTATGAGAGTAAGTTCTGTAAGATCAAAATTGTTATACGTAAAGACATAAAAGAAAAGCACGATATGTATGAGACTTTATCAGAATTTATTGACTACAGGCAGATATATACAGATGGTTCCAAAAATGCACTTAGCACTTCAGTGGCTTTTTACGATTTGTCAAATAGATTTGGTCACGGTTATAAAATTTCAACTTTGGCTAGTATTTACACAGCAGAAGCAAAAGCTATATTTTTAGCATTAGAATACATAGAAAAACAGGTACTATATTCGAAATGGATTATAATTACAGATAGTATGAGTGTTCTTATGGCATTAAAAAATAACACATTCATTTCATCATCAAACTACTTAATTCAAGAAATTCGTAATAAATATTATCATCTCTGTACTATATATGGAAAAGATATTATCTTCATCTGGACCCCTTCACATATTGGAGTGTTTGGGAATGAACAAGTAGACACTTTGGCTAAAATTATTAATTCAAGTGCTGCTCGTGTTCAAGATTTACCCCTTTGTTACTCAGATTGTAGTATTGGAATACATAAAATCGTTACAACTAAATGGGAGGAGCATTGGACTCAAATATTACAGACTAAAGGCAAATGGTACCGCAAAATTAATTGGCGTATTGGAAAACCGTGGTTCTGCAAAGGAAAGGACACAAACAGAAAATTTTACACCAATATTTGTAGATTACGAATCGGCCACGGACATTTCAACGAACACCTGCACCGAATGGGCATGATCGCTTCCCCATCATGCACATGGTGTAACTCAAATACAGCCCAATCTCTACATCACCTTTTTTTTGATTGCTCTGAATTTGTCATTCAAAGACACATTATGTTTGACGAACTTAGGATTATCTTCAAAAAACCCGAAAATATCCCGCACTCAATCCCGCTTCTCTTAAGATTTCCTTCTTGTTTCAAAGCTATTTTCACTTATATTACTACAACATTCAAGGAGCTATAAGAATACTTTTATTGAATTGCAAGACAATGATTTTTTATAATTATTTATTTTTAATTTGATAAATCCACTGGTTTAAGAAAACTCAAGAAAAGATATTTATTAAAAAGGTACTTACCGGATTTGACAAATGAAATATTGAAGATTATGACAATAATTGAAGCGACATTAGAAAAATAAAATTCCAGACAAATTATCTTTTTGAAGACTAGGCAGCATGGTCTCCGACCTTAGCCTGTTCCAAACGGAACAAACGTACTAAAAAAAAAAAAATATACCAATAGGTGGTTTTTTTCTAGGTTATTTAGTAATGGATTTTCGTATTTTCTTTGAATACCAATTTTGTAAAAACAAGGAAAAATTTACATTAGATTTTTTTTATGGTTATTTAATTTAAAATAGTTCATAAACAGAAATAAGTCATCCAAAAGTATTATTATTAGTGGTTATTAATACTTGTTGACAATTATGTGGACGACAAAAACTTTTTTAACTAAAACAAAACGCGGCAATATTTTAAAGGTAAGATTTTTTTATTACTATACTATTTTAAAGTATGTTGTCTCCTTTTTAGATTCTATTTTGTTTATTTTGCGGGCTTGTATATTTTTTCGAAATCTGAAAAGGTTGGAAAGACCACCTTTATGGGGCCCACGTAAAGATTTCCATATCATTAATATTTCACTGTTAGACATTACCACATATCTCTTTTTTTTTTTGTATTCTCTTTCTTCCTCTAGTTGCCATTTTGTGAAAATAAAAGGAGTACAGATTCTATGCTTATTCTATTAACACATGAATTACCGCCTCACTTCTAGTAATATGCCATTTTATTTCCATTCCTAACAATATATCTTGTTAGTTTGACCTCCTTATTCTTAAATTAGACCCTAAAAGATAGACATATGCTATTGCAGACTATTTTTAGAACTTTTTAGGAGAAATAATTCCATCATACTTATATGATTGTTGTGTAACTTTAGCTGTTTATATAGTGCATGTAATGAAAGTTCTCAAAAGCAGTAAATTTTCCCTTTTTATGCATAATTTTTTATTGATGCTTCACTCATATTTGTTGTAGCCTAATATTACATATAGCCTATCACCTTCCTCGATAAATGGACCATCCAAAACTAAAATAATTTTTCAATTCATACTAGTAGTTCCCGAGATTACTGCATTTTAGTAAACACACTCTTCAGTTAAGCTGTAACTAATATTATAAATAATAATTTATATTATTAGTATATATAGGCATAATTTGGTTTTTGTTTTTTAGATTGTTAGAGAGCACTATTTGAGAGATGACTTGCTGTGTGGGTCTGCTGCATGTAATGTGTGCCCACACAAAGATGATGAATATGTTCTGGACCCAAAACCAGAATCCATATGTGCATTATTTGACTATCCTCACTACTTAGTACTTGATACAAATGTGGTTCTCCATCAAATAGATGTGTTGGAAGAAGATGCACTTACAAATGTTATTATACTGCAAACAGTTTTAGAGGAGGTAAAGCATCAGAATACAGCAATATTCCAGAGGATTTTAGATGTAATTGGCAACAAAAAAAGAAAGTTTTATTCTTTTGTTAATGAACATCATAAGTGAGTAGATCATTGGTTGTATAATAAAATAGTAGAAATAAATGTAATACAGTAGAAAGTGTTTTAAAATTACTCTATCAATCATTTATCAATAATCACTAATCAATCATTTTAATAGGTTTGACAGAAGTGAGAGCTCATTAATAACCCTTTCCATCTTCAGGGATTTAAGCAATATATTAGTATTTTGGTTGTTACTTATCTAAGTAACTATAATTCTATTCTTCTCTTCATGTGAATAAGTGCTTGCTACCACTTACAAACAAGCTATTAGATAGATATTATTTTTGTTTTAATAAATTACTGTAGTAAACTTAATATAAATACAAACAATTACAAGAAAAGATTATGCCGAGACAACAATGGGTGGCCTTAACTTTAAAAGCTAGGTGTTGAATCTATGATATAATTATATGTATAGTAGTTTGTGGTAACACCTTTTGTTAACATGTGGTTATTCCATGGATGGATCACACATGGGTCCCATTCTCTTTTTGATATTTATTAATGATATTACATCATGTATAAAATACAGTAAAATATCTCTTAAATAATTAAATAAATATATGATTCTATAAAAATATTTGAACTCACCTTCACTTACAATAATATTAATAAAAATAAAAAGCACATACAGTTGGTTCTTTTTAATTAACAGATGGAATTATTATTTTCTAAATATCTATGATGTTAATTTACTTGTTATTGACATATTATTTCTCTTTAGAGATACATATGTAGAGAGGAATCCAGGAGAGAAACAAAATGATAGAAATGATAGAGCAATACGGAAGGCTGCCAGTTGGTATGAAACACATTTATCCATTAACAATGTTAAGGGACAGCATCCAAAAATTGTACTGATTACTGATGATGAGAAGAATAGAAAGATGGCACAAGAAGAGGGAATCACATGTTGTTCAGGTAAATTAGTGCAGTTACTATCAAGTTATTTTAATTGTGTTATAATAAGTATAATCTAGATAGTATATTATAGATAAATATCACTCTGAAAAAAATAATAAATTGACTCCAATAGTGTTCCAATATTGGTGCATTACCAATAAACAATTAGATGTTTTATGTATACCTTACAATGACTTGTTTCTAAAATATATTGTAACTGATACATTTTATATTTTACACATAAAGTGTTTTTTTCAACAAGTAGAAGTAATTTTTTACACCATAAATAAAAATTACATACCATATTAATAGCAAAAAGAAATGTGAAAATCAATTTAGGATTGGGAATATAATCACTTAGTATACCACAAAAACATTAAGATAAATTCAAAACTTCTTTTAAAAGTTACTTAGTTTTTTTTTTTTAAAGTAAACATAATTATTTCATATGAAATTAAATGTAATACTAATTCAATAAAAACTTTTTACAGTAAAAGATTATGTTGAGAATGTGAATGGCTTTGTCGGCCTTGTTGATAAACTATCCAAGAATGTGATCCCAGAAAGCTGTTCAAAAGATGCTTTGTATCCAGCACATCTAACACCTGCAGAGATTCACAGTGGAATTCGAAATGGGAAGCTTCACCAAGGCACCTTTCATGCATCAAGGGATAATTTTCTAGAAGGAACTGCCACTGTAAATGGTTATGAGAAATCGGTAAGATTACTACTTCCATTAATAAAATTAATTCAAAATTTTCTCTTTTTACACTGATTATCTCAGTTAACCATTTTCTGAAAAGATAAAGTTTTAAGTGGTTTGTTTGAATCGAAGCATTTGGTGTTCCATTGTTTCTGCCTAACCTAATGGGAGATAGATGTGACAGATATGTATGTATTAAGTTTAACTATTAATTTTTAAATTGATAAATGAGCTTTGAATCTATAAATTCATAACAGCCATTACAGTGAGCTTCACAAATATCATTAAAACTGACTTGGCTTGTCTTGACTGACTAGATAGTACAGCAGGTGACTGACGAAGAAGTTCCTGAGTTGCACTTCCACTGGATGTTGTAAAATATGTTGCAGTCTCAGTTAATCCACTGTTCCTTATAGTAATTTAATTGGAAGGCTTCTATTCATTTGACAACAATTAACAACTGAAGTGATGAGTGCTTCTATTATAAAGATCTGTAATATATTAAATAAACTCTTTGGGAAAAACAGTAAGGGTTGTCAATACTACTTTCAAGATTAAATATTTGTAGGCAATGGCTGTTTATTTACTGTACAGTTGTTATATCATTGGTTTCTTAAAAATCTGTTTGTAGATCTTACTACAAGGACATATTGGTATCAATCGAGCAGTGGATGGTGACCTCGTAGCCATTGAAGTATTCCCCGAGGAAGAATGGAGGAAGCCCAGTGACATTGTTTTAGAAGATAAAGCTGATGATCCAGGAGATTTACTTGAGGAGGAATCTGTACTTCTAAATGCAGTAAAACCGGCTGACAATAAAAATGAAATAACCCCAACAGGAAAAGTAGTCGGTATAATTAGGCGAAAATGGAGACAATATTGCGGTATATTACTACCCAGCAAGTTCCCAGGTTTGCTTTATTATAGTTGAAGTTTTTTCTTTTTTTTTTTTCAAATCAAAGTTTGAGTGTAAGAAATTTCTCTATGGAGAAATCTGCAATTGCATTTTTTGAAAAGAAAAAGTTTTGTCAGTGTTTAAACGAAAAATGAGTTTTTCGTTTAAACACTGACAATTATGCTACACCCAAATTAATTAAAAAAGGTCCCATTATCATACTAAAATCATATTCCATATATTAAAATAAGTTTTTTTTTATAGGCGCGACACGTCACCTTTTCACACCGGCTGAGAAACGCATCCCGCGTGTTCGTATTGAAACTCGACAGAGCGATATGCTCGCGTCGCAGCGTATTCTTGTCGCGTTGGACTCCTGGCCTCGGAACAGTCGATACCCGCTCGGGCATTTCGTGCGAGCGCTCGGCCCTATTGGTAAGTTACTAACAATTTTATTGTTAAAAGTTTCGTAAGCACATATTATACTTTAATGTAAAAACTATCGTTTAACTTATGTATCATTAGCGCCTATAGCTTGCACTCAGCGGGCCAAGTTAGGCTCGCATAGCCGCTTATGATTAAGGATCACGAATTGATCCCGAAATAAGTCGAACTTTCTCGATCTAAAGACGTTTAACTTAAACCGGTGGTTATTACATTAAAGTTACTTACATTTACAAGTTTTGTATTGGGATGAAAAACAAGATGACTAACGGATGGCATTTGAACATCGTTATAAATATGTATCAACTATAAATTATTCAAAGCATATTATCTGTAAATTGTTTATTTAATGTATACATATATAAAAAATTTGCGTCATAATGTTTGCGGTCGCATTTCACGGATTTTTATGAAATATTTTATGTACATTTGGTAAGTATAAAAGGTCGTAAAATATACATATTTCGTTCCGCTAAGTGATCAAGGTGTTCTTATCCAGAATTATTTTTATATGCCTTAATGATGTTATACGATTATAGACGATATTACCTTTCTTTTTTAGGTGATAAAGATGCTGAAAACGAGGTAATATTGCTGGAACATGATGTGCCGCATGCGAGATTCAGCGAAGCAGTGCTCGCGTGTCTACCACCTAATGATTGGACTATACCACCAGAGGTATGAGTTATTTTTTGTTTATACTAATTATTTATGTTGTATATGTTTTATGTAAGATGAAGTTGATATAAGTGATATCCATATAAACGTCGAACTTCTTATAAATGTAATTTAACTATTGAAGAATTCCGTCTCTTTTTCTCCCAATTTAAAAAAGTTAAAAAACTGTAAAATTTTACTACATTCATTCTTGATTCTATTACCCATATCTCGAGCTGGCCCGTGGCCCGTATCCAATACCGAGGCCGGGTCGCTTTTTCAATTACGCGAACCAGAACTACTATATATATATCTCTAGCGTCTATCCGCGACTTCGTTTGCGTAATCGGGATATGTTAACTGACCAGGCTAAAAAATAACCTATATTCTTTTCCTTCCCATAAAGTATGTATACAAAATTTCATAATGATTATTTAACCCGTTAAAGCGTTATGAGGTAACAAACAAGCGAACACACTTTCACATTTATAATATTAGTAAGGATTCTGTTTAACACTACACAGGAGATAAAGAAACGCGTAGACCTCCGGTCGATATGCATATGCTCGGTAGACCCGCCGGGTTGTACGGACATAGACGACGCGTTGCACGCTCGGCCGACGGCGACGGCGGGCGTGTACGAGGTGGGCGTGCACATCGCGGACGTGACGCACTTCGTGCGGCCCGCCACCGCGCTCGACAAGGAGGCCGCCTCCCGCTCCACCACCGTCTACTTGGTGGACAAGAGGATCGACATGGTGCCAGGTGATTTGCAGATATATATATATATATATATATATATATATATATATATATATATATATATATATATATATATATATATATATATATATATATATATATATATATATATGTGTGTGTGTGTATATATATATACACCCCCTGATAGTTATTTTGGAAATATATTTCATGTACAAAATTGACCTCTCTACATATTTATTATAAGTATAGATAATAAAAGATATATTCCTGTATTTTATATTTTAGATCTGCTCAGTTCCAACTTGTGTTCTCTGCGCGGTGGAGAAGAGAGGTTAGCATTCTCTTGTGTGTGGGAAATAGATGAGAACGCCAATATATTGTCGACCAAGTTTCATAAGAGTGTTATCAAGGTGAGCTTATAGTTTAATAAAGAAAATACCATTTGCATTTAACAGATTAGCCTGTGTGAATTGGGATAAAAAGTAACTTATGTAGTCCAATCTACTTGAACGAGTGGCAAATATCTGTAGTTATGTTTTCGTTAGTGCAAAACAGGTGAAAAAGAACAAGATAGTATTTTACCTCACATATGAGACAATGAAGATAATTGTTCTTTCATTTGCTAATTGTTTGGGGGAGGATGAAGGGGGGCAGGTTTAATAACGTTTACTCGCTCTAGGTTCTATCTATAATATAATGATCGTGTTTGGATTGCATTACATCATGTGTACATTTCCACCAGTCCGCTGCTGCGATGACCTATGAGGAGGCTCAGATAGCGATCGACGACTCGTCCCGCAACGATGAGATCGCTCGCTCGCTGCGTACGCTCAACAAGTTGGCCAAGAAGCTCAAGAAGAAACGGCTCGACAATGGCGCACTATTGCTTGCCTCGCCGGAGATACGTTTTCAGGTAATCAATTTCAGTATTCTAAAAAAGTTCAAGGTTGGCAACGTGTTAGTGATATTTTTGGTTTTTTAGGCCTCCATATGTTACAGTGACTGTTTACCATGAAACGAACTGTATGATTTTTTGTTTTGTGGTGTAAAAAATATAAAACTACTGAGAGATATGATACCAAAAAAATAATATCACATTATATTTTTGCACAGGAGTTGCATAATCTTTGCAAGTAAGTGACAAAATGTCATGGCAACGAAAGATATTTAGTTTGCGTGAATAAAGTTGCGAGAAACAGCTATTATAAAAATACAAAGTAGTACAAAATATTAATGTAATATGAAAGATTTTATTTAACTAATTTATTTTCCCTAAATGTTACCAAGCCAAAAGCTCAGTATGATTTTTCGGCAGTTCGTTATTATTTAACTGTTGTATATAGGTAAAATTATTGTATATGTGCAGGTGGACTCGGAGACCCACGAGCCTCTGGAGGTGCAGGCGAAGAAGATAATGGACACTAACTCGATGGTGGAGGAGTTCATGTTGTTGGCTAACGTGAGCGTGGCGCAGCGTCTCGCCGAGGACTTCCCGCAGTGTGCACTACTGCGGCGACATCCATCACCACCGCCTGCTAACTTTGAACACTTCTTACTTGCTGCACGGCAACAGGTGTGATCATCATCATCATATTAGCCTTTAACTGTCCACTGCTAAACGTAAACTGCTCTTCTGGGGAGAGGATTTACAATAGTTACCTAAATTTTTGTCTGATAAGAAAATCTGTGGCCCGTATATAGTAAGTAAATTGTCATAGTTGACTGTTTTGTAAATTTATGAATTATAGATATGTTAAACGTAATTTTATTTTTACTTTCCAGGGATTCGAAATAGACGTATCGACGAATAAATCTTTCTCGAAGTCCTTGGACGAGGCGGTAATCCCGGGGCGGCCTTACTTTAACATCCTACTCCGTATTATGGCGACCCGTTGCATGATGCAAGCGGTCTATTTTTCCAGCGGCAACCACACGCAAGAAGAATACTATCACTATGGATTGGCCTGTCCTATTTACACGCACTTTACATCGCCTATTAGAAGGTAGTTATTTTATGATTAATTATTGCATAATTACACTTTGCTTTCTTATTATATCACGACGATAAACTCATACAAATTTGTGTTTTAAGTTAATAAAACATTTATATACTGCACAGTGTTGCAGTGATAGTCGCAAAACGCTTAACAGCTGTTCAGAGGTCCCAAGTTCGAGCCCCAGATTGACTTCTAAAACAACTGTATTTTGCTTTGGGTTTTGGAGAGCACAAAATGTTACTATTCATAAGCTTTCTATTACATAAACATTACTCTAGTTGACATAGGAAAATAACAGAGCAAACAAAAGAAGTTTATATAGTTTCATTATCATCCATTAAGTAGTTTCGGAAATTAGCATCAATGAATATTGTGACACGGAATTTTTTTTTATACAACTTAGAATGGCAAACAAGCTGACGGCCCGCCTGATGGAAAGTGGTAACCGTTGCCTATAGACATGAGCAGTACCATGGACATAACAGAGCATACTGTTTCGCTCATGAGAGCCCTCATGCGTTGCCATTCCTGAGGACTCAGGTGTTGTTCCTCTGTACCCTGTAAAATTCACTGCCATATCCTATCCTTCAAACCGAAACACAGCCATGCTAACACAACTTCACGGTTGAAACACGAATGGGACAGAGGTACCCAAGCAATCGACTTTTGTGCAAAGTCTCCCTCTGGTGATATTTATTCTTAAGATAACCTGTAGGTGTTTTTTCAATTATATGCAGATACGCGGACGTGCTAGTACATCGCCTGCTGGCGGCTAGCATAGGTGCTGACGTCACGCACGCCGAGTTACTTGACGTTCGCTACGCTGCAGCACTCTGCGACAACCTCAATTACCGCCATCGGCAGGCACAGTACGCCGGCCGCGCCTCCGTAGCTCTCAACACACACGTAACTACTTCTTCTCTCCTTCCACTTAACAAAACAACACTACAAAATCTCAACCAGATTAATAGACGTTCAAATATTCACTTTTATAATAAAGTTATGAGGTTTACAATATAAGTGCTTAAAGGATATAATCAATCAAATAAATAAATGTAGTATCAAGAGCATCCTGGCATCGATATCGAATGGATATTCGAGTAGTTTCTAATTTTGCTCGAGCTAGTTAAAGGGACTTTTCCACGTTCCATTGAGAAGAATAGAGCTAGCAAGATATGCTCCTCTTCCATTAGTATGGACTCTGCTAAATAGAGTCATGGGCCCAAATACTGGCTTAAATATATTGACTTGTAAAATTGACGAGTTTTGCAGAATGGCAATAAATTATTTAGAAAGTGTCCAGCAATATTTTTTTTTTATGTTTCATATATTGTGATTGCTAAGGTAGCGAAATGGGAAACTGTCAAGCTACCTTAGTTGGTAAATATAATTAATATTAATGTTTTGTCTCTTTCTATAGATCCTGTTCAAATATAGAGTGGAAATAGAGTCTGCCGTGGTATTGGCAGTCAAACGGAACGCGCTTCAAGTCCTTATACCCAAATACGGACTAGAAGGGCCGCTGTACCTACCTTCCGATATGTTCACTTATAATGAAGAGGTTAGTAATTTATTATTATAGTTATATTTATCGCATTTAATATTTAGTTGTCTCTAATCTCTTGTGTAACGATAGTACTATTAAAAAAAAGTCTATGATAAAAAAGATTCAAACAAAAGTTACGTAACAAATAAATCCTTGTCGCCTCTAAGTTAATTTACTTTCAGCATAATTTTCAACAATATATGCTTTGAGTATTTTTTTAGAATATTTCCAATTTCCAAGGAATAGGGAGGTAACACAGTCGATCCTGAAACACCATCTTTTGTCGTTCTACCTATTTTAGCTATTGAAGTGTTTTGTCACTCTCTTTCAAATTGAATATTTAGGGCAAAAGAAAAGAACAAAATATTTCAATAGCGAAAATAGATTTATGAAGAGGTTTGATGTGTCTGCAAATGCGAATGGTGGTACATTTTTACCAGAGTAGCTTCAGAACTGCTTTCCAATTAAGTCTCAATGATCAGTACCGTAATAATTTTGTTAAACTATGAAATGAAAATTTTTATAGATAAGTTTAGGAAATGGTACCTCAGAATCGAACCCACATTTATTTATTTATGGGAAGCTTACAGCTATAATAACTTAATAATTAAATATATATAAATACAGTAAACCAAGAAAAAGCTACTAAATAAATATTATAATAATATGTATATATATTTATATGCATTTTTAAATATAATTACTAAATATATACTTTGTTTCTAGAATCACATGCAAATATGTGGGGACGTCACATTGAAAACGTTCGACGAATTAACCGTGCGACTTAGCCTCGACAGCACTAATTTGCAACATCGCAAGCTGGTGTTCCAGCTTGTGAAACCGTTTGTCCCGGGATTTAGTTACGTACCAGAGGAACAAAAAGAAAAGAAGCCAGAACAGATGGAAGTTGATAAAGAACAAGAGAACTTGAAAAAGCGGAAAGATACGGCACAGAGTAAAGGCAGCAAAAAGAAGTCCAAGAAGAAATAGCATACTATATGTATGATTAAATTGATTTTTATGTATCAATTTTTATTGCGTTTTGTAATTCACATTCCCTTAATTTGAGTGGCATTTTTGTACGCCAAACGCCGCTGTTAGATTAATCCGACTGAGAACTGTGTTAATATTTTTAGGCTTTTTACGTTTATTCCCTTCTTGCCGTCTACTGTATTAAAACAACGCAGGAAACGTACTCTGTACCTGATGCTCATACATCATACACATACACATCCATGCTTCCATTGGTGAGAAACTTCGCTTTGTATCATAAAGCATATTTTTTTTTAGTCACCGGTTTGACTTTTCTAGTACAACAGATAAAAAAATAATATTTTTTTTTGCGCTAAAACATACATTATTAATAACAATTTGTAATATTGTAAGCAAAGGTGAACTTATCTCTAAAAGACATCTTTTCCAATTAACCTAACACAGTGGCATAAGAAGCAGTAGTGCAAAACAATAATCAATTTACATAATTTACAAATCATTATACATATATTTGAAATATACAATACTAATAAATTTATACCATACATACGTACGTGTATATAAATATAAACCTTAAGATGAAACTACATTAATAAATACTCGTATATGTCAAATATACAACATAATTAATTTTTTTTTATACAACTTAGGATGGCAAACAAGCTGACGGTTCACCTGATGGAAAGTGGTAACTGTCGTCTATAGACATGAGCTGTACCATGGACATAACAGAGTATACTGTTTCGCTCATGATACCCCCCATGCGTTGCCATTCCTAAGGACTCGGATGTTATTCCTCTGTACCCAGTTAATTCACGCCATATCTTACCCTTCAAACCGAAACACAACCATGCAAACACAACTGCTTCACGGTTGAAACACGAATGAGACAGAGGTACCCAAGCAATCGACTTTTGTACAAAGCCTCCCTCTGGTAAATAAATGATGACACTCTTGTAATCAATAATAGTAGTAGGAAACAATCAAGCAACATTGGAAAAATAATATAATTTATAGAGGGACTAATCATTAACAACAAAAAATAAAAGCCAATGAAAACAGTTTATTTATTGTATTTATACACTTGTCAGTAGAAAATTAAGAAATATAAATAACAGTCAATAACTTATAGGATTAAATTATGTACATATTATTACATCTTTACCAAGTGGGCATATTTTAATCATACAATATAAGTAGTTCATATATAATCTATAACAACGTTGATTACAGGACGAAAGGACGGCTAATCACTTTCTAGACTACAATTATACAACACGTTTTAGTCTTATAATTACATACTCATCTAATACACACGTTATAACAATTATTATATCTTTGGCACCATTATTATGAGTCAAGATAAAGATTACTAAATTCATAAGTGCGACGCAAGCATTCGGTTATTAAAATCCTTAAAAATTCAAATATTATTAGTTTGGCTATATGTAGTGAATAATCCGAACTTTAAATAACAGAATTACCTACATTTATAATAAGTATACAATTTGCGACAAAAATAACAGTAGAACCTTAGAATTATGCTTGCGCAGTAAATATTTTTTAAAATTGTGCAAGGATGTCCCTTAATATTTTGCTCAGTTTATTTTTCGGTATCTATATACAATATTTTTCTGTAATATACTAGTCCTAAAACCGCACCTCATAGATAAGATAGTGCGGACGCTGTACAATCCTTGTACTTTTTTTGCTTTTTAATAGCACAATAGAGTTGCATTGTATAAAGTCTAATTTACTTCGCGAATCTATTCAAGATTTTAATTTCATTGACGTTTCACGTTTAAATCTTTAATTTCATATTTTATACCAAAACAGTTATACACATTCGTGCAATTTGTTAATACCTACAAGTGTATAATAGCCCGTGTTTTGAATAAGTACGCATGTTATGTTTACGTTCTGGGCTATTAAAACTACTTATCATGTTTGTTGTTTAATTCACATTACAAAATTACTTTTTTGTGGATGATATTTGGTTCTGGTTCAATAATGCAAGTAAGGATTAGCTCTCACGAGTCAGTAGTAAGTACCCTGTAAATATAATGGGAAATTTTGCCTCCCGCAACAAGTATAATTCGATATGCTGAATGTTATGTCCTAGTGATGTGTAATTCGGCGTCTTATAGGCGGTGGGCTGATGACCGGCGTTCTGGGTGGCATTAGAGAACTCGACGACTGCGTCTCTTCTAGAGTCTGGTTGGTCGCGCCCTCGTCACCGACAGCGTTTTCTCGTGGCGTAATTATTTGTGGTATGTTCTGCACTTGAGCCTGGGCGGCGATTCTGGCGATTTCCTGGTCGACTTTAGCGATTAGTTGTTCGACGGCTAGTGACCACCGTGCGGCCGGCACGCTGTGTGCGGGCGACAGTCGCGCGTCCGTCATTACCGCTAAACGCAGTGTACCCGCGTACTCGATTACCGTCAGCGACATGCCTGCAATCGAAAGAAACATAGGTCACTTGATAAGTTGGTAAATTTATTTCGGTGTATTGGAAAATATGTTTGAATATCTTATTGATATAGTTGAGGTATGTCTTAAAAATTAGTATTTAATTTTATCAATTCAGTTCATGAAACATTTCAATAAGTTGTTTAAAAGCTGTAATATAGCGTGAGTTGCACTAGCGTTGAACTTTTGTTTTTTTTTAATTGCAACAGAAAACACAAACATTAGCTTGGTCAAATAAAGTTCGTTAATGTTATTTATGTTTTGTTCTAAGTATAAAAAAAAATGTACATGATAATAGTGGTATCTGTATCGTCTAACTGTTCCTTGCGGTGTTAAGTAGGTAGAGAAACTACTAGGATTGTCAATATGAGATTAATTTAAAAAGATCACCTTTATAAAGCTCTGCCAATCTTTTTTTTTAGTATATTTTGTGTGCGATAAACAATTGTTATATATCCATGTGGTCCAGGCTTAGAATAGGCCACCCCTTCTTTTCCAGTGGGTGTTGTAGGAGGCGACTAAGGGAGAGCGAAGGATGGGCAGCAGCGTCCCTCTATATATGCCCAAAGCCTAACTGCGGTTGCCAATCCGCCTGCCAAGCGTGGCAACTGGTAAATCTCTCTCAAGGCGGAGGCTTATTTTTATATGACGTTGATGAAACAATTATTATCTTGAAGCTAGGTTCGTTATGGGGTCGTCAAAAAAATACCGCCTCGATGTATTGCTGGTCAATACTCCTACATAGGTTTAAATATCATCAAAAGTGTATACTAACTGATATTGGCCTGCGGCGGGCGCCAGTAGAGTAAGTAGTCGAGCTCGTGGCCCCAGAGAGAGCGGCGCCGGGCGGCGCGCGGCGGCGCGTGCAGCTGCGCGTACGACACGGCGTAGCGGCGCGACAGCGCGTTGAGCGCCAGCTTGGCCAGCGGCGCGGGCAGCGAGCGCGACAGCGCGCCGCAGCGCGCCTGCGCCGCCCACGCCGCCGCCAGCGCGCGCTGCCGCCCGCCCGCGCGGCCCAGCGCCGCCGCCGTGCGCCGCGGGCTCGCGCCCACCGGCAGCGCCACGCACACCATGCCTGCGCGCGCGACCTCGCCTCATACATACCGGTTTTTTTAATGGATCATAATGGAATGGGAGAAAAATAAGGTAGAGGTAGTAAAATAAGAAACACTGATATTAGGAAGAAAACCAAAATAACAGATGCTCTTCAGTATAGTATGAAACAGAGGTGGAGATGGGCAGGTCATATAGTGAGGTACAAAGATAAAAGGTGGACTCTCCGAACAACAAAATGGCGAGGTCCAGCAGGAAAAAGAAATGTTGGAAGGCAAAGAAAGAGATGGGCAGACGACATAATAACGACAGCAGGAAAAAACTGGACAAGTATTGCTATAGATAAGGAAAAGTGGAAAAAGATGGAGGAGGCTTTTACCCTTGAGGACCACTGAAGTGGATAAAAAGCTATAATAAATAATAATAATAGAATGGCAACTCCACCCGCGTTATCGGTATACACCGGCGGGGCACCGAAGGATGATAGGTGAGGATGAAGTAGGTCAGTTAGCCCATCGTGACGAATTCAACGAGAATTGTTCACGATGGTTTCCAGGGGGAACCACGTGGAGGTCGACCTAATAGGGCATATTGCTAGCAATGGGGCTGTCAAAATTCATTACTAACAATCCCTTTCCCGCCCATCCACACCGGTTACAGTATACAGATACCCCCTTATTCATTAAAATCTCAAACTCTTGTTTTGTCTCTTTCTTTTGTGCTAAATTCTCAGTATGAATTGAAGTGACAAAACAGTGTAATAGTTAAAAGAGATTAGGAGATTTTAATTCTATGAATAAGGAGGTTAGATTAAAAGTATGTAGCGCTTACTAGGGGGAAGCAATTTTTAGTGACGAAAATTTATCTGTTGATAAATTCAACAATCATCATCTAGGATGATGATTGTTGAATTAACATAGTTAATTGATAGAAACGACGTAATCAGATGATTAGGAAGCTGGGTAAGTTTAGACTATAAAAAAAAAAACAATGACAATTTTATAGATTATTTAATCTATAAAATTGTTTGTAAATGTATTCCATTGTATTTGCTCAACAATAAAAGATTGCTCTTATAATGTTAATAAAAAGCTCAACCATATTGTTTAACAAGCAATTGGTATTCGATAAGATTGACATGTATATTATGTATCATTCGCTTCGTTTATAAATCCATTTTTATTATTTAATATGAACATAGGTAACAACGCTCAGCCTGTTAAGCACGAAAGTCAAAATAATGCGTATTCGGTTATTTCTGGAAATCGAATAAGCCTGAGAACTACCTATAATATATGGCGTCATATACTTTACCTCCTGTCACTGATTTTTTGTAGTTTTTTCCTTGTCCCTCGGCGAAAGCGAACAAGAAGTCATCAGAAGCGGCTCGTGCAGTTGCGAGGATTACCTCCGGGGGCTCGCATTGAGCTTGTTCAAAGAAGGCTCGCAGTGCATCAGTGGCGGCGTATAGTGCCACGTCTGTAGACGAGACGCCCAGCGCACGCGCCGCACGCTCTATGCCTGCACGAGATACCGGCCGAGACCATGCTGCTACCTGGAATGTGATCACTGATAGTTAAGATATCAAGGTAATTATTATATTCTAATAATTGTAATAATATCGCAATACAGGCTTATGATAACAAAAATCATATATTTACATCAGAAATATCAAAAATAATCCGTAAGAAATTTATAAAAACTTACATTTGGAGCACAGAATTATACAAGTTTGAAACATGGACAATGACACAAAAGAAAAGAAGGATGCCTGAGACATTTGAAATGTGGACATGGAGGAGGATAGAAAGGATAAGCTGTACAGAAAAAAAACCGAATGAGAATGTTTTGAAAAGGGTGATTGAAAAAAGAACAATAATAAAAACAATGGAGAATTGAAGAGGCGAAAGCTGGCCCACCTTATACGACATGACGATTTTTTGACAGCATTGTTGAAGGAAAAATAAAGAGCAGAAGAGGAAGGGGAAGATCGCTAAATAACATAGACAGATAAAGGAAATACTAGTTGTCATCTCGTATAGCATATGGCATGGGATAGAGCTGGCTTGAAAAAAATGCATAAATTGGTTGCGCCGACAAGAGGAAACTCTTAAATAAAAAGAGAGATAGAGAGAGAATAATTTGATATGAATAGGATGTTTTGAATTGCAGCGAGGAGAAATAATGACAAACGTTTTAGCTATAAAGTAAAAGATTTGTAACTCCAGAAAATAATTTCTGGGATTCAAATTTTTAATATATAGATTGCCACAAACAAAACCATAAACTGAAATTTATGCAGTAGACATATATCCATAACAAACAGTTGATTTGGCTCGAGCATATTAGAATTCAAAGTAACACCACACATGTTTTTAAGAAGCTGTTTCTAAAACTCATAAAAGTATCTGTTATAAATTTTTCAAAACACAGTTTGCCCTGTGTGTGTTTTCTAATATTTACACATTACTTTTAATTTATAAACCAATCTGTTCTCGAGCTAAGCTATTAAAAAAAATAAGTTTTCTTGCCTTTACAGTGATCTTAGATGCTGATGAATGAAATAGTTTTGTAAGATCAGTATGCTACACATGTCACACATTCAGTTCAAATATATTTAGGATATACATACCTTTCGGCCACACAATGAGATAGTCTGAAGCATGTGTCTTCGGCCGTCGTCAGCACCGACCGTTTCGTCCCACAAACTAGCAGGCGCCCTGTATGCCTCCACCAGCCCTCTCCAAACTTCGTTCGTAGCACGTACACATAACTGTGCTAATTCGCCATATTTCCACGTCAATGTGTGCGCTTGACTCACTTGACCTGTATTCCTCAATTCATTCAATGCTACCAATTCGTCTTTTATACGGATAGGCAGTCTTATAACTTTGCCCGTTGCAGTCAGGGCCGTATTAAATATCCGATTTATCCATTTTCGAGGATCTGCTGTTATTAATGGTGAAATTATAACCTGGAAAATTTAATAAAAGTTACAATAAAATGACAATACCCGATTCTTAAACAGTCATATGAAGTCTAAATACGAGAGATTAAAACTGAAGTATAAATGAAGACGATCAGTGTTCGTCTCATATTCTGCTAGAACATGGGCGGGGGATGTCCGCCTTTTTAGACAGTCATTTCGTGAAATTCTGAAATATCATGTCTTATATTTGACCATAAAATTAAAATTTGATATTTATAATCAAATCTACCATTACTGGTACCTTTAAATTTATTTCATAGTTACATTTGTTGTAAAATCAAATTGAAATTTCTATTTTATAGAGAGAGATAAAAAGGTGTATCAGAATAGATCCAAATTTATACCTCCATTAGATTTGATTAAAATAGAAAATTTGCATTGGTTGATTACTTGGTTGGTTGCGTTCTAAGCCTAATCTTGACAAAATTCCCCGCTACCTACGTTAATATCATTGATTGACACTGAATAATATGTGCACTTAGAAACAAGTGGTTTGCATAAACGCTTTATAGATATGCCTATATATATATATATATGATGATACACTTATTTAAAAATATTTTATAACTATGTATCTACTCTCAGCTATATATTTCAAGTATCTACTTACCTTGGGTATGGTTAAGTTTCGCCTATTGCACTCCTGACGAATAGCAGCCAGCAGAGTAGTTGCAGTAACTGGAGGCGCTGATCGTGAGTCACTGAGTCTCTTTTTACGGATTTCTCTCAAAGCACTGACACTAGATATGAGAACCAGGCCCGCTACATGAAACGCACCTGGCAAAGTCTTTAAAGCCCTCGGGCTTTCAACAGGGTCATATTCAGATACGAACTCGTTCCACGAGTTTGATAAGTTTTCGTTTAGTTTACCCCATAACTCCGGGATAGCCGACGGGTTAGGCAATAGATGATTTGTCAATGGACTTTGCTGAATGAATTCAGTTGCCGTTATCCTATGATCGGGCTGTACTTGTTCAACCAACAGCAAATCACCAATATTAATAGAATTTTTCCCGGAAAGCAGGAGGTGATGAACTCGAACCAGTATGAAATACTTTGGTTCGGGTGAGACACATGGTATAATTATATACTGCCACGGCGGTTGCTCGTTCGGAAAGTATTTTGATACTGTTTCACTGACGAACTCCTGTAAATTAACGTATAATGTTTTTATTGCAATATTCTGGAAACTAGTTTGAATAATGATGTTTATCAAATTTTATGGTATTTATTTTGATGACAAATGCAATAAAATTGGTTTCACAATTCAATTGTCAAATGGTCGTAGGTATCTTTCGATCTAAATTTTTAAAGGCATAAGATAAACTAGGATATGATTTATCTTGTTAATAAATTGTATTCCAATAAACTCTGTTCAGCTGTGAATAATTAGGTAACAAACAACTAAATATACATTAACAAATAATGTAAGCAGGATAATATCACATGATCACATCCATACCTGAATATTGTTGTCAGAGACGGGTCGGCCTCGGTATACTGCGTTCGCGACAATACAGTGGTTCTCAGGTCGGAACACAACATTTACGTCCCATGCATAGTTTCCCCAGCATGACACCAAAAGATGGCGCAGCCGGGGGAACATCAGCTGCCCGCTGGAGTCCCGTCTGTCCAGCACATGTTCAATGAGGTGTTGCTTTATTAGTTCTGGATTAGGTGTACCTGTAAATTATAGGAACGCTTTATTTATTATGTTACTTAGAATGTCGAACAAGCTGATGGTTAAACTAGTGGAAAGTGATAATCTTGGCCTAAACCATTCGTGTTTCTATCGTGAAGCAGTTGTGTTTGCATGGCTGTGTTTCGGTTTGAAGGGTGGGATATGGCGTAAATTTACAGGGTACAGAGGAATAACATCTGAGTCCTCAAGAATGGCAATGCATGGGTATATGGTATCATGGGCGAAACAGTATACTATGTTATGTCCATGGTACTGCTATGGTATGTCTATAGGCGCCGGTTACCACTTTCCATCAAGTGGGCCGTCAGCTTGTTTGCCATTCTAAGTTGTATAAAAAAAAAGCTACTTCACAGAATGCATGTGATGCCTAAGGCGTCCTTCATTCGATGTCATTCCTGAGTACTATCGTTTAATACACCCGTTACCTATAATTTCATTGATTTACTTTTCATTTATAACTAGTTATCTGTTTATTACTTCGTATGCGTGGATTTCAGAAGTAGGGAAATTAATTAAATAGATCGCTTTAACCTGCTTGGACGAGGGGCAAATATCTGTAGAGATGAATCAAACATCTAACTTTAAATTCGATCTTCAGGTATATAATTGTCAAAACCGCATTTATTTTGCTGCAGTAGTTCTTGCGTAATACCGGACAGACATACAGACAGACAACCAAAATTTCTAACAATTGTAGTTTTGGTCTTATTAAACTGTTAATTTTTCTTAAATATCTCCCATATACAGATTTATCTTAGTAAGATAAGATTTAGATATTAAAAAGTATAATATAAAATATAATAATAATATATTATACTTTTATATATATATAATATAGTAAAATATAAAAAAATATTATATTTTATTGATCCTTTACTACTAATGATCGCAACCGTCATGGTCCCGTGCATGCATCCCGGTATTTAACGCCGTGATAAAAATCGTAGATCAGAAGAACATAAGGCGAATTCTTTTCCCTACCACTTTTCATTAAGTTTAAATTGAACAAATAACTTCAATTACACAAGAGACATGTGAAATATGCCTATTTACCTTTAAATGCCAGTAGTACATTGATTATGCCCTGATTACGATGTGTGTCTAACAGTGATCGCACCGTGTCCGTTTGGATGAACTCCAAGTTCGGGTACCGGCTCGACAACAATCGCAGCCATAAATGTTTACTAATTCTTACCACTGTAAAACAAAAAAAAAAAATTCATAGTTTTACTCATAGCTGCTAACATGAAAGTAAAATTATAAAGAAAAACCTTTGTAAAGAAAGAAATGTGTCAAGTCTTTCCTAAGGTTGACCGGGAGAGAATGCTTTTAACATTAAGTCTGCCATATACACAAATATATACTAATGAATAAATAAATAAATGTGCCAATAAAGAAATTAAGTTTATGGTCTCCTTCCTGATGAATACTAAATGTACGGTGTGTGCATCCCTTCCTGAATGTTCTTTCTCCAGAGAAGTAAAATCTTAGAGAAACAATGCTACGATGTAGCATTAAACCTACAGAGTAGAATTCTCTAAAGAAATATTCCTTATGACCAACACCAATTTGCGATTTAAAATTTCCATTATTTTCTACTTCTCGTAACGGTAGATAGATGAGCATGAATTTGCATCTTTGGTGTTTTAAATATATAAAAAAATAGCTTTTTCCTAGCTACTTTGTACGCGTGGTTTCATAAGAAGGAAAAACAATAAAGTATACCGCTTATAGGTGGTGTTTAAAGTTAATACGTATACCAGATTTTATGTCGGACCTTAAGAAATACATTAGTGAAAACTTCATGCAATTAAGTGCAATATTGTTTGCGTGATGTCGGAACGAAAATAAAGACAGATGGACAGACAAAATTTCTTAAAATTATTGGCCTTTGATAGTCTTATTAAGACCCCTCATAAGTATTAAAGTATTCATATTTCACGGTGTATACAAAGTCGTGCTTCGGGTACTTCGAATAACCTTCGCCTAAAACCCCTTTCATATACCTCAGTGTATTACACCAATTTATTCTCCGTTCAGGCTGTGCGCCTATGGAACTCGCTATTACCCTCTATACGGAGTGCCCAGTTTTTAGCTTGGCTGAAGAGACAAGACAAATCTCATTTTCTTTCACTGTAGTTACTCTTTTCTTTTCTTACTTTATTTTTTTTTTTTTCATTTTACTAGATTCATCATATTTCCTTGTGTGTGCTATGTATATATTTATATCTATATATATATGTAGTATATATTATTTGTTATAGTAAGTCGTTTTATAGGTAATATGTATTTGCATTATAGGTTTTTTCTATTTTATGTAGGTAAAAATTATTAATTCATTCTTGCGCCACCTACCCACTTCTATATGTTCTTTAACCAAAGGTTGTCCGCAAGAGATTGCCCTAGCGATAAAACCGCCGTTTGTACCTTTACGTATATATTTTAATCTGTACTTTATGCTACTATATTTCATTTGAATTGTATATCAAAAAAAGTTAAATAAATAAAACAAACAAAATTAAAATGTTTCCTTACCAACATATGATATAGCTAGCGCTGGTAATGCGGACAGTGCAATCCAGAAGGCGCAGTATGTGTAGATTTCTTCAGCAAACCGCGACCGGGCACCCCGCGACCCCATGATAATCACTTCGGGCTGTGTTTGTGCATGTGCGCCGCCTGGAAACAACCAGAAACAATAAAACGAGTTATTTTTTTATATTTACAGCCATAGAACAAAGCTCTTATAAGAAAAGACTGTTGGTTGTATTTTGTATTATTATGTGTTTTTTACATAGATCAAGGTTTTTTTTAAATAACTACATATGGCAATCAAGTAGTAATAATAAACAGGACAATAGATAGGTATTATGAGAATCCTGATTATTATTACATTTTCGAGGACAAAGGTGTTATGCCTTTGTACGTACCTTGAAATGTTACAGCCCTCCTTAAATTGAAACATAGTCATGTTGGATTCAATTACAATAAACCCATAGAAAAAATACTAGCAACAATAAATACGAAAAAAATTGATTGTGATAAAATGTTTGTTGTGGAATAATGAATACATTAACTTTGACTTTAAAAAATAAAATATATAAGCTACCCGCAATGTTCATGACCGTAATAAAAAGTGGCCTATATACTTATACATCCCATGTTCTACGTGAATACCGAACTTTATAGCGTATAGTTAAGACGGTATGAGGTAATAAATAAACAAACAATATTAGTAAAAAACGCCAAAACTTTCACCTGCATCATGCTAACAATGCGCAAAATATAATAGTATTAGCTACCCTGGCAAACATTGTTTTGGCAACTATCGCCATTTACGGGGTGCATTTTTTACCGGGATAAAAATATCATATTTCTTGAATGGAAGCAAGCAATAGACATTTATAAAATATCATTAAAATCGGTTGAGCAGTTTCAAAGTTTAGCGTAAACGAAATCGTGAATTTAATAATCACAAATTATGTTAATTGTTAACTCCATTGTTACAGTTTAAAAATTTTTTAATTAAATAATTGTTAAAAATCTTTGTATAAGCCTGGTTATATCTTTGTATAATAGTGGTCGAAACTTCGCATTACAATAGGTAGGTATTATTTATTACATTGGTTATGGATTGCAGAATATTTCAGTAGGTAATTAGTTCATTGACATCGATCTATATTCGTACATTACGAAATATTCTGTAAACTATGCGATTACATTACATATTTCATTCGCTTGGGTAAGTGTGTAGAATGTGTATATACAAACAAGAATTCGAATAATAATAATATAAAATTTTGGTTTAAACTTAGAGGAAGCCTGATATTTTGAATAATCAAACTTAAAACCTAGTTTAAGCTAGCAATATTAGGTCGTTCTTCACGCGCTTCTCCTTGGAAACCATCGTGATCGGGTTATTGTTAAATTCATTATGATGGACCAACTGACCTGCTTCATCATCATTAATTATCCTTCAAAATACCCTGCCAGTGTATACCAATAGTGCAGGCGGGGTAACAATTCCATATTATCCATTAAAAAAATCTAAAAGGCAGAAATTACAATTTAAAGAAAAATGAATTAAGGGGGTCCGAAAACTAGCTATATAGATCGCAGTCACGATGTGATTATAATTTATTGATGTCAATTTGTATGAGACGTCCAAGACAGTCTTTTCAAAGACATTAAAGGTAAAAGTAACAAATACAATTAATATGTTAAGTGTAGATATGCGTATAAAATACCAGACTGATAATTCGCAATTAACTTTTTCACTTCGACGATGTAACTATGAGTGCAGGTCCATTACACCGTCGATACCTATAATTGGATAGGTAATATAGGTTTATTATAGATTATTGTCTCTTACAATGTAAACATTTATAATAAACCTAGATATTAGTCACCTATGACATAAATACTTTATAACACTGAGTGATCGATGACTCACTGTGATGAATACTTTTTATCTTCAAGCGAACCTAGGTCTGAGTCTTATCTAACATATCGGTTAAAAAATAAATAAACACGTTATTGAACTGTAGTAATTATAGGTAATCACCATCATACTACACTAAATGGTAGGTATAAGGAGAAACAATAAAAGTTCACCTCTGCAATGAAGAGACAAACTTAAAATTTTTTAAACAGCGATTTAGGATCAAATAGAAATAGACATTAAATATATGATAAGGTAACGTCCACTTGATGTTGTTTAGTTATGATTTTGATGCGATTTCGTCGAAAGTTACCTCGCATATTTCATTTGATGTTCCAGCAATAAATTATTTATTAAGTATTGTTTTAATTTAGATCCCTCCCCCAAGATTCTTGGTTTTGGTAAGATGTATCAAGACTCTTTACCGCCTTAAATCACGGATAAATTATTTATCAATTATAAATAATTTATCCGTGTGAATTTAAATAATATGTATTATATATTTAAATACAGTTAGTAATATATATTCATCTTTGTATTATTCTTTAACTAGTGCAATAAAGACTAAATAAATATTTATATACTCTTTATTGTTTCTGTCTGTGTTTATTGTTAGTTTTGAAATATAAATAATTGGATTTGCCATAATTGAATTTAATGTTTTTTTATGTAACAAAATCAACTTGTGAGCTTCTAACAGTGTAACAAAATGTGGGACCAACTAAGTATTTGATTTACAATTTACTGTACACCAAACAGGTTGCTTTACAGTTCATTTCCATTGGTGTCAAGTTTACATTATAATAAACGTGGATAGCAACATCCCAACATTCACTTTCACTGTGTTATCACAGAGAAAGGTTTCATTTATTTCTATAGACAGTTGGTTTATTTATAGCATCTTTTATTCTTGGTATAAGCGATAAATTTTTAGCACTAACCAATATGGTTACATTTAAAACTATATTGTACAAAAAAAAGTAAATATTTGTGAGCCTATTTTATGTGTCTATTACGTACTTTTATTGCTTTTACTTATTTAAATAGTGCGTAATTATTCTCATTGTTAACGCGAATTGTGTTATTAACTTTTATCTTGTCCAGTAACTTTTAAATACTGTCTACCTACAAATGCTTATGAACATCCTATATTTAGGTTTCTGTACGAGAGGAACCTTCTTGGTGCGATTATCTCCGTCCATCCGTCTGTATCACACAGCGCTATATCTTAGCAACTAATACTGCTATCGATTTGAAATTTGGAATAATTTTAGATATTGTTGGCCCACACAGATTACAAAAGATTGTTTTTAAGCGACAGTATAAAGGCTTCATTTACACATTGTAAACGCGTCTTATTATTTGTTTTTATGTTGCGTAGTTTTCTGCTTATTATAAAAGTTATTAAAAAAAAACATTCTCCATTTTGTCTGCTTACCGGCATAAAAAGTAAGCTACGTCCTTTTGCAAGTCAATTACTACATGCGTGTCAAATATCATGCAGATCGGATTAGTCGTACGCCAAGAGGTAATAAAAGTATACAAACTCACTTTCACGTTTATAATAATACTAGCTTTTACCTGCGACTTCGTATGCGTGGATTTTGAAAGTTTTATACTCTACGAGGTGGGATTTTCAAACTTCTTTTCTTATTATTCACTTACACTATATAATTAGTCTTATTGCAAAATATCAAAACTCTAGATTCAGTGGTTTCAGCTGTGACTTGATATATAGGTTGGCCAGTCAATTATTTAGTATCTATCTTTATACAAATAGTATGGATTCAATAACAATGAGTAGAATCAAAATAAACAAATAGAAAGAGTGATCTTGGAATTATCGTAATGTGCGTGATCTGTATATCTTTAGGTTAGCTATCACAATAACAGCACAATGTTCCTATTACGCAAACGCATGTCTGATGTCATAATAGCACGTACTTAGACAGGAAATGCAATGTATTATTTTGTTTATTCAATATAAGCAAAATAATTATTTTCATTTCACTTTTACTAATATTGTTTAGAATTGACAAAGTTTAAGGGATACCAAAATCGTCACAGTGTATTCTGTGATGTCGTGATGGGACGGTTTCCATCAGGTGTGTCCTTAGCTACTTTTGCCATTATGAATTGCATAAAAAATAACAGTAATTTGCATGTATATTAAAAAAATTAAAAAAAAACGTTATTTATCTATTTTTAATATTTTGTATATTTTCGTAAAATTTATTCTGAAAATAAAACAAGTAATTTTTAACAAAGACTAATTTAATTATCTATTTCAATTCTTATAACTAATAAAAGGGTTATTACTTATTGAAACCTTATAAATATTATAAATATCTTTATTACTTCTTGGCGTTATAACAGCTTAATTTTAGTAATGAAAATTAGCATATTTGTTATAATTAAGATAAATAAATATCTCAGTCATGCGAATGAAATCGCTGGTAAAAATGTAGTATAGATTGTCTACGATAACATGGCATCTACATGATTTAAACAATGAAAAATGTGTGAGTAAAAATATAAGGTTTTGACTAAGGAATATACACTAGTTTATAATACGCTACTGAAGATGTTTCCTCACAAACACAAACAGAGCATCATATCTATACACATATGGTCACTCATATTAAAAGAAAAAGAGGGATAGGTATGCCATATTTATTTATTTTTTATTTTACAATTATTACAACAGCCGTTAACTGTCAACTGCTGGACATAAGCTATCCTCTCAAGGGGAATTTTTCCAGTAGTCAGCAGGCGGGTTAGTAACCACAGTAAGGCTTTTAGAGATGGTTCAAGAGGGACGCTGCTGCCTATCTCTCGTCCGCCCTTAGTCGCCTCTTACGACACCCACGGGAAAGGAAAGGGTGACCCATTTCATGCCGGGGCACACACGGCGAGTTAATGTACAATAAAATTCGTTATTTATTAATGTAGACAATCTAATCTCAAATAATTTATTAGGATAGGTTATAGGCGCATACGAATATGTAGCATACTCGTAGATAGAAGAAAGAATCAAATACCTAGTACCTGTTTATGAAATAGACCGAGATACTTTTATGTTAGTTCTTTTATATTTTTACAAGTATAATAAAAAAAATATTTACTTCTAAGGATCGAAGCGTCAAAAAGGATTCTCGATTACTATACTCGTATTGTCATCAAGAAATTTCATCACTAATTATAAACCAATTTTAATAATTCTTTTTGCAATGTATGTGGTTTATTCCTTAATTAGTCCTATATCAATTATATGGTGATCGAAGGCATTGGGTTCGATTTTGAGCCATCATTTCTCTAAATCTATCTTTAAAACTAAAATTTCAATTTGATATCACAGCGAAATTTTTATAACAGGGATTTTCTAACAGATTTTTTGCGGAACCAATTTTCTAACAGATTTAAGTAAAAAATATTATAATTTTAATTTATGATGGTCTATTAATACAAGTAATTTCGCGAAATTATCAAATTAAAATATTAGGTTAAGAAATAAGTTTAGAGAAATGACATTTTAGAATCGGCTCCATTGTTTGTAGCAAAATATTAACGTAATACGTTAAAATTTGACATAACGTAAACGTTAATATTAAAAATAGACATGTAATGAACGATTTTACAATTACAAGCACTTAAAAAACTCTTATTATTGTTATATACGAAATATTATAAAAAATAAAAAAGATAAATATTCTTAGAGAAAACTTAAAAAAAGATTTTTACGTTACGACTATTTACTTTAAGAAATTTTGTTCTGTTTCATGAACACCTAATAAATAATTATTACATAAGTACATGTTATGACTATTAATAGGGCTTCCTAGATAAGTGTCCATCGAATCCACAATAGAATTGTCATAAGGTAGAATAAAACACAGTCGCCTGTTTCATTCTATCTCACGGTACTCGGTAGCAATAACGATGCTATCGAAACATTCAATAGTCACTTGTCTAAAGGAGAGGGTTATTATTTGTAAAAAAGGTGATTTTCAAAACATTCCTACAACCTACAACTATCACAAAAACGGCCGGCTATTCGTCTTGACTTCAATATATCTCTCGTGACCCTGTTGCACGCGATAGTCTTATCAATTAATAACTAGCCGCTCTTCAACATTCTACATTAGATATTTAAATAATTATTTGATCTATGAGAAATGTGTTTTACACAAACAAACGAATCTTATTTGTTATTCATATGAAATAATCAGTTTCACGTTTTGTTTACACAATTATGGCTTAACGTGATTAAAGCTAATCATAATTTTGTTATTGATTGAGTACTAAGATTGCCCTATTGTGATAAGTAAAAAAATATCCTTCAGTTAAAATGTATAATAGTGTTACGTACATAATTTTTTACATACGTCTACAGCTAGTCTACTTACGGATCTGTCAGGTTTCTGTCAATAGCCAGTAGAAAAAGCCAATAACAACAATAAAATAATCGATCTACCCACCTCGGAACTTGTTTCACACACAACTTTAGTATCCAATATAAACTTTCGAACTGACGGCTGGCGGAGACGGGTGTCGGCGGCAGGCTTGCGGTGTCGCTTCTCGCTGCGAAACGGTGCGATGTACACGCAGAACGGATGGCGAGTGACCGGTTGGCATAGAGCACAGAGCTAGCTATTTCCACGCTTATCGAAACCATTGTCCAAGGTTCAAGAGTAAATATTAACAATGTTCACGATTTATAATTATGGCAAACATACGTAGGCATATAACATAAACAATAACATAATTCATACTTACAAACGATACCCACATCTAATTCATTAAACGAACAAGATTATTTATTTCACTAGAAATACTCGGAATTCGCATGTTCACACGCATTACACTTTTGAACTTGGATAATTAATTACGTAGTGACTACTGCATAATTTCAGTGAAGAGAAAGCTGCATTATATTTTCCAATAAAACCTTATAAGAATCTGGGCACGGGACACATTTGGTCTAGATGAAGCAAAGAGGAGATTAAATTTTCACGCGCTTCGAGTTTTTTTTCTCGTCACAATAAATAATGTTTATCACAATTTAATTCCTGTTGCAGTTTGATGCGATTTTTATATTTTATAAGTATTTTCTATAAATTCCATGCTAATGGCAATGACAAATAAAGGGTTTTGAGTAAGCAACGTACCTATTTGCTTTTGCCTGCAAAACGTACCTGATCAGATTTTAAGTTCCACAATTAGAATACAAGTGTAAAAATCGCATTCAATTTGGTATAGTAATTTCTGCGTGATGCTAAAATAAAGACAAAAAGACAATCAAAAACATTAAAATATGTATAGATTACATCCTCTTATGTAATCTGTATGATAATACCTAATTTTATTATTTATTTATTTAGATATAGACAACTCTTTATGATGTTTAGAAAAACGTAAATCTACTTTCCGTCACAGAAAACACCACCTATGCGCAGCTACTTAAAAAATCTACTTTAATTGTAGAAAAACCATTTATTTTGATTTTAAAGACTAAACTACTCGACCGATTTTTATAAAAATTTTTATGGAACAAATCTGAAAGTATATTTTTCAGTTTATAAATTATATAGTTATAATGTAAAATTTTTTTAAGTTGGTTGAAAAGGGCGATAGTTCATCGAACTATAGGTTAGGTTAGGTTAGGTTAGGGTGTTTATATTTTTTTATTATCACCATATTTTTTGTCGAGTAATATCTCAGAATTTTTTTAATTCTAAAAATAGAAGGTATATATATATATATATATATATATTTATTCCTCGTATGAAGTAGTACGAAGCATCTCTCTACTGCGGTTGCGGTGACTGTCACACTTAGCTGTAGTAATTTTCTCCGATTAAAGTTTATGACCTGAGATTCTATTTAGTATTTTGATATCAATAACATTTCAGAAATATGAAATAAGATGTCTGCTTTAGGACTTAACTTCCAAATAAATCTTTAACGAGCTGGAAATTATTTATTTCTTATTGCATTGCAATTAATGCCTATTTGAATTGTCTTTTTAATTTATTAAGATATTTATAGAATTCGTGTTTTCATCATGCACTGCGTGTTTTCAGAATGTAGTATATACAGGAGAATGGATTGTACTTTATCAGGTCGACTCCATCCCATTTCCTTCTGGTTCGTCAAACCATCTTGAAAATCATTAGAAATGCGGATTACCAGTAACATTGCTAGCAATATACCATGGCAGGCTGACCTCTACGTGGTCCCTGCTGGAAACCATTGTGCTGTATCGCACTCGAATTCATCACGATGGGCTAACTGATTTGTCTTTTTATTCTCACCTCTCAATGGAACCCCACTAGTGATATCCTAGCGTTAGCACAAGTGGGTTTACTATTCCATGCCCATCATCCATTACTCTTAAATTCGCCACGATCATGGGCCAGCTGACATGATTTTCATCTTTAACTATTATAAACTAATCACATTCTCGTATACAAAGGGCAATGGAGAGAAAAGGAAGCTGTTAGTAATGTGGATTAGCAAGCCTATTGTCAGCAATATACTTAATTAGGTTGCTCTCCACGTGGAATAAAACCAACGTGAAACCAACGTGATTGACTTATTATTATTAAAATAAAAATTTTAATAATAATAAGTCATTATAATAAAAATAAATTATTAGTTCGTCACGATGAGCCAAAGACCTGCTTCATTGTCACCTATCATCTCTCACTGGTGCCCCGTCAGTGTATACCAATTGCGCTGGCGGAATTACCGTTCCATTATCATTCATTAATAAAAGCTCGTGTTTTATTGCAACTTTTTTCTTGCACCTTTAAGACATTTTGGGGGTAAAAAAACTTTGCACGATTTAAACAAATAAATCAAACTAATCAAAATTAAAATTATTTATTGAAACAACTTCAATCTTTTAAATTAGGTAATATAATTTTCACTATGCTAATCGGCTTAGACTTACATAACTAACGTAGGAAAGCGCAATGTAGTGAACATAATAATATATAGGTAGCCGTAAATATGCAGAATTCAAGTATGTTGATAATTTTGTTACACGATATAATAATGTAATTATGTTAAATTTCTAGGTATCAATATAGGACACTTAATTAGGCTCTGCGGAAGAAAGAACAACTATGATCGATTAAGTTCAAAATTACAATTAACACTCAATGACATTTTGTTTTGAAAATTCATTACACTTCTTAAAATTATTTTTGTAGAAGTCTATATGATACCTACATGTCTGACGTCAAATCATTTCCAATAGCAAATAATAGATACAAAAATGTATAAGACCAATCTAACAATACGATATAGTTACAATAGGTACATAATGTATGTATGATATAATACTTAGGTGGTTAACAGGGAAGATATAATGTAAAAATTAAATACAACTTCTTACAGCCACTCTTATCGTATCACATATTACAGCTTTAACTACTAGTTTCTCTATCATAGAAAATCTAAGACAATGTTTACCGCCTGTATACAAATTTGTAAATTAAATGTACAAAATTATTACTTGTTCATGTGAATCCATTATCTACTATACAGGGAGGTCAGGATATTGTTTTAAATAATATATTAAAAATGCAATAAGCAAATTGATTACGAAACGAACAAGTCGTATTTCAAGTCAAACGACGAACTCACAATAATAATCGTAACTTTATAACCATTGGACTGGTACATTACATCGATTATAATTTGGCATCCGACAACTAAACGTAGCTTAATTAATCATTAGCCTCGTAATGAGTCGAAATTAAATGCGAACAAGCGTTGCACTAGCGTTGCTCTTTGTATCGTGACACCGAGCACCGATGGCACAATACCGCGAAATGTCACGCCCACTCCAAACAAACCTTAGACATTCAACAAACAAGCTCAGCTATCGATGTACTCTAATGTCTTTGATGTGCAAACAATACAAATATCGATTGTCTAAAGTCTGCTTCATAATCACGCAATATCACAATCGGGACCCACGCCATGTGTCGGTATCTCTTGAATCGATCGTATACAATCGATCGACTCGATTGAGTCAGGACCGTAGCGGCCGTCGCTGCACTATACGGCGCTCGCCTTAACGTGCTTTGTGGAGAATTTTTGGTCGAACGACCTCCGAGGAATGCCGCTCACTTTCTTCGGCGACTGACAATTGATTGACGACGGCAGCGACTTGTAGCCCCCGTCGGAGCTGTAGTCCGTGTCGGTCGACTGTCCGTTCAAGCCAGGACTGTGTCTGTTGCCGTTGACGCTTTCCTTGCTGCCGATCCTGCCGTTGTATAAGTCGCCGTATGACGTGTGGTGCTTGATAGGCGAGTGCTCGTCTATGACGTGCGTGACGAGGGCCGGCTCGGTCGGGTAAAGTTGACAAGAGTTAGAGAAGTTCTCGATGGATCGCGACCTACTTGGATGGGGCCGGTCTGCAGAGCTGTCACGCCGGGCGCGGGCGACTGCTTGCAAGTACTGGGAGCCGACGCGGCTACCACGCAGCTCGACCCCGTTCAACACTCCGTTCACTTTTCTCGCGCCGCACTGGCACTGTTTCGCGGTCCCGTTAACAACAGGCCTTTTAGTCTTTTGTGCTTCACTGTACGACGGCAACTTCCTTGCGCTAGCTTGCTCATTCCAACTGTGGAACAATAATTTAATTAGTGGAATACTAGAGTGACTATATCATGACTTTGAAGACCAACATAGTCAAGGGAGACAATTCTCCGGACATTTTATTGTCATTATTAATAGAAACTGATGTGCTACTTTAATTTTAATTTCTGTGTGTATTCCAGTAGAGTTAGATCAAGCAAGAGATTTTTCGTTCTTTCCTCTTCCTTGTCTACGTAGGCCATTAGTGTTAGTCATCAGTAAATTGCTGGAAATTTATGTGTTAGGTGTACTTTTGTAGTATATTTTTACATCTCACCTTTAAGTTCTGACGTGGCAGCGTGTAACACAGAGAGAAGTTTCAAAATCAAAGCACAATAGATATGTATATAGAAGTCATATAAACAATAGTAAGTCAAACGTCTACTTAATGTCAAAACACAACACAAGATAAATCTACCTCTCATCAATTAAGCCAATTAGGAACTATAATTTAAGTGTCAATGATTTACCATATTTTTTGTTATAATTAAATCCATGCTTTTAATATCATATAACTAGCACCTATTTTTAAATAGGCTAAATTTTCTTTATATGTTTTATAATATGTTTCTCAAATTACATATAATATTTGCATATAGGTATATTTTGAACATCTATTTTTAAATGACAGGCACATCGAAACAGTGGTTAATGTAAAATAAATATTTCTTTGGCATCCCAATCCTAAACAGATGGAGAGGGTTACCATAACAATGCAAATATAAATTGCATTGGTCACTTGTGGTACTTGAAGCAAAATTCTTCTATGTCTCTATTAGACACTAGGAACACGCTGTCGCTCGGAGTCTGATACAAGAGATGCAGTAAGCACAACACATTGACCGAACACAAGAGGCACAGAGCGAGCAAGCAGTCGAGCCACGCTACCTGATCCGACGGACGAACACGAGATCCACCCAAATGGAAACTGCCGCGTCCAATATCCAATATGTTTCGACATTTTGAACAATTCCGATTGTAATTTAAAGCAGCATGTGAGAAAAGTAGAACGAAATGAAATTTATGGAACAATAATCATGAGAAATGATTTAGTTAACGAAAAATAATTTATTAACACAAGAGCTACAATTAAATAATGTTAAGATGTTATTTACATGTTCAAAGTAAATGCATCAAAGGATAATGCCCATAAAATAAGGAGACATTTTGAGTGTGACTTGAAACATGGATGTGGGAACGAAAGTCATCTTTTTGTTCATATAGTCTCGGAAGATAATTATCCATTTTTGTTTGTTTAAATCGGATATTAAACAATAACTTTTTGACATTATTGCGTCTTTTAAAGTTGATGTGCAATGAGATAAATGAGGGTAGTAAATGGGTGTTATATACAAGTAGGTGAGAGATGTCTGCAGAGATTTTATAATGGATTTTAATGTGTGCAAGGAGACTGCAATAAACCTAAAACAATAGATAAAGGCATAAATAAATATAACGGTCTCTTACTTATATAACTACATATATATATTCAAAATAAATAATAAGTGGTGAATTTAATTGATTATATAGATAAATACACTATAACTTCAAGCGAGTTACAATAGTATTCGATTCTAAAGATATGACAGTAAATATGTGTAAAGGTAATGAAGAAGCAGTGCACTGGAAACGGTTAAAATGTATATGTTACCTCACTAATCCAGAATTTTCAGAGCTCGTCAACGCTGTGCTCATCGGCGGCCGCAACTGTAAACGTAAATAAATATTAACTAATATAAGATATTGTTTATAAAAAATCTGCCAATATGGAAATAAACTCTATTGATTGCAGAAAATATATAATTATTTAAATTGATTCAGATTTAGCACATATATCGCGATGGGGGATAATAATATATATAAATATATTTTCTGAAAGGTACTTTATAAGTAATAGTAAAGCTTAAATATACTTACCCGATCGGTCTGAGTGGCGACGTTACAGGTATCGTCGGCGCGCGGCTCGTGGTTCTCCGCCATGCGCAGCATCTGTTGCTGCAACACGCGCACCAGCCGATCTCGCTCTTCTAGCTGGCCCTACAACACATGATTATATTACTATTAAATTCGTCAGCTTCATAGGTATTTGCTTCAATTAGTGTCTTGAGCATTCTTTTATTACTTCATATATTTAATTCAAAGATTATAGCAATTCATTAGAGAGTCAGCTGCATTGGATTTTTAAGTGATGAAGCACAAAAACGGAGTGGGTTTCATAACAAATTATTACATATATATTTTATATTAAACGAAATTGTGTTGACAAATGAGAAATTTGCGATATTTGTTTAGTTCTTTTATGCATCTTAGAATGCTGAAAGTCACAAAGTAACACTTTCCTGATGGAAAGTCGTGGCCGTCGCCTATAGACATGATCAGTACTATGTCTATAGTACATAATAGAGTATACTGTTTCCCTCATAATATCTCCCATGCGTTGCCATTCCTGAGGACTAAGGTGTTATTTCTCTGTACCTTGTAATTTCATTGCCATATTCCACCCTTTAAAACGAAACACAGCCATGCAAACACAACTGCTTGACGGGAGAAACACGAATGGGACAGAGGTGCCCAAGAAAACGACTTTTGTACTAATTCTCCCTCTGATGTACTTCAAGAGTCTATTAATAATAAAAAAAATGAGGGTACCTGCAAGTAAACTATCTGGCGGCGCATCTCAGCGCAAGCATCAGGTGGCAGGGGGTCGGCGGCGCGGGGTGCGGGCGCATGGTGCGGGTGATGGGGAGGGGGGCGGCGCCCGTTGCCGCGCGCGGGGCTCTCCGCGCACGCCGCCAGCAACGGGTCGAGAGTCTCGCTCTGTGGAACCGAAAAATAAAACATTGACAAAATGGAGCTAGATGACGTTATAGAACATGCCTAGGATGTAGGGAGTTTTAAAATAAAAGAATAACTTTGAGGGGGAAAATAAAAAGTTTTTCATTCATTTATTTAATAATATACAGAATGAAACCGAAGTTATTAGCGTCGTTTTAAGAGAGCATTCTACTAATGAAAAATAATTATCATTCAAATGAACACAAAAAAGGATTCAAAATTCGGTTAAAGACTTCTTGTTCTTAACAAACATGCACGAATCGTAAAATAAATTGCAGTGCAGTAAACAAATGCATTAAAGTTGCGTAGGCGCTACTTACACTCATCGTATGATGCTCGTCCCCTGGCTGCGTGCGGCAAACAAGGCAATGCAACCAAACAAAACAAGTTACAACACAAACATAATGTGCCATTTAAGCAAAGGAAATATTAAGTGAACTATCTACATGAAAAAAACAAGTAAGTAAAGCTTAAATAAAACTTTTCATTAAATTTGTATAATAATATTATGAAATATGTAAAAATAATAGGGAATTGGGTATAATAAGTAGTGCATTAGTAGTTGGTACTTTGGGGCAAACCTGGCAAATGTCTATGGCGATATAAATATAGGATAGCAAAATTATGGGGCAGGAAAAAATATGAAATGACAAAATTTAAGAACGGCACAGGCACAATAACATGCTGCATGTTATTATTTGTACTTGGTGGAATTCAGCTTTTTTTACAAGTCAGAACATATTAATACATTTTAATAAATAAAATGAAAGAGGAAAAGCATTATTTATAACGTAAAAATTTTATTTGAGTTGATCGAATTATGTAACAACTAAGAAAGAAAGAAAAATATTTATTTGGTGCATGTTATCTATTGTACCAGTTATTTTTGAACGGATCATAAGTTATTTGTTGTTAAACCAATATTATTTATGTAATTTTGTTTTGTTCTACAGACAGATTTCAGTTTGTAACCCTTTTGGTTCTTACTTGTTCGATTTTTGGATCTCTGAAATTTTAATTTCATATTACAGCTAAATTATTATTTTAGAAACTAGTATAAATTCAATTTGAGCTACATAACACTCAGTGTTTTATAATGTAATAGGTATTTTTTATAAACTACCTATAAATTATATTTAATTTTCAACTTAGTTTAAAAGGCAGGAGATTCTCAAATCGGTTGCATTTTTTATGTTTGTTTCTTCATAACTGCGTCAGTTATGAACCGATTTGGAAAATTATTTTTTATCTAAATGACTATACTTATAGATTGATCTAATAGAAATTTTATTGAAATAAGTTTAGTAGTTTACATTTTAAATAAGAAAAATCGGTGTTTTGTGGAACACAATCTTATAGAAATAAGTTTCGACAATTAAGTCCCTGTATCGACCCCATTTTGTGTTACATTGTGTATAAACATTGCTCGTTTGCAGTGCAGTATTTTTTTTTGTATATGGTATTAGCACACCCCGGATACTTCATACAAAAAAAGCATTAACCGTGCCTATCAGCTGTCATTACTACATACACAGATGATGTCGGTACACGCTCAGATTTATATGTATGTACCATACAGGATGCATACTTGTTTCGACTTGCTATATTTGAGTTACAAAGAGGGCTTAGGATCGGCTCGTGAGAAGGGTACAGAATGACCATACTGTATAAAGTATTATTATTTATATTATGGTATCAGATTAAACGTTATTTTTTGTATTTCGTATTTATATAAAACAATACTAATTTCGTTTAATTAGCAAGAACAATTAAGCTACTATCCACCTCATGTTCCCGTTAATTGTGTATCAAAAACAATAGTTTGCTCTAGTTGATCTGAATCAATGTAGATACTTATATTGTAAAACAGTATGACACAGTTAACAGTTTTTACATGGGAAACATGATTTCAAACATAGTTCTACATGATTAGAGGGAGTAACGGTGAACACGTGAGCATTCAGGTTAATCATTAAAGTCATTAAACATAGGGGAAATTGTTCATCAACATCAATGTTATATTGCAAGTACTTTTTACTGTAAGTGTAGTACAGTGGCTGTTTGTGTGTATGTGTGTGTGAATTTGGTTATCATCAAAACAAGCCATCAACTTCCCACTATTGGGAACGGGTCTCTGCTTCTGTTTCGCTATCTTTGAGAAGATTAGCCTATAATTACCTAATTGGAATAGGTTTTTTATATAGAATTATCATCCTTTTGTATTGGTGCAATTCCTTTGTCCTTTTAGTTTTATTACGAAAGTCTTGGTGATAAAGAAGTGGTGACACATTACACGCTAACACGGAATAACTAGGTATTTAATTATTAGAAAATATATTAATAAATTTCTTATTTTGTATATTGCATAGCTGTAATGCATACAAAAACTTGTTTGTAATTAGTTAATATATTTTTCAGTGTTTACTTTTATATTTGGACAGTTATTAATCCGACTGATTTAATTGAAGTTTATTTATTTATATTTTCAGATTAATCATTCAAATGATATGAAAGATAATGATGAAGTAATGACTATTAACCGATTACATAAGTAAGTAAAAGTTATCAATTATTATGACGAGTATCGCCGAGTTTAACGGCCTAAAATGATCACTGAGACATCACGCTCTGATGCACCTTACGTGCTCTAGTCGGAGAATGGGAGAAAGGAGAAATATCTACTTCAACTTATTTAAGGAAGGAGAGGCCAAATAGCATAAACTATGTTTTTGTAATTAATGTTAATAAAAATGTTATTTAAAATTAAATTAATCACAATTAGACACTCTATTTTCTGTTATACAAGTGTTCATTAAGTGCATTATACAAAATTTATTCTGTTGAAGATGTTTTATATAATTTCCTGTTTAAACGTATTTAGTGAATTGTTGAAGGTCCTACATTTATTTATTTAAATGTTAGGTACATCCGCTTTACAAAAATTATTTATTTTTCTGCTACAGTGATGAACAAAAGTATAGGATGTCAATAATTGTACACTTAATAATATACTGTTTGTATAATAAACTAAACGCCCTGAAACATTAATGAAAATCAGGCATCAGATTACGTATACTTAGTTACCTAATAATTAGTTGCATGCTAGATATAATCTCTGAATTTGGTCTTAAAGATTATGCGAAAGGATCAAAATATCGTATATTCATTCGTTTAAATTTTCATAAGAATTTTTTATAATGTTTTATACTATTGAACTTATTGTTACGTGCTTTTTTGCTTATCGTTTTTTCTATTTAGTGTTACATTCTGGTCAATTTTAGGATATTATTTGCTTAGATATATGTACCGTTTATACTTGTTTTAAGACTAGATTTTAGTGATCAATGGTGTCAATTTAAAGCACAAATAATGGACTTTTTGTGTATATTTAAAATATTTGAAACACTATCATTCAAATTCTATCTCATGCTCAAAACACAACTGACCTCCTGTAAGACCCGCTTGAGCTGCAGTAGGAGTGTTTTGATGTCAACCACGTCCTGCAAGAGTGAAGCGGGCGCGGGTGATACGTTTCCATCGCTGGTGCCGCCCTCTGACGGCGTTTGTGTGCGGGAACGTTGTAGCAACCGCGCCGTGCGCACTGGCAGGCTGGCTCTGAAATCAAAATTGCCAATTTTACGTTTTTATTTGCCTAACTTGGGAAGATTAAGATATACTTAGTTATCGTGTCAGCTGTTAACTATCTACTGCTGAAGTTATTTTAAATATAGGTAAAACCCTCCCTATAGGTAAATTTACCAGTATATGGCATAATGTTATACAAATAAAGAAACAATACAAGCTTGACAATAATATTTTGGACTGTGTAATTTGTGAATGTATGGAATTGGCAATAACCATACTACTAATAACAGTTAATCTTATTATATACTTATATATGTTATATATATAGATGGAAAAAGATAAAAAAAAGTGTGGAAAGTCTTATAATATTTAAAGCTAACATCAGTTGTAGTCATTGAAAGTATATAGAATGTTGGTGAATAGCAAGATTATATAATTTTCAAGAGATGATGATAATTATTATTTAGGTTGAATGAAGACAGATTTAAAAATTAATAACGTTGATTATTAAAACCAATGGCTTAGAATACATTAAATACAAACTTTAGAGATTAGGGATATATATATATACATAATTAATACACGTATAAAATTCTGCAAATCAAGCTTTCTATAATAATATAATAGTAACAGAGTGGCTTTAAATAAATGACTAGATGAGGTAGATGACACATTCATAAGATATATTTATTTTTATTCTCATTGATATAGTTGTCTCGAAAATAGATTGTTGGGGATATTCCAATATTTGTAATGTTTTTTTTTTAATCAGGAACAATGTCCGAATTATATTACAATTGCAATCGTAGTTTGGTCGTTTGGTTATGCCATGTGGTCTCGACAACAAATAGGCTATCCCTTCCCTTTTCATGCGTGTCGTAAGAGGCGACTAAGGAAGGCGAGGGAAGAGCAGTAGCGTCTCTCTTAAAACATCTCCAAAGCATCGCAGTTAGGCAACTGTGGTTAATAATCCGCCTGCCATGCGTGGCAAATACTGTCAATACCCTACAAAGGGGAGGCTTATATTTAGCATGGGCAGGTAAATGTTGATATGATGATGATGATTCGTAGTTTATATTTAGTCTCTTCGACTTATCGTAATAGAAAAAAAAATATGTGTATAGTAGAAGTCTAATAATATCGTACTAATGAACTGTTGATTTCATTTGTGTCGCTATGACGCGGACGTACGCGACACACCTGAACAAATTAATTAGGGAAAGTGGTCGATCTATTTAGGAGTGCTGTGACGGTAAGTTCGAGTTACCAGGTATCTCAGAAACTTTTATTATATCACGATAGTGGTAAATAGGCTTATGGTCAGCTTTATTATAAACCGTTAAGATTTAAAAGCCCTTAAGCTATTAAATCATTCAGAAATTATTGTAGTACTTCTAATAGGAACACAACTATGCCTATAGTATATTCCAATAAAATTCACTATAAAGTACCTAAACAAACGAATTACTTATTCGTATAAACAAATAAATTAAAGATTATCTGCTGATGTGCAATAGCAATACTAACCAAAAATTATTAGTTTTTTAATTGAAAGTATTTACTATTGTGTCTGGTTTATACTAATTCTGATAACATTAAAATCAATTACTCAAATAATAAATATAAGTGCATGTAATACAAGTTTCACGAAATACCGAATTACCGATATCGATTTAATGTTTCGATTTACATTAAGAGAGTGTTTCTGTGTACATTTCAGCAAATCTTAATAACCTTTTCATTAATTTTTATTGACACAGAATTATAAGCAATTGTTCATCGCTAGTTCTTCACAGATAGTTGTCGATAATTTTGTGTAGGTTTCTTTATGATCCTTTACTCCACTTATGCGTTATAATATTTATTTTTGTATTTTTATATATTACTTTAGATTTGTGATGATATAATTTCAGTTCCCGTAAAATTGTTAAGTACATTTTTTTATCTATACAAATTACACAATTTCAAACCATAAAACGTGTTGAAAAATATGTTTTAGTTTCTCTACTACGAGTATATCGTGACAAAAATCAATAAGAGCGTGTCAGCCACGCACTATTAGGGTACCGTAGGTATTGCTTACTAATATTTCTGTAAATTGCCATGTTAACATGAAAGATACTCTCGTCTTCTCATATTCTCGTATATTTAAAAACTATGTAATTTTAAAAAAAGTATGAAATATAAAAAATTAACTACTTGTTTGTAAGTAGTTAATTTTGTAAGTAGTTAATTAAACACTTCTACATTTTTCTTTAAAAATGTATAGAGATTGAACTTAAGCAGCAAAAATTATGACGCTGTAATATACGGTCGGACATCCAGAGTGAAAGATATACCTGACGATAAATTGTAACCAGTAAAAGATGGTGACATAAATATTCCGTATCAGTCAACAACTCTTAAATAGACATTTGGTATTAAATTAAAAAAGTTGTCTATTAAATCTAATACGGAACACTAAATTATTATGAAACATGATTCCATGGCAAGACGCATGTAAAAAGAACGTGTACAACTTAAAAACATGCGATATTCTTGCATGTGGTTAATGGGCGTAGAGTGGTATATGGATCATCAATAGGTACCTATTGATTAAAATAATGACATGCAATTATGTGAGGTACCTATCTACATATACTCGTTTGTTATTGCTTCACGTTTTTAATTAAAATTTAAATTCAATTTACGTTACTGTTTAGAATATTGATAAATTATTTTTATGTTATATATATCTAATCAAGACAAAGATAGTAAATTATACATTTTGAAATTCAAATTATATACATAGTCGTCTTTTAAAGACGTGTTTTATTAGAGAAATTTAATATTTTTCCCAAAGAAATATTTATCTATAAGTCTAAAAATAAAAGTCGACCTTCAACGCCAGGAACGTGACGCAACATTCAATCAAGGAAATATAAGAAAGTATATTTTTTATGTTATTTTTAAGGGAAAATATTCAATTGAAGATGCAAATATTTTTTCGTAAATTCCGAACCTATTTTGATGATTATTTTTTAGTTGAAAATATTTATTGACGTGTCTGACTCGTACCAATTCTGACAACATTAAAATCAGTTATTCTATTATTAAATATAAGTACATATAATATAATACGAGATACACGAAATACAAAGTGAATTGCAAACATGTCCTGAATTATGAGCAAACAGAACTAGACATAATTGAGGCCAGTCACCTAACTCTGCGCGTCAACGTTTCAGCGACATTATCAAATTAAATTAACCTAAATACGTAGTAATTTTTGCTGTTTCAGATTAAGTAGGTAGGCAAGTACGTCTTTTAATAAATAGATAAAAATACTATGCTAATTCTGCTGGTAGGACACCAGTGAAGGATGTTAGGTTAGGACAAACTTAGTTGGACAGTCATGACAAATTCACTAGGAATTACTTACAATGGTTTCTAGGGGGACCGCGTGGAGGTCGACCTGACAGATTATATTGCTAGTAATGGAACCATGATTCCATTAGAATCGGGTTTGCGAACCGTGAACATGGATACATGAATTGAATGTATTTGTTAAATAGACCACAATTCGTTAGTAAAAATCCCCTTGAACAAAAACTGGTAAATAGTTTGAAATTGTTATTAATATTTTGTAATATCAATTACAAACGAAATCACGGGCACTGTTTTATAAAAGAGGTGTGGTTAGACATGCACAAATAAGGATAAATTATAATAACCTATAATTACTAAAACAGGATATACATTAGGTACCAACGGATGCTACAGTCAATTTTACAGTAGGTAGTTAAGTAAACAAAATAAACGATTACAACATAATCGGGCAATAGAGCGTGAAAGAAAAGTAGAAAATAACAATTGTTGTTGCACGCAGACCTTTGTTATAGACAGTGACAGTGTGCAAGAGAATTTCACTTATAATAGTTTAGCTAGTCATCTAAATATTCATGTACACAATTAAAAAACATACTTGAAAAATGAATTAGTGTTATATCACATGTAAAGAAAGTTGATTATAATTTAAGAGGTAGTGGGGAATAATATTGTTCTTCACTTATGAAGGGAGTGATAATATAAATAGAGAAAATGGAAATACGTTCTAATAGTCTTCTAATAATGATAATTATGTACTTTTAGTATGGAACAAAAAAAAACTTATATTTATAATATGCACTGTATGTACAATGTACTAATGTACAAAATAGTATAAACGAAATAATTTAAATGTTTTATTATTATATAGAATTATTTCGAATACATAATTTTATTAAGTATGCAGAAAAATTACTATGTAGCTAAAACTGACTTTAATAATAAACAGTGCATTATGTGACAGTTAAACATGATATCTAGTACCGTATAGGGGCTTGGGTTCATTTAAGGATTTAACACTATCATAGACATATTTGCTAATATATGTTTCGTGATAGTAAACTCCTTGATGTAAGTTCTTTTCAAATATCCATATATACAACCGCCTCTCGTTTGGCCTTGCTTTTTCGTTGTTGAGTAGGCTATTCTGACCTTTCCGGTAAGTATACAAAACAAAGACTTAATGCCAACTATTCGTCAAAGTTTTAAACGTGAATAAACATGAGAGCATGACCTGATTCACAGGAACACAGACCACTGAAATATTAACCGCATTTGTTACAATAAGTATTGACTTATATGTCTATTTCAAAGATAACACTGAGCTGTCATCCATACTTAAATTGGAAAATATATGTACTCATGATATTGATAATGGTACCAGATAACACTATGTTAAAGATAATTCAGCATGCCAAAAAAATATTCTATACTTTTAAATAATGTAACTATTAAATGATCGTATAGCATCATCCACTCTCAAATTCAGTATTAACGAACGTAAACCTTGTACTCGTATCACAATAAAGAACACAGCTGTTGAGTATTTTGCAAATGGTCCACCTGTACTGTTTGGCTTTCTGGCTGCGTAGACTAGGCGCGGGGCTAGATGATCGGCCGGGTGCGATGTCTGCGACGTGAAGGTCGGTCTTCTGACGCCGCGC